GAGTGAAACTACTTACCTCTATACTTACGTTTTCGTTTGAGAGCTGGTTTCTTCCTCCACCAGCTCTCAAACCACTCCTCTCTCGCCTCCATGTACAATCTTACCTCTCTCGCCCACTCTGGTTCAGGGATGTCCCACAGTGGGCGAGGCTCAGCCGGCTGGAGAGGACCCAGTCTTGGAGGAGCACTGGGCGCCTGAGCTGCCTCTGGAGGGCCCTGTCCTCGAGCAGCAGTGCCAACCAGTGCTGCACGGGGAGAACCTGGACCTGAAGCAGCACTGGGGGGTGGAGCTGCTTTCAGAGAACCAGGTCCTGGAGCAGCACTGGGGGGCAGAGCTGCCTTCGGAAGGCCCCGTCCTGGGGCAGCCCTGGAGACCCGAGCTACTCTCCTTGGGCACCTCTGTGGAGCAGCTGGTCTGGCGGTCGCAGCTGGTTCGGGGTACCCCACCTGCACACCTGGCCTGGACTCCACACCGTCTTCTGCAGAACACCCTGGAAGATCTTCAGACCACACGTTAAACGAAATACACGGTAACTTTGATGGGCTTGCTTCAGGAGCCTCAGTGGATGCCCTCTTAGGAGGACGGGCTTTCACCACCTCACTGAGAGCCGCAAGGGTCTTGCGGCGTTGCTCCTTCATGGCCACATCAGTTGTATTGGATGGAAACTGTGTGTGTGGTCTTACGGGACTGCCAGGGGGACTGGCAGGTGAAGAGCTGCTGCTGGAGGGACCCTCCGGAGGACGAGGGACCCTCCGGAGGACGAGCCGAGGGCTGCCGGGCCGACCGGGTACCGGGAGGAGAGCTGCAGTCCAGGTGAAGCGCTGCTCCATCTGCAGGCAAAAGCATAAACAAACTTTTTAAACTTCTTTAGGGTGTGAGTTTCTGCCTTTGAAACAGCTAACAGTCACTCTCTAATATAATCTTATATTTTCAAGATCAATAATATGTCAAATTAAATAATCAATAAAAAAATGTTAGTGAGCGTGCACTCATCAGGTTGCCTTTGACCTTAATTACAAAGTTAAAAATATGTAGCCTATTGTGTAAGCTTGTTTGAAGTACATCTTCCTGACCATACTTGACTGATCATCCAACATTTCAAGGGGATTTTATTGAAATTATTTTCATCATTTAAGAATTATAATTTAACAGTTTGGCAAATGTTAACAATTTGCTTTTATATGCTCAATGGTTCACATCATTTATACTTTTCTTCACTCAATGGGGCTTTAAAAAAGTCCAAAATTCTCACTTTTCATCCCTGAGGAAGTCCTGTCCTGGACCTGGTACCTGGTGTCTGGTCTCTGGTCTCTGGTCTTGTGTTGGTCCTGTCAAATAAAAGTACTTTAATGGACTTTGTTTTAAAAGAAATTCTAACTTAAAAATAGTTCAGCTGTGGCTGCTGGGAAATGTAGGACTGGTCAGTGGGTTTGACTGGATTTAAAACAAAACAACCTCTAAATGTTTATGTAGCAACTGAAAAACTGTTCATTTTGTACTGAGAAAATACTGATTTTACTAAAAAATATACCAAAAATAGCATTCAATTAGTATAAAATTGCACTTTGTTGTACTAAACACACTGTATTTGGCAAGTTATGTGTTTTTTGTTTGTTTTTTTCTGTCAAATATATGTTTATTTGAGAAACTAAAATGGCTGCAGGATACATATGTCAAAAACTGTACCACAAATCATTCAAGAAATCATTTCATTTGGTTAAAACATGTGCCTGCAGCAGTTTTGGGTTTACTTCTGTAGACTTTGGTTATTATTTTATTCATAAAATGACAAAATCTCAAGGTTAAAGCTAACATTGGTCATGTTCTGTTCATGATAGCATCGGTAACGGTCAGTTCAGTTTAGCTAAATGTTGGACACAATTTTATCAAAACTGTTCAATTCTCACTTTTTTGAAGAAGTCCTGTCTTAAGTCTTTCGTCGGGGTCCTGGAGAAAGAAAGTTGCCTGTAGAAGAAGGTTTTTGTCGCTGTAAATCCTGCTTTTGTGGGAATATCCAAGAGCGCTTTGAAATGCGTGGCCGTTCAGAGTTTTGATTAACATCAAATGTTTGTTTTTAAAAATGATGCACATTTTAGACAAACCATGGCAACCGTGGAACGTAAAGGTGTTTGCTCAGGACACGTCAGCGTCGACGCTCACAGGAGAGGTTAACGCAGAGGTCAAAAATGAAGCCTTAATTTCATTAAAAAGTTTTATTTTGCTCTCACAGAAGGCTCTATTTTCGGGACCGCCGGTGGCGCACCCCGGCGGAGCAGGGCCCATACATTACCGATGCTTCACAGGCAGGTTTCCACGGTGTCAGGCACATTTCAGTGCATTAAATAGTCAACAACAACCACCATTCAGTTCAACTATCTGAGTCAGCACATATATTTACATCTATTTCGATATATTCTGATCTATATCTTATCCGATGAGCGCGTTTGGTACGTGTTTGACCCTCCATCTGGCCGAATTAACTTAGCTAAAACCGCATTTAATATCCAGTACATAAATAGCCACACACGATGAAGTTAATATTTACTAAAGGAAACTCTCATTCAAAATGACCTGTTTATCTAATGCTCTCACATCCTTAAAATTCTGTGAATATTCAATCCGGTTTACATACGAATATCACAATATTCAGCAGTGGCGGTTCTAGACTAAATTACTCCCCAGGCGAGCACCCCTCCAACCATTACCATTTCTTCTTCTTCTACTACACCTTTTCAACAGTTTTTCCATTCATACCTTCCTCCATTTTTTATTGGCAGTTTTGCATTACTTTTTCAGCTTTCAGCACTCAGCATTTCCAGGCATTTTCTGCAAGGAAATGCAATTTTTCTAGTTTTATTTTATTTTACTCTATGTCATGATATAATTTCTATTTCTTTTCATTTCATTGTGTTTTATTGCTCTGTATTTCATGTATCATTTTATTTATTAATGAAAACTTGAATCTTGTTTTATTTCATTTCATTTAAGTTTATTTCATTCTATTGTATTTAATTCAATTTATGTGATATATTTTTATGTCGCTGTATTTCTCATTTAATTTCATTATTTCAATTTAAATATATCAATTTAATTTTTATATATTTTTGTTTCACTTTTTTAATACATCATTAATTTATTCTATCAGTGTTTTATTTATTTCTTTTTTTCCTGCTCTTATCACTCGAAGATCCTCAGGATGCCGCTGTTGCTGAATCTTGCAGAAAGACCTCTCCCGCCTCTTCGTCTCCCCCTGGTGGTCATCTGCTAGAATTCACCCAATAAAGTTGGGCTGGGTTTCAGAGAGTTGAATGAAATCTTGTACCCAGCTGCTAAAAATGATCTGATTGGATTAAAGCGATCAGATTGATCCAATCTTGAAACTGGGATAGACAACAAAATAAAGGAATCTATAATGAATCCAGGTCATAATCTGGACCTTACTTATAGAACCCGAATCTAGAAGTCTTAAGTAGATAATAGTATAAAAAGTGTATACTTCTAATGGTACTTCATATTGTTTGTTTCAGTTCTTTTCCCTCAGAGCTGACTCCATCTCATCTTAGTTATTTTAATCTTGCTTCTCTGTTATGACTGTCATACATGTATAATATTTGATACTTGCTTCTCAAGGTTGAACTTTTTTTCATATTAGTTACTGTAGTTAATTTTTTTTACATATAACTTCAGACTTTCTATCATAATAGCTTTCACTCATTTCAGATATAACTCATTATCAAGTCTTATTGCATCATCTTTTGACAACTAAACTCATAATTCAAATTTATGTCTGGAAAAAATCACAGTATTTCACCCATTACATCTCAAACCTTCTCTATTTCACCTCATGAATTAAGCATTTTAGATTTGTCCTTTTGTGCTGTGAATGATTTTTCCTTGCACAAAAGAGACTCTTATTCAGTACTTGTACTTGTTTTTATGACTGGAATCAAGCAACATTAACCAAAATAGATTTAAAATAATAAATAAAAATACAAGAAGAAAAGAAAATGTCAAATGGGCTCAAAGCTACCGTTGAGAGAGATGGGATCTTTTCTTTCATATTTTGCAGCAGAAATTAAAAACAGTAAATGCACACAAGTAACGAACAAATTGTCTTTAATATGCTACACAATCATTATTTAGTACATTAAAATCCAGATCATTTCCTTAAACATAAGTCAAGACTTACAGTGATGCAGGCTGAGCCTTTACAGCCATTAGGATATAAGTGCTTTATCAGGTGCACTCAAAACAAGATTTCCAGAATATCGTAAGACTTTATGCATCTCGATGTTTTAATGTATTTGATCCAATAGACGTAAACCACCAAGACTGACATCTAACAACTGTGAGTGCTGTAGGAGGCAGGAGTTGACAAAACAGACAAAACATGTGCACAATCAGAAAACTGCCAGATTTTTCAGAGAGCCCTGTTAAAAGATCCAGGCGATCCTGTTGTTTTTGCAGATGATTACTGATATAATTAACAATGAATCACTGAAAACTGGAGTGTATACAATCAAGTAAAAGAACAAATGCAATGATACTATAAACAGCTATCAGAAATGTTCTCTTAGAGACAACCCACACCTTTTCCCTAATGTAGTAAAATGTAAGAGGACCTGCACAAATAGGCACAAGCAAAAACAGCTCAAATGGGTCCCAAACTTACATTTGTCTCTTAAAAAACACTAAAAGCTGATGTAGTTGTATTCAAATTAAGTACATAAACACACACGACAATGAGCTCTTATTAAGAGCAGATTTTATTCAAATGTAAGAGTGGTGCTCCTGATTATGCCTATCAAGATGTTGGTGGTCCAGTGTCACAGGAGACGTGTCCGACCCTGCTGAATGAAGTCACATTGTCCTGAGCGGAGTGTGACCTGAGGAGGAAAACAGAAAAAAGGTTCAAAGTGAAAAAAAATACATGTAGATATGATTATTAAAATTAAAAAATGGGAAACTATTGATCTAAGACTCACCGCAGTCTGCTGTTATCATTTTTCCTCACCGCTCATGCCTCTTACTTCACCCTTCTCTCTCATCTGTGGAAAGAAAAGTCAAAATGACACATTATTTACACAGTATTAAAAAGACAATTTCAGCTATATTATTTTCCATTAAGATGGGTTATTTGAAGGCTTACTAAAAATGTATTGAATATTGATATTCAATTGAAAGTTCATTTGTTGGGATCTCATTTGTTGTTGGTTTTTTTGTGTGTGTGTGTCATGATGCACCAAATGTTCATAATAGGCAGACCAGACTCTTCTACTTTGGACACATGCTGTTGTAATACAAGCAGGATGTGGTTTGGCATTGTCTCACTATATTATGCAAGGTCTTCACTGAAGAAGTCTTTGTCTGGATGGCAGCTTGTTGCTCTAAAACCAGTATATATTGTTCAGCATTAACAGAGGGAAAACAACCCTTGCCTTGGACACATATTCATCTTCATACCACCAGGGATGCTGGCTTTGAACTAGGTGCTGCTGATAACGAGCCACATCTTCAGATCTGGATGTACATGTACTGTCCATGGTCCATGCCAGGTCACAGTAAAAGTTTTCCCCTTCACTGCAGTCTATCTTACATGGATGATAACAAAAATGGTTTCTGGATGTGATTTTGAGACCATGCAGTGATTTCCACTACAGAGTTATATCTGTTTTTTTACACAATCTATTGAATGGAGGTTCATGTGCATCCAGTACTGGATTTGCACAGAAATCTCCTCAGATCCTCCAAACCTTATGAATAAAGTTATGTACTGTAGATGACAAATCCTCAACTTCTTTTCTATTTGCTCATGCAGACTTGAAGGATCATGACTTCTTCGTGTCCGAGGTCCTTCCAAACTGGACTGATACAGCTATAATTTCACAAATGTGGTGTTAGTGTGGAGGATATTAAATCAGTCACCTCGTCCAGCTCCCTCTTTGTCTCCTCTTCCATGCGTCGGATGTCGTCCATTGACAGTTCGATCCATCTGTCAATCCAGCAGAACAGTTGTCTGTGGAAATTAGTGAACAAGCGTTTCTCCGTCTGAATGAGAGAGAGAGAGAGAGAATGGATGAGTGTGAGACAGACAGCAGAGGAAGATTAGACAACAGTTAAAATACAAAATAACTTCAAGGTTTATGTCCACTAAAATATAGAAGCTCAATTCTAGGCTAAATGAATAAAATATGATTGTTCAGCCCTAAGGTTTGACTTTAAGACATTGTATTTCATTTTTTGAAATAAAAACAGGATTTTTTACCTTCTGGATCATTGATTCTATAGTACTTCCCAACATCACCATCTTGAATTTTACAGTGACTAGCTTATAGGCGCACATGTGTGGACAGCTGGGGCTGTTAGCGATCTCTTGCTGTGAACGAACAGAAAAACAGACATGTTACAAACACACCGTCTTCAGGTTTTTATGCTTCACAGCCTTGTATAGTTGAGCCACAGAGAGGGGGACTGGAGGTGGACTTACCTTCCAGTTTGGTCCCAGAGGCCCTCGTCCAGTCTTCACAGACTTGAATATGGCTGGATCCTGGTCTTCTTTGTAGTCCTGCACAATGAATTGCAACAAGTTCAGTGATAAACAGTGAAACAAAAAAAACAGCAGAAGTGGGTTTGGGACAATTCTCCTGAGGAAATAATTTACCATGAGAGGATTGTGGACACTGATATCACTGATTAATCACTCGCCAACGTAATCTGAACATGTCAAGGTTTAATTCAACACGACTGTCTGGATTTTAATTTTATAATCCTGGTGTGATTTTACTTTTGTCATATGAAAGAGCTGAATCTAATATTGTCGAAGTATTCTTATCACCGACAAAATAACAGTGCAGGGAAGTGAGGGACCCAGAGTCTGGGTTTGTTTCTGCAAATGCAATAGTGACCCTTACCTTTGGGTTTACAGCACTTCTGTCAGCAATGTCAATGACCTCTACTTTAACTTGGTCCCAGGTACCCTTGTCCAGTCCATGTACCTGCAGCACAGAAAGAAAATTCAAGCAGCCGGATGAGTTACCTCTTAAGATTACTTATGAAATTCATAACTCGTCCTTTGTCAGCAACAAAGTCACATTATAGATGAAAATTTTACTAGAACAGCAAAATTATGACACAGCTGTATTCATTACTGGCTTCTGATTGGTCAATACTCCACAGCAACAGTCTGTTATTCCATGACAGCACATTGTTGCCATGGATACAGCCCTAAACACAGACCTCTGCAAACAAACTGACTCATCAAAATCAATCAGCTAAAGGAGTCTTGCCAGTTTGACTTGTGTAAAACACCTCCATACATCAAGTAAGGAAACTTGGAGTATGCAGTGGACTTACATTTTCTGTATCCCCCATATCAGGCTTGTGCCATGTCTCGATCTTAATCTCAAAATTCTCTTTCATGTATTCATTCTGTGAACAAAAGAGAGGTCAGTCAACACAGATGCAAAACATAGAAAATGACAGGTGGTTAAGATACAAAAGCAGACTGAATGATGCACAGAATAAACAAGTTCATGAGTTCCTCTTTTGGCCAGTGAACAGAAATAATGAGCATTATAAATGTTTCAAAGAAGAAGTATGTGGTGGATTCAAAGAATGTAAAAGAGGTAATTATTACCGTGAGGACTGCATCAGAAGAGGAGGTCAACATGGATGGTCAGATCAGGGATGAGCAAGAAAAGAGAGACAAATAACAAACACCAGTTATATAATGTGAATCAAAGAGGATACATTTCCGGCTCTGTTGCAGCTCCTGCAGCGCCCTGTACTGGATTAGCAGGGTACAGAGGTCTAAAGGTGACGTGTGTGTGCTGTGTTGTTGTACTCACTGGTCCGACAGTAAGGATATGCATTCCAGGCTTTCTCGTGAACACGAAGAGATCCTTCAGGAGCGACCTTACTCAGGATGGATGGAACTTTACTGAAGAGAAACAAAAGAAAAACTCCTCATTAGACACAAGATTTGTGTTGTTTCCTCAAACTGTCTCTGCACAAGTAATCAGATTTACACCTCAATGATTCCTGGATGTCTTGACCAGGTGTTGAAGCAGAGCTCGGCAGCTTACCTCTTCAGATGGTAGATCTTGTGTGTGTACTGTCCTTTCTCTCCATCTTCCTCGTAGGGCCTGTTCTCTATCACCTCCACACCTTCTCCTCCACCTGTCTCGTTTTTACTGGCCTCTGCTACAGCATACAGCTGACCCACTTGGTACTGAAGGCAGAAAAGGAGAATACAGTTGTGATTTTAGAGTTGACCCTCTCAACAGACAGTAACTCCTCCATATTTGATATGCTGTCAATTAGGATTAGAAAAATCTGTAGACATTACCCAACAGCAGCCACACTGACAAAGCTGCCTTTATTGTCTGCAGACATTATTTACATAACTTTGCCTTATGAGGACAGACTTTGGCCAGCACTGGTTATTTCAGTTGCCATCAATTGGTCCAACAGCACCAGTATACACTAGAAATAGATGGGTTACTCGGATGGCTGATTAATCCAATTTTTACCAGTCGCCATCTTGTTAGCATCATCCCTCAAAAGCCACAAGTATGTTTTCTAAGATCATTAAAAATCTATTTAAGTTACTAGCTAAGATGACAAGAAATATTTGGTTTTAATGTGCATGAAACGATTTCTCCTAAAACTCAAATCTCTCTAATCTTTGTAATTTGATCTCCTCCTTAATAATTTAAGAAGGCTGAACAAACATTCCAAAATTCATTTGTGGTGATATTAGGTTCAGCAGCTTTTTTCCCGTTTGTTAATATTTGAAACTGCTGTAAATTAAAGCAAAAAACAACTTTGTGATATTGGTACTAAATATCGATGATTGGTCTAACTTTTCTCTGATTATCAGTATCAGCCTTTGAAAAACTGTTATTGGATCACTTTAATATACAGCTCATAACAAGGCTAAAAACATAAAACCAGCTATTTGCAATGCTTGTAAAGAAACATTGATGAACGGGGCAGCCCAATGCTACCACTTTAACTGTTCAATTTTAAAAACAGTCACACTGGAGCTCCCTGAGTTTCAGGACAATAAGAAAAAAGTGTCTGCACCAGTGAAAACTTGTCAGCAATCACCTCAGGGCAGAGAAGCTGAGAGAGATAATCTAATAATTCATTGCTCTTGACTCGGCCTCTCAGCGTGGTAGGAAATGAATGATCTTTGACTCGTACTGGCACTGGCATAAGAGGATGAGCTTGTTGACACATGACCTGGAGTGTGGCACTTGAGGTCACGCTACGGTCATTGGTGGTCATTTTCCACTCAAGGTGGGAACCTTCTTTGTCTTGCAGTTGAAGTTTTTGATCGCTAAAGCACCACGATGCTGCTGGACTTACTTTGAAGGAGCTTTATGTGAATATAAATGGACTGAGGGTTCAACTTGTATATGTGATTTAGGTTTGATTCATCACCCATGGACATTTGCAGCTTTTCAAACAGGTCACTCATATCTTTTTTCATGTCTGTGTTGACAGTAAAGGACAGTTGATAATGTCAGAGGCAGAGAAGCAGAAGTGGGAAGTGACGTGCAGCAAAGGGCTGAGGGAGTGAGTCAAACCTGTTCAGAGGACCACATGCAAGATTCATTTAATGAGCTGAACCAGTGCCCCCTGCTGGTTGTTATACAGAATGCAATCTTCATAATTCAAACTTAAAGGTCTGGCCACCAAAGAACTTAAGCACTGGAGGGAAAACAGACCTATCATTGTGCCAACTAATGCTGAACAGATTATAAAACCATATAAACAACCCAAGAGGGACTGAACAGTATTTAAAGACAAGTCCAAAACCCCTGAAGAGTCACTCTGCATGACCTCAGTTAACCATTACCACATGACCGCAAGTTAACCCTTTTCCTTTACGCACACTCCAGACACAGCAGAATCCAGCGCCTAGATACAAAAAAACAGCAGACTAAGCCTTTTGTACACGTTTTCTCTTCCTCTTCTTCCGACCCCTGAAGTTCAAACCCGCCCTGAGCCAGGCAAAAGTGTTGTGACACTGGAAAGAGTGACTCACGACGACTGGTGCCCCAGCCAGCCAGCCAGCCTGGGCCGGGCAGGGACAACACACTCCCTCTAAACACACAAATACACACACAGAGGAAACATTGTAGTTACCCAAATGATGGGCCACGTAATGTTGGATCAGGGCATGCAGTTAAAATATCAATGTGGATGGAGTAACTGAGGGTTATTTTGTTATGATTAAAAAAGCTGTAATGGATCCAACTTAAACGAATGTGAACAAGGTTTTAACTACAGCTACCTAGCCGAAGCTTTTATTTTGAAAAACTATTGTTAAACCAAGAGTAACATCTTGTTCCTCTTACTCAGAAGATCTTTTGTACCCACAGACATCAGACTCTATAATTCTTCTATAAATAGTGGATGACTTTTTGAGACATGACAAATGAGACTATAGACAATTGAATTTCCCTTTGCTGCTTAAATAAGGTTATTTTTATTCTATGTACCTCAGAAGTCGGAGCTGGAACTGAACCGAGTTGGCCATGTTACAGTTCTGAATTGAAACAAGGACAGATAGTAGCTTCTGTTGTAGTAAGCGTTGTAAGCTGTACTGGTGACAGGAAGTTAGCAAAAGCAACATGACAACATCCAGGCCATCGTCACACATCTTTGAATGAGAAAAACTCCATTACATGAGTTTATCAAATGTAATTCAACCTTCAGCCACAGAAAAAGTCACTCTAAAAGAATCTCCAGTTTCTTTATAATCACAAACTCAGTAAGGAATTTTTAGTTGTTGGTAAGTGCAAACAGGCTGGGAACTGTCGGCAGAGTGAGTGTTCACAGACACTGATACTCAGCTGATATATCAGCACATCTCTAATGATCTGATTTGACACTTCTGCTTCGATCTGTGGGAGAAAATCTGAGAGCCGGGCCCTCTCCTACAGCTCTGCTGCAGGCCACTAACCTACTTAGGTAGTTGGGGATGCTCTGCCGTACCACTATGAGCAGGAGCTCAGGAATGTGACTCTTCGTGTACAACCAGAGTGTTTTCTTTGTGAGGAATACACTCTGATGTGATGCGTGCCTTTTACAAGCCCGATCCAGGGTGGGAACATGACGTTCAGATCTAAATTAGCAACAGGTTGAACCTGATTGAAGATGGTCATCAACAATGGACCAAACATGTTGAGACGAAGAACTCCAACCGTCAAGTCTGTCAGAAATTGCTGAGTCACATCACGCTGTCAAATGGGACAGTCAAGGAATGGAGTGTAAGTGAAGGGCTTCTTCTTCTTCTTGTTGTTGTTGTCTTCACTTCAACATAAGTGAACTGAGTCTAAATCTTATGGTGCATTTCAGACACATGTTGGCAACTACCAGACTGACTCCAACACTCCTAGAGTCCACAGCATAGCCTCTCCACAAGTGTTGCTGTTGGAATTGTTAAATGAAAAAATAACAAAAATTGGAGCATAATAAAATCGACATAAACAAAACCCGGATCCCCTCCTGAAGATCTCTCTGGAGCCCTGACAGCTAACACTCTGTCCATTTCAGTTTGAGCGTATTTGACAAAAAGGTTGTCCAGTAATTAGGTTCCATGTGTTAAAAGATATTTACAAATCGCTCCAGAACCTGGATATATTGTTTCGTATCAATGGTTACATCCATCATGTGTAAATTAGACATGCCATGGGCACCTTTGCATCCCTATACTGTCGGGAATGCTGGCTTTCATGTACTAATAACAACCCAAGTGGTCCCTTTAGTCTTTAGAGAGGAGAATGAGTTTTCCACTTCACCTCAGTCCATTTCAAATGGGCTCAAGCAAGTCATCAGTTAGGCTGTCACTTTTAACAAAGATTCGAACCTTAAATTCATTCAAGCTCTGGAAAAAAGTTCATATTCAAACTGTTATGAGCCATTTGAACTCATAATAATGCAGTTGAGCAGCACACCATGCCGCCTGAAGTAGCTTTCTGTATGATCCAGCAGAGAGCGCTCTCACAATCCATGCACCTCAATCTTAACCTTAGTACTTAAGGTATGTTATTCTACAAAAATGGAGGACATGGTCAAGCAAAGGCGCACTGAGCAGATGATCAAGGATTTATGGATCTACACTGTAGATGGAAAAATAAAAGACAGAGACAGTGTTGTACATAGCAACTGTCTTACTCGTCAACAACCACAAATTTTGGGTGCTCACCTGATGGCTTGCCACCAAAGTAAAGCGGGACAGGAGGCATGTTTAACCCCATACAACTGTCTAATTTTACAACAGGCTCCTTGACAGAGGCTCAAAAATGACCAACAGCAATAATTGAGCAGCTTTAACCCGCAACTGTGTTCACAGACAATGATTTTTGGGAGGGTTGCTGTGATTTCCACTGCAGAGTCTTATCTGTTTAATGAAATGTAACACCAGCAAGTATCAGTTACCAGTCTTGCACCTTTTGTACAGATTTCTACAGATTGTCTAAATCTTTTAATAATGTTATGTACTGCAGATGATGAAATCCTAAAACTCCTCATCCTCCTCCTCGCCCCCCTCTGCACGTTTTACCCAGCCCCCACCACCTCTCACCTAAACCAGTATCTCAAATCCATTGCTGGGATGTGCAAGTGTGAACAGCAATTTTCTAAAATATCAAAACCTAAACATCCCCAAATACCTATAAAACATGCAGAAATCTCCTCACAGAGGTGAGTGATGCTGATGTAAATCCTAAACCATTGCTTGCAGATGGGTTAAAGGATCTGATTTTAGATAGCACACTCTCTCTTTACGTCTCCACAAAGACGCATTCAGCAGTTCTAGAAAGCTACTTAAATATCATTAATAAATAATCAGCAGGTCACAAATATTTCAAAAATCATCAAAAAATCACTAACTCGGTGTCCAAATGTAGTAAATTCCCACTTGCACGTGTGGAGTGTTTTCACCAAGTACAAACTGCACTCTGATTTAATCCTGCTTGAGCTCAGAGCTGTGACACTCAACTTACACAAGAATCCAGATTCACACTGAAAGGGATAAGAGGAAAATCCGGTCACACAGCAAACGCTTATTACGTAGTTTAGTGAAACACAGGCCTTTTAAGTTGAGTAAGGCATTGGAAACGACAAAGAGTACAGTGTTGCAAGAAGAATTCGGATTAATGACCCAACAGGGTGAGAAAATGGAAGCTCAGAATGAAGGAGAGTAAACCCTGATGGTTTTGCATGAAGTAAAAATCTGAAAAAGGTGGGAAACTTGAACTTCAAGCACAAATTCATTCAGCAATATTTCCTTACAGTGTTACAGTATTATATGTATCAATTCACAGCAGTGCAACCTAAAACAGTGGGGACTTTGAGTTTACTTGTTTCTTCTTTCAAAACCAAATAGTGATATTTTGGTTTTAAAGATACTACAGTGATATTTCAACAGATGTCTTACTTAACTTACACAACACCTCAACAGTTTTATAACAATTTCTCAGTTATCAGAAAATCCCTGAGTTCTTACATCTGAGATCTGCTGAGATGCCAAAAACAGATTTGCAAGATGACGATATGATGCGATACAATGCAATATGAAGTGATGCGATGCGATTCCATATGATGCGATGTAATACAATTCAATATGAAAGGATTCGTTGTTATGTTGTTGCCAACATGTCTGTTTTTTATGAATAATCCGAGTAAATGTGAATATAAATGGCACCACAAATTATCGTCCCAAACCAATTCAAAGAAACAGTTGAGTCCTTACCTCCTCCACTGAAATAGGCAGGACAATCCGGCTAGAAAGAGAAGAAGAAAATACATGAGATTCACACTCAAAGCAGATACACAATACAAAATAAAGCAATAAGAGAACAGAGGAAGTGCATGTCAGTGTGCTAACACGGGACAGAACCTTGACCTTCTCCTGGTATGATCCAGGACTTCTGTATGAACTTAAGTGTCCCAAATACCTGGAGTTTTAATTAACTGTTAAAAATCAAAGTGGGTTTCTGCTTAATTATATCACATTTTTAAAAAATTCTACGATCTTTTTCAGTTCATCAAAAAGAAAACTAAATACCACTGCAGCACAGCTGGATAAATGCAGATCTCAGATTATTCTGCAGATTTATGGAGCCATGGGCCTGTCCATATTTTGCCCTGTCATTGGATACTATAATAAAGAGTCACTTCAAGTTATTTGTGCACAGTATTGCATTTTTTGCAGAAGTTTTCAAACTCTCTTTGGCCATTATTGATTCACCGTCTATTTTCCCTCATCTGTTTGCAATACTTCAATATAGCATGTGAAACTCTCAACAGGTACACATAATTTATGTGTAACTTTTTAGCCTGACAATTACATCAGCACAAGTTTTCATATCAGAATCTTTTTTGGCTAATGTCTGCAAACAATTCTATCATGCTGATGATATCTTGCACCCCTGCTGATTTTTAATGAACTGACAAAGTTGGGGACTTACAGAAGTCAAAGTTATTCTTTCAAAATGTTTTCAAAATGAAAGCAGCAGCAGTAAGCTCATACCAGCTTTAATAAGTAAAAAAGAAACCCCATCATCTCATCACAAGTACATGATTAATTCACAATCTGTGCTGCATAAAAATCTGTGTAAAAACAGTTAAATCTAATCGAGTGTCAGCTTATCATGGGAACATAAATAAGAGGAAGAGGAAATTATAAAACCATCATGAGACGACAAATAACCCTGGAGCCTGATGTGGAAATGCTGCGTGTGTATCCTTTTTGAGTATCCTTCTCTGGTGTGCCTTGTCACAATAGCCAATTAATCACCACCTGTTGCTAGTCTAGCAGGGCCTGAATATTTCATAAGAACAGATCAGAGTGACAGAGGAGCCCGCCTGGCATGAACTTGATGGATTGTTTGGTGAAAAATATGCATACACTCACACATAGGTGGAAACATTGCATAGCTTTCAGGTTCTGGCCCTATTGTAGAGCTAAAATATGCCAGTTTCTCTAAATTTGCAAGCAGGATTTCTGCATTCTCAAGTTGATCCTCTTAGCATGCTTATTAAACATGGCTGACCCTTTTAGTGCACTTTGCACCATGATCAGATGACAGCCAGCTACTGAATGTTGTTCAAGCAATGATGTGCATATGACATGAGAGTCATAAAAGCGCCTGGCTTGGGAGTAATAAGATTGTACAGGTGAAAGGGCTCATTCATTCACTTCTTTCAATCAAGTCCTGTAGGGGAAACGTACAGTTTTTTCCTTTAAAACTCTTACAAACCAAACCCCATTCAAAAAAGTTCTAATTTTAGGTTGCTTACATCATACATTCGCACTCGCGCCCTTGGAAGTACAAATCCATATACTTTCAAAGCAATTGAAAGTAAAGCTCTTATTCAGCTCCCATAAATGTTTCATATAACGAATATAATCTTGAGTTTTTCTAACTTTAAGTGGTGTGTCGCCGCACCCTCAACCTCCCTCCTCCAAGCAAATTACACGGTAGTGAGAGCAATTAGTTCATCCTAAACAACCGCACTAAAACCTTCACTGAAGTTTTACCGATGTTTTAATCATCTTAAAGCTTAACTTATCGATGCCGAAATAACTAAAAATGACATATAGTAGCTAAATAAACCTAGTATGTACAAATTTCAGCAAACAAGCGAGCAAACTTTTAACTTGATACAAGTGTGTATGAAGTTCAACCCGGCTGAGTGGTGAAACACACTAGCCTAGCAACGTTTGGATCTCTATAATAAACACCGGCAGAAGAAAGTTAATTTACTTACAACTCTTTGATCAGCATGTTGTCTGTCACTCCGACATAAAAGAGAACTTAAAAACCTCGGGAAAATCCTCTTTACAGCTGAGAGACTCCGCTCATTCACCGGCTCTGATCGCTTTTCAGTCCGGGGTTTCCTTCCTGGAAGATGCCGTGTGTGAGTGAAGGGGCGCGGCGTCCAGAGGAGGAGGAGACTCCCACCTTTAGTTTCAGGTAACTGGATGTGGCGTTCAAGTGCAGCTAGGAAACAAGTGTCTGTTCCAATTTCCTACATGATAAGATTATTGCTATTAAAAACTCAACTTAAACTTTAACAAATGTTTTTTATTTTATTTTGTGTTTATAAAAGGAAAAGCAGATTCATTTTCGTGTTATTTGATACATAACAAAGTTGATTTCATGAGAAGACTGAATAATTTCATGGCGAGTACAGTGTGCAACTTCACGTGTTGCATTATGGAAAAAAACTTAACTTGATCTCTTTTTACAAAGTGAGACGTGAAAAAATGAGACCATAGCAGTTAACTTTTGTTGACTTTGAAACTAATCATTACAGTGCATAGAACATCATTTTGATTATAAATAGTCTACAGAACACATCTCTTTCTTTCACCAGAGGGTGGAGTAGCCTGCTAAGCAGTGTGTGTGTGTGTGTGTGTGTGTGTGTGTGTGTGTGTGTGTGTGTGTGTGTGTGTGTGTGTGTGTGTCTGTGTGAAAGTGTGTGAACGCCTGACTGTGGTCAAACCAGTTCAGGGAGAAACTGTTGACTCTGGTTGAACCAGTTTATGAGATGATTCAGACGGTTTGGACTGAGATCAGCAGGGATTTTCCTCTTTTTTTTCTATTTCTATTTATTTATTATCAAAACGGTGCTAAGAAAACTGTGGCTGCCCATGTTCCCCATAAACTCCCTCCTAGTTCACTCTTATGTATAAATACTGCACATTCACTGATTTTGTTATTGAAAGACTGCCCCCTGCTGTTCTGATCAAGTATTGCCTTCAAAAATACAAAAATCTCAACTCAATTTATACATCCATCCATTTTCTACCGCTTATTTCCGTTAAGGGTCACGGGAGGAGGGCTGGAGCCTATCCCAGCATCTTTGGGCGAAGGCAGGGGACACCCTGGACAAGTTGCCAGTTCATTGCAGGGCTGACATAGAGAGACGAACAACCATCCACACTCACATCTATGGGCAATTTGAAAGTGGACAACTCACCTAACCCCACTTCTGCATGTTTTTGGGATGTGGGTAGAAACCAGAGTACCCAGAGTAAACCCATGCAGACACAGGGAGAACATGCAAACTCCACACAGAAATGCCCTGACGTGGATTCAAATCCAGGACCTTCTTGCTGTTAGGAGACAGTGCTAACCACTACACCACTGTGCCGCCCCAACTCAATTCAACCTTTGAAAAAATCGGGCATCACACCTTCACACTTGATGTAAGGGTTGAGAGTTAAGGCTTGAGGTTTGACAAAAATTTTCACGATGAGTGTTTGAAATAAAAGAAGCACACATATCTATACAAATTATCGTGTTTATTTTGCTTCATATTCTGATCTGCTTTTTTTTTTTCTTTCAGTTGAAACAACATGACTTTAAATTTCAATGACAATGGCTATACCGTGGTACAATACAAACAAAAACAAAACAAATGTACAGTATAAGAACATGAAATACACATTCATCGTAAACATCAGAGGAAATAAAGTATAATAAAAGACAAAGTCAAACTGAACTGGAGCACAATAGGTAGAAAAAATACAAAAAAAAAAAAGGTTCATGCCAAAAGAGGAAAACAAGGCGCCTGTGTGCCAGCTCCAAACCCCATCACCCGTCATCACACACAACCTTTCAACACAACCAATGCATCTATCAATAATCAAACTAGTGTAGATTTCCTGTCATAGGAGGTAAGAGTGACACAGGGAAGGTGATGATGTTTAAGGTAAAGCAGTGAAGGAAAGTGCTGATAAGTTTCTGTTGAAAGGAAAAGAGGGATTGACCTGGTAAATCATCCCCATATGACAAATCTGTGTTACATGTGCTTTTGATTTACAGAGGTTTGCAGCTTTGTCTGTAAATGAGCTGATTTCATTTTGAAGTTCAGGATGGGTTACCAGGAAAATGGAAAATCAATGTAAACTTTTCCCACATTTATAGTTTTCTGGAGCAAAGTGCTGCATCAGAGTGAATCTGCACCTGCATTATGAGCCCCAAGACACTCCGCCACACAGCCAGATTCACTCTGTAGAGCTCAGTTATTTGCATGAGTTTTGCAAGAATGTTCATGTGAATAAGGCTGCCTACAGCGAACACAAAAAGTTTACTTTTCTGCACAATATATGACTTTTGCATCCCTCAAGTGCAACACTTGTGTATGGAAAATATCCATTTAAACAGTTTCATAGTTTGATCACCTTATTAAAGTCTGGATACACCCTTGCAGGAACTATTTACACTGAAATCAATAGTACCCTCAGCCCATTGTTGTCTCTGTTTCTGTTTCAGTCCAATTACGGATATCTCCTCTTGTTTCACCAGTTTGCACTTTTGGATTACAAAATTTTCAAAAAATTGGATCAAAAAATGCAAAAGAAAGTGAAGAATTTCTGCAAAACATCTCTGCAGCTCATTAAAACCCCAAAGTTTTGGTCAGAGACCTCATTCAAAACTTGAATACATGTCCAAAACTTTACTTTTTATATAGAAATAATACTGTGTTTGGAAATCAGCACAGCTGTCTGATAAATGTGCATTGAGGAACGTTTGTTTTAATATGCGATCCCCTTTGTTTTCTTTGTGATACCTGCATCACAATACACCTTTTTGCACTTGAAATGAGCACCTTCACATTCATCTTCTCATTAAACACGTTCAAATAAGTGAGGACTGCAGCGTTTTCTTTGCTCCAGGATACTTGTAAAATAAACTCTTGTGATGCACCACCGATGGCTAAAGTTGGGATGATGTCCTGGCTTACAAGCTGAGAGACAAACCTCTGCCTTGTCCTCTGTGCACAAAAAGGCGAAAATATAAAACAAACAAATGATGGAATAGATTTTCTTAGTCTGTGAATATAAAAAATAACAGCATCTTTCTGTTTCCATGGGTTAAAAATCTACATTGAAGCTCTAAAGTTTACATTCTTTGCATCGTGCACCAAAGTTCGGTTACAGAGAGGGAAGGCCGTTCAGAAAAAACGTAGCTGAGGTCCATTTCCACAGGGGCTAAAGTGCAACATGTGCCATTCATCCTCACTGAAGTCATTCGCTAGGAGCAGAGGCTTGTCTCTCAGCTGTCAGGAAACATATCAGGATGATTTTGCAGATGGTTGGAGGGATGAAAGTGATGGAATAGTGGATAGATAGAGAGAAAAGAGGGGTGGGGTGCTCTCCGCCCGTCATCTGTTCACATAAAGAGGCACTCTGAGGGTCATGGCTGTCTTTGGAAGTGCCTCTGTGAGCTACTGTCAGGAGGAGGAGCTTCTTTGTTTGGCGTTTGAATCTGCTGCTGTTGTTAACATCTCCCTGTATTAAAACCTTCACACTGAGCTTCTGTTTGGGACTTTTATTTTGAAATCAAAGAATCTATATCATCTTAGAAGCTGAAGGTCGGGACCTCTATTAGCCTGCGACCTTTAATTAATCTCCCTTTATGTCTGTTAAATAGAGACTACTGTTAGAGGTGAATTCAAGTTTCCCAGAGCTGCTATTATAGATTCACTTAAGGGTGCAGAAAAAGCACAAAACTGGTGTGAAATAAACCGAAAAGAGTCGGTAAATCAGTGTGTTGATTGGTTCTTTGGAACTGCAGTGAAAGAAACAGCTCTCATGTTTGATGTCACTGCAAAGACTTGCTAAGAGTCTCATCTCTCTTCCAAATGTCTCATTTTAAAGGAGATATTGGTCTGGTAGATGTTTATACCCATTATAAGCAGACAAAGGCCTTACCATAGGCCTGTTTCATCTTGTTGTAAGGTTCAATATAAGAACTAGTAAATGGACTTGTCTCCTGAATGTGTCTCAAACTGAGTATGGTGAGATATTTTGGCAAGAAATGAAGCAAATACATTTTCTAGGATTCAAGCTTTTGCAGTGTCGATGATTGTACATTAAAGTTCCCATGAAACTGCAAAAAGAATAAGAAGGAAGTTTAAAAAGTGGTTCATTACTTAAAAAAATAATTAAAAGTACCATTAAAACATCTACACAACAACTCATTTCTTTAGAGCTGGGTCAGATATTGGCATATGGGTGCCAATCAGTGCAAGTTGAAAGCACTGGCTGTATATAACATGGACAACATCACTTTATATCCTCCAAGATAGGCATTTCACCGACCAGTATAAGTCTTAAAACCCTCAAGTGGGTACAGTTCAGTGACTCTCATGTTGGTGTGTTGGCAGGCTTTAGGAGTCTTACTGCAACTGGTCAGCAGAGGGAGCTCTAAATCTTCTGGCTTCACAGTAAGTGAACACTTTTGGTATCCATGTTAATATCCAGTCAGCGCTCGAAATGGATGCTTAAACTGCTTTTGCATTTCGTGGGAACTTTAAGAAACATGCAGAAAGATAAAAACAAACAAAAATGGTTCTGTTGTACATCTAGCACCTTTTTGATTTAGAATACAGCCCAAAAAAATGCACGTTTTCCTGTCTGTGTGTGATTGTGTGTCAACATGTTTCCCAGCGCCTCACAGAAGCACTTATTGCTGCAACGAATCCAAATCCATGTGTTTGGCAGGTGAGTCCACCTGCACGCTACAGACTCCCATTTCTATAAAAAACCAAACTATTTCTACTATCTTCAACCCGTCTACCTACGCTAAACACTTTTCCACATACCTGTAATCATATTGCAAGTTAATATATTCAAATAAAACAACAAAAGGTTACATATTTTTAACACAATAAGGAATTTATAAGCAAAATGAAGAACAAGGCAGGTCGAGGGTGTGTTTTCCTGCACCGGTGACTGAGTGAAACAGTAAAAAGGACCAGCACTGTCTCAGGCATCATGCAGTATTTAAACCCCACAGCGTAGTTTTTCTTGTACTGCATTATGTAATACACACACACACACACTCACGTAGAGCCGCTGCAGTTTTCTGAAGCAACTCGTCTGAATGTGTGTTGGTTAAAAACTGTTGTCTACTCGAGGCTGCTACCAATACTGCTAAATGTCAGTCAAATCTTTTTCATTTAATGCCCTAGAGAATGAGAGGAAGCAGAGATAACATGTCTGACGCTGCTACTCCTGTGTCTGTGTATGTGTGTGTGTGTGAATCAGAGAAATCAAAAACAAGCTAGTGCTGCCTGAAATGTCACTTCAGACAAATCTGGACCGACCAGATTGTGGAGGTTTCATGAAAACTGATGCTCACGGTGGATGGGGTGACTTTTAAAGCAAAATACTGTCTCTGAGATTTTCTTTTTTTATACATTTGTCGACCCCAGTTCAGCCAGAGCAAAAACAGATAAAAACAAACAAGAGACGGTGTAGAGGAGTCAGTCAGGGAGGTATAAAAAGTCCATCATCGGTTCTGTCTCCCATGGGTCCATGTTCCTCTTCAGGTGAGAGATCTATGTGTGTGCGTGTGTGTGTTTTTCTCACAGTGTATCTGAGAGGGTGAAAGTGTGTGTCACAGTGGTGTGCAGTCTGATCAGACCACGTATGATCGGCAGTGAAATGACCTGTGAGTGAAAGTGTGATTATGAGGAACTCAAGAGGTGAGTGAGTTGTCTGGTTGTCTGGTTGCAGCATCAGAGAGGAAAAGGTGAAGGACTCGATCACACCTGACCTCCACCATTTCTTCTTCTTCTCTGTCCATCTCTTGTCAGCATAGCTGGTCTTCTTCAGTTTTAACAAAGTGATTTGTTTTCTCCCCTTCAGGTTCAGACGTAGTTCTCGGGTTTGCTGTCGTTGTTCATCTTCACGTAGATCTTTGGATCCTCATCCCGCTCGTCTCTGAGGCGCTGGAGGTGGCGACTGTGGCACAGCAGGTAGATAGGCAGGCAGAATCCCAGCATGCTCAGCGCCAAGAGGCCGACGTTCACCTGAGAGCAACACAAGGATGAAATAAACATAAGTAAAAGTTTATATCTTGTATCACTCACACCTCCAAAGAGAATTCTGGTAATCATAACCACTGTTTTTGTTTATTTTGGTGTTTTCGTGAGTAAAAATGTACAAAAATAAAACAAAATTTAACAACAGAACATGTCTTTAATTGTTCTGTGTTAATGTTTGTTTTTCTCACCCATAGAGGGTCTTTGTCCAGGGGGCCCACCATGGCCATGAAGAGAGACTGTTGAAGCAGCGCAAACAGAGCACTGATAAGAGACTGCATTCCTGTCAGGCTGCCAAACTGAGACGACGGGTACCTGCAGGGACAAAAAACATGTCTAATTATAAATCAAAAACATGTCATAAGAAATTGTAGGACAATTTTATTAGGTGATTTCTTCCTCCATGTTATCATGAATTAATTACTCAAGTAAACAACCTTCTGCCTAAAAACAACAAGTTTGGGACGAGTAAGTGCAAATATCTTGATTATCTTCCTGTCTATTAATGTGCAAGTGTTGATGTTAAAATAAATTTTAAACATGGCACTAGCTTCCATCTTAAAAATGAAGTATATCCGCAGACTGCTGGTGGTTGGAGGTGCCATAATGCACAAGAGATTTTTGCATGTAGGTATTTGGGTGTATATACATGCAAATCTTTTTTTAAGTATCTCTTTTCAAATTTGTACAGCTGCCAGCTCTTGTAAAAGAGGAGCAGGACTTCTTGGTCCTCATTTAGATTACAGTAATGCACTTTATACTGGTGTCAGTCAGAGCTCTCTCCATTGACTTCAGCAGGTACAAACACTGGAAAATGTTGAGTCACCATTTAATTTTTCACTGGCATCAAGAAATACCAACTCATCACTTATTGTGCTGGTCAGCGTTTGTCAGCCAGCTGTTGACTGTTGCATTGATTAGAGGATTTTATCACAGCTTTAAATGGACTTAATCCAAAACATGTAGATCTAAAGGCCTGGGCGTTTTCTCAGGTCGGTGGTTGCATGAATGTCCCGTGAATGTAACCTAAAATAATCTGGATTAAAGTTATCTTGATTTTCCCTTGTGGACTTCTTTTTGTTTTGTTTTGTTCACTCACACATGTTTCAGTGGACCTCAGAGATTTCAGAATGCTTCATTATTTCCATGTTAAAGTCACAGCTTACAGTACTGTTCTTGTTTTGAAGCACTTACACAGCAGCGTAAAGTCCTCCGACTGCAGAGTGGATAAAACCTCTGACGATGGTGTGCAGGACAAAAGACAGAATCTGCAGAACAGAAACCAAAACCAAACATTACATTTACATGAAAAAAAAACACAATAACAGCCAGCCTGTTGAAGAACAGATCAGATTGAGTGAAAAATAACACACAGTCCCTCTTGTGTCCAGTAGATGTCCCTGCAGCACTCTGAAACACGATCAGCTGCATTGGCATGTGAGCCTCTTGTTTGAACATGATGTACATTGCTCAGTCTCATTTTCTCCCACTGCAGTGTGAACTCAGGCCTCGGCAGCACATGTGGGGAAATGTGCGTCCCCTCAAATATCAAAGCAGATCCCTGTCTCGTGTGAGTGTGTGTGCTCACATGTGTGTGTGTGTGTGTGTGTGTGTGTAACTACCTGAAGGGGCAGATTCGGGATGATACATGTGATCCCAAACCCAACAAGGAGCAGGTTTGTGAAGATGAAGGCTCTGGTGGCGTTGACGATCTTCTGGATCCGTTTCTCAGGGCGGCGAGGCTGACCAGGCTCCCTAGGATTAGAAAGGAAATCAAATAAATGATGGTCAGCCTTTTTGTGTCTTTATCTCATCTAGTTTGGTTTTTCCTTCAGTGTATGTTAGTGTTTCATTTATATACCTCAAGTTTGTTGAAGCATTAAACTCCTTAAAAACTCTTTGAAATATTCAGGTTTAGCTTCATGTTTGAATGCAAAAAGCAGATTTTTGTGCTCTGACTCTACCCTCACATTTTTCATCTATTAATGCGCTGATAGATTGATTTGTTGGTAAAAGCATCAGACCTTTTCAAAATAAAAGCCCTATAACTTCACCCAAAAAAGTCTTTCGTGTTGCAGCTCTTGGTTTTATTTTGGTTTTTTTAACAGTAAGCAAAAACTCTTGTGGGAAATGTTTCTTCAGAGCTGAGTAGTTTAATAATGTTGTGAAAAATGTGTCAAAGCTGTTGAGTGTTCATCCTCACCTCTTGGCTATCTTGTCGTTCTCATCCTCGCAGTCTTTCAACTTCCAGTCCATGACGTAGCCGATGACGGGAGAGGTGACCAGACACAGGAGCTGGAGCACGCCGAAGATGGAGGTGTAGACGCTCACTAAGAGACAGCACAGATGAAGAATTATTATGTTTGTCTGTGCAACCATCTGGAAATACCCACTTGTTTTTATATTTATATTATAACTACTGAATTCATTTTTTATTATCTTTAACTGACTGCTTGTATTTGACTGCATATGTGTTTTGAAAGCGATAACATTGCACTATCTCTAAATAACCAGGTCAAGAAGTTGAGGTCAACCAAAAACAATCAGAAATTACTTGATATTACATGAAAATAAAGTGAATAATACGTAAGGTTAAATGTTCGCCGAGGGCTTCAGTGTAAATGTGTGTTTTTTTCCTCTCTTTTTATCACTCAAGCATGTTGAGTTAAGAGTTAAGACACACAGAGAAACAAGCAAACAGAAATCTGAAGAGAAAGACTGAAAGTGTAGGTGGTTAGATCTTTGTAAGTTGAGCTTTAAGCCTCTTACCCACTTCCATCCTCTCCACTGTGAGAGCATCACAAGGCCAGCACAAGACAAAAAGAGAAAAAGCAGGAGAGACACACAGAAAGTGAAACACAGCAGACCACATGGCAGGTTAGTGAGCAGAAAGATGCTGAGAGATAGGAGTAGTTTAGAGGAAACCCAGCACAATTTAGGGTGATGTCAAACTATGTATGAGGAGGGATTGACACACACCTATGTTGAGGTCTCCGTCAGTCAAAGACTCCAGGATGGTGTTCATGGCTCCCATGTAGAAGATGAGACGCAGCTGGGTCACACACATGGTGATGAGGCTGAGCAGGAAGATGGGGCTGAAGATACTCTTCATGAAGGACTGAGCTGCAGAGGAAATTAAAACGGCCGCATCAGATCAGATCAGTCTGCTAATACACCTTGTCAAATAAAAGACACTGGGTGTGTACATGTTAGTCACATTTTAGAGGAGAAACAGATAAAATGGATTAAACCTTTTGAGCAAAAATAATCTCTGTGAATTAATATGCTAATTCATCTCTCACACTGACAATCATGTGGTCTGAATGATCTTTTGGAGTCTGCAGGTAGAGCTTTTCTGCTGCAGTGAACTATTAGATACTAACTGTTGCACATTTGCTGCTCCCTAAGATTTCTCCTCCTAATTCACCACTCTCTTTTCACATGATGGAAAACTACGCCAGTGTGCTTCACAGCGCGAGTTAAGTTTAACGCTCACTCAGGGAGAAAACGCTGTCATCTAAATATCCCCCTCTGCTCTTTGCTGCCACGGCAACGAGCCTATTCCTCCACGCTAAACTGAGCAGCCGGACGGCTGAAGGAGAAGATGGGCTCTTTTAAAGGTTGATTATTAATCAAAGTTGTTAATACAAATGGAAATTGGACACAACTGCCCATATGGTGAAGCACTGGACAAACCTATTAAGTGCCGGTGCACAAATGGAGCAGATGGGTTTATTATCTGAAACAACAGGTATCCATCTGAGGCGTCATTAAAGGAATTGTCGGGTAACAGGTCGTGTTTGCTTGCAAGGCATCTTAATGATTCATGATTCCTGGCGCTAATACACACGTTACAGTGTAATTTATCATATAATACAGTATATTTTATAATATAAAGAGGCATTAAAGATCCATCTAAAACTGTAGCTCATGCAAAGGTACTCAGAACAGTTCCTGATATAGTGCCTGTGGAGGGGAGCGGAGCAGAGAGACACACACCCAGCATTAGAAGCATGAGTTCGACAGAACAAAACTCCTTCACCTTCCCATTTGAGGGGTCAAGCAGAGACATCAAACTTCCTGTCCTGCATCTCCACACAATAATGAGGTCAGTCTAGTGCGCCCCTTCACCTCTGCCCTACATCTACACTAATATAATCCAGGTTACCCCCACAGTTCAGGATCTTTCTCAGCAGGGGAAGGTTTGGGTTAATCACGCGGTGATATATTTAGACCTCATTACTGTGAGGAAAAAAAAACAGTGATATTTCTCTAACCCTAACCCAATTTCAGAGCTTTGTTTTCGTTCGGACCACCGCTCTCTTTACTTGAAGCTCCTGGGAGGAACTTTTGATTTGGGTCACCTGTGGACAACGCAGTTTCTAACTCTGTGTCCTGTTTATTTTTAAGTAGAGTCTTTTGACAAAATGATTCATATCCTGCTGACTTTTGACACTCAAATGCATCATTTAATATCTATGTATTATGCCGACACTGTGAACAGGTCTGTTTCTTCAGCTGCTCAGCTGACACCTACCCCCTTCCACCAGTTTCAGGTATTAAAAATGAAAGTATAAAAACTGTCAGTCTTTTGCAAACGGCCGTGTTTGCGTTCAGATATCATGACAAGGCATCAATATAAATTTCAGCCTATTTCATAGCCATCGTACACATGGGATCTGGAGTCATCACAGCTTCTGTTGAATTGGGAAGATGTGAGAGAGTGTAACATGTTAGCGTGAGTGAGAGGATAAGATCCTGACTGATGGATAAGCTCCAGCTGTTATTTAACCAACCATGGGAGTCCTCACTACACTCACAGTAACAGACACACAATCGAAACAATGTCCACCCCTCATCCCACAACAATGCTTTTAGGGTTCCCTGCCAGCACATCACACACCCGCTGAGCTGCTTTCTAAGAACTGGATCTGAACCAATTCCACGGTCTGTTTGGTACCAAAGAGGCTGAGAGGAGAGGTACCAAACCCTCCTACTGGGAGATCCTGACCCCAGTGTAGCAGAGTCAGAAGGGACAGAGGAGGCCTGGAGGTGTGGGGTTAACCAGGGTTATATGTGTGAGGATGTAGGGCAGAGGTAAAAGGGCGTTTAAGGGGGTACCAGACGAGCCTAATTACTGTGTGAAAAAGTGGGTCAGGTGGTTTGATGCTATCAGATCTGAGAGACGACGCCTGATTAAATCAGAGCATTTTACTGTCACCGTGACCTCGCTAAAGACAACATTTCCAAACCTTCAAACGACATCTTTTATTCAAACTCACTCTCTTCCTTGGCCTGGCACTTCACCTCCAAGTCAACGGTGGACAGGCACAGCTTATTGGCTTCCTGTGTCGCCAGGTCTTTTGGCTGCTGGTGCTCACGCTTTATGGAGTTACCCACACTCAGGCGGCGTCCCACGGTGGTCACCTGCCGATAAAACTGTTTCCCAGTGATCTTGTGGTCAAAGCCCAGCCAGCTGAACTTGATCTTGACTCTGAGGGAAGGATGGGAAGAGAGGAAAAGATGAAAATACAGAGCAAAGAGTGAGGAAAGGTGGAGTGGTCAAGCTGGTCTGAAGCTACCAGATTAGTTTAAAACTTTAAAAATATGGAAAATATGACTCTGGATAAGAAAGAAAGATTTCTGAATCCAGATCATACTCCTCATGAAAAAGCTCTTTGAACAACTGGACCTGGGTGGTTCAGAGCAAAGCAGGCTGAATTAGGAGCTTTATGGGCTTTCCTGTCTTGAGGGCTCACTCAGCCTCTTCTGCATTATTGGGATTTACTGTGCAGGAGTGCCTGAGCATGAACATGTGAGTGTGCGGTAATAAGCAGTGATCTCTGTGGAGAATGCAGATTGTCAAGGCACAGCTCAGTCTGAGGCCACCTTCAGCCAGTATATCCTGAGGTTAGCTAATAGCGTTATCATAGCTTCTCGAGAACGATAGCTGGAGGCTACAGAAATGTTTATCCTCTTTGTGTGTGTGTGTGTGTGTGTGTGTGTGTGTCTGTGTGTGTTTGTGCGGGGGAGAGTATATAACTTACGTAAAGTCCATGTCCTCCGGGCCAGGGAAAGGCTCCAGAGGCCAGTTGACGAAGCAGTTGAGGAAGACAAGGCAGGCGCAGGCGGCCCAAACCAGCAGGATTATGGTGAAAGTGGCACCCAGATCATAGATCACCTAGAGGCAGACAGATGGCACCAACAAAGTTTCATTTTAATGGAGAATCAATATCCCATTCCTTTGTAGCAGCGGTTTTTATTCTCAGTTTACTTCCTTTTTGAAAGGTGAAAAATTGAGTGATTAACTAGAGTCATATATCACGTGTTACCTTGATGCCAGGGAAAGTGACAGCAGAAGAGGCGTAGGAGCCAATCATCAGTGCAATGAACGTGGACCTCAGGTCTCCAAACATGCTGGGGAGCTGTGGAGGGAGCAGACACATTAGACCAGTGCTGTCTACCTATTCACAGCCCAGCAGGTCAAGATTCAACCCAGTCATCTGGATCTTGACCTACTTATTACATCTGATGAAATTTATATCACAGAGAAACATTATCAGCTGAGGCCAGCAGGAGGAAAATAAATCAACACGCAGAGGCCTTACTCCGCAGCACTAAAAACAAGGATGATAAGAAAGAGGCTGAACAGATAAGTTCGATCGATCTGAAAAGTAAAAAAAATTTTTCCCTCTGTTTACTTTTTTCCTGACTTAGTCTTGAATGACTGCAAAAACCTTTAAGGCAAATATTTACATAGATATTCAGGTTTTTGTGTCAATTTCAGTCTGCTTGTTGACCCTGTTACTCGTTTTATCAATTAAAATGCTTCACAAAGTTTAAACATTACAAACATGCTGAACTGCCTCGTGTGAACTTGCACTTGTGAGAACTTTGACCGTCTTTCAGGAAAAGTCACTTATGTGTCACTACAAATGTTTGCACTTATTTTAAAGGGATAATTTGTGTTTGCAGCAGATTAACACATGAAAGTCAAGCTCCTGTTAGTCAAAAGGATTAATCACTATTTTATAAACAAAGCTTCAACTTTTTCTGCTATCACTTTGATCACAGGAACTTCTCATAAAAACATTGTAAAATGCACCAAAAGGACGAGTGTGTCAGTCCTCTGCGCTACGTTAACTACTAACTACTAGCTTGTCAACACAGGGTTAGAGGCTTGTTCTGTCTGCAGCAGTATTTTCCACATTGTTTTGGACCAGTATTTGAAGCAGCCCAGAGAGAAAAAGCCAGTCTTGCATAATAACCTGCAGGACGAGAGCACTTGTTTTTCTTCGCTTGCTAGCTTCAAACCGTAAACAGTCTTCTTATGAAGTCAGAGACAAAGAGCACAACAACAACAACAGAAATAGCCTCAGTGTGAGCAACATGTGGCGCACAGATTCATGCATCTGCTGGCGGGATGTCTATCTACAGCCATGTGGGAAATATTAAGTTTAAACATGGAGGAGGGGTGATGCAACGGTTTAATCAAGGTGTGTTTTAATCTGGGTCATCTCTGCCCTCAGAGTACCCCTCTGCTTTCTCCCATTGTCCTCATTTGTCCGTCAGTTTGGCCGCTGTGCTCACAACAGGGGTGCAGCTTGTTAGGCAGACGCTTGAACCCCTTCACCCCACTAAGACGTCACTCCTCAGATTAATTGGACTAAAGGTGAACAACAAAAATGGCCACAAATAACGAGGGGCTCCTTTTCCTGTTTTCTGTAGCAGAAGAATCAGGTTATGACCGACTGCCTGACAGCAGCAGGGGTGAGACGGCTGACCTTTGGCCCAGTTGGTGTAGAGGAGAGGAGACGTAAATGACCAGCTCAGCTTGTGTCGAGCTCAGCAGACTTGATGCGATCATGATGAATCGAGGTTTTGATTGGGATGCAGAGTCATCAGGTTTAGATTTCCCTCCCTGTTCCTCTATCATTTCCTCTGACTCTGACTTGTGGTCACCACGGGTCGTTTTTTCATGTCCAGTCTTGTGCAGGAGCTCTTTTACTACTGATGACGTGTGAGGAACTATCTTGGCTCTCTCTCTCCCTCCTTGGGTATCAGGGTTTTATTAATATGTGCTTTGGTTGCAGATGAGGAAGGCTATGAAAAGGCAGTCTTAGTTTTACCCACACAGCTTTGAACTTTAATAACGTTGTTGGAGAAAATGTCTCAAAACCAATTCAGCATGAAATGAATATCAGCAAAAGCTGTTTTTAAAGGTTTCTTACCCTCAACACTTTATTTAGGGACAGGAAAATCATCAGTTCTTTCACAGTACAACTGAAGAAACTGATTTTTCTGTGTATTTGGGTTTAAAGTCGACACCTTTCACTAACTTTTCTTTAAAACTGTGGATCTCTAGATCTCTAGTACCTGTTCAACCCACATTTCTCTGCAGCAGCGAGCACGCCGCATTGACAAATCTGCTAAAAGAGAACTGATAGATGATCAAAGTTCAAAGTTGATGTTATGTCACAGCTCCATGTCCTAAAATATTCAGCACAGGTTAAGTATATACCCCCCGACAGAAGGTTGTTTATAGGACCGAGGGAACAGCAAGGCCCCTGCCTGGTGTGAGATTTAAACCAGTAACCTTTACGCTATAGGGCGACAGTGCTCACCATTGCACCGCCATGACTGACTAAAATCTAGTTGGATAATGAGACTGTGTTACGTGGCTAATATCAGTTGTAAAACTTACTTTTTCCTTCTATTTTAATATGTTTCTGTTCCCAAATTCATAGCTCCACAGTCATGATCTGAAGGCTTGAATTTCCCATCAGTACAGAATCATAACAAAAAGGCCACTGGAGTATGTCTGAGTCAGTTCATAACCTCACTGTCGTTCACCTCCTCCATGTCTCTCCTGTAAGTACACCCTGGATTGTTTATCCACTCTGGGAAACAGGTTTATTTGGAAGCAGCGCTAACGCTACTGGCAACATTTTCTACAGGCACATGGCTAAAAAGGCAAAAAACAACAAAATCACGTGAGCTAATGGGATTGTGCTAGAAAGAAAACCTCAGACAGCCTGGGTGTGTGTGTGTGTGTGTGTGTGTGTGTGTGTGTGTGTGTGTGTGTGTGTGTGTGTGTGTGTGTGTGTGTGTGTGTGTGTGTGTGTGTGTGTGTGTGTGTGTGTGTGTGCGCAGCAGCAAGTCGAAACAAGAATAAAAACCAAGTCTAGTCCTCCTTGTGATGCTGAGCAATTACGTCACAGTGGAAGCTTTTCTGGGTTAATAGGTCTGAGTCACAGTCAGCTGTTGAGCCCACTGTTCCCAAAAACATGCTCTAAACCGGTTTGGTCTGCTAATAATGACAACAGAAACAGGGATTCATGGGCACAGCAGCAGAGCAGCAGCAGCAGCCTAAGTTTAGTGTGCTGCAGCAGGGAGGAGCCGGTGACAGGTTTGATGAGAAGCAGATAACGGCTTTGTTTTCATAGCTGGAGTCAATAACAGATCAGTTAAGCAGACAGGTGAGGTTGTGACTGTTCAACTGCAGAAGACAAAGAATGTGTTGAACTGTAGCTTCAGGCGCAAACAGACACTCAACAAGCAACCGTGCAGCAACTGTACACAGTGAGAAGAGACATGACATGATGAACGATGACACGACAGCTGATTGTGGGGGGGTCTTTTGGAAACCTGGTTATAGGTATTTAAAGATCAGTTTTTTTTGCCCCCCCTGTGGACAAAGAAGTGCATTGTTGCTTCTTCAGCATGACTTAAGTTGTCCGATCTGGCACCTCACCTGTAGCTGTAAATATAATATAATATATAATATAATAAATGCTTTGATAGAAAATCTTGTCACTGATCATTTTGTTTTCCTGGTGAAGAATCAGTGTCTACATCAGTCTGCTTCATATTCAGGTCAAAACTCCTCAGACTGGCTTAAACAGTTCAAACTGAGGTCTGGGTTTGTTTTGTTGGTTTTCTGACTGTTGAAGGAATGTGCTGCCTTGTGTTTCTCTGTCAAAGTTACCGTATGTGATATTTTGAAGTACTGCTTGTTCCAGAAATTTCCCCTCGTTCCCTCACCTACCCCCTTTCTACCTCATTGAACACATACTCTCCTAATCTCCTCCGTTTGTGTCCTGATCTCACCTGCATTATAAGCTGGTACATTACTTCTATGTATCCCTCAGGAAAGGGGCTCAGAAAAGGACTGAGAGCAGCCCTTTGTGTGGACACCTCTTTAAAATAATAATGCCCACCATCCACTTTGTTGTTGCTCCTTCTCTGAATAGCTCTTTTATTAGTACAGTGGTCACAGGGTATCCATGCAGACCAGTCAAGAATACACACACAGATGGGCTCAGTGTTTGGACAGCCACTAAAGGTCTATTTAAGAGTCAGAGCAGTCACCTGGAGATAAGAGATCAGGGTTCGGTGGCTGGGTTCGGTGAAGAGCAGGTGCAGGCTGGGAACTGTCAGTAAGTGGATGAGCATTTCAGGGTTTTGTTTGAACTGTATCCAAGTGACTCAGTGTTTCGTACAAGCACTGCAGTTTGCTGTGACTCAGCATGGCTGGAAGTGAACTTTTTAAACCTCACCTGAACCACCAAATAAACAAACATCAGCTTATAAAAGTCTCTTAAGTTCGGGCCGTATTGGATTGAAGTTTCACTTATTGGGAAAAACTTCTCTTGCTTAATCCATAGACATTTATAAAAAGCTCTCGAACCTTTGCCTAATGAACAACATAAATACCTTTAAATGTCACTGAAGAAGGTGGCTCAATGCTAAACGGTTGTCTTGTGGTGAATAGGCTGTGCAAACTTCAAAAGGCTTTTTGTTGCTCTAGTTTGTAACAATGTGTGTCAGTACAAACTTTTTGATTACATGATATGAGTCAGAGTATAATTTTAGCTTAGGATAGTTAGCCGACGTAGATATTTGTCAAAGTTATCAGTTATCAAATAGATTGTTCTGTCTGGAAATGTTATCTTACTAAAGTCAGGATTCCTGATGCTGTTTTTTAATCCTGGTCAAACTATCATACAGGAATTCGAGCTGTCCACTCTTAACTCTGTGTGAATCTATGTGGGCTCTTCTCATAACTATCTTTTGAGATATGAACCTGCAGAACCTGTTTGTGTATGATTTGATCTGTTTCGGTGAGAGTGCTGAATGTTATCAGACAAAGCCAGCGTATTCAGTGAGCGCTATACACCAGGGGACACAATAATACAGATACAGCAAGTATTGTGTTTCTATTTCAGCACAAATTCAGGTAAGACTAATACCTTTATACCAAACTACTGAAAAGTGATGCCAATGCAGAAGTGCAAGAAAATAAAAAATAAACTGCAATTCCCTCAGTGACCACTTGAGTCTGTGCTTGACAGTGAGACCTGCCTCATTAGCTCCATGTTAAAGAAAAGCATACCAAGCAGAACTGATATACTTGCAGCCTGGCAAAAAGCAAAGGCTATCTCTTCAGTAACCTCTGAGCCTGCATCCATAATTTTTACAGCACATGGTCTCGCTAGGTAGAATGAGTCTGGTTGTAACCCTTTACCATGTCATATACAAATTTGGGAGGTATGCAGTGGACTTTTACATTTCCTTAAATAATTATAAGTAAAAATCCAAATGTAGTAAGTCTTAGTCCTTAATGATTCCCACTGGGATGCTTTGTGTTATAATTTTCCCACCGTATTCACATTTTTAAAACTGTTGCTCACAAGATCTGTTGACTCCAAATGCTGCAGTTAATATCACTTATTGCCAAATCTGACAAATGGTTCCCCCTACACTTTGAGGTTGCATTATCACATCCTAATGCCTCACCAACCAGTTTGGACGGCTGCTGAGTCAAACTTTTTTTGTCCGTCATGTGATTTTGAGCGTCAATCTGAAGACCAGCGAGTGCTGAGTCTTGCGAATGGAAATGGAAACGGCAGAAAGTAAAGTGACGAAGTGGTCTGGGAGGGGAGACGAGAACATGCTGAGCCACGGGGCAAAAGAGGAAGCTGAACAGAGCCTTTGAGCGGACAGAACAGAGAAATGAAAGAAGGAAGAGAGATTGCTGCAGCAAGTGGAAACTCCAGCTGCCTGCTGCTGCTGCTGCCGCTGGACCGCTGAGAACCAGCTCCGACCGGTCCTGTCCTGAAACACAGGATAGGGCTCAATCCGTCATAAAGAGCAGCCAAGTGGGCCGTAAGATTAGCAAACACCAGCAGACAAACGCCTGGCTGAGTGCAAACTTCAATCAACCTGACGTCAACATTTACGCCCCCAAACCAGGACTTCAGTTTGATACATCTAAGAGTGAAACCTCCAAATTTAAGAGTGAACGTTTCCACAAGAAATAAATTCCTGGATGAGTGGGTCCACTGAAAACCCCGAAACCTATTCATCTACCTCCTGGAAAGAGAAACTCCCATCCTCAAACAAATCCACATCCATTTGGGTCTGATATCTGCCACCGCAGCTCTGTCTGCCTCATCCAGAGCTCAGATTACTCAGTGACTCCTGACCTTTGGTATTCATTCATCTTATTCCATCTTCCCTTCACTTCATGTGGTCACACAAGCAAACACTGTACTTCCTCCATCTCATCCTGACAATCTCCCGCCGTGTAAAAATAGTGCATAGACTGATCCGCCTTTTGGCTCTCATCCCTGTACCCAGCAGAATGATGTAGTGTGTGCGGCACCTCATAAATTTCCCTCCCGACAGGAAACCGCTCTGTTTCCTCCAGCCCCACCTAGATGTTTCAGTCATTAATGGGGGAAAATATGCAAAATATTTAGATTTCTCAACAAAAAAGCACATTTACAGCAGGGTTGTTAAATGCAGGGCTTATGTAGGCTTGTAAAAGTGTTCCCATATGGTCTCTACATCATGCCCAAAATGACCCAAATTTGAATCCAGGTGGGCTGCATGTGCTAATAAAAATAGGATTTGTTTTTTTTTATTTTTTTGCAGCTGGCTCTCTGGTCACACAGCCTCTTTTCTTGAGTGTACCTCAATATTTCCAATGAGGCTCTTTTACAGAAGTTGCTCTCAGCATTAAGTCTCCCTTGTTGCACGTAGGAAGGAGTGGGGATGAGTCTCAGGAGGCAAAACAGGACATAAAAGAAGGCTGGGAAAGCCACAGAAAGCCTTTTTTGTATTTAGATCAATTCTGCTGAAAGCGATCCTCATTCAAACTTTGATGCTTTTATTCAACCTGTCAGCTGTCAGTCTGTTAAGTCCACACCAGTTGGATGATATCAAATACATATCAAGTACTAAAACATGATGTTGCTCCTAGAAGGGTCTACGTTATTTGCCTCAGTTGTCTGTTTTCTGTAGTTGTGTCTGTAATGAAGAAACACCCTCATACATTTTGCAGAAACAGTATCAGTTACGTAAGAGGAGTCCCCCTCCTTTACCTCCCTAATTAAAACCAGAATTCAGTATTTTGTGGGACTGTGTCCAACACAGAAAATCTCCCACTGTGGGGGGTGTGTGTGAACATCATCAACAAGTATCTTAAAAATGTCAGGAGTTCATGAGTGAACGGGGCTTTAGAGACCAAACAATATTAAGAAATATGCAGGAAAACACTGCTTACAAACAATTAAGAAGATAGAGGAGATACCCCCCAACATGAAGCTGTTTACAAGCAGAAAAATGGAAGGAATGAAGAGCAGGGAAAGCACGAATAAGCACCCCAGCCTCCTCCTCTTCTCCTCAGCTTCACTCCCTTTTTTCCATCACCAGGACAGGGAGTGCTGAGCATGCATTCACGAGGGGGAAGGCAAGTCAAGCAGTGAAATGATAAAGAGCAGAAAGAGGAGGAAAGGGCGAAACACTCCACTTTGTGCTCATTAAAGGGCAAAAAAACAGTGGAGAGAACAAAAAGAAATTCACTGTAATAAAGAGACGATGAAAACCAAACACTATGGAAAAGACCACATCCGTCTATGACAGGGTGGGGATCACTCTGACCTGCTGAGTTTCAAACCCGTGATGCCCCGACATGCTGCGTCAGAGCTTTTTACTAAAGGTTACAGGTGTCTGAAAATAGCTGCTTCCCCCTGTAACAACCTTTCACCCTGAGAAGCAGGAAAGGGCAAAGTCAGGGAAGAGCTGAAGACCCTGACGTCTGGTTCTAAAACCCTGATGGAGACCTGTAGCAGTCTATGACTTTGTTTACTAAGCACTCCATTCAAACATGGAGTTAATGTTGACTGAAACTTTAAGATAAAGAAATTCAACATGTCATCTGATAGAGAAAAGACCAAATAGAGAAACATGAATATGTCATAGTCCTGATAACAGCTTGGTTACAATAGTTACAGCCTCTCTTTCTTCTCGAGCTCATCCTGTCCCTTGGCTTTTCAGGCACACACTTCTGCTCCTCTCCCTGCTCTCCTCTCTCCACCTGTGGCTGCCTGATAGTTTATACTATTAGTCTGAGCTGCTTATAATGAAGTCAAAATGAGAGCCATTTGAGGGGAGGGGCCAAACCTGTGATCTGCTGTTCAGGAAGGACGCACTTTATTTGATGTAATGGTGGAAACACAGCAGGCCGCTAAATATCATCAAATCTCGATTGTCATACTTTTATTTTCCTAAGGGGTCAAATCCGTACTCATAATTGAAATCACAAAGCTCTATCCTATTGTATCTACTTCTGATGTGTGCAAATTTACCTAAAAACTTGAATTTTTGTCTCCTAAACTGAAGAGAAAGTCATTTCTGTAGCTGGTTGTGAATTGCCTCATGTCACTCCTCCTTGGCTGGAGTGTATACAGGCGTTTAAACTTGCTGTAGAAAAAGTCAGTCTCCTTAAAATGAACTCATTTGTTATTCTAGATCATAAAAAGACATCCTTTTGAATTTAAGCTTGTTTTACTACCAGCTAAAAACTCCTCAGGGAGTTTCAAATGTTTTATGTCTCTTATCAGCTTTCAACTGTTAAAAAAAACACTTAAAACCAACATTGGCAATAGAAAATATTACCCATTTTTCAATTGAATTATAGTCTATTTTATACATCCAAAAGCCTTTCGAGGAAAATGTGACCTGCTGATACTCGCAATGAGGCTCTAAAAGAAACATTTGCCAAAACCTTTGAGGATCTGTACCTTCACCTGCTGAGGGTTGGAAACCCCACACAGCTAAAACAACACACACACAGCCACACACATGCACACCCAGCTGACTACAGTGAGTTACAGTACTCCAGCGCACACTCGTTTTGACAGTTGTGCGCAGGTCCAGCCTTGCAAGGAGGAGAGAGCAGCTGAAACCAGACACGACAAAAACAACCCCAGCTCAGACTGAAGACTGGGAGGCTGAAAGATGGGGGAGGGAAGACGGAGAGGGGAGTCAGGGGTAAAACCAGCTGAGCAACTTCTGTGTTTTTGTTTTTGTGTCAGTAAGGGTCCCTGTGGGCAGCCTGAATAGGGAGCAGAGGAGGCGAGGGTGGAGACCCACACACACTCAGTTCCTCTGTCGCTGTTTCCTGTTTGTCTCCCAGCGACAGACTGTCTCAGCTCTTTTTGTGATAAAGAAATTCAGTGTTCGGGCTGAAGGCGACACTGTTGCAAAGTATTATCTACCAGAAAAAACATGATAACTTCTACGTTACATAAGCTCAGAGCAGACATGTATTCATGCTTTAATCTACTCTGTTTCCCACAATAAAGAGTTCATCTCAGCTGTTTTTCTGAAGAGCTGCCAACATCTTAAGGAAAAACGATACTTAATCATAACAATGCAAAAACTCGTGCTCTTATCCAGAGATAATGGGATAAAAAAGTCATGATCTTGAGAGACCCCCTGGAAATGACTGGTTTGGTAAATAAAAGGGGATAAATAAAGCCTACGGATGGCTTATAATGCCGTTTGGTGACATTTGCACTGTCTGAGTTGTGTCCATATTTCTGAGAATGGACACCACTCTACTGTCCTGCTACTAGAACAATCACACTTCCACAGACAAGCACTGTAAAACACTCAGACGCTGTGAGGATGAAATAATCATAAGTCTTTTTTTGGCTCATATCCAGATCAGCAGCAGCAGCAGCAGCAGCGGTGCAGGAGTTTGTGAATAATAGATCACTAATGGAGTCACGTTCACTTTCAAAAAACCCTCTCTCCTGCGTCTCCTCTACTGTCTCTCACGTGTCCTCTCCTGTGATGCAGCACTTTCCCTGACTGATGAGATCATCTTGACCGCTCGCTCTTCCTTATCCACTTCATCCCTCACATCACTGCTGGTTTTACTCCCAGCGGTCTCTTGACAGCTGCTCGGCCGTCTGCATCTGCCGCCTTCATTCTTCATGTTCACTCTCTGTACGGTGTCTGATCTGCCTCTGTATCCACTGACTCTTTTGTTTTCTTCTCTCTGCTTCAGTGTCTGATGTTATCAGTTAATAAGACTAATACATCGACTGCCGTGAGTGCATTTTTTACACTTAGACTCAACAACACAGCTGCAACAAAGCTCCTCAGAGACCATCAATAAGGCCCTCCTCCCTCCTCCCCATAAATCCTCATAGTAACTAAATAAAACATAAGAATCAGACCTGCGTCTCACTCTCATGCACAACAACAGAGCACATTGCATCTTCGTCTCTGCTGATTGCATAATCTCTCTCCTTTCACTGCTTTGAATTCTGTTTATTTCTACACAACTTTCATGAACAAAGAAATATTTAAAAAAAAAACCTCTTACTTTGTATTTATTTTTCTTTTTTATGGCGTTTTCTTGTGTTACCATGACTTTTTCTCTTGTAACTTGTGCTACATAAATAAGACACCTAAATCTTTATGTGGTGTCCTGCAGGTTTTACTCACAGTCAAAGAAGTGAAGGTCATGCACATGCCTCCAAATCCGTTCAACGCCAGAGCAAAGAAGATCAGGATGGACAGATCTGTAAAAGGAGAAGCACAGACAAGCTGTAGTCAGTCTGCTGACTCAAAGGAGCTCCCACGCTTGCCGTGTGATTGATTAATGTGTCAATGCTGCATCAATACATCATCTCCATGTGTGCCTGTGTGCTGACCTACACAAGCACCATGACATAGAGGCTGCTGTGAAAGGAATGCATGATAAGAGTCACTTACTGTTGGGGTCACTGGCACCATAGGCGATGAGGAGGCAGGAGAAGGCAAAGCAGGCACTGGGTACACAGAGAAATCAGAACAATAAGAGATTATATGAAAGAAAAACAAACCAAACCTGTTGAACTTCATTAAATATGAAGTGGAAAGTTGAGTCTTACCTGCCCAGAAGACGCAGCTTCCGGGGACCATATTTGTCCATGACGATACCCAGAGGCAGAGTGATGGCAGAAAGCAGGAAGGATCCCACAGTGAAGGCCAGGTTTAGCATCTCATCCTGGTCTTTACAGATAGGCCAGTTATTCATCTCCATGTACTCTTCCTCCGGCTCTGACATGGATGCATTGGAGTTGTTGAGGCTGGTGTTGTTTCCTGCATGATTAGATTTTAAATGTCAGATATAAAAACGCTGCTTTAAACCGGTTCATGTCCCAACTGTAGCGCTCCAAAAGACTATCATCTTTAAAAATTCAACCCTTAGATATTGTGTAGAGCTCAAATATCCTCAAGGTACCAGCCTTTTACATAAGGGAGCTAGACTGTGATACTTTAGCCAGAGGTGTAGAGTAGTTATGTGAATCTACTATCATACGACACAAACAGCCTGCAGATATTTGCTCTCACGTGTTTTTCGTGTTATGTCAGTAAACATGACTACATTTATTATTTAAGGGGTTTGAACAGACTTCCCGAGAACTACTGTCATCAAGTTTCTGTACACAAATTCTTGATTTAGCAGGAGTGATATCTAGCAAAAACTTTTATCAAGTTACTTTTGGCTGAACCATCAGATTGGCTTACTTCACATCATTATGCTGATCGAGCCAGCTACCGGCTTTATTATAGAGGCAGCTATGGTGATAAAAGCAAAACCAGATCAAATTTATGATGCACGGTCCCTAAAGGTCAAGGTGTGATCTAAACTGGGTATTTCAAAGTAACACATCTCTAATGTTACTGCCCGCCCTCTCTCTCGTGCTGAGCTGCTGATTTCAAAGCCAGGAGACTCATTAAAGGTCAAGTAAATACACCGGAGGGAAAACAACAAAATACAAGGTAAACAGGCGCCAGAAATAGTCAGAACTGAACCCCTGCAAGCACGTTGGAGGAAAACTCTCTGTCACACTCTGCCCCACACACACGGGGCTGAATCACTCGTAAACACAGTCCACTGAGTTCATGTGGAGTCTATTTTGGTCTATCAGCTCTATTAGACCGTTGCCTCTGGTGAAACTCTGCTGGTATCAACACATGTAATGACAGCAGACACGAAAACTCCTTGCTCACCTTGACTTGTTTTTGTTCAGATTGTCAGATGCTATAGCGACAGACTCAGCGTTTCCAGGACATTTGATGTCTGGAGGAGGGTATGAAAGACTTAGTCATCAAGTGTTTTTCTTAATCATGATCCTGCGGGCAGGTTGTCAACAGCAGCTCAAGTCTCTGCTGCATCCAACAAACAAGAGAGCAGAAAATGTGCTCTCCAGGCCTGTTTTGTTCCTAAAGGAGGGCATGATGTTGATTTCTGCCTCTGTTGAGCCAGCTTAAGGTTAAAGGAGTGAGGGGAGGAGGGGTTTCTGCTGGTCCCTGGTCTCTAAAGAGGAACAACAGGAAGCTATTATGTCACATTAAATGCATTCTGGTGCAAAAAGTTGACGTGAGGGTATAAGTGGGTGAAAGGTAACAGGGCTTAATGAACATCGGATGCCTGCATTGTTGTTTTAACACTGGCACATAAATTCACTGAGAGTGCATAGTTCAATGCTGAAAAGCTTTTTAAAAACAAACAGCACCAGAAAAGACTGGACAGATGTAACATGAGGATGTATGCGAGCTGTAATGAATGGCTGGCTGGTGTTGAAAGCCATTTAACCCTCTTCACACGTACACTATAAATATTTCCAGAGAATTTCAGGACAGCCTGATGTCGAATTGTCCAAAGTTGCTGATTCATTTAAGATTTTTCTTTGGCCAGCCACACATTAGTCGAATCCAGGGCTGATATAGGGCTAAAACTGTGTGGATTATTTAAGTCTCAAACATGTCCCATTTTAGGTGTTTTTTAGGTTTAATCTATAAATTAACTTAGTGTTTCCTTACTGTCTGTGATCAGTGAGTGTTTGACCTTTTTGAATGATGTCAGGTTTGTCAGGATTTTACCCATCATGGATCTACAACAGCTGGACAGTGCAAATTTAGACAAATTAAAAACCACACCAAGTACAAAATCTGGTCCCGGATTTCGATCAATTGATTTAAGAGGTGGTATTTTGCTTTTTTATATATTTTAAAAACAAGTGTTAAGTTGAGATGTTTGACATCAGTATTATTATACATGAGCTACGTTTCAGATGGCAAGGTTAATGTGTGATGAAGTAATCCCCAGATGGGACGCCAGGGTGCTCTGATTGGCTCATTCAAAAGGTCACAGGAGAATTCAGTGAGATTAAAAAGAGATTTGCTCCAAATGTGACATCACCAGACAGTGAATCTCCTTACAAGGGCGAATCTGTCATTTTATAAGACTGAACACAACAATGTGCAACTTTGCACTTTGTGTGGCAACAGTGGAGGAGGCTTCCAGAACACTGGGGGAGGGGCTTAAATAAAGCGTCTCAGACAGAGGCTAAAATGAGTATTTTCAAAGACAGCTGCCTGAAATATCTTAAGAGTTTGTTGACCTGTAAATCATGTAAAGCTGCTAAGAAGCTGATAAGCATAATACCCGCTCTTTAACGACTTTTCACACCTTTCGAGCCCCTGCAGACACACTAAAGGATTTAAGTACACATGTGAAGAGACATTCTTGTGCATTCCTGTTGCTGGCTGATATCTGAAGCCTATAGGAGTGTTTAGTGCTGACTGAATCAGTTCCTAAACTGCATCATCTGATGACTAGTCAGAGGTCCTGAGTCACTAAAGGGTCATTTAGACACCCAACGAAACAGGCCAGAACACCTGAGGGTCAATAAGTTGTTTAGTGTAGTGTCTATACCTCAAGGGTGTTTCCTGGATGTCGACATCAGTTTGTTTTTGCTGTTTGCTGAATTTCTTTTGTAAAGCCACTCCTTCGTCTTCAGTGAGCGTCTTATGTATGTACAGCAGATGTCAAACAGACCCACCTCTTGTAGAGCCGTTTTGTTTAATGATTACAAGTACATACTAGGTTTCCCTGACTTCACTGTTGTAGCAGCAGGCAGCAACAAGTCACACAACTTAACTCATATTAAAACAACACTGACAAAGGAGTATTCATAAAGAATGATAACAAATACCTGGATCAGATTCTACAGTCTACAAATCTCATCCGTGAAAAAGTAGCTGTAAAAACAAACAGCTTGATGTGATTGGGGGGGAGTGTATGAGGAGGGAGCCATTAACAAGTAAAGTTCATTAAGTAAAGTTAACTCAGCAACAGTTGGATGCAAACTTGAAACACCAAAGTGGAAACTGTGTCTACATTTGACGCCCACAGTGTTTTCTTTTAGCAATAACACACATACAGCTCACACAGACCACAACCGTGTTTTCCTAACCTCTTAAGACACGTCAAAAAACTGTGTGAAAGAGCCACATTAGAATGAAGTCTCATAAGACAATAAGGACCACAAGAGCAGGTGATGAGTGTGATAAAGGAAAGGACATTTTTCTCTGTCTGCTGTGTGTAAAAAAACACCACCTACAATATGATAACCTCACACCACAGCTGTGAGAGAGCAGGCTGTACTTCACGGTTGAAATACATCTGAGTATCACAAACATGAGGAAGAACATAGACAAAACCACAGTGAGAAGGTTGTTTCAAACGGTTCATGAACACATGCGAACTCACCACACCACAAACACAAACAGGTGTCTCCAATGACAGGTACCATTACTTTTCATAATGTGTGCCCAGTTGCTTTATTCATATCTGTTTCCATGCTACAATATTGGAAGTTTAGCAACTACTTTTAGGACACTTCAAAGAAATTGAATCATGTTAATACATTTTTAGACTGAAATGGTTTGTTTTCTCTTCTTAGTTTATTTTTCAAAGAAAATAATATATTGAATTCAGTTTATTATCGCTGAAAACTTTAAAGAAAGTCAACTGTTTGTTGTTGCAGTTACACATCTAATACCTCGTACTCTGAACTAGAAAGGCTTAATGTGACTTTTTTGTCACTTGTCTCTGTCGCTATTTATGCAAATTTGTGCACATGCTCAGTTGCAACATTACCAAAAGGATTTAAGAAATCACTCCCTGTACGGTGTGTATGAATAAAGGAATGAGCTGTATGGACCAAAACCATTTTTTTAACCAGACTGACAGAATGTTAACAAAATGGGCATTTCAACATGGGACTTAATGGTGATTTCTTGACTTTTGAAGTTACCCTCGAGTTTTAACACGTCTGGATTGGTTAATTGTTTAACACTAGAGCTTGGCATTTGATTGTGATCAGTACTAAAAATATTTGTGTCTTCTTCTGGCTGGGTTCTTCTCGGGGACTATGATATATAGTATTCAAGTGTGTAACATTATAAGGTTAGTCGCCGCTGAATGAGACAAAGGAATCCCGAGAGCCTGCCTATGTGAATATTTCCCCTGTGGCACATTTGAAATTAATCATATTCTGAAGTCTACTTTTTTTTTATAAACTCACCTGTTCTTACATGCACTTTGTTTTAACCTATCACAACTTTAATTTTTGTTCTGGGTGAGGCAAACGGTGATCAAAGGTGTAAACTAAAACTCAGTCTTCAGCTTTTTACCCTCCAGAGTCCCATACAGGCATAGGTTTGTCCCAAAAACAACAACTTCTGAAACAGCTTTGTGACAGAAGGGTTATTTGAAGGCTCTACACCTGTCAAAGTTCTACACAATGTCAAAAAACCTTGAGTCAGACAGCTGCCGACATCGCCTCTGTACACAAGAGGCAGAACAATTCTGCATGTTTGCACATTTTTGCCTGAGGATAGACAAACATGCTGGCTTTACAGCGAGAAATCCTCAGACTTCACCTTGTCCTACCAGCCTGTGTTGCACCCACTTGACCTCACAAAACTTTGTATGTTGCACCTACTCGACCTGATTTCAGCCTGTAAGTAAACACCAGAGCTGCAGATTTAACGCTGTTAAACGGGTCTGAGAGTCGAGATAAGAAAGGGAGGACCTACAGTGATAAGCTTTTTGAGTTACATTGTGTTAGCACATCCATTGACAAAATTAGCTAAAATTAGCCAGAGTTGCCTCTATGGTAACACAGTAAATGACAGTACCCTCAGATAGAGTCATGTGATAGCGTGAGTGGATGTAGAGAGGGACAAATCCATTAAAAGGCTTTATATTCACAAATTAACCCTGCAAGGCTTTCATCAGTGTTTCTTTGTAGGAAACAAAGAGGGAAATAGGAAGACAGACTCAATCAGCTGATCAAAGAGATAAAGTCAGTGTGTGTGATCACTGCTGTGAAGAATGGGGACATGAATGGACTCATTCACACTTCAATCTGCTTACATGGAGATGCAGACAGCTAGAAAACATTACTGCTGATGTAAGTGAAGATTAACTGTCGCTGCAGTGAGTTGTTGTTGTGTTTAATTTGACCCACATTGCAATTGGGACAATGAGCGACTATAAAATCCTGCTTATTGGAAGGACTGAGCTCTCATCTGATTTGATTTTTCGGGCTCAATTTTGTTTCATAAAACACAAACTAATAAAGAGAGTCTGAGTGGAGCAGCGCCCTGCACTTCCTTTGATCAGAGGGAACTGAGGACAGAATAAATAACAATGAAATAACTTGATGTGGCTTTACTGTGCACTGAAGGAGCACCTTCTTTCTGCTTTAAAGGTTTTTCAAGGACAGCTACTGAATGGACTAGTTCTTTATGTGAAAATCCCCATGGTAAGATCAATCGGGATCCTGCTTGTTTCCTCACAGATGATCACTTTAGTAAAGTAAATGAAACCTCAATTGTTGTTATTCTACATTACATCTCTAAAGTTGCTGTGGTGGGTACCTTCAGATTGTTGAGTACATTACTCCAGTATCTTTGCACAATCCAAAACTTGGCATTTTTGTCCATAAACCAAGCGGACTCACCTAGTCCTTTGCACAGGTACGAGTAGAAGCCCTCAGACTTGAGCATGATGAGCAGGGATCCCCAGCCCAGTAGCACGGCAGAGAAAAGCAGGTTCTCAATAACGGCTGTCACCGCCATCCACCATCGGCGGGAGAAAGCTGTGGCCAAGGTGGGAGCCATATCTCAGCTGGTTCAGAGGTAGCACTTCACTGGTCTAACTTGGGGGTGGTTGGGTGGATGCTGCTGGAGCCTGCAAGGAAGGATAGCAGGAGGGACTGGTGAAGATGCTGGACTGAGTCATAAAACTGAAACTGCAGAAACATTATGCTGCTTACTCATAATATGTCATCACCGGACTTGTTTTTTTGTGATTTTAGCACATTTCTTTTTCATTTCTGACTTTTTTGGAGGATGAGCATTCATGCAATGCTGTGTGAGTTCACGATTAGGTGTTTTGGGAGACTCTCTGGACCTGTATTACATCCGTTTCTTTGTCTGAGCTGATGTTAACAACGACGAGGGACTCCTATAAACAGAAAACAGCTGAGCCCTTTGAGCTGCAAACCCCGCCTATAAATATTCAAAAGTCCCGCCCCTGCGTTCTCTGATTGGCTCGGAGGTTTAACACTTCCGATTCGATTGGCTGCTAGTGACATAGCTCTTGCAGCTGCTACACGTGAGGTTGATGTTGCGTTCAGGACTGGTGGGGGAAGACAATAGTGTGGTGTTAATAGTGAGGAAATGTTGTTTATGTTGAGATTTTATGGGAAATGTTGATCAAAAATTCTCTTAACCTGACTCAAGAATTCAACTCTTTCGTTTTTTTAAACGAGACTTACATCAAATTATGGATAAATGTGAGGATACTTGATTAAAACGATAAAGTTTCTGTTACTAAAGACAACAAAGACATTCTTGACTTGCTTGACTTTCCTTGTTTGTGTGGAAACATAAACAGAAAAGTTGGGGTATTTGAGTGGATCTGTGTCTAATGTGACGAGGATACTTTGGGAAAAACAAGGGTTTGTTGGCAGAAACTCGACTGTACGTAAATGTAACGCAGGCTCCAGCCGGTTCGAACCAGTGCGGCGCGAGACTCCGTATCATCTGTCAATGCTCGCGCGCGCCCATCACATACAGTAGCCTCATATATTTGTACAGAGGGACATTAGAAAGTTGGATAATGACGGTATTTACGGACAGAAATAGACACAAACCTGAAGGTTAATGATTGTTTAAAATAATTTATCACCTACATATTGAAAAACGCGTAGAACTTTTAAACTCTTGTGATTAAAATGAGAAAATAACGAGCTTTTGTTTTGTGAGATGTGAAAATGAGGAGTATGTATGTATGACATTACCTGACTTGACTACACAATAAAGACTTATGGCATCCGCAGGCGTTTATTTTCCCGTTACATCTTTCAATTACGAATACTTTTTTAAAAACAGTCATAAAATTACGGTTCTTTACTGTTCATTGTAGGATGTAGGGTACTGTTTTGTCAGAGGAAACTTAAAATGTCACTCTGAGCCCCCAACACTTAGGACATTAACATGGCTTTGAAAACAGGCAGGCAAACCAAACTTCCCGTTTGCTTGTTTGCAGTCACACATCCTGCTGAGAACAATAAGATAAAGTATATTGCAGTGAATGAAGAGCAGCGCTAAAACTGGTCTGAACTGGACTGGAAATCATCCGCACACTTCACCCCCCCCCCCCTCCCCTCCCCTCCACCTACTCCAATCTGCATCCCCAATCTCCTCCCAGCAGAGAGTCAAGCTCACTGCAACAAAACAGGAAGCTTTGGATGGTCTTTTCAAAGTAAGACTGATGAAGGTCGAATGTTTTTTTCAAGGAAATTTTAGCAACAATCTTTTAGCTTAAAACAAGACTACTTAAAAAAATTAAAAGAATAAAAAAATAAACAAATAATTAAATGAATATGGGATATAGATAATTGATAAAAAAATAGAAAGCCAAAAATGAAATCGCTAAGTACACAGAGTTTGGTCTCACCATCTAAATGCCCCACAGTCGACTTTGTAAGAACAGGAAAAATGCTACAAAATTGACCTGATTTCAAAACATTGTCAATTTTTTAAAATGATTTTTCAAAGACAGTCAGGAGATGAGAATAGATCACAGTTCACATTGACATTTTACATTGGGTATATATGTTCGTTATGAATAAAGAATTTCAATTCACTGTACAGATAAATAAGATATTCCTGATTTACAACGGGTAAAAATCAGAACAAGAATGGGACATTTCTAGTTCTTTAATTTTCATTTTAAGATTGTTGCTATTTTTTTCTCTTCATCCAAGGGTAACAAACAAATTCATTACAAATTTTTTTTTTTCAATTTTGCCATAAAACTATTCAAAGAAGAAGCTCTGTGTGATAAATGAATAACTTATATTGGAAAATCGAGTTTAACTTTCTTGAAATTAGTGAAAAATAAGATATCAGAAATCAATCATGGAATAGAAGTTAGAGAAAAGTCCCTGATGTGTACAGTTACATGTCCTTCTCTTATTAATCTTAAATACTTCTTCCTTTCTATTATCCTAGGCTTGAGATATTTTTCCACAGTTTATTCTTTGTTAACTTGTTTAATTCTTTAAAGTTGGAAAAACAAACAAACTCATCGGTTTTATTCTGAAGTCCACTTTCTACCCTTTTCCGGAAATATGCTTTTTTTCCCCAGTAACTTGAAGAAGAGGCGCTCAGCTGTTCAGTATCAACAACAGTGAGAGGAATTACCATCATCTCCTCTGAAACAAAGACAGTTCAGTGGAAACAACAAAGAAACCCTCCAGATACGAGGGGCTCAACTTGGACTTCACTGCTTCAAAAGTGTTTACATGACATTTGAAAGTATTTCACAAATTACAGCAGCTTTCAGCTTCAACTTTTCAGCTTCAGGGTGCGAAATAAGAAAACGGAAGAAGGTGGCTGTGTATGGATGACAGTTACAGAAAATGTCACTCACATCTTTTATAATCTACTCACATGTCTGTCTGTCTGTCTGTCTGTCTGTCTGTCTGTGTGTGTCAATAAAGGGAGTGAACACACTGATCGGAGGAGAGGAAATGACTGAGTGAATTAAAAGCACAGTCAGACTTGAAGTTGATGCTGCAGGCTGTTGCAGTTTCCTTTCTGCTGCTGGTGAACAAAGACTACACAGATAGGAAAAGGTGTAAAGTGTGTGACAGAGAAAAGCTGAAGAATAATGGCTGTGTCAGAGAAATGTGAAGGTTTATCCTGTGTAGTATCTGCCAGAATTAGTCCTATTTCCCTCCGCTGAAGTGCAGTGTATGGAGCATCCTTGGTGCGGACATCCTACCTGAGTCCTTGGTTTCAGGGCACGATCCTCTTCGTCTCAGTCAGATCCTCCTTAGCTTCTCCAAATGTCCCCCGACGGCAGACACACAAAGCAGCAGAGGAAATTCACACGCAATACGTGTCTTTGGTTTCTTTGTATCACTATTTCTCCTCTCATCATTCCTCATTGCTGGAGCTTTATAGCAGCGCAGCAGCTGTGCACAAAAACAATACTGCATCCTTATTGGCTGACGGCTGAGCTAGAGACCCGCAGGAACCAATCAGAGAGCGGCAGTCATATTACATGTGTGATGTTTCTCAATACTAAAATATTGTTTGGGAACAGTTTCCTGACGTTTGTTTGGACACAGTCTGAAAAAGTGTTGATTTCGTGACAGAGGACAGTTTTGTAAATAACAGCAGCATTAGTTTACTCAGTTTTATATCATAGGAGTGAATTATATGTCCATAAAAACACTGATATGTGACAAATAAATCCCTATAGATAGGGAAGTGTGAACTTTAAGGTAGCTGTAAAATCAACAGTGATTACACCCTTTAAGATTTACTCTGAAGATTTCATTTGATTTCACTTTTGCAAAAGCATATCCTCTTAAATGCACTTTATGAGACATTTAAATGCACCTGTACTACAAGTCTTTTAAAGGATAGAAAGACTGCCACTATGTTTCAAAACCTCTCCTGGAGCTTTGTCCTCATGCACAAACACAGTATAAACCACTACCAAGTGAACTGTTGCAGTCTGAGTAAATACGTCTAGAGCCACTGAATAAACTCTGCAGCCACGCCTGCACACATGGAGGAAATAAATCCTGCCATCAGCATGCAGGGCAAGTCCCTGTTTACCTCCAATTTTATGCCTGAAGTTCGGTTCCTAGAAATACAAGAGAGGAGGGTTCACACAGTCCAGAGGATGCAGCTGAAAACAAAACCCACTGCAAGGGGTTTCAGGGCTACACCTGGTGGCTGCTTCTGAATATGACAGTTAGTGCAGTTCACTGTACTCAGACTGTCCCTGATGAAAGAAGTGCTCTGATACTTCAGATAAAGTCACCTTTGAACCTGGGGGAAATGATTTTTATGGAGGCTTTAATCGAGCACGCATTTATGCATTTTATTTACTCCATCTCTTAGTGATAAGTCACAGAAGCAGTGCATAGAAATGGGCTGGAATATTTAGTGACACCGGTTTCTTACTGAAAATGTTACATTAATAACTTAATTTGTAAATCACTTCTAAAAAACAAGGGTTTAGAAAGTACTTTGACATACAAGTAAAAGCAGAGGGACCCCAAAACATCATCATAAACGAGCAGAAAACAACCCATCAGCAAATAAACTCAAAACAGTCAGAAAATTAGTAGAAGGAAACCCCCAGAAACTCAAAAGATGTTTGGTTCCTGATAGTTTGTCCATTCTGAGCTACTGTAGAAAACATTGGGGTGCGATAGGGCAGCTTCTAGAGTGAAGACCTGCTGCTTCTGTAATGTAAAAAAAAACTTTTTTCTGGGTCATCAGAAATAAAACCATTTTTAAAAAATTAAATTCAATATAGACAAACTTAAACACACTTCTGCGTGATATATTAAAATTATTTGGGGAAAATGCAGCTAAATACTACAAAATTAACAATTTAAGCCACTCTTTTTTTTCTTTCTTGCAAAAAAACATAATTACCCATATCCAGAAAACATCAACAAAACTTTAAGAGATGTACTCTATATCTCTTAAAGTTTTACACATCATCTATATCTCTTAAATCTCTACCATTGTCATTGAGTACGTAAGTGTTGCACACAAATTCCTGAAAAATAGTTTTGATGGTAAAATCCTGCAAAAATATATGATTGTTATATATTAAAGCAGCATCATGTCCTTAACAGGAAGAATGCACCTTTAAAAGTTAATAGGATCATCTATGGTGAATATTCACAGTAAGAGAAGTAAAACTGTGTTTTTTTCGGAGTGCTGTCAATCATCTGTCCTCACAATTGCCCCCTAGTGGTGGTCGCAGACACTGGAGGGATCGTAGTAGAAACTGCCAGTCTTGTTGCTGATGGATTCATAAAAACATCTACAATTCCTCACAGTAGTTGTAAGTAACCATACAGTGGTTATGGAGTACAGGACTGGAGTAGAAGTACCAAGTTACATTCCAGCACTGTTTATGGGTTAAATACTCAGGACCACCAGGTACAGGTTTAGGTTTGGGGGGGGGGGGGGAGACCAGCAGCCCTCTAAGCCAATTCTTCTTTTAGAGTCGGTGGATAATGACGTGTGGCACTCTTTCCACAAGTAAACAATCATTTATTTCACTTCTAAGGGAGATTTGTCGATCTTATGTCAGCTGAGAAAAGTAAATTTTTTTTTTCTTTCAGATCAAGGTTTGACTTCACCCAGCCAAGTAACTAACCTATTGCAAACAAACATAAGTAGTTTGGAGATGTTGTTTCAACATTTCACAACATTTTAAGTGTTTTCTCATCCCTCTCCCAACTTTTAAAGCACCTTTTTGCTGGCTTCAAATTTAAATGCCAGGTATAGCAACTTTTTTCTGAGTTGTGGTTGTCACTACTTGAGGACATTAACAGAGATGAAATGGAATAAAGACACAGAAGATTGTACCAGTTTGTATTTACTAAATTTATTTTTCAAATCTTTAGTATCTTATCTTTTAGTGTGTTGGCATAATTATACATTGGTGCGTTGCATACAGTAAGTCAGGACTGATAACAGGAGTGCATCTGTAAATCAGGAGATAAACTTAGGATTTAGTTTGAATAAAGTTTATACACAGAGAGGAAAGAGGTGTCGGAAATTTTAGAAATGGCCACAAAGATTGGATTCTCAAGAAGGTATTCTCTAATAATTACACACGGCTGATTTATTGCTATCTGACAAGGCACATGGACAGTTTGCTTTGACAAACAATACTAGAAGCTTTTCCTCCCACAACATTTCTCATCATCAAACCCATACTTGGCTTGAATCCTCATTATAACACAAACTGTACATACAGATCTCCCTCCTGAAAAAAACAACATAAACATTCAAAAGTGACAAAGTACTATATAAATCATACAACACAAAATCACGAGAAATCAACAAAGTCTTTGGCGAGTCAATTTTAAGTGCAGTAGCACAGTCCTGCCTCGGCATATTGCACCGATCTCGTGCAGAAAGAAGTTCATAAAATGATTGAGGAAAAAGAGAACAAACAATAATCTAGAGAACATTTTTTAGCTCCTTTTAAAAGTTTTTAACTTTTCAGGATGAGTCTTTGGTCAAAGCTAGAGAGACCTTTTTTATCGTAGAACTGGTCTGTTGGCAGCCTTTAGTCTGAGCCGTGTCGCTTACTTTGGAGGAATTCTGTAATTTTGCCAAAAATTCTTTACTTTATATGTTTCAGCTATTCAAAATATAACAAAATATATTGTGTTAAAGTTTGTCTAACCTCTGTTGTTCAGCTGTAAGCTTACAGTTAGCAAACATTTAAAAGACTGGTACTGATCTTCTCGTCTAAATCTTGCAGGAAAAGCTATAGTTTGCCATTTTACAAAGCCTCTCTCTGAAACGGTTACATTTTGAAAATGACCAACAGCGTTCAGTAGCTTTAATTTGAAATGCACGACACGCTAACTTGAATGTCTTTCCTAATATTCCACATTACTGTAATGTGATGATAAATCTTGCTAGTTTAATGTCATTGACGTCTAATCAATAATCTGTAAAAATATTCTAGTTTAGTAGCAAGCTAATTTGTTGGCATAAGTCACCCTGGCTCGCTGAGTCACTACTTGTTAGTTATTTAGTGCTTGACCACAAAGATTAAAGCAAACAAAACCATCAGGGACCAAACTGAACATGTTCATATTGTAATTTTCAATGTCTGAAACTGGTGCGAGGGGGGTAGGTGTTAGCAGAGCAGCTAAAACAGCCCTGTTTTGAAATTGAGATGTATGTACTCACAATGAACAACACATTTGACAGTCAAAAGACAGCAGGATGAGATTTTTTTTTTACATCAAAACTACTGGAGCAATTAAAGGACAAGATAAGCAAAGACTGCTTAGTTCATAGGGAGGCAGCAAAGTTAACACCAACCACAATTTTCCTTACAGGAGCTTTAAAAATTTATAAAGGATTTCTTTCCCATTTTTTACAGAAAAAGTAGTCAGTCCCAAGTCCATTTCAAGAAAAACTATCATAGTTATTAATCTTAATCAGACAAGTGAGAGAGCTGTGATTGCTAGGTAAGGCACTTTTTTAAGGTGGTAAAAATCCTGTTTTGTCATGCATCTTTAAGTCAATTTGTGGTATTTTTAGAGTGATGCTCTGCCCTGAGATGCAGATAATTATCTTTGTCATAAACACATGGTGAAATTTGGAGCATGAGCTTTGACTGTCTCTGACCAAAACGGAGTCCAAACTAGATTCAAAGTACAAAAAAAACACTCATAAGGCTTTTTCAATCTCAAAATTTGTGTTAGATGCACATTTGGTAGCTTTTGAAAACAAAGGGTCTATAAGTTGGTCAGGTGGAGCAATTAGACCAGTTCAGTGATAGCGGGCTGTCAAGATTCAGTTCTGTGAGAGGCGACAGGCAGGTGAGGGAGGAGAGGCGGAAGAAAGCAGGAAATGATGAAAACAGTGAAAATTCTCTGGTTACATGTGTCATCACAAACAAAAACATATTAAGTTGGAGGACAACGGCTTCCTATCTACACTCAACTCGACTCATTCTGGTGCAGAGCGTCATGGTTTTTCAGAAGTCTACAAACAACTCATCGCACTAATTATAAATAAATTAGTCAGTGAGGAAGGCACAAGCACCGGGGCTCATGTATCTGTAACTCGAAATCATCTTACTTACCACTTTTCTAAACCACTGCGCACATACTTTGTTCCTTTTTGCAGCATTTAAAATGCATTCTGGGTATTTTTAAGGAGTGGATCTCTATAAACAAGCTCCCTTTCTTATAAAGACACGGCAAAATCCGATTTGACTGTCAGCCCTGTCTTACAGAAGCATCACTGTTTGATTGAAAGGTTGTTATTCCTCATCGTCAAACCTCTCTACAGCCTTCCTACATACCATAAGCATTTGTTCTTTCATGGTTTGATTACAACCATCCAACCCCATTAGTTAGTGTCAGCAAGCATACGAGTCAAGCAGAGGAGGTAAACAGGAGGGAAAGAGGCAACAGGCAACAACTAACCCTGATTTTTCTGACAACAATCTCCTTCTAACTCTTATCCTGACTCTTCCCTCGTTGTTGTCTTGGTCATGTTCCCAAAAAAAGCACAATAAACACACAAGGTGCAAGAAAAACGCACCCACAACATTTGTTATTCCTTGGCCTCAAATATAAAATCAGAATATTCAAACAGCAACAGTATTAATCCCAAAAATATAATATATAAACATAAATATATCAATTAGTTTGCTTGATTTTTATTTGTTTTTTAATTGGAAGCACTTAGGCTTGGGCAGAGCGGGGTCTGCTGTCGTGTGATTGGAGGATAGGAGAGGTGGAGGAGGAGCTCAAAGGTCCAGGTGTTCAGGTGCGGTCAGAGCAGCCATCATCTGGAGTTCAGTCTGGGAGCCATCTGGAGAAAAAACATCATGTTAGAGGTTTAAACTAAGACTCTGGACCACAGAGAAGTTAATTCAGCCTTATGGTCAAAAAGTGAAGCCAGTGCAGGAGTTACTTTCCCCTGTTCTTTTAATGGCCAACAGGAGGCGACTCAAGAAGGTAAAATCAGATGAAATCAGAGAAAAGATGAGAGTAGTATTAAGATCAGATTTAGAGGAAAAAAAAGATTTTTTTTGATTTATTACAGGATGAAGTCGCTAATTTAGTTAACCTTTAGCCACATCATGCTGTTTTAAGGAGTTATACCACAGTCTTTTCAGAGTCCTGACACTAAACAACAATGTGGTGCTTAAAGGGATATTCCGGCGTAAAATTAATTTAGTGTCAAACATACCATAACACCAAATTTGCCCCCAATTTAAGTTTATCAACTTAAATTCCCAGGGAGTGTAGTCAGAATTATTCTTTGAATTAACTGATGAAGTGGCAGTGGGTATTAGTGGTGTACACTTTCTCCAACCACTATGTTTTTAGTAATAAAGTACAATCATCACCTGTTTGATCAGCAAAAACTTGAACCTTAAGCTCCCTGCATGTAAAGTTTGAGGAATAACTGGTGTATCAGGAAAACAGTCTTATATTTGTGTCAGTATGCCTGCAAAATGGCTCCTATTAGACAAATTCAGCATTGAAATACTTCATAAAAGAGGCTTAGAGTAAGTTTAGTTAGTGTCATGCAGGATAAAGCAGGTGTTAAGCTTAAAGAAGTGACCTCAGGTGTTCAAATATGAAGCCCTAAATTCTGAACCTGCTGTTCTGTCGGTCTGCCCTGACTGACTCAAAAGAAATACTGATAATCTTCAGTTTAAAAACATATCTGGATACAAGTGGAGAAGACTGAGAAGGATTTGTTGGCTCACCACAGACAGATGTCCGTTCTTCGCCTTGGTCACCAGAAGTTCTGATCCCGGTGTGAAGTCAATGATCCCCTCCTTCCCCTGTCCTGATGTAAACTTTATACTGCAGAGGCACAGAGGTATTCATGTCAGCGGGACAAACACAGACAGAAAACGGGACAAGGTTCAAGAGTGACACAGGTCTGTGCTCCTCACCTGCCCTGGCTGATGTTGATGCTGTTCATTTTGTCGGCACAGATGGCAATCTTGGTCAAGGTCTCGATGACGTGTTCACTCTGCAGGACCACGTCTCCCTGAGAATAGACCACCATAGAGCAGCACAGTCAAAACCTCTACAAAACCTTTACAATCACAATAACCCAGACTGTACCCTTAAGGATGGAATTACTGCTTTGTGACATGTTTTCACCTTCTGCTTGTTGTCATCACTGGGCACGTGCAGAACAAACAGGCCGTCGCTGAGAGAGCTGACGGAGATACCTGCAGGACAGTTTGAGTAAGAAATCAGCCAATCACAGTCTGCATTAAGAGACACACACCCACTCTGGGTATAATGACTGGCTGTGACCTCTGACCTTTCAGGGATCCGTAATCGATGCGCTGTTTGAGTTTGCCCTCCTCTACGATGATGGCGCTGTTGTTGGTGAGCAGCAGCTGTCGGGGACGAGCCTTGTAGCCTTTCCTGTCGTACTTGGTGACTGGCACTCCGTACTGAGAAAAGACGGAGGAAACACTCATAAAACTTCACATTTTGGAGCAGTTTGGTGCTCTTATTTTGAAAAGACAGCTGCACGATGACGGAAAATGTTGGAGGAAGAAAGTGGGGCTGAGGTCTGACTCAAAACTGTGACCACACGACTGCTGCCCCTGCTTACAGGCCAAATGCTTCAACAATGGAGCCAAACTTTATAAAAATTGAGACTTTTAACTATATATATGCAGGAGCACCAACTCTTATTGAACAAATCATAACCTATGATGTGGCAAAGAGAGCGGTATGTGCTTTTTGACTTCCATGCAACAGTTCATAAATTAAACCATAGAGGCTGAAGTCTGTGTTGAGTGCAATAATATAGAAAACAAACACTTTAATATTGGGCCCCTAAATCTGAAATAGAATGTTTTGCTCCACCAACCTTCATCTTCTCGCTCCCCAGAGCCTGCAGCACTTTGGGGTTAATGTCCTCGCCGTCTGAAAAGAAGAGACACGCTCACTGTTAAAATCTAAAACGTGACCTGTAGGAGTTTCACGACTTGTCTGTTAAAGCAGGAAAGTCTTACTGAGTCGTGTGCTGACGAACAGTTTGGGCACACTCTGTGGGTAGTTGTCCTTCTTGTCCTTGAAGATCTCACTGGCGGTCATCTTCTGCTCCATCTGCTCAGACAGATTAGAGGACAGTGAAGGAAAAGGGAGGAGGCAGATCACGGAGAGTGAGTTCACGTCTAAAAATAATGATGGGACGTAAACTCACCTGGTGTTTCCACTCTGGACTGATCTTCTTGCAGTAGCTCCACACCATGTTCTGCATGCACAGCTTACGCAGATGCTCAGACGCCTGTAATCAAAAGGATTTCCAAATATCTTCATCATTAGGGTTTGCTTTTTTGCTGTTCTTACTTCTTGACTTTTTAGTTTGAAAAGAGACTTTGCTTTATGGACTGGTTCTTAAACAGAAATAGACACCTGAAGGCCTCAAGTTTGTGTCCCTTTTAAGTCGCATTATTGTCTTTAGTCTTTATAATTTTAACATGTGAAGAAACTATTTTAATATATAAATAAAAGTGATCCAGTTTGAGTCATAACTTTCCCAAAAGATCTTTAAGCCTCCAGCTGTCTCATCTGCCTGACTGTGTGTCTGAGTGTGTGTGTGTTCGAGTGTGTATCGTGTCCCCACCTCAGTAAGAGCAGCCGGCGGTGTGGGCCAGCTTTTGTCCAGGACGTTTTTGGGCAGGTTTCTGTGCAGATTCATGAGGAAGGAGTACCGAACATAATCCAGGAAGTACTCATTCTCTGGACAGCGCTCCTTGTGGCGGTAGATGAAACCTTTGATGAACCTGAATGAAAAGAGAGTTACTGCGTTAACCTCACAGCTGAATCAAATGTCATCCCCATCCTTTCTTTTCTGTCTCTGACTTCATCTGTTCTCCTCCTCTGTTGATGGAGGCATGAAAAACCCAAAGAAATATCTTTGAAGAGGTCTTAACCATCCAGACTTGAATCACTTGCTGCTCAACAGAAGCCTTTATGCAGACATTGGACAAAATGAGCTTCATTTGTAATAAATATAGTATGAATTCACAAACACTAGTGCTTAAAGCCAAACACATTCAGGATTTTACTGTGACCGACCTCTGGAGAGTTGCTGGTAACTAAAGCACATCACATTTAGACTCAGTGACAACAACAACAACAACAATGACACAATGTTTTTTCTGTTACATCAGAATACACAGTATTCCTATAATCTGCACTTCTGATCCTGAGACAGGGCAGAAAGCAGAATCAAATGATGCTCTCAGCAGCTGCAGCCGTCTGCTGGTCTGTACCTGCGGATTGTATCAACAGCCTGTCGCCTGCGCTTTGCCCTCCTCCTGGCCAGGATCCCCCTCCACCACGCCTGAATGGCAATAACTGCAAGACACAGCATACATCTTTGTCTTTAACACTAGTAAAAAAAAAAAAAAAACTACTGACTGTAATTAAAGGGAGAAAGTGGCCGAGATTTCTCACCTGAGATTCTGAGTTTTTGGTATTTGGACTTCTGGCTGTAGCCTTTCCATCCTGCTTGCAGCTTAGTGGCTGCAGGGTTCAAAATGAAAGAAGCAAATGTTTAAATGTGTCCGGTGATGATTATACAAGATGCACAAATCTAAAGTCATGTCAGAGTGTCTCACCAAGACTGTGCTTCCTGGTCTCCAGCGCATCCTCAGTGGCGAACAAAGTCTTTGGGAAACGGATGAAGATTTTGGATCTAGAGAGTTTAATGGAAAGTCAAAATTATTAATCTTGAAAAAGGTTTGACGCTGAGGTTTTAAATCTTTACTTTCTGCTGACCTGCCCAGTTTGTACTCCTCGGGCTTGTATCCCAGATGTTTGACAAGAGTGGCCACTCCATCTGAGAGTTTCCCCTCCCAGTTTGGCCACGTGTCAGGACACAGAGACTTATACCTGAACAGACACAAACACAAGTTAAATCAGGGCTGTGCTCACCCAGACTTCAGCTTCAAATATTCCTCCCTTTTTTGCCGATTCAGAATAACAGCAAAACTCTTCTATCAGGTCTCACAGTCTGGCTCACAGCCCCCCAAAACCCTGATGAGTCTGAACTGAGGAGCAAACTCTGAAAAATAGATGAAGTGACTGAAAAATCTGGCTGATTTGGAAAAGGAAGCATCATCCGAGCTGATATCTAAATGCATGTTTCCACACCTGATTACATTTTGGAGGTTATATATTTTTATAACTCTTTCATTTTGTTGCATTTAGGCTCAGAGGTATGCATGATAGGACTGATAGACGGGTGCGTTTCAGCAGCTCAGGTAGGATGGTCCTCAAAGTTGGACATCCTTTCTTCACTTTGAGTGTTTTTTCATTCACAGCTTAAGTTCATTTCTTCTCACATTAATGTTGATTTATGAGACATATGTGATGCAGTACTTTCACACGGTCACAGATGATCACCTCTGTAGGAAGACCTCATAGCGTCGTCTGTAAGCAAAGCCGGCCCTCCTCACCCTCAGGTTCTCCATCAGCCCCAGATACTTGACCTGGTGCCGGATCAGCACGTCGTCAAACCGACCTGAGACGGGAGGAGGAAGAGGAGGAGAGAGAGGAAAGAGGTACAGAGCGAATCAGTTGGAGCTAAATGAACCAGAGAAAACCAGAAAATGCTGAACATCAGCAGTGGGAGTGAACGAGGACAGAGCGGCAGTGTGAACATGAAACAAAAGGACGACTGTGGAGAGAAACAAAGGGCGGCCCGATAAACTGACGACCACACGGAGAGTCACACTGCGGCAGCTCATGCAGCTGAAAACAAACTGTTTGGGTTTAGAATTAGCTAAAGCTGCAGATTAATATTATGTTTCTGAGAATAATTAGCCGGTTAAAGCTGCTAAGCTGCTACAGCAAGAGTGTTTACAACAAGTGTTACATAAAAGCGGATTAGACCGTGGAAACTGTCTTAGTTTATTGAAGTAAACAAGAGTCATAATCACTGATATAAGAGTGTTTCTCAAAAACTTGATTTGAAGAATTCTCAGAAGTCTGTGACTGCAGCTGGATGATGTCTCATCTTGCTGTATTTTACAGTCAGCCAATCACTCTCTGTGGCAAAGGTAAAAAAGGCGGCTTTGGCTGTAGGCAATCAATCACTTTGTCTGATTCTTACCCTGCTGCAGTGGTACAAGGCTTTAAAGATCAGGATATAGAAATTAGAACTCCTGTTCCTGATGGTCTCTTCAGTTTTTACAGGGCATTAGAGGACATTATTATTGATTTCAGACTTTTGATGACGAGCTAAAAACTCCTTACAGGAGCTTTAAATTAAATCAATCAATTCAAATCCGAATGAATTTTTTTTTTTGTTACTCACTTTCATAGCAGCATTAAAACTATAAAACTACCTAGTATAATCAGGGTAATAATATAACACACGGTCTTTATTGCATGATATGAAAGGAATCAACAGGAGAGTTCTCACTTTCTGTTTTAATCTGCTTTTTTTCCCTCTAAACTCAGTTACTTTTTAAGTCCATCATTAAGGTCAGCTGTCTTCAACGATCAAGATAATAAATGTCCGCTCTGACAGATTTCTTGATAAAAACACAGTTGAATCAAAGCTGTTCGACTGAAAATTACCCTGAATGTCTTAAAGTTTCAGATCATTTTTAGACTCTTAAAAACAACTTCTGTCTTAGTCTTATGATGAGGAGCTTCAAGATTCAGGACTAACCCTTTCAATTTAAATTTGACCATAATAGTTTATTTACAGTCTCACATAATGTAAAGAAATCTCTCAGCAGGTCCACATCCTCATCATGTTGTCTACTGAGCAGAAAAGTATGACCTCATACCTGCTTGTTTGGAGTCATTGGGCTTGATGCAGCGCACGTATGACGGCTCCTTCGACATGAGGATCTCCATGAGCTTCGCCAGACTGGCTTTGAACTGGGTGGCTGCCTGGAGGGGCAGACACAAACACAGAGAGCAAAGGTGTTAAAGAAGAGAAGAAAGCACGGAGGTAAGGGGATGGCAGTCAGGAGCCGGGAGCAGAAGCCGAAGAGCGAGTTGAAGCCGCAGACAGACGATGATGACCTCAGCAGAGCGACGCAAGCAGAGCAAACACAAGGAGCAGTGTGGAGTACTCGGCCTGTGACAGCACCCTGTTCAAGTGTTTGTGTATTTGTGTGTGTGAGAGAGTGAGGGGCACACAAGTGTCAGGGCATTCCTGGGTGAGTGGGAGGCAGCAGAGAATCCCCATCTGAGCTCCCACTCCTCCCTGCCGAGGGGAAACACACCGCTGTCTGTTAATCTGTGGGAAAGTATGCTGGAGTGCATATTCTTTTATTCTCTCCAAACTCTTATGAATCCACGTTCACACAGAACATTTACAACAACAACATGTTTGACACAATCAGTAAAAGATGACATGAAAACAGAAATGAAAGGAGAAGTTGTATTTGTGTTTGAGTTTACATTTTCATTCTTCTAGTCTGGTTTATTATTAGTGTGTATGAGTGACTTTTGAAAACCTATTTTTTTCCTTTAAAAAGTCAAGCCTAGACATGCAAGGCTATTTTCTGACACCGTTTACTATGTTAGAGACATTGGAGGTACTTTTCCACAGGATCAACTTCCACCAGAAATGAGTAACCTTCTCAGGAACTCAGTTTGGTGTTTCTTAATATTACTGGCCTTGGAACCAGCTCAGAGGAAAAGGGGTACGCTTTTGTGTCAATAGCAGGAACCTGGGACTAAGTTTGGTCTCCAGGGTAATTGATTTACGCCATTAAAAGTCCCTTGTCAGGGGGGCTATCGCAAATGGTTCAGGAACTTTTGGGGAGCCATGGCCCTTAGACAATCTCGTTGAAAAGCAGGACCTATAAATATAAAACCAGTACGCACACAATCACAAGAAGGAAGAAGGCAAGCTCATATTGAACACTTTAGCTGGTATTATCTGACCAGTGACAGCAGGTACTTATATCAACTTTGACCTCATTTTGTGCGCTTTTTTTCTGTATGAGGGGGTGCTTTCAGGTGTCTCAGGGTTTGGTCTAAGCAGAGAGAGAGGGACGGACATGTGGAGGCATAAAGGGAGACTGCACAGTGTGAATATTTCCTGAAATGCCATTTAATAATCAATAAAGCGTACCAGCTGACTATATGACTTAGGCAACTTTTTAGTAAAAAACCCTCAGAACAAGACTCAAACAAGGAGCTGTGTAGAGTTATGATTTTCACATGGTGCAGGTATAAAGGTGTTTGACTCTCACTGGATGTTCACGAATTATTAATTTGGTTTGTTAAGTCCTGTAAACAATTATGCTAATTTGATGCTAAAAATGTAGGGATAGATAAACATATATCTGAACTTTTCTCTGTTCAGGTTACTGATAACTTTACATTGTAGTTAAATTGCCTGAAACCTTTGATCAAATTGTGTCTAATCGCACATAAAGGATAAGACGTTACAGATGTGTTCAAGTCCAACCTTTAACAGATCCTACAGTAAGTTCACTTGTTAAACAGTCTGAGACAAAATACACACACTCACCTACACAAACAAACACGCACACTCACAAAACACACACACAGATATCTCACCGTGTCAGGGCGTTTCTTATCGCTCAGCTCCTCTCTCTCAAAGCACTGATTCAGGATCTTGTTTTCTGACATGCACATCACCTGCAAACACACAGACAACTACTTCAACCTCTGAACAAGACAATAATAATGTTACACACTGTTGGAGTGAGTCAACATCTTTGTCTGTCAAGGTTACATATTCCTGCTCATTTTGAACTGACCTCTTTTAAGTTCCTGAAGAGCAGGTCGTTGTTCTTATCCAAAAACCCTGTGAGAGAAAAGTAAACTTAGTTTCTAAACACACATTAACTGCAGTGTTATTATCATCAGGTAAATTCGTGTCCCATCCCGCCTCCTGCCATTTATCTCAGAGGGAGGATGCATGTGCTTGTTAACAGGTGTGTTTTTGATTGATAACTGGTCTGCAGATAACCTAAAGTCCACTTTTTTTCTAGTCTGGTATTGGATATTGGACCAGGAGTTGAAGTCACACTGGCCTTGTTCACAGCAGCACACACAAACACACACCGTTGACATTGTAGTTGACCTCTCCAGCGTAGTGCAGCAGTCTGAATTCGTCACGGCCCATTACCTTCCGGGTCTTTCCATCACCCAGCTTGTGACTGCAGGGAAACACACACAAACACACACATGGAGAGCAGAGATATATGAGTCAATGGACCTCACACAAATCCAATAGTTCACAGCATGTAACCTCAAACAAGCTGCAGCCTTGACTTGTGTCTGGTATTAAATAAATCTGCAGCTGTTCAGGAGATGGGACTGAAAGTGGACTGACGTGACAAAGTGCGGGTGTCCTCCGAGTGTGTCCTCCAGCTTCTCCAGGAAGGTGACATCACTGGCGTCTCCGGGTCTCAGACACTCCTCATCCTGTTCAAAGAAAACAAAAACAAAAACATGAGATATTTTCTTTAAATACAGCATATACTCATCACAACCTTGATAAAATATAAATGTTCAGGTTTTCTGATTTTGAAGGGCTTGATGTCATGTTAAAGATAAAAGGATGATAATACTGTCCATTAGAGAAAAAGTTTGAACTTTTTTGGGCACACTTACATACATACCTCTAATAACGCCAACTTCACAACCTCAATATCTACAAAACTAATGGGTTTATGATAAATTCACTCTTGTACAGTGTGTTTGGGTGAGCTGTTCAAGTCAAACCACTTCTGAACCAGCATGTTTATTTTTGTTTTAAAAAAGCCTTTTTGAGTAAGTGTGTATGACTTCTAGTGCTTTTGCAGTCAGCCTCAAATGGACACTAAAGGAGCTGCAGTAACAATGAACCAAACAGGCGAGTTTCCTTTCCCTAAAGCGTCTCCTCACCAGAATGGAGATGATGCCTTTAAACTTCTCCTCCACCAGGTCACAGATGATCTTGTTGTTGAAATACTGAACCGGCTCCCACTGCAAAAACACAAACAGGATACGTGTCAAAGAGGACAGAGTTGAAGATATATTAGTGGACAGGAGTTTCAAATTAGCATGGTGCTAAACACCAAGTGAAGTGCATGTGTGAGTTGTGTAAGGTTGAATGTTTCAGCACCAGTGTCACTGTATGTCCATGTTGAATGAATGAATGAATGAATGAATGAATGAATGAATGAATGAATGAATGAATGAATCAAAGCAAACCTCAGAGTGCTAAAGGTTTGTGACTCCCTCTGTCATTAAAGGTGGTTAACTCTCGCCAATGCTGGACAAAATATGCAACTTTAAATAACTCCCCCACTAAGTGTCTCATGACTTCCACTTTGGGAACCACTAGCAAGTGTGGCAGGTGACCATCATGGCCGCTGTGATTATGCACTGACATGACTTTAGCAGAACATAACGCGAATCAGCTGGCAATTGTGACCCCCTGCAGTTGGGAGAACAAAAACGTGTGGGTAAAACAGACCAAGGCTGAAATGAAACGCAGTTCTCAGTGAAGGATCCCACCAATTTATCAAAGACACAGTATCTTGTGGAGAGAAGTGTGTGTGGCTAGAAATTCTGTTTACCTGACAAATCAACAACAACAACAACAAAAATATGGATTCAATAAAGCCTAATAGGTAATTTTCCCAAGAAATACAACGATAATCCTTGCCAAGATTTGAGTTCATGCAGCTGGCCTGATGTGTGGTTGTTTTACTGCTGACTATAAATCAAACAACTCCTCACAGAGATAATAAAGAGCACCTTGAATCTTGAACCAGCACACGTAGATTAATCTATACTGTCTGCTACTGTAGAGTCAAGCTGTTTATGTAAGAGCGGCGGCCTGCTGTTATTCAACCATCAGAGCTTTGATGTAAAGAAACGGGAACATCTGGAGCATGAATCTCTCTCTCTATTGTTATTAATGTAAATCAAACTATTCTGAGCAATATTATGATTGTGAATTCACTTATGTGCAGAATCTTAGGAATCCTGGCACACACGCACACACACGCTTCTCGCCCCCTTATATATTGACACACATGAAGACACGGCGGTTAGCCTATGTTTGTACCAACAGCCACATAATTTCCACAGAGATGACTGAGAGCAGCCCACCACCCTGATGTCAGATGATAAAGGGCTCTTTCAGAGGTGCGTCCCAGTTCCTCCCACAACCTGAACTCTGAATTTATATCAGGCAGACCACAACAGGCCCTTGTTACAAATACACAAAACAAAACAATAAAATGGATATAAAAAAAGGTGCAGCTGAAGGAGCTTTTCAGCCTTTTTTAAACCTGCAATTTTCTTAAGTAACCTAGTGCAAAACATGGTGGTGTCCTCTAAAAGTAAGTAAATCATGTTAAGTGGAAGCCTTGGAGGTAAAATAGGATTATCAATTTAAAAAAAATGAAAACAGCTGCAGCTACAATCACATTAGGAGATCTCTGTAAAGCTAACACTGACAGTGAGAGGCGAGAGGAAGCGTCAAAACAGAGAGAATTAAAGGTTCAAGGATGGACGGCTCATTCAAACAACTTTAGGAAACAACTGGTTTGAATTCGTGAGTAAAATAAATGTATAAAGTGTATAAAACCAGCGTTGGTGTGCAAATATGTTGGTAAAGGAAAGTTAAAGAAGAGGAAAGAAAGCGATGTCTGACCGTGATGCCCTCAGACTCGTACTCCTCCTGCTCAGACTTGAGGGTGAGCTCGATGAAGAGCTGCTGCAGCTTCTCGTTACAGTAGTTGATGCAGAACTGCTCAAAGCTGAGAAACACACAACAACAAACACCTCAAATTAATAAAAAAGAAGACTAAGGAATAAAGTTTTGCTTGTTTAAAGATAAGTATTATTTTGGCATGGGTTGATTTATCTCTCAAAGCTGATTTTACTTATTCAGCTAAGTTCATACTATGTATTAATAAGGCCTTCAAAATCAGTTTTAGGCCTGAAAATAATAACATGAAAGAATTTCAGTATAAGGTCCACTAATATTTTGGAGTTTCAAGCTGAGAAATTAAAATACAACTAATGAATCAGTAGTGAAAATGGGTTTTAATATGTAGGTGAAAAAAAATTTCAGGGCTGTTAGTCCCTCAAATTTTTCAACACAGGTCTCTCACAGCATTAAGTTTTCCCTGAGGGAGGTTTCTATCAATTAAGGCACAAAAATAACCTTTAAGGAACAGCTGCATGCAAAGATTTAATATGCCGTGTGTTACAGAGACTGAAAAAAACATATTTGCAGACTCAGCTGGTCTAATTGCATGAAAAGAGAACCTCCTTTTACTAAGCCTTTGGACACCCTCCAAATTAAGATGCTGCATCCTCAAATACGTTCAAAATAAATTCCAGTCTTAATGCACACAGTGGTTAAAAAAATTAAAGGCTTCGTTTACAGTATATTAAGTGCTATCTTCTGCGTTATGCTTTGTAGATATCTGTAAAAAAAACTTCCTCCCCTGTCAGAAATTACATCTCAAATGCAACATTAAGATTTTGTCAAAGGGTGTACCTGTTGTTCTGAAAGACCTCAAAGCCGTAGATGTCCAGCAGGCCGATGACAGAGTAATTCTTAAAGGAATCATCCTGGTAAAAAAAACAAAACAACAGAAAACACCTAAGTCAAAAATTTCAAAACATTGATTCACACACAAAAGTCAAACAGGTTTTACTTACACATCAGGGTTTAATTTATAGACAGAGAAATACTTTTGAAGTGCTGGTGAAGTTTTGCACATGCAGTGATATTTGACAGCTTTTCTCTACAAGAGTGTAATATGAGAAGACTTAAAGTAGAACCCTGAAGAAGTTATGAATAACATTGAAAAGCAATACTGGATTATGTTCTCCATTTATAACTGTTCATATCCACTAGGTGGAGCTGTGATCTAATAGTTAGAGGAGGAGACATATACAGTCTCTGACTACACTGCTGTGTTGGGTTTAGACTGAAGATTCATGTTTTAGGTGACCAGTCTGTGAGGCAGAAACTCACATTTTTGCTACAGAGACAACAGACAGTTTGCCATTTAGACCCCAACATGAAACATTGGGGTTAAAATAAAAATAAGGTCCTTTTTTGACTTTTGTGTGCGTGTGTGTCTGTGAATGTGTGTATGAGTACCGCGTATGACAGCGAAGCGTTGATCTTGTTAACCAGCCAGGTGAAGGTGCGTCCGTACACGGCTTTAGACAAAGCATCCCGAGCCGATGACGCCTGCTCCAAGTTCAGCGGACTCACCAGCTGAAGGAGGAAACACACACGCAAACTTATGAACCGCCACACATAAACACACACAGACTCAAACAGAGCCACACACAGGAAACACGGGTACGAACAGCAGAGTTACACAGAGTTCAGCATCAACAGACAGACATGTTCTAATATAATCAAACCACAGCACACCAGACATTACACAGACAGGAAAGCTTTGTATACAAATGCTTAACACACACTTGTTTTACAATGCCAGTGTGTGTCCAAACCCACCTCCTCTCCCTTGGCAATTATCTTCTTGTGTGTGAGAGCCTCCGTCAGCACCGCTCCATTCACTCCCAACAACTGGAAATCACAGCAAGATGGACATATATCAGAAACAGCCTCACTAAACATTCAGAAAGGATGTTACTGATTTAGTACATCAACTTTATAAATAAATGCTCTTTACTTGCATTTATCAGAGTAATGGATGTGTCAGTTCTGAAAGGAGTGTTAACGATGTAAAGAATAATGCTAATAATGATAATCATAACTCTATTTATGTAGAACTTTGAAAAACAGGAGTTTACCAAGTGCTTTGACAGAAAAGAAAAGCAGACACAACAACAAAACGCAGAAACCCAACAGCAAATGAGCCTGTTAACACTTCAACCCCAACATCAAGAACCATCACAAAATAACCCAAACAACATATAGATGTTATGAGAAACCATGATGACTGTGAGAGCCTGGCTACACAAGAACTGGGCTTCCTAAACTAAGACCTAATACACCAAGGAAGTGAGATGATTGAGAATTAAAAGAGAAAGGACGGTTAAAATAGCGGTAGTAAATCTGTAAAAACAACACTGAAAGATAGAAGCTTTGAAATGAATATAGGAATCTTTAAATTAAAAGCAGTTAAATACATTTGAATAAAAATGAAAAAAATAATGAACAGCAACAAAAACTAAAGTCAATGAATAGAGTTTCACACAGTTGAAAAAATAACATCAAAATCTTATCTGTTTCCTAGAAATTGAAATTTCTTTTTAATATTGACTCATACAATCTTAAAAATACAAAAATTTACCAAATTTTTCTCATTTGTGGTTTCTTTTTGTACTAAAACGAAATCCAACAACAATCAAGGGAAAACAAACACATCTTCAAGTACACACACGTCAGTGCAAACTTATGAAGATGTTTCACTTAGTTTTGTTCCTGCATTTTATTGCAAGACATACAAAAATGCAGGACAGACATTTAGTCAACATGACTGAGGGACTTTTGGTAAAACCCCACCTCTCTTGAACCCTGTCAGGAGTTTTTATACTCTAGTTTATGAATTCGGATTAATCATACAGTATGAACTCACGTGCAGAATTTTATCGCAGCTTTAGACACTCTTTCCCCATAAACTGTGCACACGTTGAGAAGTGTGGAGAGAATATATGTGTCCTCAATACAAATGAAATACATGAAGTAGCACTGGAGGGCAGTATCAGCGCATGAGTGCGAAATACTTGATGTAATCTCAGCAGGAGTTCAACAAAGTGTCAAAGACAAAACAAAATGAAACAAAACACAAAAAAAGGAAATAAAGTCAAAGAAGACCAAAAAGAACAGAAGAAAGTGAAAGTTTTGTTCGATAAGAAAAAACTGAAACAGGGATTTATTTAGAGTATGCATCTAAGAATGTATATCTGTGTTGAGTTTGGGGTGTTTCTCTTACCCTGGCCAGGTACTTAATCTGTGTGTCAGAGGTGATGGAGGCGGTGCCTTCCTCACCGCCATACTGCACGTTCCCCAGGTGGAGCACACTGGCGATAATGTTCAATAACTCCTATATGGAGAAAACACAGAGGAGAGGAGGGGGCAGGGTACGTGAGGACAAGAGAGGGTTATATGGGGGAAAAGGACAAAAGGGGAGGGAGGGGGACAAAGGTGAGGAGATGAGAGGCTGCCGACATAAGAGTAACAAGATTATTTTCATGAGTGACTTAACAGATATTAACCTCTGTGATCAAAATACGGTTAACCCTTAAAACCCAGCAAAACCAAATGATCTGCGATGTTCACACACTATATGATTCTGTCTAAATGTCCATTCTAACACCAGCTTCATAACAGGAACTTTATATGGGTGTATTTTTAACAAGATCATATAAGAGCGATCTTCGGCGGGTGGGGGGCTTTTTTAAAACAGGCTAGAAATTCACCACATCGAGCAGCATGTATCAAACTAGAGCCGCACACATTCACACCTGCTCCTCCCTCAAAGTCTGTGTGAGATTTGGACCAGACTCATGATGGTGTGGGAAGACTCCCACGCTGAGCACAAACAAGTTCTCACCATTTGATAACACTGAGTAACAAACACTTTCGGTAATTCAGACCTGCTCACGAGGAACATTACAGCAAATCTAGACCGGCCGAGACGTATTCAAATGTGATGGGATACTGGCAGCAGTCGTTTTACATTCGGGTCTTCAAAAGCTTATAAGCTTAGGTTTGTCATTTCTAACACTGTTTTGAAGAGTTAACAGGTTGTTATGTGTTTGGACCATTCCTGTAATTTTTGTGTTTGTGTCTCCTCACCACTGGAAGTGACAAAACAAACATGTCAGGCACGGTTCCCACCGCCTGGACTCACCTCCACTTCGTCCTCGTTGAAGCCGATCACGCTCAGAGCTTTCCTCACCACCTTCCAATCGCTGCGGTCGTTGATGGAGCTCACTTTGGGGCAGTTTCCCTTCAGAGAGACACAAAAAACACCGTAAACAAACTTTACATTTTCAATTTGCCACAAGTTTTTATCACCAAGTATAACTATGAACAAACACAAGAAAACAGGTGATGTGTACATAGGGATTTACATGTAAACACCTGTTTACATGTGATGTAAACACCCATTTGTGTAAACACGTGTTAAGGGTTGTTGCTCAGCTTTGAATATGTGTGCGACTTGAGGCAGATCTGCCCTGAAGGAAAGTTGCTCTGGGTGCTCTGAGAGTCCCAGACTGAGAGCCTATTAAGCAGAACTCCCACTGGGACACACTCCCACACATGCACACACATGCAAACACCTACTACAGCCCGATGACTCTTTACACGAGAGAGAAAGCAAGCCTGAGAACAAGAGGGCTATGATTCAGCTTCCCTGCAGACAGTTTGAATCGTTTTCAGAATAAAAGTGTGACTGGAGGATTAATTCAGAGATAATGTGCAGTGAGGGGGCTGTTAAAGGGGGCTGGAGCCCTGACAGGATGTGATTATTCACATTCAGCTGAACAGCTCCACTGATGGTGAAAAAACAAGGTGAACAAGTCTGCATGAATCAGCAGCACCTGGCTGAGCTTTTCTGCCTCATCACTGTCAGTCTGTGATATTTTCGTTCCATGTTTCACTCCTTTAACACCGTCCTCTGAAAGGTGTGTACTTCATGTGCCATCTCCAGTTTCATGTACCTCCTTCTTATCTAGAGTTTTATGTCTTAGGCCTCTTCTGCCTTGTCTCTGCTATCTTTATCTCTATTCTTTTCTTACTTTTCACAAACTGATGTCAAACAAAGCTGACTTCTGTCTGTACACTGATACGATTACAGTCCTAAAGAGTCTGTGATTGGAGCTGCATCCCTTATGACAAACTGTTTTCTAAAGCATTTGTGTGTCATTCAAAGCGGCAGCATGGATTCAATAGCAACAGTGTGCCATCAAAAATTAATACACCGTTGCTATGGACTACAGACCAATCAGTACTGAGTTTCAAAAAACAGTATTTACAGGATCAGAATTAGAATCAGATATATTCAATTTATCCTGAAGGAAAAATGCAGCCATTACAGATCTTCTATATACAAGATATCAGTAAGAATACAGGAAATACGCCAGAAGCTTTTTGCAAAAAACATGAGAACTGAATGGTAAAATATAAACAAATAAAGGCTTTAACATTATGAAACATCTTTGCAAAAGAGCAAAAAAGAAAATGCGAAGTCTTCCAGATTCTGTGATTAAGGCTGCATCCCTAGCAACGGTTTGTTCTTCATAGCAACAGTGTGTTCTTCAAGAATTGACAGACAGTTTTTATATTGTGTCGACCAACGAGAATCAAGCCATTAACGCATCACAAAACCATTATTGTAAGATGAATAAACATGAACAACGGCATGATGGTACTATGCACTACTGCAGACTCACATTAAAACAAAGACCAACCGTTGTGCAAAAATACATCTTCACTACAGATTTTCAAAACATTTGGATATTATTTATTTTTCATTTTCTTCTCCTTCTTCTCATTTCAGTTCTTTACTTGAGAAGAGCAAATACTTGCTACTTTATATTTACTTTACATTATTCAAGTTTGAATGCAAATCTACTCAACAACATTGTGCACATATATGAAACACCAGAAACTGAATTAAAATGAGAAGTGATAAGTTTTTGAATTTTTGATCATGCAGAGTATAAAAGTAAAGCTTAAAATGAACATCAAATAGCAGCTTTGATAGATTCAACTATTTTGTATACTGTAGTTTTCAACACTTTGATGCTCATGGCCTAACACTCAGAGCTTCAAATTGATCTAAATCCAAAGAAGTGTTTTAATTTCCTGAAACAAGAGCCCCCTCTGGAGTGAATAACTGAGCTCTTACTTTGACGAGGTACTGGTACTGCTGTGGGTTCCTCTCCAGGCCAAGGCGCCTCAGCAGGTCCTCCTCTCCTCCCTCGATCAGCTGATAGAAAATATGGAAGTTCCTCTCCCCGTGGTTCTGGTGGACCACGCGGGATTTCTCCAGCAGGTAGTTGATGATGTGGCCTCCCACGGGGGCGCCCTGCCGACGGGATAAAGGCCAGGGAGAGACGGGGGAGGAAGGATGGGAGGAGGAAGGGGAGGAGAGGTTGAGGCTGGGGTACTGAGGTATGGTGTAGGATTGATGTACAGTAACATGCAAGTCGACGGGAGTTTTGAGGGAAGTGATACATTTTGTGTAACAACATTTAGAGATACAAGAGAGAGGACTTGTGAAATTCATCACAAAACGACCAAACAAGGTTCAAATTTCTACAAACATAAAGAACAAACATAATCTCAAATTATAGAGATCATATATTTAACTCAAGGAACTGAAACTCTTAATATGATTGTGAATTAAGTTGGTTTGACAGAGGGAGTTAATTCATCAGACACCTACTTTGTGGCGCCTTTACCTGTTTTTAAAAAATAGCTAAATGTAGATAATCACAGATAAATGACACAGTGATAAATCTAGTTTTGCTCTCTACAGGGTTCAGTTGAAGTATCTGACAGTGACCAAAAAACTCTCCAGCTCACCTTAAAGTCAAACTGAATGTCCATGTACTTGCCGAAGCGGCTGGAGTTGTCGTTACGTAATGTCTTGGCATTGCCGAAGGCCTGGAGGGAAAAAAAAAAAGGATGAAGAATACAGGGACAGGAGAGGATTGAAGGATTGAGAGGCAGAGAGATGACGGAGGTGATGAGTGATAAAGACAGAAAGGTGGATGAAGACATAGAGGAGAAACAAACCACAGGAGTTAGAGTCCACGCAGTGTTTGTTTCAGACAGTAGCACAGATCAGAGGACACAGTGTACACTCACACACTTGTTCACATCTGGAAAACATCTGGCAGAGACACACCAGACATCAACACAAGCACTTCAGTGGACTCAAATTTTTCAGAGAAAAAAAACAAAAAACGCCAAACACAGAAACTTCCAACAACCTGTTCTCTAAAGTTTTACTGAGATTAGGCCAAAAAGATTTTATCTGTTGGGAAAGCTTCAATGTTTTATTGGACCACATGCGGAGTATCAAAATACAGAGGCTGGGAAGCTTTTTCAGTCATGATGGGCTGGGTGAAGAGGAAAAGTCTGTACTGTTTTATTTTGGAGATAAATAATGACACATTAGACACATTTCATAGTTATTAAGCAGCTTAATTCCCAGAGCAAGCCAGAAAGAAAAACAGTCAATTCAAGCAGAATACAGATGTAAATTAATACTCTAAGTAGAGTTTATCCACAGAGCACCCTAGTCTGATTTATCTCCTTATTATCACCACAACAGTCAAAGTAATATTAAGGGACTTTATGTATAGATGTATTATTTCAAGATCATGCAGAGGAGGAATTGTTGTGCAGAGTTTGAATCTAACAACATTTATTTATTTATTCATTATTTTAGGTTTAGCTTGTGAAAATATCACTTTGTGTGTGGATTATTATTATGGATTATTTCAGTGTGTGCAAACAACACTGGGGCACAGAGCGGTTTGTGGAACATTTACCCTTTTGTACATGCTTTGGGAAGTTGGAAATGCTGTCTTGGCTCATTTGCACACATTTAGTGAGCATAAAAGCCATACATAATACTAACTATGAAAAGGTCGGGTAAATGCATGTAAAAAAATTCCACATTTATCTATTTTAAAATGAAAAAATGCATGCACTGTTGCAGAAATGTGCAAAATCTATGAATTAGAGAATGCCAGAGAAGATGAATTGTGCAATTTAAAAGATAAATTTGCTGAAAGGAATACTGGAAAAGACTTCAGTGTGCTTTACTGTTACATGTTTGGCCTGAAAACCAGAATAATGTTTCCTCATCAAGAAAGATACTGAGCTTTTTATACCACTATGGCACAAAGATGTATCATAACAACATTAGTGTGACAAGTTTACTCCAAAAACAGGATCACAAACTATTAATGACCCTGTTATGATACTTACTGTAAGTTTGGCCTTAGCAAACACAAATCATTTTAATCCTTAAGCCTCCAAACAAGCACTGACTGTGGCTGATTTATGAGTCAAAATGAGCCGGACATTCACCAAAATAAATATCTACCATCCTGACAATCCATGTTCATCAGTCTTCTTGGAAAATGTCTCATCACTTTCATCAAATTTCAACTCTGGAGGTGTAAAGAGGCTGAGAATACAAATTCTAACACTTAACTTGATGGAGTGATTAATTGTCACAGATCTTGTTAGGACTTTCTCAGTTTACTTGAGTGTGGCATCATCTCACCTCCAGCACAGGGTTGGACTGCAGCAGGCGGTCTTTAACAGTCTGCACCTGCTCACTGGCTGGACAGGTGACGGCGTAGTACTGCAGGATCTTCTTGGATGCCTCTGTCTTCCCGGCGCCGCTCTCACCTGAGATGAGAATGCACTGGTCCTTCCTCTCCGTCCTCAGAGAGCGGTACGAATTGTCTGCCACGGCATAGCTGGAGGAGCATAGAGAAGGGTGTGATCGGGCAGATGTTTCAGATATTTTGATGGACAACAGACAGAAAAACACATGTAACTAAAATAAGCCTCAGATTAAAAATGGAGAAATGCAGGAAAAGAGAAACATCTAAGTAGAGATACTGCTGCTCCATCTGCTGGTCTCTACCTTCTCCAACTGTCCTCAATTTGTTTAGGCTTCATTTCAGGTCACAGCCGACAACGATACATCCATCATGTTGCTGATGTGCTGCTGAAAACATTTTACATACCAGGCAGCTCTTTTGGAAAAAAGTCACTTGGCTGAAAACATCTGGAAGCACCTCAGAGTGTGAACATGGGAAGACCTCCAGCATGAATCAGAAAGTCCAGAGTGGAGCACGGCCTGTTTGAGTTACAGTATCATCTATCAACCCTGCTACCTATCAGCACTGCTGTGTTGTTTCAGTCTGTTTGGACACCGGATAATTACTGGGAGATTAAACCACCAGCTTGGACACACGTGTATGTTGCTGTATGTGTGTGTGTGTACTGTATGTGTGATATTTTGGAGGTGCGGGGGCTGCAGGTTCAGGTTCAGGTCATAGGAATCCCCTCTAAAAGGGAGGAAACTACTTGCATGGTGCCATCATTTGTTTTCTTTCTTTTCCACTTCACCCCCGTCTCTCTCTCTCCCTCTCATGCTCCGTCTCTCCTCGGCAAAATCCCATCTTTCTTTCCACTCGCAGGGAGAGAGAAAACATTTAGCTTCATGCTCAAGCGGTGAAGTAACCAGAGACAGAAACTATCAGGGGTTAGAGCTGAGAGATTCGGACATTACGACACTTTAAGTCTCCATAATGCTCTGGATTGTTTGTGTCTGACCTATAGGGTCTGGGAAGAAATTCTTCCGCTATTTCTGTGGCAACCTTTCAAACAAACACTCTGCTTCATACCCTGACATGATGTAAGCTGTATGACTGACCATGAGAGCGTTACGTAGGCAGCTGACTCCATGAGAAAATATTCTTCTGCTGACTAAAATAATGAAATATTATGAAAGTAAGTGCAACAAATATGGACTCATCCTCCATAACACGCTCCATGTTGCATCAAAAGACTCCTCGTTTGGCGGCATTAGTGAGCAGTTTTTTTAACTTCTTGTACCTAAAATTGAAGTTTATCATCCCCTTCAGCTTTAATTCACTTTGATTAATAAATGCTCCACAGGGACAGACCGTAAATGACTATTTTCAACAAAACTGCATCAAGAAGTTTCATATGATCAAAGCAGACCCCTTTCTGTTTGACCGAGTGGTGTCATCGTTTGAACAGGGTCGTTGGTCTGCACAGGGGTTAAATCCTAAAACAATTACATTTTCAGGGATACTGGCTACAACATTATCCTTTGGGGCAAAGTTCATCATTTAACCCCAAAAAGACCTGCTGTTACTAGAAATTTGAATATCATTACAGAAACCTCCAGAAGAGACTCTGCACACAAAAGCAGCAGTTTTACAAGCATATAGTATATGTTGTATATGTAAGTACACCTATATTTACAGTTTTTCAGACACACAGTAACATAAAAAGTCACACTGGGGCAGTATTAGACAGACTCCCAAATAATTCTCATTCATCCACTCATTACCTTAAAATAAATCTGGCAAAGCGGCCATTTCTTTGGTGGCACTGTGACAGCAGGATGTAAGGCTAGAACCAAAGTTAGAGTTTGTAACGACTAATAAAGTAGTATTATTATTATTGTGATGTGTGCTGCTGACCTCTTGGCCAGGTCACCCTTGTAAAAGAGATCTCAATCCCAATATGGTTCTTACCCGGTTAAATAAAGGTTTATTAAAATAAAAATAAAATAAAATAAAATAAAGAGGCTGAAAAGATTATTCCACAGGCCATCTGCAGGATTAAAATAAATCTATAAAGACATTGAATGTCGGAGCAGAAATGAATCAATTCTCAAAACAGCTTGCATTATACTGTGCAGATATTTTAGGTTGATGTCACTGCAGTATTGGCAGCTTGAACAGCACCTGCTTGAATCACTGCATCACCCTGCAGGGTTATTTTGGGACAAAATGACATTGTTTATTTAAAGGGGCTGGTGTCTTTCAAAGCGGGGAAGTTGAAACTGTTTCTGGTGACACAAAAGTATTTACTCCACTACAAATCTGTTTCTGTCTTTGAGGAATCCATCTGTTCAGTCTTCAGGTATTAGGAGAACTAACTCTGTCCTATTAGTGTATAAACAGACCCCCTTTTAGTTCAAACTGAGAGGTACAATTTGTCATCAAAGCTGAAAAAAACTAAAAGTTATCTCAGAAGGTCATTAAGATCTATCAGTCAGTAAGACCAAAAATACGCAAAGATAAGATCTATATTCCAAAAACACTTCCTTTCCCAGCAAAGCAGTGGTGCTTTTGGAAGCAGGGTTGTATGAGGTACTTTTCCAGAAGTTGTAACTCTCAGTACGGCCTAAGAAGGGGGTCTGTTTTTACACTGATAGGACTGAGGTCCCCTCAGGTCCAGTCAGGTCATCAGGGACAGGTCTACTCATTGTCCCCAGGGTCAGAACCAAGCAGGAGTGAAGCTGCGCTCAGCTTCTATGGTTCTCACCTGTGGAACAACCTCCCTGAACGCCTTAGGTGAACACAAACTTTCGGCTTATTTAAATCAGGGCTGAAAACATGACTGTTCACTGCAGCTTTTCTATAAAAGCATCAATTTCTTTTACTTCTACTTTGATATCTGCTGTTCTGTCAATTTCAACAGTTTTAATGATTTTTAATTACAGTTTAATATTTAATTGATTTTAAGCTGACAAATGCTTCCTCTGTTCCAAGTTTCTCAAGGGAATGAAGACCAAATTGGGACCTAACTAATGAAATGGGAAGAACAGGTAAAAGGATGGGGAGCTCTGGGTCAGGGACGTGCTGTGCACTGAGGTCTTTGGGACCTGTTGAGTCTTAGAGACGGTTTTCTAATAAATAATTAGGGCAAACACTGTACAGAAAAAGACTTGTTTGTTTGTCTTATTGGCTTTAAATTGTTTAATCTCTGTTTTCATTTCCAATATATTTCCGTGCATCTGTAAAGCACTTTAAATTTCCTTGTGTATGAATGGTGCCATACAAATAAACTTGCCTTGCCGTTTCAGACCTTAGAGTATTACCTACTCACGCCACCACATAATTTAGGTTATTTCAAGAAAGGCTGATTTGACACTAATATCAGTTTATATGTAAAAATATCTTCAGTGCTTGATTTGCAGAGCTAACTCATATACACACGTGGACAAAATTGTTGGTACCCCTCAGTTAAAGAAGGAAAAACCCACAATTCTCACTGAAATCACTTGAAACCTACAAAAGTAACAATAAATAAAAATTTATTGAAAATTGAATAATCAAAATCAGCCATTACGTTTGAAATGTTGATTAACATAATTATTTAAAAAAAACAAACTAATGAAATAGGGCTGGACAAAAATGATGGTACCTCTATAAAAGATTGAAACTATTTGACCAGAGTGACATGATTAACTCAGGTGTGTCCTTTAATTGACATCACAGGTGTTTCCAAACTCATAATCAGTCAGTCTGCCTATTTAAAGGGAGACAAGTAGTCACTCTGCTGTTTGGTGAAAAGGTGTGTACCACACTGAACATGGACAACAGAAAGCGAAGGAGAGAATTGTCCCAGGACATCCGAAAAAAAATTATAGACAAACATCTTAAAGGTGCAGGCTATAAGACCATCTCTAAACAGCTTGAAGTTCCTGTGACAACAGTGGCTCATATTATTCAGAAGTTCAAGACCCACGGGACAGTAGCCAACCTCCCTGGACGTGGCCGCAAGAGGAAAATTGATGACAGATTGAAGAGACAGATCGTTCGAATTGTATCCAAAGAGCCCAGGACAACCTCCAAAGAAATTAAAGGTGAACTCCAAGGCCAAGGTACATCAGTGTCAGATCGCACCATTCGTCGTTGTTTGAGCCAAAGTGGACTTCATGGGAGACGACCAAGGAGGACACCACTGCTGAAAAAAAATCATAAAAAAGCGAGACTGGAATTTGCAAAAATGCATGTTGACAAGCCACAAAGCTTCTGGGAGAATGTCCTTTGGACAGATGAGACCAAACTGGAGCTTTTTGGTAAGGCACATCAACTCTATGTTCATAGACTCAAAAACCAAGCATACGAAGAAAAGAACACTGTCCCTACGGTGAAACATGGAGGAGGCTCAGCAATGTTTTGGGGCTGCTTTGCTGCATCTGGCACAGGGTGTCTTGAATGTGTGCAAGGTAAAATGAAATCTGACGACTATCAAGGCATTCTGGAGAGAAATGTGCTGCCTAGTATCAGAAAGCTTGGTCTCAGTCGCAGGTCATGGGACTTCCAACAGGACAACGATCCAAAACACACAGCCAAAAACACCCAAGAATGGCTGAGAGAAAAGCGTTGGACTATTCTAAAGTGGCCTTCCATGAGCCCACATCTGAATCCCATTGAACATCTGTGGAAGGAGCTGAAACATGCCATTTGGAGAAGACACCCATCAAACCTGAGACAACTGGAGCAGTTTGCTCATGAGGAGTGGGCCAAAATACCTGTTGACAACTGCAGAACGCTCATTGACAAATACAGAAATCGTTTAATTGCAGTGATTGCCTCAAAAGGTTGTGCAACAAAATATTAAGTTATGGGTACCATCATTTTTGTCCAGCCCTATTTCATTAGTTTTTTTTTTTTTAAATAATTATGTTAATCAACATTTCAAACGTAATGGCTGATTTTGATTATTTAATTTTCAATAAATTTTTATTTATTGTTACTTTTGTAGGTTTCAAGTGATTTCAGTGAGAATTGTGGGTTTTTCCTTCTTTAACTGAGGGGTACCAACAATTTTGTCCACGTGCGTATTCTCATATCAATACTCCAACAGGTTTCTCAACAAACACACTGATGAGTATGTCATACAATCCAGCTTTAAAACTGGAACCATCCCTGTAATGTAAACCTGGGCAGAGAGGTTGTGGACTCACATGTGCGGTGAAACCTCGTAGAAGTTAACCCCTCGGTATCGCTCCATGTGGTTCTTGGTGTAGATCTCCAGCTCTTTGTAGGGGTTCACTGACACCAGAACTGAACCGATGTATGTCTGATACAGAGAGAGAGAGAACATACAGTCAAAGTGAATAATGACAACTTTCACATCACTTCTACTTTCATTCTTATGATATTTGATCATACAAAACCAGAAACTTGTACTTTATGCTCTTTTATTTCCTTTTTAATTCAAGTCGTATGAAATAAGTCTCTATGATGACTAGTCTTTGCCGATGAAGAGTATCTGCTGGATTGGATGGGACTGGATTCAGAGGATGTGGGTTCAGACAAATGCTTCTTTGTGAAAAAGGAAAATGTCATCTGCTTTGTCTTTGTTTCCATGTACTAGTGAAACATTTGAAAACAGTTACACGACAAAGACTGGGCTGTGGTAGTTTTCTGAAACCAATCAAAAATTTACAGCTCCCAATGGCACATGTCTTTAAAGTGAAACACAGCAGAGCTCAGTGGAGTGAGATTCAGGACACCACCCAAAGGTTAAGTTAAAAGAGAGGCTCGAAGGTTAAAGAAAAGCTGTAACTCTGCTGCCACGAGAGGGACGCTGAATAGTTGATTTTTTGGGGGTTTATTTTCTTCTCTGGGGTTTTTATTGATCAGATTTTATTGATAACCTGCTGTGATAACACCATCATTTCCTGATCCAGAATCAGTTATATCCATTCATGCTCATATGGCATCAATTTTTACACACAAAAATCAATATCAACCTCATTTATTCTGCATCAGTGTGGCTCTGGGGAACACACAAGCAGATCAAATTCAGTCACTCACATAGATGAGGTTCTCCTTGAAGCGTTTGCGCAGGTTCTCAATGAAGGCTGCCTCGCTGGTGTAGTTCTCCAGCAGGACAAAATCCTGCACCCCCACCCGATCTCTGGCTGTCAGGGCCGACTCCATCATAGCCCGGACACCGTCACTGGCCACCACCTGCAGGAAGAGAGGAAGCAAGGAAGAGACAAGGTTAGAAAGGGAGGGAGAAACACGAGGGAGAAAAAATATTTCAGTTGGTGGAGAGCAGACAACATATCATCATGTGCCTTTTTCAAGACATGTTTACAACCAGCGATCACTGCCCTCCAGGCATGTCACTGACTCGATCTTGTGGGATGGCAGTAGCTCATTATAGGGCTGGGTGCTAAACCGAAAATTTACCAATACAGAAAATTACGACAATAACCGACGTCATTTTGCCCATGTTAATATATTCGGAGTTGGAGGACGGTTCAAAAGTTGTAGCGGCTGGAGCGGCGGCTGAAGTAGACAAAGTTAATGTGGGAGAGGGTTAGCAGCTTGTGGAGCAGTTATTGTCCATTTATTATTATTGAGGTGAACTGCTCAATATATTGTGATATTGATTTGAGGCCATATCGCCCAGCCCTAGCTCATTCTCTTTGGGGATAAAGGGTTAAAGGCCCAGCTGAAACCAAAGTATGGAGGCTGGGACTGGTTGTTGAAAAAGTGCTGGTTTACTCCATGTGCACAGCCTTTCTGCCTCTAACTGCCTTTAACTCCAGCCACGACCCTTTGCTGCACGTCTTCAAACAGGATTTAATGAGTATGCATATAAATTGATAAGAGATTGACTGATTAATCCTGGGAATTTGGGCCATTTTTACATTGTCTGCATCTTCCCTCACAAGGCCACTGTCATTATTTTCCTTCCTGCATGATAATGCTCAGTTTCTACACACTTTAGCAAGAGCCACATCTTATAATGGTGGGTGATGGTGCTCATGAGGAAAGAAGTCTTTATCCTTGTTTCCTCCTGAGGGCTCAGCAGAGTCAACACAGCATGAAAACCTCTCACAGTACCTTTAACCGACTTATTAAACTAAGCTTAGGCTTGCTTCAGCTTTAAATTTAAGACCAAACCGCCTGAATTAAAAAGCTTTTTGTTAATAAAAGTTGTAGCCCCGAGTCATTTCTTTTTTTTGCACATTTGCACATCATTAAGGCCTTCCTGTCCTCAAAGCTCTCATCACATCTTTTTGGGACTTTTTGGAAATCTCAAGTCCCCCTCGCAGCTTTCAACCAACAATAGAGCACATTCAGAGCAACACAAGTCCCCCTGTTTGAAGTCAAAAACCATTCACAGACCTCAAACAAAACAAAGAGACAACTTTCTGTTTGTTCTCTGTCCAAAGTTTTCTCTGGGAGAGCCTCAGTGCTGTCTAAAAGTGAGAGGAAGTCCAACCCAGATTTATTTTAAAAAAGTATCACTTCAGCTCAAAAGCAACAAGTCACACTCAGGTCACACATATCTAGAAATACAGCCCACAAATGAAGAAGCAGAAGCGGCACTTACATTTTTAAGGTCGCCCACACCTTTGCTCAGGAAGCCGTTTTCTAAAATAGAGGCTTGAGTTTTACGCATGAGATTACGAATGTCAGCCACGTCCATGTTGAACTTGTACTGAAACTAAATCGACTGTGCTCGAAGGTTTGAGACTGAGGCAACAAATGCAGGGACAGAGACAGAGACAGAGACAGACAGCACACGAGCACACAAAGTACAGCAGGTGTTGTTGTTGTGCTAAGCGCTACAGTCGTCTGCATCCCTCAGGAGAGAAGTGAGAAGAGATGAAGGGAGAGAGAAAGAGAAGAGGAGACTTGAGGGAGAAGAGTGTTATTAATTAGACGAGAGAGAAAGATATAAAAGAGAGAAGAAGAGCGAGATAGAAAAAAGATGGAACATGGGATGGGATTGTGTGATCTAATTCATCTTAAAAATGTACTCTACGTGTAAGTACTGAATACAGCCGCCAATTTTACAGTGAAAGTATCAGATACACAAGCAACTCAGCCAGAGTTTTAGCTCCCACACAGGACATTAAATGAGTTACTTAACAAGTATGTCTAAACAAACATGACTAGCATCCATCATAAAGCCGTGTTTATTTTCCAGTTTTGATTGTTTCTTCTACTAAGTTCATTTCACGGCATATTTAGCTGTTTTTAAAAGAAAGATTTTGAATCCAGCCTCTGTGGGAGATCTGCAGCTTCTCAGTCCTAACCTCTTTATCCACGCTCTGGTTTAAAGTGAATGGGATGCTTTGATACTGAGGGGTTGTCTGAAAGGAGGAGGGTACAGACTAGGGATGGGCAATATAGGCCAAAAAATTATCACAATAAGTTTTGCCATTCCGGCAATGACGACAAAAGTCCAGATAAAAAATACTATAATTCTAATCCACGTTTTTGACTCATTCTGTTTTGAGGACACCAGCTGGCATTGTCAAATAAGATACTTAACTACTAGTTTAAGTGGTAGGTTATTGAGAAAACTAGTGAAATGCGAAAACATTTTCAACATTTTTTGAAAACTCCTATCATCCATCCCTAGTACAGACTGGTGTGGAAATGTGCACAGGTGGAAAAACACACCAAAAAAATGGCGAGTGCACCAGGGGAGCTCATGTAAGTACACTGACTCACTGTTGTAGTCATAGAGAGGCCTCAATAATGACCGTCATCTGTTTTATAATCAGTTTAAAATCACAGCAGCTTTAACAAAAACTGAGGTTTAAAATATGTAATAGACGATTTCAGCACATGTCAGTGGGCTTTAATAATCCTCTGGTTTCTTTAAACTTCCTTTCTCATCCTGGCACTCTTAAAACATGCAGCATTATTAAGTTACATTGCTGTAGAGCTGTGGAGAAGATGATGGATGCCAGGGTTATGACTTGAGTCCAGCTCCATCACTTTGTTTAAACTGTAGTGGAAAGCTAACAGTACTCCCTGAAATTCCTCACAGCACTGCCCTTAATAACACAACACTGAGTGCATTAAATCACTGCATCGCCTCTCTTTTTTTCTCTGCAAAACACCACGTGCACAACATCTTGATCAGATTTCTTACAGGTATGCATGTTTGCTCATTTGTTTCAGGCCTAAGTGCAGCGTACCGTGATGCTTCACACACAGGGAGACATTGTGGGATGCTGGAGTGGACCTTAGTCTGTGTGTGGAAGTTTATAGCAAAAGTTCAGGGATATATATATAAATCTTGAGATCTAAGCTAGCATTGCCTGTTGTGTTTATATTCTTTTATTAACAAAACCAGCCCTGGACTTTTATCTTTACAGCTCCTCAGGGAGAAGAGTGGACATGTTAAGAGGGAGCGACTGACCCCAGATAAAAATCATGTTAGGGATGAAAAACTTTTAATATTTTAACTTGATAAGAAGAGATTTAACAACCAATCAGAGAGCAGGAGCAGCCATGAGAGCATGTTTTTCTTCAGTTTGGCTGTTTCACATCTTGTCTTTGAATCGAGTCTTTTCTATCAAACCAGCACTCCACAAGCAGTTCACCAAAGTTTTCTGTAAATGCTTAAATCATAAAAGGCTTTATTGACAGGTGAGGGTCCATTCATTTGCAACTAAACCAGTCCAGCTCTCGCACTGACAGCCAGCACAGTCCTGTGTCAAAGGTCAACACATGTGGGTCAATAATGAGCCAATCAGAGCAGCCTGCAGGCAGATCCTAGCCTCCATCTCTATTGACTGACCTCCATCAAAATAAAAAAAATCCATTTGTTCGGCTGTGATGTAAATAAAACCACCAGCTGCTGTTTGTTTGACAGAGAAGCTCCTTTGACAGTGAATGTTTTCTGCTGCATTTCACCAGACTCGATGCTACTAAAGAAACTTAATAAGGATCGTGAGGAGGCGAAGAACAAACAGTTCTTCATTGCTCAGCACTAATATTAAAAACATTATTCATAATTCAAGTATGAACACAAACGTGAGAGTTTGCATGTCTCAGAGCTCAAACATCTTTGCTTCTCTCACAGCTGGAAACCATGAGCTCTGCTGACCTTTTGTTTCACACATCTCCACAGAAAGCAAAGAAACAGCTGTTTGTGTGTGTGTGAGAGAGTGTGTGTGTGCATGCTTGCTAAGTGCTATACCTTCATTACTTTTAACATGCAATATTTCCTTGTTGGTTAAATTCTGCATTCGATTCTTTGTAGTCTGTAGTAATTTTCCTCAGATGGGAAAATAGGCGCACAAAATGTAGCATTCTGGTTAGGGCTGGGCGATAAAACGATACATCAAAAATTAATTTCTCTCAATATCGATATAAAACATGGTCAACATGCTTTTCGATAGCCAGCATTCTGCCATGTTTTGGTAGACTATACGACTAGCCAATGAAAAGGGGAGTTGCTCTGGGTCCGCTTTGCGCTGAATCAATTATGTGCTGAATTAGAACCAAGTAGCAAACAACTGAGTAGTAGCAGGCTGCAGCTACATGCAACCATAGAACTTTAACACGTGAAGCCAACAGCACTGTCTGTGAGCTAAAAAGAAAATGAGTGCTACCCCCGGCAGAAATGCAGATGAAGGCTCAACAGATGACATCGTAGACAACACTGGCACGAAAAAGTCGGTGGTGTGGAGGTATTTTGTTTTTTTGAGGTCGGACATGAAGCAGAATAATGTGCACTGCAAATTATGTCAAGTATATGTTAAATTTCATTTAAGAGTAACAGGGAATATATAAGATCGACAAATGATTTTTTTATATTGTGATACATATCAATATTGACTGATATGAAAAATATATATCGTGATAAACTTCCCTTATCGCCCAGCCCTAATCCTGGTTTGAGCCAACATCCCAACCAGTACAGCCTACCACAGCAACCAACAAGGTCTCTTATCAAGGAAGAAGCAGCAGTATACAACCCAAATATTATCAAAATTGGGACTCAGGTTGTAGTAAAATGTGTCAACATAGTAGAGAAAAGTCATTGGTAACAGAAGAAGGGAATCTGGGAGGGAGAAAACATAAGGCAGCTTTAATTATTTCATAAATCTAAAGCAATTTTTCACAGCAGTATTGTTTCTTTTATTATATGACACTATTTCACAACTGCACTCGACTTTCCTTGCCTCACAGAAAGAATTGTTTCTGAGGTTTTGGGGGATCCAGGATAGAGCTCTGAGACTTCCTCAAGAGTCTTAAAGGAAAGATTTACAGGGAAGTCTTCTTTTAGTACAGGTGAGGGAATTTATCATCTGGAAACTGGTTAAATCACAGCTAGGAGAAGCAAACCTGACATGCATTTACTTGAAGATGTCATGGTTTATTACAAAACCCTCCAAATATTATGGCGCCTGGGAGGAAAGAAACCAGAGCCTTGTTTCCTCACCTCTCCCCCCTCTTCCTCCTCTATACATTTCTATCTTTCATTCACTCTCCCTCCATGTTTCAGCCTCTCTCTCTCTCTCTCTCTCTCCATTACTTCATTGTTTCCCTGTTCTGCTTTCACTGTTTGACTTTCCTGAGTGCAGCGCCGCACACCGGACCTCCACCCGGTCTCAGGAACACAACAAGTGCCTGGTTCTGAGGTGGCGTAATGTTTTCCAAATCCTGTGCAGCAAACAAGGCCGTCTGAAGCTGGGTTAGTGAGAGGGGACCTGAAAGGACCTGAAACACACTCCTGAAGAAGCTGAAGCATTTTGTTCTTATCAGAGCGGACATCCACAAGCTCTTTTACAAAGGAGGAGAGATGAAGTAGAAACAGCAGCTGACAGCGAACTAACTGTAGCAGCATTTTAAAAGAGGATTAGACACTTATAAAAACTGACATCTTAAGATTTATTATGAATCTAGAGCAGCAGAGGTGTTTCCGCCTCCTCAGGTCACTAATCAAACAAACATTTGTTCTTATTTTTCATCAATATGTTTTCATTCAAATGAGTAACTTACAGTATATTAGAAGTGGTACGCTTCAGTGGTACGCTTGATAATGCAGGGAAGAAAGTGACTCAAATAAGATAGAGGATGACTTTTAGGTTACCTGTGCTTTTTACCAACATTGATAAAGTAATGTGTTGCTCCAGCTTGTCTTGTTTTTTCGTTTGTTAATTTTTTTCCATATCTGGATATCAGGATAACACTATTATCATGATGTTTAATGGCCAAGACAACTATGAGGTGAAAATCTGATGTCTTGACAGCCATAGAGAGATAAGCTACCAACACAGACGTATCAAAATGAAAAAGTTGTCTCTGCTTGAAGTCTTTGGCACTAACTCTCCAATACAACAACAAGAAGTAGAGAAAGGGGTAGAAAGCAGAGGGATTTGACCCTCCAGTCGGCCTGAGAACAATGGTGACTTGACCTTTATGTCGCCCTGGGTGCACACAGAGCTCAGATGTCACAGTGTTTATGTAAACCTCCTCTAACCTGCTGCTTTTAGCGCACCATGCAGAGGTCAGGAGGGAAGAGGTATCAAGTGTCAATCCTGTGTTTATCTTTTTGGGAATGGTCATACTCTCAATTTTGATTAATATATCAGGGATTGAACAATTTTAAGCAAGCAAAACCTTTTATTTTTGTATTGCAATAATAGTTTGTTTTTGAGAAGACAATTAAAGGTTCACAGAGTGCCCTAACCAACCGGACTAAAGACTAAAAGGTGCAGCAGTCTGTCTTCTTCTGACTTATACAACGTATATATTTACAAATCTCCAGTATTGTCAGCTAAATGAGGGAAATGAAGAAACGTTGAAGCTACCAGCAGAATGTATTTGCTCTTTTCTTCTGCATTTTTCCACAATGAATCAGCGGTCTGGACCTGATTCCTTTCTTCTCTGGTCTGTGCTGCACAGGCTGGCAGAGAGAAAGGGGCATGAAGTGCGAAAACGCTGAAAGTCAAGATTTAGTTTTGAATGTTGTCTTTGTTGAAGAGTAATAATGATTCCAAGAGTGACATAAGAAGCCCTGCAAGAACCAGAAGTACCCAACCTGAACCACTACCTCCAAACAAGGTTTAAAGTAGACCCATTATACTGAGCTGTACATTGATACATGCATACAGAGTTACACTGTAGGATATACAGTATGTATGCTTAAACACACACATCCAAAAAAAAATCGTGGGAAGATTTTGTGCTTTCAGTACAACACTATAACGGTTTGTACTCATTTCACTGCTGACTCCTTTGTACGATCTGGACTGTTACAGAAACCTGCGGCTGTTAAATCTATTAAGACCATGGAGGCTCTAAACCACAAACTGTAAGTCATGGTACAACCGCAGCTAATGTAATCATTGCCAATGTGGCTAGACAGAGAGCTAAGTCGGTGCTAACAGCTAGTCTCTGCTGTTTTCTGTAACGGTTTAACTTTCAGATCATTTCAAGACTACCAAATGAGCTAAAATGAGGCATTTCAGGCAGGGGCTGAATAATGCTGAAGTGAAGGTTTTCACATACCCCACTATAAGATACATAAGGAGTTTTCTGAGGAGAAGATTATGCAGAGTTACCCTAAATATGAGAATGACTGTAACAGTTCCTTTTTAAGAGCCTATGAAACGGCATAATAGTACTTAATCATGAGATTCTAAGAATTATGAGATATTTTTACATCTAAAGCCAAAAAGACACTGAAATAGCAGGAGTCTAAGGTTCAGATACTACCTGAGGATGTCTGAATCTACAGCTGTTCAGTGACCACAGCATCAGCCTTCACTCAGGCATCGAACTCAAAGAACTGAAGATGTAGCAGCTTGTGAAGCTGATGATAATGACAGCTATATCATTTGATCCGACCGCTAGATAAAGAACTTATTCCTGACCCTGCTGACCTTTTACATCTAAATTCAGCTTTTTTATTGGGTGTATTTCAGTTGTGTTTTATAATCATTTAGGAATCCTATCATGATGCAGTTTGTCAGCAATTTACAAGTTTTTTCTCTATTGACTGCTGCATGGTTCATGTTTTATGGGGTAGTTGTGCGACATACAATTCAGTAATGGTGCAGTTGTTAACTTTGGTTGTACTAGGAGGAAATTATGCTTTAAAAGTGTGTCTTTTCATATATGTGGTAGTTATAATGTTGAACTGCTGAGACAATGCTGCTGAAGACAGGCTGAAGCTAAGACAAGAGAAATGAATCCCACAGTTAAATACAGATAAATGCATGACAAGATTGTATGAATCAAAGTGGAGGTACATATACCAATAATGATGCAGCTGAATGGAGGTTCATCAAAATTCATGGACATGGTGTGGAAGCCTTTTCCTATTCTACACCTGAACAAGCTCCAAGCTGATTACCATTTTGATTATGATTACCATGGAAACACCCCTCCAGGCGGAGTATGTTACTATCAATCCCCAGAGACAAAGCAGCTGCTCTGCAGAGCAGTCAGACAGGTGGGACGAGCTGGTCGAGTCGCCTGCAGGCTGCAGAAATGCTACCAGCCGACCTAAGGGCATGAGGGCCAAAACAACACAACCTACAGCTGAGACCCTGTGAGCCCTTCATGGACCACAAGTTCACCCAACCTGATTTAAATAATACCATGCACAAAACACCAATCTGCTGCATTTCTACCAGCTCCAGGAATGTTACACCCTGAACTTGGACTTTGATCTGGGAGGGGCAGGAAGCAACTGAGCAACTTCCTGACTTAAAGCTGCACAAGACATCACAATTTCATCTTTATAAAATCATACACATTCACATTAAACACATGGTAAAGGTCTGATTTTTTTTGCAAGAGAACATTATATTAACAAGGTCCCCTTTTTTCATGGAACTAAGTGTTGAGATGACATTCATGAATGAATATATTTTTTTTTTGTATGTATTTGCAGACGCGGATCAAAGGTTCATGTTGCAACCAGATTTTACACGATAATTCTCTGTAACATGATTCATCACACGTTCACACCTGCAGATAAAATGCCTATATCAAAGTGCATCTCAGTTCCAGGTCCAAGTATCCAAGCAGGCAGAAAGATTCAACCACATGACTGCCTCTATGTCACCTCTATCAGTCAGAGCTCCAGCAAACACCATCAAAACACTACCAGACCCCTACCTGCTCCCTGTATGATGTCTCTGAGTCTGAACCTTAACATGGCACAGCCCCTGTATTCATGATTTTGGATGAAAAATAAAGAGATGTTTTAAGATAGTACATGGTAGCTGGGGGCTTATTATTATTAATTAGAAAACTCTCTTGTTTAAAACTGGGTTCTTAATTTACACACGGACACCAACTGAGCAGTGAGGGGGGCTCAAAGATAGATGTAAAGAGCGGTGGAGATTAAAAAAGGAGAAATATTTCCTGTAACCTGGTTTTCAATCATTTACAAAACTTACCTTTAGCCAACATGATTCATTACTTTTTTTTACAATTGAATTTCACTGTGGGATCAAACAGAGAGTTGTGCAAGTTGCTTCTTCTACCTCCTAGACAATACTTCAAAATAAAAGCACTTCAAGAAACAAGGGGAGTCCCTGCACATAAAAACAGATCAGATTTTTGCTCTGAAAAGTTTCCCAGATGGGCCTTATTGTCATGCATGTGACATATGAATAGCTGATTTAAAGCAAATACAGCCCTTCGCTTAACATTTGTCTGTATACTTTGGCAGAGATCCACTTGCAGCTTGCAGAATTAAGTTCAGGTGGTCTGATGTTAGCATGCATGTGAAAATAAAAGTTATGCGGCCAACAGTCAGACTTAATCAGCTAATGTCCAAAAACGAGCCAATTTTGCAGTGGATTCATATTGATTCATGCGCTACAGTGTGAACAGTGATAGAGATAAATATTAACTCGATAGGAGAGACAGATTTCAATCTCTATACTCGATGGGTAGCTGAGATTCACCACAGTTTCATTCAGAAGTTTGAACAGCAGGACTTCTAAAGCTGAAATTGCACTCGCACAGGATGAGTCCTCTATTTCCTGATTTTGACTACCTTTAACCTACAACCTCAAAATCACAAATCACTCATTTGAAGGAAACAGTTAGGAGTAAACCAGTCAAACAGAAGAATTTAGCAACTTTCACTCACCCGACCCCACCGATACTCCATGAGGAAACAGCTTTGAGGGTTTCAAGTCATCAGGATCATATTCCAGATAGAAAAATCCAGCTCATAAAGCTGCTCAAGTGCTTTTTACCTGCCAAACTGCATCATAAGTGAGATTTAATGCAGCGTCGAAAATCACGAGCTTGAAGAAAGTGAGGCGAGTCCTACATAAACTACCTACTGCACTCGAGACAGACGCCCTGCAGGCAGCAATGACAACTGTGTCAGGAATCTCCCAGTGCATTGTACTCTCCTAACAAGTCTGTCAGTCTTTCACCTTACACACACACAAACGCACACATACACACACACTGCTGCAGGAGTGGGGGCTCATAAAAACTGATCAGATCCATATGGCTGCATGTGCCAGAATGTGGGGGTAAATGAGGAGTGAGTGCGGGAGTTCTGCTGAGGAGCAAGTTTCAGTGTTTCACCAGTCGGGTCAAACATCTACAGTGACAAAAACAACAGTTCGATGTAAAACATATTTATAACAGGGAGAATTATCTTCCTCCAAAAACTATCAGAGAACTGTGAGAGAGTTTTGACTGATTTAGGAGTAAAATGACACAAGATTGACACAAAGACCACAGTATGACTAAAATCAGCATGACTACAATCAACCACAATTTTCTGAAAATGACAGAAAACTAAAACTTATTAACATTTCTTGTCAAAATAAGCTCTGTATGATATTTAACAAGAGCCTGTCAGGGAGCAAGATTACTGACAAAGCAAATAAACAAAAGCAGCTGACAACCGTTGGAAACATGAAAAGTATTGCTGATGAACAACAGAACTTGATGATTTGTGGCGACAATTCGGATTTTCCTGTCAAATATATCACAATCAAACTGACGAGGAGAGGTCTTGAACAGAAACTGGCCCTGCCATGGATTTACCAAGAAGCTACTCAGCTGGCAATGTTTAGCTTGACAACCATGTTTGTTTACACTAATATCATGTTCGATTGTGAGAGATTTGGAAAGATGTGACCCTACTGGTCACACCGTAGCACTAAAGGAATTAAACTTATTTTTAAGATTGTACATCTTTTTTTAAAAACACTAAATGTCTTAAAATGGAATTTTCACACTTGAGTGCATTTTTTAAAGTTTAAATGAAAACACCCAAATATTGGTACATAGAAATAGCACAGATCTACTGAAACTAGAACAAGCTGGAAGGGAGGACTCCAATCAAAACTATTCTATCCTTGTATATCTATGATGTGAGAACACTGACACGTCTGTCTCAGGCTTCTCACTGAACTTTTTGCTGGTCAGCTGAACGCAGATAAAAAAGCCTCTGTTAAAAGACCAAGAAAAGACAGCAACTCCTAATTTGCATAGTCAACTAACATTGGAAACAACACTATCACTGAAGTTTATGTAAAAATCATCACAGACACAGATCCTGACAGTCTTGTGAAAAACATGTTGCAAAATATGTTGCAGTTACATACACAGTTAAGTCGAGATGCAGTCATAACTCAATTAGGCACTTTAACTGGACTGTTCTCATCCCAGTTTACAAGCACTGGGCAAGAATCAAATCATGGACAGAAGCATGTCTGCTATCACTGCAGTAGGGGGTGACCATAGAGTGTATATAGAATGGACGTCGTCTGCCTCCTCGCTGGGTGAAGCCACTCTGAGAACAGCACACCCTGGTGACGGGCTGCAGTATAGGTCATAAACCCCGACTCCGTCAGCCATCCTTACGGGGCTGTCAAACTTAAAAAGTTTAAACACGGAATCAATTTTTTTTCCCCCTGCTTGTGATGTTGACATGTAGTAACTGTTAGACTGGTTTGTGCTCAAGTCTTATTTTTTTTCTGTGCAGCTCCGTTTTTAAAAGTTATTAGGGGGTTCATGTTTTCTATGATTGACACTTAATACAGCCTATGGGCGTACGAAGATTGCATAGCTCAGCCAGGGGATACACTGTTTGAGACAAACGTCATCATAGCGACTCATAGCGACTCTCCTGCCGAATGCATACAATGCTACTGTGCAAGTGGTGGAGTGCGTACAACGCTACTGCTACTGAAGTGGAGAAAAAAACGCGGAATTACAGAGAGCTTTTTTGGCTTCAAATCCATATACTGGCAGAAGGCGGAACAAAGTTGTCCATGGTATATACAGTCGATGCTGGTGACATTCTGAAAGCTGTCGGTCTCACAGAGCGAGTGGATTTTACAACAACTATTTTCCCCAAATATAATTTGATCCTACTTTCTTCAAAAAGTTTCTGTTACAGAGCTAAGAGGCTGTGGTGGAGTTTGGTGTCTGGAGGCTTAAAGTCGGATTTAATCTGATACATTAACAGACTTATTCATTGACACACTGACTTTCACTCCGACTGACTGCCAAAGAATGCTGCCGAGCCACACAACACCACTGTGCCACTGCCTCGCCCTGAGATGGTGCAAAACACACACACACACACACACATACACACACACACACACTGAGTGAAGTTGAGGACACACCTTCTCAGATATCCAACAGATTCAAATTCATGATCAAAGTGACAAATACAGAGAGACGGTGAAGAGGATGCTGGAGGATGACGGTGAAGGAGGGCGTAAACAAAGTTTTCCTGATGAGAAAGACGTCTCAAGTCCAGAAAAAACTGCGTGTTCACCTGTTTGTCCCTCACCTGTGTGTCCTTGAAAGTCAAGAGCACACTGCTGAGGCTTTTGCACAATAAAGCAGATCCTTCAACTCAGATCACCTCCATCTCTCCAACAATAAGAAATCTCGTCCCACATGCAGCTTCAAACTTCAGCCCTAAAAAGTCCTGATTCCCTTATTTCTAAGTGACTTGGGTTTGATTTCTTACCAAAGGTCTGTACTTCATGGCTCCTTCCTGCTCTCGAGTGATCCGGTCTGGGTTTCTCTCTGCTCCAGCGGCACCGTTTTAGTCCAGCTATAAGAATGTGGCCTCCAGCACTGCGTCCCTCCACTATTTAGCCTGGGGTTTGTTTTTAGAAGCTCGCCCCTCAATCCTGAGACCCAGCTGCCATGGCTTCTCCTCTTACTGCTCGCACACGCTCAACACACACCTCGCTCTGTCTCCTGCTCGCCACTCGTTTGCCCACTTCTCTCCTCCCTCCTTACAGAGGAAACAGTCCCTGTGTTAGGTGACACATAACCCCCTCCTCCTCCTTTTTTCCCTTTCTCTCTGTGTTTGCCTTTCCCTGTCGCCCTCTTCTTAATCCAAGAGGCACTTATGTTAAATAACTAACCATAGTTCCTTTAATTTTCTGCCCTCTCTGCACTCAAGAGAAAAAAAAGAGGACTGAGGGTTTAAGAGAGCTAAAATAATCTCCTGTCATCTGCACACACAGTCACATCTGGCCAAAACAAACCCCTGGAGAGAAAAAAGGATGAGAGGGAAAAGTCTGTCCTGATGCCAAAGTGGTCAAAAGTGTGTGTGGATGAGTGTATTGAAGCATGCATGTGTGAAAGGAGAAACTCTTGAGTCATAATTGCCAATAAATAATCATTAGATCATGCTGGAAGAGTTTCCTCTTCCTTTCTTCATTCCTTTCCTTTCCTCCTCCTCTCCTAACTTCTGGATTTACAAGCTGAGGCAGAAACCAGACAGGCAGCCAAGACATCCACTGTCATAGATTTATGGCTGCATCCAGCTCACACACACATACACATACGAGTCCTAACATACATATATACAATAACACACGCTTGCATGCACAAGGAATCACCATCATTAGTCCAATATCATTACAGGGAGTGTAATTACTCCAGACCAGACACACACACACACACGCTCACACACACACTCACTGCAGATCAAAGGCCTCAGCCGTCTAATGCATCTGCTTGTTAACACTAATAACAACTGACATCTAACAGGCAGTGGGCGTGCTGTGGCTGAGAACAAAGAGGAAGACAAATTTCCACCAAAGCAGCAGCCCGACTGAGACACACGCATTAATGAGTCTGAAGCATGATGGTGATATTCCCAGAAAACACCTGACAGTCTGCTTACTTCAGCTTTTTGTCGGGGTGATCAGACTTTAGGAGACCCACTATGCTGATCTATGCTTCAACACACACGTATGATGTTGTAAACAAAACTAGCTAACTTTCCAGCAATGCTCACCTGCCCTGCTGAGACTGTTATAACCACTGAAATCTGATAAGCCATTAAACTGCAAATTTTACAATAACGGTCTGCTGTTTCTTGATAGTTCTTCACAGCTGTTGCCATGGAGAACTAGGGGTTACCTGGGGTTGCCACGGATGCATACCTAGCCAAAAAGGATGCCAATGATGCTGATTTATAGAGATTCTAATAACTTTGCTTTCTCTTGGTTTGAAACACATCAAGACATTATCCCAAGTCTTTACGCGAAGCTGAGATAGCTTCCTTGATGTGTTTGTCTTTATTTATACTCGGGTGTCCTGATACAACATTTTGACTTCGATACAATACCAATATTGTACCCTTCAATATTGACCGATACCGATCCTATATTGGCACAAAATTTTGCATGACAAGTTCTGCAATCAGCTGCAATGTCTTTTTCAGACTTTAACAAAACATACTGCCACAGGGCCAACATCACTGTTACTCCTTGCTACTTTGTTAGTGCCTTAGTACACACTGTTGTTGTGATTTTGGGGGCTCTGTATGCTGGATCCAGGCGCTGCTAGATAGAGGTGCTGGAGTGAAGTCTGGAATGGACTGCTTGTATCGGAATGCTGATATCAGAGATTTTACATACAGGCTGATATAATACAATATATATATATATATTTTTTTTTTTTTGCTGATATCCGACCGATATCAGATATCAATATCGTATTGGGACACCCCTAATATACACTATTACGTTTTATTTATCAGTGTCTATGTTGGCAGGTTTTCAGCTTGAAAAAGAAACAAGGGAGATAAAGTTAATGGACAGAAGTAAAACTGAATGATGGCGACACTCCTGAGACCTTGTGGGTTCTCAATGTCGAATAAAGCAAAGCTCACTCTTGTAGGTTTTTGTTGAGGAGGCCACAAAGTGCAGCTTCAAAGAGCAGCGCAGCAGCAGGAAAGCCTGATTTTATCACCTCATTAGGATGACCCGCTGCCTCCTGCTAATCCGGGAAAAAAGTCCCATGAATCCTGAGAAGTGGTGCTCACTTCCCTGGTATAATTCTGCATCTCTAAATCTATCTGACATCTACAGCCTGAAGGGGAAACAATCTGAGTTTCCAGTATGGTTTATATTATGAAAAAGGTCAGACCCTGGCTCATAGCTGAGGCAAAGTCTACCTCAAGGTCACTGTACTCGTTCTGCTATTCATGATTTTTTCTGTATGCTTTGTTGCTCCTCCTCTTAGACAGAAAGGTGCTCAGAGTCTTCCAGTTAACAGAAAAGCTCCTCTATGTACAATGAGTAAAGATGAAATCAGCTTTACTTCATAACACAATAAACCGAGTAAAAGTTCTCTGTAATTCATTCACAGACGGATCCTTTGTCTCTTATCAATGAGCACTACAGGGACAAATGAAGGAGAACACACCTTGGAGAAACAGCAGCACTCTTTCTCCCTCTCTCTCTCTCCTCCATGCTGCCCTCTACTGGCCACTTTGGTCCAAGTGTAACTCAATGAGCAGCCATGAGGTTTTTGCTGAGGCAGACATTGAAATGTCTCAAAATAACTCCATCTCGATCTGCCTGCACACTCAGAGAGGCGCTTACTCTGTCCTCAGCTCTGAGGTGTCAGAGATTGAACTTTGTATACCTCCTTCAATCCTTTACCCCCAACCCCCTCACTCTCTTTCTCTCTCTCTTAACAGTGCCAGTATAATCAGAGCCCCTGCTGCAGGAATCTGAGTAATGTTTTCCAGACGCTCTCTCTCTCTCTCTCTCTCTGTCTGTTTGTGTGTGTGTTCGCCTCTCTCACCACTGTGTTAGAGTTCGCCAGTCAGACAGCTGCAGACAAGCAAACATACAAAGAAAAATGAGTTGTTCAACTAGATGTGTTTGTTTTTTTTAATACGTGCTCGTGTCTCATGCAGAACCTGACTCTTGGTGAGTGTGCAGACTGTTGAGGTGAGTGTGTGTGTATGTGTGTGTGTTTCTGCAGGCTCATGCTGAGGCAGCATATCTCTGCAGTGTTGGAGGTAGGAGGGGCTGGATCTGACCCCTAGTATCTCTGTCAGCTGTTGGACTTTAACCCTTTCTTATCCTCTTTTCTTGCCCCACTTCCTCTGCTTTACTTTCATCCTAGGTCAAAGGGTTTTTTCTGCTCTTTCTTAAAACCACAGTCTTGTTTTTACATGGTCAGATTCCAGTTTTAATTACAATTATGTCTACTCATGATCCTAAAAATGTGATAATCAAGACTTAATGGTTCTGCACGCCTGTTGTGCATCTGTAAGTTGCATGCTGTACAACAGATGTACAAACTCCCCATAACTGGGCAGCCCTTTCATGCATGCAAAATTCAAGAACACATTTTTTGACTTCTGCAGGAGTAGACCAGCAATTCCCATTTCCTGCAAGATTCATGTATTGTTCCAGTGAGTGCATAGTTTGTGGACATATTTTGATGGGGTGCATTTTGGCAAGGGAGATGCATAGCAGCCATAGCAGCAAATTTCACAGCTCCCAGGATCAAGAACACCAGATTTCATCTGTCATCTTTAGATTTAAAAAAAAAACTCTTAAGATGAGGATGACTCCACAAACAAAAAAAACAACAACTGCAGTACATTTTTATCTGCTGGGATAAGATAGAGAATCTGTCTTCTCCTCCCACATACAGGACATCAGTCCCTCTGCCTACACACACAAGCTGAGGTAACTTTACAACATATTCAGACTATCTTTACAGCGCTATGGTAATAAATGATCAGAAATAAAGGCCATTATAAAGGGCATAAAGCCATGGAAACAATACTTTCACTGTTCTTTTATCTACCACTTGGCAGGCGGAGGAGCTTTTTGATGTCACTTTCAACCTTCTGGCCTTTGAGTTTATTTTATTTACTTAAGGAGGACCGTGGTTGTACAGTCCAGGTTTGAGATGAGTTAATGATTGTACAGTTTACCAAACTCTCCACCAAAGTATGCGTGTGGTAGGTCTTTAACGAAACCAAAAAATGTTTGATTAGCTCTCCTTCCTTCCCCTTAAAGCTCAGTCTGTGTCAATGTGCCTCTCCATCGCTCTCACTCACCACTAAAGGGAAAGAAAATCAAACATTTGGTTGTTTACATTGAGGGGAGAAAAAAATGCTTGAATCCCACTGACCACTAAGGGAAATACATGTGGCCTCGACTCCGTGGGAAATCCGAAAATGGGAACTTGACTTTCCCCTCCTGCTCCCTCACTCTCCTTCTCTCTCTCTCCTCTGTTCCCCTCCCCTAAATATTTCTTTCCTCTCTCACTTCCTCTGCAGCAGTTTGTTCAGAGTTATCTCGGATATATTTAGAAATTTTCCACTCTCATTCCATTGCCCATATGATCCGGAAACAAGGCTTGGGAACGTGTTGTTGAGTAACATCATACCGCAGAAGAATACCACATTTATTACACCATATTACCACATTTAACTGCTCTGCTGTGCTGCATTAAAATGACTTTACCTAAAGATGCTTCAGAAAAACTGGCTTTATATGCCTGCAACTTTTGACAGCAGAAAGGAGTTGATTCTATTCTTTATTTTAAAATGTGGAGTTTTATTTTGATGCCAAGATTCATTGTGCATTTTCTCAAAAACCCCAAACCTTTGCTCATGCAATAAAAAGGTCCCTGTTTGTACTTCAAGGGATATTCCAGCGTAAATTTAAGTTATGGTCAACCACCGTAACACCACATTAGACACCCCTTAAGGGATGAATGTTGCCGACTGCTTGCTTCTTTAGCTATACCATTTTCAGCAAAAACCGCATGATAGCAATACACAGCGGTCTACATCTCCATGCGCAAACCTCAACCAAAAAGCCACTCTATGGCCACAAATAATGCTCAGAACAGCACCTAACTTCATCAACAGTACATATAGGGTCCCAGCCACAGTACTAGTCACTAAACATCTTTTTGGCTTTGCCTGGTTTCTTTAGCAAAGAGACTAAACACAACTAACCCACTCTCCTCCAGCAGCCGCTTGTTTGTGAGGGAGCCCTGATGAGTCAATCACAGAGTGCAGCGGAGTTTCGCAGCTAAAGGATGAACATTTAGGATTATCACTTCATGGAAATGTGATCAGACCGAGAAGAACTACCACATTTGCAGTGCAAAATAATTTTTGTAATGATTATAACATCATGGAAATGATCCACTGCACTCTGTGATCAACTCGTCAGGGCTCCCCCACAAAAAGCAGCTGCTGGAGGACAGTGGGTGAGTTGTGTTTGGTTTCTTATCCCTTTAACTTTGCTCTGCTAATGCCTAAAATGTAGATTTTATGCACTACGCCTGCAACTCGGTTAAATATCCTTAAGAATACGACAAAAGTTTTTCAATAAAGATGTGTCTCTTGTCCTCTCTCTTTAGTTTGCTCGTGCTTACAAAACGTCCAACAGAGGATATCGAGAACAACTGCTAGTGCAAGTGTCGGGCTGCCCTGGACACCACTGGCTGGGCAGTCTAGGCCTAAGTGCTTTGTTTTGAAGGCTACAGTCCTTGTCCCACTAGTTGCATGACTGATTCATGATCCATGGTCTGTTGCTTGTCATCCTCCCTCTCTCTCTCCCCACATTTCCTGTCTCCCTCTCTCTCTCAAGCGGTCCTCTCAAAAAACGACAAAAGCCCCAAAAATAAAAAGCTGCCTTTGGCCACAATGTGTCACTTGATCCCTACCACACAATCGTGATCATGAGTGACTTAATCAGGTCAAAGTCTGTACAAACACTGATGACTTATTTCAACCAAATATTGCATCAAAGCTGATGTCATGAGAAAAACCTGCCCACAGTCATCCTGTGAGGACTCAGGGTTTCCCCATCTCATCATGTGCAAATCTTGCTCTGGTTATGACCTTGCATGGTCACACACGCTAGGCTGAAAAACATGCTGAAATGCTCCTTTAATTCCCCAGATACCACCACCAGCCTAATAGTACAAAAACAGCAAAGGTGTGACTTTATTAAATAATCAAAAAGGGGATAATAAGGCCATGATACTGTTTACTTTGTGAAGTGGACAGCCTGGTGTTTCAGATAACATTAGGGATGCTCTGATCCGTATAATAGATCAATTTCTGGCAGAAAACTGACCTCATTAAGTTGACTATCAGTCATAACATGACTAGTCCACATCACACTCTCTATATCAATGTCATCAGATGATCAAATATCTCCTCTAGTGGTTGGATGAATTCAGTCACAGCAGACGTGGCCTGAGGGAGTTTCACTCCCCCGACATGTGCGAGAAGCAATCTCTAAAGAGGAACTGAATAAACCATCTACTTATTTATGCATGGCCTTGTGGAGTTTTTGACCACTTGTACAACAATAAAACAATGGTTTAACATGCTCCCTGTTTTGTGTGTATTGAAAATGCAAGGCCAAATCTATTTTACTGCAGACAATGTCTTTTTTGACTCCTTTTTGGTTTTAGCAAACACATCTAGAGCCTCATTTTCATTACTGTAATACAGTACTTCTTAATTGTTAAGGTCAAATTGTCAAATGTCCAGAAAACTCTGCAGACTAATCCATCAGCACTACACTGTTGCATCATTACTAGCTTACTCTTGATTGCACCGGTTTGTTTTCAGTCTGTGCTGCAAAAGTTTCATCAGACTGATCAATCCCAGGCTCTAAGGATGCTGAAACAAACCAGACTATGACATCACTTACACAGCGTGGGACCGGGCCTTGTTGCCTCATAGCACCACGAAACAAGAATCCGCTGACGCCGAAGAGATTATCCTGGGATGGACCGATGATGGAAAAGTAGGAGATAGTAAAATATGTGAGCAGGTCTGTAAGTCCACTCTGAGGTTATGTTTATATTGTGATCCACTTGATTCAGTGACTGAAAAACAGCCTTTACAATAACGTCCTCTGGAAGAATATGAACAGTGAAGTACAGCCAGTATCAGAGCTCCACCCGTCTCCATTACATTATCCTTAAGATTGATTTTACAGATCACTCAAAGCTTCAGTCCCATTGGGCAGAATTACACTATAGCTGGCTCTCACCCAAAAGAAATATGTCTGCTCCTGGAACATAAGACACTCTATATGTTATGTTCAAATGAGAACACCACATTTAGGGGAATTTCGGTCTTTTTGGTTTACTTAACAATTATTTGATGACAGATTTTCAAATAATCCATCACCAGGTCCCTGGTGAATCACTGGCTTTGGAGGATTCTATACAAAGATTCAAATTCATCTGCAATACTTAATAAAAGAAGCATTAACAAAAAGACATGAAATAAGAAGTGGTTTTGGATTTAAAGCTACTTGTGAAGCAAATTGATCTCCTAAAAATCAAGAATGTAAACTAGATAACACCTCTTCTTGACATGCGGTTTGTTGGTCAGTTCTTTGAACTTTTTCAAAAGGGTACTGAGAGTCATGCCAAAGTGAAAGCTGTGAAATAATTCCCCTTTAGTGGATCTTCCTGGATGTTTAAACATTCGCAGAAGTTGTTTTCTGTTAAAAACAAACAGACCCATCAATACCAACCAGTTTAAAAAGTGAACAAAGCAGTTTCATGTCAAGAATCTGGTTTCTGTTGCTTTCTGAGCAACATAGGATGTCAGGGGGAACTGCCAGCTGAGCTGCCACAATCTTATTTGTTGGTGCTAGGTATGCTTTAAAGTTTTTGTCCGAGGTCCTCATGTTAAAATCTAATCCTTCAACACTCTTCCTCAGACATAGCCAATCAAAGAGGGGCTGCAAACCGAGCTGCTTTTCACTTGTTTATGAGTCCTCCACAAGTCAAAGGTACCAGGTCATTAAAAGATTTAATCTAGGGGTCTCAAAATAAATGTTTTTACAAGATGTTTACATGGCTGGGCTTTGGGGACAGCAAGCTGAGCTGCCACCAAGCCTTTTACTTACATCACAGGCGGACTAACATGGTCTTACAAAATATTCAAAAACAATGGCTACACAAGCTGATCACAGAGAATGATGCTGGCGTTTTATGAAGAGTTGAGCTGAATTAAGTGACAGAGGACCATCAGGATTTGGCTTAAAATTTCAAAACTTTGCGTCAGGCATGCCCCTCATAACGTACTTCCAACCTCGTCAGCTTTTATATCCCTCACTGATCACCCACAGGACAGCTCCACTTTCTCTTCCTTGTCTCTTTCTTTGTGTATTGTTACTTTCCAGGAGCAGGACAGACTTTCTTCCTGCTACTCTGCAGGCTCCTGCACTAAAACAAAGTCAGTCTTGAAAGCGGCACCGATACAAGTCATCACAACGACTACATAATAAATACTGCACGACCTTTTGGCCTGTGTTTACTGTGTAGTACACCCATCAGTGCAATCAGAGAGAGAAAAGCCAGAGATGGCTCAAACCCTGACCTGCTGGCTGCAAATCAAAGGATAAAGAAAATACTAAGTGCCTTAAAGTGCCTCGCTAAACCCTTAAATGCCTGTTTAAAGCTGCGGTAAATCTACATGCTTACCCCACCAACCAAAACACACTCACCCAAACAAAATCCTGACACTGACCAGACTTTCATTCCAGCATCAAAAAACTTTTAAACCATGAGCATTTTAGGATTCTTACAGGAATAAGCTGAGTACATGCACCTCAGGTATAGAAAACTGATTTGTGAAGCTCTTACCCCACACTTCTATAAATTTTGCTAAGAAGCACTGATGGATAATTGTCAGACTTGTTGTGATTGCACATTATTTAAATTATTCCCTTTTAAGGAAAACACCACACATTATTGGTTCAAGATATTCAAGAGTCAACTTAAGTCCTACTTCAGCCTCAAAAAGTCCCACTATCTGGATGGCTGGTATTTAAAATGTTAACATTAGGATGGAGTCCAAATAGGGCGAGAGAGTTACTCAACCAAAATGGACAAGAAAAATAAATGGCAGAGGAAGAGTGGTGATGATGTCAGAACAAAAGAATGCAAGACATGTAGGCGGCAAACGAGAGTCGGAAAAGACACGAGAAGAGAGAGAGAGTGAGAGAGAGAGAGAGAGAAGTTTAGTGATGTAGAAGTATGAAGAAAGAGATGGAGAGGCAGGAAGCTGGTGACAGATGGTGAAAGTGTCAAAGGAAGGAGGAATTAAGATATGAATGAGTGTGTGTGTGTGTGTGTGTGTGTATGTGTATGTGTGTGTGTGTGTGTGTGTGTGTGTGCTCTGACATAACTAGCAGTGTGTCAGCTAACTGAGGTCCAGCCCCTTTATTTGCACAAGGGGGTTCCCAGGAGACAAATAAACTCCTCTGTTCCCTTCTCTATTTTTGTCTCTGTCTCTCTTTGTCATTTCTGCCTGTCCCTGCTTGTCTTCTTTCTGTCCCTCTTCTGTCCTGGAAACATTTTCAGAATAAAAGCATTTGTGCAATAACAAGTAAAGTCTCTTTGCAGGAAAAAGGATTGGGCTTTTGCTTTGAAAAGAATTTCAGAAGTGCAATCCGTGTATTTTTAAATCTGTTTTTTTGTGTATTTTTACTCACACAGGTGGTCTGAGAGGTCTAGTTTGTTAACATGATTGCCAAAAATCGAATCCGTCAACATGCTCCCTATGAGATGAGCCAAGGTTGGGTATGGTTTGTTGTGGAAACACGAGCAAGATCAGGGTAAACTATACCAAACCCTCTTGAACCAAACTGGTCTGTTTGGTGAAAATAGCTTAAACTGTGTTATTATAACAGTGCTAGATTGCAGAATGAGGGAAAACAGTGAGGTATTGGTGCATTTCAATCTATTTTACACAGTTTGGGCCATTTCTTTGTACAAAAATATCATTTTGGGCAGCTGCAAATGCAAACTCTTGAAAACAGGTTGCACAAAAACCCATCAGGACTGTTTTTGTGTGAACTACAATAATAGAACAACTGATTATGAGTTGGCCTGTTAGAAACACGAAGGTGAAAGCACACACACTCACACACTCCTGTCTCCCACAGTTGGCAGGTCCTCACAGTCTACAGGGCAGGTGGTGACTTGCTGAGAAAGAACTCAAAACATCAGGAACATTCAAACACACCAACCCCCCAATTCCCACACTGCCTACCTACAAAACACCTCTGCTGCTCCTCCTCCCTCACTCCCTCCTTTTCTGTACTTTCTATCTTTATCCCTTGTCTTTTTCTGTCTCTATCTTTTTCACTTTATCTCCTTGCTGCATACCTCTTACTCTGTTTCATAGTTAACTTGTTTTTTCTCCCTAATGAATCGAGGGCCTCTTGGTTTTGTTTACTCCCAGCAGGCCTTAAATGAGAGGAACTTTAGCTGTAGGTTAAAACAATGATGGTCAGCCCATTAAACACACCAGCACAATGGACTGAGGGAATGGTACAAGTTTATCAAAACAAGAGTGATTACTGCTGAAGCTTTTACCAGCTGATGTTTGGCCTGACACTCCTTCTATTGTATGTTGTAGTCACAACTTACTGAGAACTCCCAAGTCAATCAGCTGATTGGTTGAGCACGTAATAGAAATGTCACAACAAACTGCATTATCAAAAACCCTTCTCAGAGATGGGCAAAACAACCAGGGCAAATTTCACAGATTTATCCAGCACATAATCACCTTCATCCCAAAAAGTCTGCAGACAACCCTTCAAGAATGCACCTTTATAACCTTCGTTTACAGTCGACTCCACGTCAGGAAATATGGGTAAGATGAAAAGCTACTTGGCAAACTTTTAACCTGAAAAGATTCCAGGAGGAAAGAAATTCAGCCAAGTCAAAGAGGTCTAAAGGAAGCATTTTACCATAACAGTGCAGGAGCTCAAGAGATCACAGGATGTAAGACTAAAGCCAAAGACCTACTGACATTTTCTGTGGTCGACAAAGAAAGATTCAGAGGGTTAGTAAACACTCTGGAGCCCGAGTATACATTCCCATTACAGCCACACTTGAATTAAAAATGAAGAGGAGCGCTCTACAAAGACACAAAGTTACATTGAGTCTCCAACAGGCAGAAGTTATCTCACTCAGCATGGATGGTGAAATTCATTAGCTACTCAGAGCTACAGATATGACTTTTTTTTTTACACAGATCTTCTTCATTTGCCTTTTTGAATGGTCAGGTTAAATATAGTACCATTGATTTTAACTGATCACAGTATTAGTACATCTAGAGATCTGATACTGTTAGTGTAACATCCTTAGAATCAATAGCAAAATGTTTTCCTACTGCAGCCTGACAGCACTCAGGTCCTCAGAAAGTTAATATTTCACTGAGCTGTCAGCAGCACAGGTTGGCATGGTGTGTAAACCCTGAGGGAAAGAGGATCCCACGTTTTCTCATTTCTTCAAGGGAAAAAAAAAAAAACATTGTCTCTCTCGAGGCTGATAAAAAAATGAATAAATAACACTACAGACACTGCAGGCAGGTTCGTCTGTGTGGCTGCAGTTTCAGTACATTAACATCACTCTCCAATAATGACCCTTTTTTTACTATCCAGAATGGCAGCACATCAGACCCAGAGATGTCAATCCTCAACTCTGCCCACCTCCACCTTCAGTGTGTCATCTGCCACACCAGGGACAATTAAATACTGGACCATTTTTATGACAACACCAAGGAGGCGTACTCAGCATCTCAACACCACTTGCTGACTTCATGACCACAAAGGGAACTGAAGCGGCTTAGGGTCAGAGACATTTTTTGTTGTTGTATTTTGGCTGTTGAATTAATTCTGTTAACACAAACCCTGCTTTTAGTGAACAGCCCACCCAGTTATGTCTGAATATTATATGTTTCCACGCAGTGAATAAGGAAGGATATTTACACAATGAAGTGGTTGTTTTAATTTACTTGACTTGTATGCAGTGCACAATTATTGTTTAGTGTGATAACAGCTTTGACAAAGTTGCACAACAATAAGTTTCCTGTGTACTCCAAGCACTTCCTCTTTGCTGATTAGACGTTAATAACAGCTGGGCTGAGGAGACTAAACAAAACCAGATGACTAGAACAAACATCCACTCTTTACTCTCCACATTATTTATTTCTCTTTTCAGGCCCATCTGCGCCTCTGAGATGTCGTCTCAGTTTCTCTGTACAGCTACATTTCAGTGGCTTTCTTCTTCTTCTTTCTTGACATTTTCATTCAACCAGGCAGACCTGCAGCAGTTCCCTCAGCAGGTGTCTACAGCTGATTCAAAGACCTGCTAGCATAAACATACATATAGCAGAGTCATGAAAGTGCTCAGTTGTCTTCACACAGAGACTGAATGAAGCACATGGGGACAGAGGGAGTGAGGGAAGAAGGAAAAAGAAAGAAAGAAAGAAAAAGTGTTACAGTCCAGAGAGATGGTTCCCCCGAGGCCATCGGTTTCTTATTAAAGTGCTGTTGACATATCAGCAATCCATTGGCATCACACGTGACAAAGGGATGAGAATTTATGTGCGAGCAGGCTGAACTCTGCAGAGTCTCTGGAGAAAGTAACTGAACACAGACCTTCTTAAGAGGATAACTCAGCATTTTGGTCACACAGAGTTCATTGCAACATTGGAATCTCCTCCTTTGGAGATTTATCATACAGGGCTGGGCTGCTGAGACAGATCATATAAACACAACTGCTCTGAGGTCTCAATCACAATCATGTTTATTGCATGAGATGCCAAGTGGATCTTTTAATGGTTGCACTTGTCTCTGAACATTTAACGCCAAATAAGTCTACAATGAAGGGGGAAATCCAGAGGTTTTGAAAAACCAGGGCTTGGTCTTTTTTCTGGGGTTTGAGGACTCATTTTTGCTTCTCATTGAATATGACTTAATTAGTCAGGTTTAGGTTCTGCTCTTGGTCGTTGGCCAGCTTTCGCCTGGTGGATGCTGTGTATTCAGGATGTTTGAAAAACTCTTCAAGAGCAACAATGCAACAGACTTGCAAACAGACCCAAAACAGCTCAGACATGAGTCCAGCGTACCATCTGGTACATTGCAGTAAGCCACCATCTTTTCCCACAGAAGAAGAGAGGCCGTCGTCCTGCTTGGTAGTTCGCTACTGCTTTGCTCGGTGGAGTTTCTTCTCACAGCAATGATTGACAGAGTCAGCAGAGGTTTACACGGGCAGCTTGATTCACTCGCTCGGTTATCATCGTAACAGAGAGACCTACAGCATGGCGAGTTTAGAAAGAGCTCATACAAGAACCAGAACATCTTGTATCAGCTTGTTGAGGATTCATTATTTTTAAAGCGCTCATGCATGAATGAAGTGGTGGATCATCTGGGCAAAGCTGTGTCTGAGGTGTGTGCAGGTAAATGGGAAACTTAGTCAACAGCAACTTATTCTGACCCTGAGTTGACAGTTCTTTGATTAAAAAAAAGGACATTAATCTATCACATAAACCTATTAAATATCTGCATGAAATTATGCCACTATAAGGACGCATTCTTCAAATTTGGACAAAAACTTTTCTGAGTCTGAACTAAACCTTTAACCCCATGTTTTAATAAGTTTAGTCTCGAATCAGAGAGGACATCTATGTTTGGAGATGTTCCCTTGAGGTGATTGTGAGATATCATCGCTGAAGGAATGCGAGTAAAAAGACCAACAAATTGAAGACATGACGCCTCTGTCCATGACTGCTTCTAGCCTTGAGGTGTAGAAATGCAATTTCAATTCAGGTGCTCTGTAAAACCTCCTCTATGGAGACTCTTTCAGTGCTAAAGGTGCAAATGTTGGATTCCAGCGAGAACATATGTCAATGCACAGTTGCTGCAACTCTTGCACAGACTCTCCCGCATGCACCAACTCTTCGACCACTTGTCATAGTTGGACTGGGTTGGGCTGCTGTGGTATGTGAGACAGGGGGCTTTGATTATTTGTGTTGGCCAAGGTGGTATGCAGCAGAGATAAAAATACATTAATTAGGGGAACAACTGGGAAATCCTCGTGGTTAAATATGCAGCATGGCAGTCCTTGTGTTCATAGTTTGAATTCAGCTGCAGCTTCTCTGGGAAAGTAAATCTTCAGGAATTTAGAAATCAATCAAGAAGTCAATCTTTTTTTATCTACTCAGCCACGAACAACATTACATGTTACAAGGAATTATTTGATGGCTTTTTAATGCATTTGTTCTGAGAGGATAAGACATTAGATAAAGCAAATGAGGGAAATGAGGAGGAGTGACATGCAGGAATGGGACTGCAGGTTGAAACCAAACCCAGGCCAAAGGTTCAGCTCAGCAGTTCAACAGCACACCTCATGTACAGACACTAGAGTCCTTGGAGCGGCAGTAATGGAGTGACTTCTCTGGCAGCAGTGAGAGCTTCAATAAATCTGCCTGAAAATCCCCAAGTGCTCTAAAACATATCCATCTCTTATTATCCTCACTACTAAAATCTTTAATGCTAATTTTTCTGGTGGTGTGAGTACTGGTGAAGAAGAAGGTTGTGCATCTTTAAGGTCATGAACTGGAACTTGTTCAGTCAAAGTTGGAACCACAGTAAGTTTCACATTTCAGTCTCTCACCTGAAAATCATAGCCTTACAACACTTCATCTCTTTGTCTCCTCATCTTCCTTCTCTGTTTTTTTTTTATCCCCAACACTCTGCCTCCACCTTCTCACACTCTTCCTCTCTATCACTCCTTTCTCCCTGTATGCTCTTCCATGTCAGGTCCAAGGCCACACCTGCTTGTACTGTTCTCAGCTACCAAGGCTCCATGGAAAGATTTGGTTAAAGGTTAACAAAAGGTACTGAGTGAGAGAGGAAGCCTTTACTGTGACAACCAAGGATGTTTGCTTTAACGCTGCCATAACCCAGGTCATAACACACGCACACCGTCTTTCCATAAACAGCCCATAGAGTAGGGCTATTACCGCCCCACAGATGGATATTGTTTCAGCTATCTTGCAACCAATAAACCTGATTTCAAATGCATCCATTTAACATCTTAAAGACCCACTCCGATGAAAATCATGTTTTTCTTGTTTTTTACATGTTCATGTGGCATTATTCTAGTGGTACAGGACATATAATGAAAAAACTAAGTGTGAAATTGCATTTCTGAGTATTTCTTCATTCAAATTACTGTGGATCTCTGGCAGACCCAAACAGCAGGTTCAGATACAGGGAGATTTCCTACGGTACAAATCCAAGCTCCAACCCCGGAGCCCCACAACACAGGCCAGACTCGGGGAAGTTGAGAGGACAAGCGCGGGACAAGCGTGTGCATTAGAGGATTGCAATGCTCGAAAGAAAGCTAATTATGATATTAGCTTTCACCGTGTCCCTAAAAACATTAGTGTCCGAGAGCTGTTACCTGCAACTTCTGCTACACAAGCAATGTTAGGCTACAAGCTAGCGTGAAGAGGAGTGTGCAGAGCAGCGCTGTCTCCGCTCACGACTCAGAGGCAGTTTGCTAATGAGCTACTGGAGCTCTGCAGAAGAAAAGCACTTGAAAATAAAACAGGTAACATGACTTTGGCTAAAAACTTCATAATCACAACTCAAAGACCACTGATAACACTTTAAGTACTTAAAAAAACGCTGGGAGTGGGACTTTTAGGATCACATTTTGAATAATTAATGCACAGGCTAAAGGGTTATTCTAACCAACACTACACAACAGACAATTTTCCACAGGTACACAATGATGAGGTTTCATTGGTAAAAACAATATGGAAACACCTGATCAAAGTGGCACGCCTATCAGCTATCTGGTTTAATACTGTAATCTTACCCAGTACTAACAATATCAGCTCTAAAAATAAATCTGTATGACGACACTGGACTGAAAGTCAAATCCACTCGCTTCGTTAGGCTGGCAGCTTTCAGGCAATTCACTGTGGATCCAGTTCCTTAAAAATGAAGGAGATCTGTGATGATTAATGTTTTTATTCTAGTGATATATCTCGATTTCTGTTGTTAGCTGACTGTGCCAGTGGAAGACTGCGATCTTTGTCAGCGTCTGCATCTACAAACAACCAACCAACCTGGAAAGGCCCAATCAGAGGCCAGGCTTTCCCTGTTTGAGCAGAGCAGTTAAAGTTATAAACCTTATCATGAAATTATTGTTGGCTCATTAAACCTGTGTAGACCAACCTTTTATCCACAGAGAATTGATAAGGGTCATTTTAAAAGTCTGGTTAATTCAAACTAACACTTGAAATCCAGTTTTAACTTAGTGTAAATGCACTGACTGGCAGAACATTTCAAGCTAGTCCTGCAAGAGTCGAGCACACTGAGCCTCTGGTATTGCTTATTTCATTCTCATGAGGAACGTCATTTTGCCACAACTTTTCACTATAAAAATTTACTTTACATGGACAAAAGGATATAAAATTCCTTCTCTGCTTGTAATCAAGTCATTCTATGGTGTGTTTAGTATCCCAAGAGTCAAAGTCTAAAAGTGCTCCAGCAGAAACTTCCAGATAAGGCAGTAATTAGTCACCCACAGGGCAAAGTAAATTGTGTTTGAAAGGAGTTGCAGTCAACCCATCAAGGTCATTTTATGGTATTTATCACAGCCCAGCTGCTTCTTTCCCATGTCTATTCCAGTCACCAGATGTAAGTCACAAACATGCCTCATTCTCTGCACTTTCTCCTCTTTTCCCTCTTTGGACATGAACCTTTCAACGTGATGGAGGAATATGGAGAAAGCTCAGAAAAAAAGTCAAACTGTAGTTGATCTTAGTGGAGGAGAAGCTGGGTGGAGGGGGAGGACTTGAGAGCATGGGTGGTGTATAAATGTTCACATGTGCTGCAGAGTTTCTCATTCATCACACTCACACACTGACACACAATATGCACCCTTGGTTCAAAAAACACAGAGATTTGCCTTTGCTGTCATAACAAAGCGAACACAAAGTGGGTGGGTGTGTCTGTGCTCTGGGTGTATAGCTATGCTGCAGCAGGAAAAGTACAGGTACACGGGAGAGGAGCTGACATAATAACAGTCATAACTCAGTACAGGATACAGAGGACCCGGCTAGTTTGTCATAATTATAAGATGGATCCTGATCGCGCACACAAAACATTCAACAGGTGAACGCATGCTCTGTCTCATGCTTGACAATGTTCCTGTATAACTGAGGTCAGTTCTCACTAAAAGGTGCGCATTCTGGTGTCTCAGCTCTATTTTAAGATAGTTTATCTTGAGCGCTGCTGAGGTAAGAAGAAACAGTTTATTCCTCCTCAGACTTTCTCCATTTGTGGGAGGGAGGGCTGAAATACAATGACTCATCTTAACAGGTATTCAAATAAACATCATAGTTTATTTTTGCACGAAGGCTCATGGTCTAATAGCTTTTATTCAAATAAACAGTGATGTTTCCTGAAGAGGAGGACAGACTAGAGAAACTACAGTTTTTGTGAACCTGGGCTCTGGTTTTACCTAGTTTGGTGTGGAAAGAGGTTATGCACAATATAACTATGGAAATTCCAAAAAAATTTTATATTAATGTTACTTTTAGCTAACAAAAAATACAGATACAAGAATTTATTGACCTGCAACTCCTTATTCTGCCAAGTAAAACTTGTGGTTTTGTTTGTGGATTTTGATAATTATGGAAAAAGCTCAATTAAAAGGTCCAAAAACCTAACCCAAAGACTTGACCACACAAGCTACACTTAGGATTCCATGATTAATCGATTTTAAATTGTAATCGGATTATTAGATTATGAGAATGTTAAAAAAAATTAAAATCATCAAACAATTTTCCTCTCTGTCATGTCTTGTGCCTCCAGGCCACCAAAGGCTCCCTCTTTCTGCGGGAGCACTCCGACACATACCAGTGTAAACAAACATGGCGTTTGCAGAAGAAGGCGATAGTTTTGCGGCTAAATAGGGCAAGAGCAACTCAGTCGTGTGGAATCGCAGTTTTGAATGAAGAGCAAACCACTCCCCGCTGTAAAGTCTGTCTGAAGGTGGTATTAAAGCATCCGCACGAAAACAAATTCAGGAGTAAGCGCAAAATTTTTTGTCGTATGGGCATTTCGTGCACACGGAAATGGCGTTTCAAGTGACTGTATACCGTACTTTTTAAAAATGGGTCAGAGAGTGCATAAATCCTGAAACAACTACCATTTCATCTCTGTGTGGATGCCTATCTGCACCTCTCAAAACGATTACGTGACACACAGCGAAACTATTTTATGGCATCTGCGCGTGTCAGGCCAAAACAACTTTTATTTGCATGCTCCGTACTCTCCTTCTGTCTGTTGAGCATTTCCTTGGCAGCGTTACAGTGCGGCATACTGACACAGCATATGCACTGCATTGTTTTCAGTGGTTTCCATTTAAGAGATGATAGAAAAAATTGTTATTAAAGTGAAGTTTGGTGAAGTTGTCACTGAATAAAAGAATTGTAATTAAATTAAAAAATCAAGTTTTCAGAGAAAAAAAAAACAGGATTTTATTTTTGGCTAAAATCGTGCAGCCCTAGCTATACTACACACAAACACACAAAGAGTACCTCTCCTTCTGTCCCTCATATAAGTATGACCAGTTGAAATGGGATTAACAGATGTCATATTATCCGGTTAATCCCAGGGACAGTGTGTGAGGGTGTTGAGTAGAACAGGATTAGGATTTTAGTCGACGCTGGGATACATAAACATGAATCAGCAGTTCTGTCCTCACTTGACACGGACTTCAACCTGTCAGACAAGAATGAGGGATGATGGCAGACTTAGAAAATAGCTCCTGCAGGACCTATAACACATCTCTGGTGCTCAGACATTATGATCCTGCACAGAACTGTATATAACCTGTTTAAATTCAAACAACATTTATTTTATTGTGTCCTGCTTTTCAGATTTTGAGGTTCACTGTGAGGAGAAAACCAGACGAATGTCAAAATCCTTCAGGGTTCTATCGAGTCAGAGACACTGAAACAGAGAGAGAAGTTTAACAGTGTAAGGGTAAAGAAAAAATGCAGTACGTCAAGTGAAGCGTCTGCCATAAGCATTAGGATGAAGTCATCTGAGGACTTCCCCGCTCCTGCAGTCACTCCACATGGACAAAAATGGCAGAGGAGCTGGTGTGGATTTGACTCATTTCCAGGCTGCTTTCCAGTCTCACAGTCACAGTCAGAGCTGTGACACTGAGAGGCAGGATTCAGTCACTCATAAGGTCTATTCCCAGCAGGGCGGGGCTCGCTCTACAGCAGGGCCTGCAGCTTTGGGATGTGGGAAAGAATTGCATGGAGAAGCCAGAGCGGCTGCCCACAGGGGCAGGCTAAAACCAACCAGAAACACACACACACACACACACACACACTACACGTACACACTCTTCCACACAGTGTGACTCATCCACATGCAGGTAAGACAAAGTCTGAACCGCTGCCAGGCAAATACCCGTACTATTTCCATTCCAGTGAACCATCTTCTCACTCTACAAAGTATTTCTGCTCAGTTTCAAAGCCTCACTTTCTCTCTGTCATCTTAGACTCCTACAGCTCCTTCTTGAGAAACAAACTTACACTGCAGACTGAGCAGAGTCATGGACTACTAAAGCCTTGGATAGCTTTAAAAATAACTCAGTTTTTTTCTTTTTGGCATCAAATATCTGAGGGTAAAATCTACAGTTTTCAATAACTGCATTCAACCTTGAACTTCAGCCAACACTTTAAAGCTCCTGTGAAGATCTTTGTATCCTGTTTTGTTGAAGCACTCAAACCCAGCATCTCTGGCATTGAAAATGTAAACAAAGGCCGTTTTGTCTGTGTGCTGTTACACACTTTCACTTGACACCTACCCCCTGCCAGTGGTTGAACACATTATCAATAACTATTATAAAATGGTCACTCTTCATGTGGATAGTCTTGTTTACTTTTCTGAGTCATTAAGAGGTTTCAATTTTAATTTGAGTCTGTTTCCCAACTTGCTAAACTTTCCTCACAGTAGCTTTTAATCACTGACAATCTGTGGTCAGTCAGTACTATTGAAATCTCAAAAACATCACTAAAACTAGAATGACCTCAAATGAATCAAACACCACTTTAGAAACAGCTTGCACCGTTTAAGGAAATATGTTTAATATTAGTATTCTGTCAAGTGTCCCATTCTCAGAATCAAGCCGAAAAAACAATCTTATTACCGTCAGCTGATGCAAGCTTCTCCTAACACGAACATGCCTCATTCTCTCTCTTTTCAACCTCTTCCTTTCTTCTGTGCACAAATGCTTATTGATTTAATACATTATTAATCAGGGTGTTGGGTTCACAACACAACCGTTTCTTATGTTTTCTAAAAGTGACAACTTTAGAGGACAAACTGTCCAATAAAACTGTGGTTTTTGTACTAATTGCCCAAAGGGGTGAATGAAGTTGTATCTAATTTAATCAATCTTTTATTTTGAAAGGGGTGCAAAAGGTTTTTCCACAAGATCATAAAGCAGCAAAGACACATGAAAATCAATGAAAATAGCTGAAAGAATGATTGACAAAAACACTGTTGGCACCCTCTGAGCAGATGTTGGCTCTAATGTTGTGGTAATGTCATCGGTCACAACCTCCTTCAGCAGGTGAAGCGATACAAAACACAACAAGTTCACAAGGAGTACTGAGATAGAGACACTGTCCATTACTTTGTTACTAGAAGATAGCAACTTAACTGGGCCAAAATAAAGAAAAACTGATAAAATGGTCAGTGCATGAACTTCAACTGCTGCTGGGTATCATCTATATGTGGGACTCACACATAGATGCTCTCTCCTCCTATCATATTTCTGCATCTGTATCTTCTGCTGCCTGTCTGGATCAATTCCTTTTCCCGTTCACTGTCTCCAAAACCATTCCCGTCCAAATATCTGACTCAACTTCTCACATCATCACTGTCTCGATTAGTCACAATCTGGACAACTATCCCCCCACACACACAAGACCAATGGCACCATCTAGATAATCTTTTAAATCTCAGCCTCATTCCTGAGTTTGCTATCACAGATGTTACGATGTCTTACAGAGTATTTATAAGCCTGTTTGTGAGGCTTGTCTACACCACAGCTGAGTAAGAATTGGGTGTAATCTAAACAAGAAGGGTGAGACGAAGTGATCACGGTGTCAGATTTAAGTGCCTTTTGGCTGAAATGTGGGACATTAGCTGTTCTGACGTCGAGGGAGTGTTAAGACAAATTTAAGATTATCTGTGTTGGCAAAACTTTCTGCAAAAACAATTAAGAGTATGACAGCTGTGAAATTTCAGTTGCGGTGTTACAAGCCTGCAAAAGTGAAATTTTGCAATAAAGAGTTTATCAGCATGACTACTTCAAATTATGATATCCAAACACAGTTGAATTGAAGTTTTATTGTGATAAAACAGCCAAGAAGAAATGTTATTGTTGTCAGACAGTTTGAGAAGCTGAAAAAAGCTATCTAGGGTTTAACAGCTAATTTTTTCACAAAGACCTCACTCTGAACTCGGGGAAAATTATGACGGACATTTTTCACAACTCTCTGTCTTTTAATCTGAACACAATTACTTTCACAGCAAATCAATAATTGACTGATCAGATTTTATCTGAGAGGAGTAACAAATGAGCAGAGAGGCTGTGTTTGCACCTTGAACCTCAATTCACCGCTGCATTAGGGCCCTTATCGGTGTCATCTCCGGCTTAGTCTGCTGTGATATCTGTGCTTAATGTTATCAGAGCGCCATGTCCAAAGACCTGACTGTATCTAAATGCTTGGGTTCATGCTGTAATCAGGGATGAACGAGGCGTGTCTAGTTTAATGTGTATGACGCTGAACATCTGTGTAACCCATGACTGAACTTACACATGGAGTTGTGTGAGTTAGCGGGTCATCTGTCAGGATCACTTTCAGGCTTTCTTCCTGTTCCTGTCTGCTCTCCAGCTTTTACCCACGAGAGGTTATATACTCAACAGTGATTATATTGAAAAGTATACAGTTTTGGTGTATCTCATATGTCTTCAGCTTACGGTCACCTTTACATGAGTATGTGTCTAAACAGAGATGGAGAAAAGTTTATTTTGTGGGTATGTTTCATTATACTTTAGATTATATTTCATCACAGACTCATCCCGAGCTAATTCATCTCTAATGAAACACCTTCTCATGTTCTTTTGTTTTCCTGCAAAAAACCCTCAGTAGCTCCAAGCTTCTCTGCAGTATGGCTCACATTCAGAGCTGTCAGCCTCTGTAAAGTGTACACAACATCTGCAATGAGTTAGTCCTTCCCTGTCCTTTCCAATCTTCATCGCATCCTACATCATCAGCCACCTGAGAATTCTCATCTCCACTGCAGACCCCGGTAAAGCAGCTAAAAAATTTCCCATGCTCTGCCTGTAATGTAACCTAAGTGGAGGTAGTTGTATCATTTAACAATAGTTTTTAAAAAAGCTCTGATTTACAAAGCAACAACCTCAAGTTTTCATTAAAGGCTGGCTCTTGAAGCCAAAGACACCCTTTCACAGCCCACATTAAACTGCCCACGTCAGCACTGAATATGTTTACTGTCTGCTGCAGAAAGAGGTTTTGTTGCATTTAACTTATTTCTTTATTGAAGACAAATGTACAGGGATTTAACTGTTTCCTCAAACATCAATTTTATTGAGAGTTATGTATTACTAGGATTAGGAATAACAGGGGAACAAGGGCTTATGAGCATAAAAATGTTCAACTCTATCCCAGCTCTGAAGATCCTGATAAATTAGATGGCAACATGAAACTCTAAAACACTCCTACATCAAAAAAAATTGTCTGTTACCATATTAGCCACTGAGAATATACATTTAAATGCAATGACATCTGATTTCCTTACTATGTTATGATCTCTTACCAACTTCCTAAATAGAACAGTTCTGACGGACACTATCCTGGTTTATTTTTTCACATATTTCATTTCCGTGTGATAAAAACTTCCCACAGCATGACAACGGTTTCTTCTGCGTCCCTGACATTCATCAGTATCTTAACGTTTGATATGACATGTTTGCATTAAAAGGCCATAAAAGAGGAAGTGAATCTCCCCACTGAACAATCCCCTTCAATAAAGTTCAAGTACATGAGTCTGTTTGAGGGAGTATGCATGCATGAGAGAGTTTCCTGTTTCAGGGGTGTTGGTGGAGGTCTGGATAGCAGACAGACAGTCAGGTGTATCCTCTGCTGTCCACCCAGGATCTACACCTCATGTATCAGACACAACCTTACAGGAAAGCTGCGGTCGATGACAGTTCATATATCCACCTAAAGCAGACAGCAGCTAGTCTGAGAGACTGATAATCGGACGGTTCTCATCATCATCGCCGCTCATTCAGTTTCTCTCCTGTTTACTAATACTACCTCTGAAACAGATGCTTGAACTTGATAAGTAAGGAATCTGCCATAAAGGAATCCACTACTTGGGCAAAGCCAGACCTGTAAATGATCAGATAAAAACTCAAACGTCACCAACTTTCATCAGCGACCTTAGAAACCCACCATTTATGCTACTTAGTTATCATTATCTTAAATACATTTCAAAAATTCCCAAGCCATGTGTTTTCTCTTACATAAGTAAGAGAAGTCAGAGGGAAATGCCTGACCATTGCAGAAGCAGACCGAGATTTGGGGTAAAATCTCATTCTAACCCCAAATTAGTAAAAACCACCCTCACCACAACTCTGTCACAGCCACGGACCAGAAATATCTCCCAAAACCCAGCCCATCAAGATTAAAATAGGCTTTGAGGCCAGGGAAAAGTCTGCCTTAAAGCATCTGCGCCTCATCAGTCCGATGGAAAATGCGGCTGAATAAATTTCACTGGGGAGTGTAAACAACAAGAGGGAGCTGCTTTGGAAAAATGTATCGACAACAGCGCATCGATGTGTGTGTTGTGCCAAGCTGGGTAACAGTACAAACTGTGAAAGTAAACTAAATACTTTTCTTGGAGTACCACCAATGTTACAGTTCAGAAACTGACCAACTATTTTCAGAATCAAGTTCTTGTAAAGTCTATGAAATGTGAAAAAATGTCAGAAAAATCTTGGTTGGATTCCTCTAAAGACAAAAGTGGCATCTTTGAGTTGCTTTCTTGAATCCAACCAACCCGACACTCTGATGCATTTGAGAAATTACAAAAACTGAAATCTCTAAAGTCCCCTAAATACATGAAATTTTCACATACACATTTGTTGAATTGATAGACCATTGCTGCCAAACACATGCCATGCACATCACTCCTGCAACACTGCTGTCTTTGCTCCTCTGCAGCGCCTGTCACTTTGAAGCTAATCATCTCCACCTGTCATCTAAAGGCGCTTACCTCAAACTTACTGACAGCAGAGTGACAGTCAGCTGAGTGGCAGCTGCAGGCAGGCAGTGAATGCTAGGGGGTCCTAACCTCCAGGTAACCTTAACGCAACAGGCCAACTGTTGTAAGCAGCTTGACCCCAAAGAAGTATATCACCCATTGAGGTTTATTTCCTTGCGTCTTTGTCTATTACACAAGCATCATCCTACAGTACAGGGTTATGGTCTCTTTTTATACTAGCTGGGTACGTTATACAGCAAGAAGATGAACTTTATCCAAATACGGGTTCTGATTAGTCAAAATTTCTTAACAGTGTTTAACTTCTTAACTGCAAAAACAACCAGTCCAAAACATTAGACTGTAGTTAATTCCTGACCAGTCACCAGCAATGTAAAAAGATCATTAAAAAACAAAACTGAAACTGGGAGAGGGAGGTTTTACAGATACAGGGAACTGAGAGATGGAGACATCAACCAAAGAGAAGAAAACAAAAAGCAGTCTTATGCCAGAATGTGACCATAGAAAACACTGTTACAGGGAGCATGTCAGCTCTCAACTGAGTGTAGATGCACGATGATCAATGTCAGGTTGATCAGATGTTCAATGCTTAACCAATGTACCAGTGTTAGCTTAGTCTGAGAGTGAGGCTGTCACACTCAGACCCTGGATGAGCATCTTACCCACTACCTACAAGACAGCAGGATCACCATCTACTAGACCTTATAATGTTGCACAAGCTGCAAGAACTTGGATTAAACATCTTTATAAGTGACAGAGAGGCCAGTCATGAACATGTGGCCCTTCACTACTTTAGCTCATATGTGATATTCTTGGAGCTCTCAGAAGCATCTTTATTCCAAGCACAGACATTCCTAAACTTAGGAGAGGAGTTGCCCCTCAGGCAGCACAACTCCTGACAGGTTCAAGCCTGGCCATTCCATCAGTTTTTGAGCTGGGGGTCCTGGGGGGTAGAAGTACAACTGTCAGAAAACTACAATCAGGGATGCAGTTGCAACTGGAGACCACTCTCCAAGCCAAAGCAGAGACAGAAAACTGGCAAAAGATTTATAACTTAAACCATTATAATAACAGTCGGAAGCAAAGAGACCACATGCTTAATGTTGGGTCCCCCTAGCCAACAAAAGTTTGGATCTGCCCCTGCTCAGTCTATCAAAAAGACAATCCAAACTTGGGGGTTCCAAGTTGTAGGCTAACTGCCAAAATCAATACTTGGCTATGAGCCAACATATCTGTCACTTAATAGACAGAAAATTCACCGGCGTTTGCAAGATCCAAATAGCTGACACGTAATAAAAGAAAAAAACCTAACTCCATTGAAAGATGTGCTGAAACCTTCAAACCAAACCTTATGCAACCCAGTGTTAAAACGGTGGAGACGTTAGCGTGGAATCAACGATGTGTCGGTTAGTTTGATCGAGTTTAAACGTTGAAATGCTGACAAAGTTAGATAATGTTTGGATGCCAAACATATCCAGAAATCAACAGTAACTTCCACTGAGTTGTCAGAGCTCATCAATAATACCCTACGGCATAAAATATCTTCCGGCAGGGCTCTCTGGCCTTAAATTGACACATTTTCAGATGGCATTTGGTATGGCGTCTTCCCCATATGGCACGAGTCAAGATTTTCCCTGCCCACTCACCCAAGCACGCTGCAATGTCACGAATTAGTGTGCAGAAACTTTCCAAGTGTTACCTTAGTAAATATCCGACTCTTTTAAGATTGCGTGAATCGAAAGTTAACGGTCGACTACCGAGCAGTATTACATTAAAGAAACTTAACGCTAAAAACCGGCAGTTATGTGAAGTCTCAGTGCCAACGTTAGACAAAACATACCTTAAAACGGCCGAGGTCAAAAGAGAGCTGGTCTCTCTCCTCTTCGACTGGGTAAAACTGTCCAAAAAAGACCGGTGGGGATTTTTAGTTCAAACCCTCTGCTCCACAGTCAGAAAAATCTGTGACTAGTATCTGCCAGGTTTCTCCAGACCCTCCCACCACTCCCAGTCCACACCAGCGCACCCACTGTGGGCTCTGTCACAACTTTGACTTCTCTCAGACTGCAGCCTCAGCAGAGACTTCACCTCCTCTGGTGGTTCGACAGTGTAATACTCATATTACCAGATCCTGTCATAGTTATATTTCAAGGGCGAGTTGTGGTGCGCTGTTCGCAAACGAGTTGACTCTTTAAACCGACTCATTTCTGTGGCTGTCAGAATTCGGCTTGGCATCTGTCTGCAGGGGGATAATATCCTAGCTTGTATGACTTGGGTGGTCCTATATGGGTCTCTGACTCATGCAGGGGGTATGATAAAGTATGTTCCAGCACATTTGGATGAATCACAATTTATGCCTTCACTATCTGCTATTATTCAGGTATCAAAAAGATAGATATGTGTGTATTCTCTTCAATTTTAAAACGTTACACAATTATTGACAACATAAGTCTCAAAACCTAACACTGTAAGGATTCAGAATACTCTATCACATGGACCAAAAATATGTCTGTCTTTAAGTAGTTAATACTTTAAAAATGTAAGTTAACTACTTCTAATATTATTAGATACCTATCTTTTATGGACTAATTCCTCTTTGCTGTACCTGCCTTATGAAAAAAAAAATAGCAGTTCAGTCTATTTCTCAATCAATTGGTGTCAAACAAAAGAAAGTGAACAATGTTTGACAACTATACAACTATATTTAACATAATTCCCGTACATGGTAACGCAAGTAACCAGTTATAGTTTAGGTAGGATTAAATAGTTGCAACTAGGGTGGCCAATTAGATACCAGTGGGGACCGTGCCACCATGTGTCACTTTTCTGTACACACCCCTTTTGATCTGTGAAAATAATCTTTTTTTTTTCTTTTTTACTGGTAATTTTATACATGGCATTGTCAGGTAATGGTGTTTTCTAAATATTGCATAACCCAATTTTCAACCCTTAGTATTATGAGGTATTTGAATGGAGCATTTGAATGAAACAGAGCAAAATTATGTGAATCACTGAAATAAACCGAACTTCTCATCATTAGTGGTGAAATGAGAGATAATATGAAGAAAGACTGTGAATGTGTAGTTTCGCTTGGATTGAGTTCCCTTAACCTCTCTGAGGGAGTGGTGTGGCAATTTCCCCCTTCTTTTTCTGTCATCGGAGAGTTGTTGAGCCCTTTTACACCAGGAAGTTCAACAACAACCCATCCCTCTGCTCCTTTATGACTCAAACCCTGCCATGCATCATGTCGTCATTGTTGTCTATGCAAACAGTCCGCAAGCCGGAAAATAACCGGGTTTCAATGAAAGCACCTGTCCTTTTCAAATCTCCTCATCTCTCACATAGTGGATAAATAACCCACCTCGTGGTTGGAGGTACTTAAGCGTGCCAGACTTCCGTGCTTCGCCGGTGTCGAATAATATACAGACACCTTTAGTGAGTTGAAAGAAAAATAACCTGACAGGACCTAACTCTGTTCGAAAATAAAGACTGTTGTTTCCCAAACTGACTCACACTTGCACGGTCCAATCAGTAGAAGTAAGTGGGGAAAACAAACTTAAGTGTCTTCTAAATAAACTTTTAAACTATTGCTACTTCTGACTGACAAACTGCAAAAATCAAACTGTGTGTAAACGCCATTGAAATAGACAGATACATGAATGCACTTTGGTGCCGCTGGTATGACATCGTCTTTTCTGTCAACGCAGGGTGTTGCCACTATAGTTCATCCGTAAATTACACCACAGAGTCATGATATAATGCCAGGGCTGCACCAGACTCCTCTCACGTCTGTTTAGAAGAGCTCTCATACCCTCTACCGTCCCCGGAGCCGCCACTGCACCTTCCGGCTCTGCAAACCGTGTGCCCCCCATTGTGAGAGGGCCTCTGGATAAAATACCACATCCTAAAAGAAGATACAGAGTAAATTCAAACATCCTATGAAAGTAGAGTGGAGAAAGGAAAAGTGAAGCTGGCATCAAATTGATAGACTTTTTGGCAGTAAGTTTTAACCTTAAAATAATAATAATCATAATGAACTTTGCTGAAAATGAAATATTTCATCTACTTTACCTACTCACACAAAATATATCTTAAAGTTTATGTCTGTTAAGTTGATTGAAGTCATTTTTTTGTTCATAGATGCATAAAAGAAGCCAAATCATCTAGAGCTCCCCCTACTGTCAGGCTGCAGTAAGGCCATTAAATTTAAATCTCAATCATGCTTGGGTGTTTAATCATAGTACAAAAACTCTGTGAAACCACAGAGCAGAAATAATCTGCTGATGAACTTCAGCCAATCTCAGGCTTCTCTGTTCATTCTGAGTTTAATTAGCCCGTGACGTGCCAGTTCAAATGTGACCTCAAACAGCTGCTCAACTGGATGTCAAGGTCAAACAGTGACTGTAATAGAGCTGCACTGCCAGAGGGGGGAGTGATATTGATTCAGTCAGGAACACACACTAACACACACACAAAGAGAGAGAGAGAGAGAGAGAGAGAGAGAGAGAGAGAGAGAGAGAGGGAGACGGGTTGTATCCTGTTGACAAAGAAATATTAGACAGACTTTTCTGGACGAGAAGCCAGTCTTGACGCTGACCCCTCATCCTCTTCACTTCTAACGCAGGAAACACTGCCAAGAATAAGACACACAAACTCACACTAAGTCACTAGAGTTCCCCACAGTGCCACTTTACTGAACAATAATTTCTTGAAATCACATGAAACCTCGATCAACCTAGGATCAATAAAGTTCTATTTCTTATCTTTATCCTATCTTAGTTTCTTGGTGTTTTCAAGTTCAAAAAGTACCTCTAAATTACAGTTCCCATTGTCAGAGCTCTGTCCTTTCTCTTTCCCTTTATTTCCAGACTTAAAGCTCCTCTGAGGAGATTTTTACGTACTTGACAACAGACAGACTTTAAAAGTGAGGCCTTCTTATGAACAACAAAAGCAGACAAAACCACCATTCATCTGCAAAACTAAGTTTTGGCTTAGCTATTCCCAAGTTTCTCTTATCTAGATTTCCTCAAGACTGTTTAGGTTCTGAGTTAAGTTTTTTGTTAGCTGATAGGACCAAACAGTAATAGGGTTCACAGTTATTATCGAATTTACTTTTTATTCATGTCTGCAGAAACAAAATTCGCTGCATAACCCCCACATCATCAAATCAATCATATCTCCAGCTATCCGAAAGTTAAATCCATTCATCATTCAACACGACATATGTAAGTTACAAGGTCTTATTAAGAAAACAACTGATGACCCTAAGGACCCCTTTCTCTCACACATACGGGCTGGTTTGACCTTGGAGGAATGTTGGAAGAGGAAAAATGAAGTTGTGTACAGGAATGTCTCTGTCGTTTCCTCCCGTAAGAGCTACAGTACATTCCTGTCCTCCCTAATCATCCCTGACCAGCTCACAGCGTGCTGCGTTTAACACAACACATTCCTCTTAATGTACATCCTAATCCTGTGTCAGCCCACGCTCCACTGTACCAAATGGTGCCCCATACCAGGGGAAGATTGATCTTAAAAAGTCCACTCCCTCATTCCTTAGATACTGTATCAACAGATAGAGGGCATTAGCTTTTGTTATAACTCCTCTGTAAGACAAGGACATCAAACATGTAACACAGCAGAGTTTGCTTTAAAAAGGAGGTTTCTCTTTTACTCCCTTACATACAAACCTCTTTGAGATGTGACAGGAGCAAAAGTTTGGGTCAAGAACTAAGGAATGAAAAAGTACTATCTAAATAAACTAGCGTGATGCTGAGTCCAGAAAATGTGCTTAGAAATGAGGCAAAAAAGTGACGGACATGTCTTAATTTAAATCTTTGAAATAATCGTATCCCATATTACTTATAACTAATTAATGAATATCATTTCAGCCTCCATAAATAAAAAAATCTGAAATTATCTGACTGAGGATTTTAAAAAAAAGGTATGAATTAATTTTGAATATTTGAAATATATCATGAAAATAAAGCAGAAAATGATGATTATAAGATATTATATAAGATAGTCCTTTATCAGTCCCACAGGGGGAAATTCCAATTAAGTAAGAGCTACAGTACATTAAAGTACAACACATCTTTCCAATAAGGTTAAAACAATTAAAATATAGGGGACAAAAATTAAATTCATGAGACTTTCTGTTAAAATAACATGAAGAAATATCAGGTTTGAAAAAAATTAGGGTAGGTAAACTGGGGGATAAAACTTTGAAGCTGGACGATTAAAGTCAGAGAACAGTGATAAAAGCAAAACTATGAGGTAAGAAATCAGACAAAAACCTAATTTAGATTTGCAGAAGAAGACATAAAAAGTGATGAGTTCAAAAGTCAATAAACAAAGAAATATAGAAGACAAAAAGTTGGAACTTTTCCCTTAAAAAGATTAGACGTTTGATTAAAAAAAATATTTAAAGAAAGAAAGATAAAAAGTAGTAAATAAAACATGATCTGATGAAGAGTTAAGACTGAGATTAAGGGTCTATGTCTAATAATACATCCTTCAGCACATAGCTTTCATTTTAGTCTCAGCTGAATTTTGTTTCACTTTTGGAATCTATCAACGGCACTGCTTAGTCATCAACCAATCAAAATCAAGAAGGGGCGGGGCTGCTGAAATCAAATTTGTCAATCAAACTGGCAGAAGGTCTATACAGAGGAGGAAACAGCCAGTGAAATTTTTAGGTCTGAGGCGCTTTCCTGCTCTACACCCTAATTTTTATTAACATTTTTTACATTTTATTTTGAAATGGCACAAAATGAAAGCAAATATAACACCAACAGATCATTTTTATATATGCTAATGGTGCTTTTTTCACTTTGAACTTGGTGTCGTAGCTCTTTTGATTTGGATTGCCGGCCAATTCCAGGCAACAATAGACTGTCTGCACATAGAAGCAACATGACAATATGTAAAATGCATAATAATATTAATATGATTGATTTAATTACACAAAATGAGAATACATTGTCAATACAGGCCTACACTATTAAAAAACAGCTTTTACCACTGTTAACATTTTGGATTTCAAGCTCAGAGGTACCCTCAGTTTCCTGAGTTTGAGTTCAGATTTCTGGCCACATGCTGGAATTTAAATGTGAGTTTCTGACTTCTTAAAAATCAAATTGAACTCATCATTATTGTGAGGGAAGAGGACATGAACTGTAGTAGCTCAGCAACAATAGGCACCGGTGGGAAAAGCTCTGTCAGCGAAGATAACAGCGCTTGGTGGACACAGGCCCTAAATATAGAAAGTACTGTAAGGAATTTTAGATCTGTTGTGTTTTCGCCCTCTGTTCAGAGAAGGTGGTTATTTTATACTTTGTCTATTTTTTTCTTTCGATATCTACAGAATTTTAAAGTCCTGGCACAGTTTAATGAACAATAACAAAGTATCAGTACGAAATCACATGAAATTTTGTACTTTAAATTTATTGATCTTTTATCATGCATTTAAATGTTTTTTTATTATTGACAATTGCCTTTTCTTTTTATTCTTACCTTATTTATATGTCATTTTGCATCTACAAATAGTTTATTTTACCTTGTTTTTACAGAGATATTCCTTTTGGTGTGGAGCAGTTTAGTTACTTCTCTTGTCTTGTTCTGTGTTTTTTATTTGTTGTTTTTTTGTTTTTTTTTAGAAAGGTCACCTCCCTTACTGTAAACCTAATCTACTTTCAGGTACAAGTTAAATGACCTTGAACCTTAAAATATTGGCATCAAAAGTTGAATTAAAAAGTCAAAGTTATAACATTTAAAAGTCATAATTATTAGAGTAACTTAAAAAATCTAAGACGAGATGGGATAAAAAAAGTCACCTCCTGTGTTGATTCTGAGTAAAGATTTAATGGAAATATCATCTGGCTGACATGAGTCAATCCTACTCTTTGTTTTTAAGTTTATGTCACATTTTACTCATCTGAAAGTCTTCAGAGCCAGCCCACTTGGCTTGAACTTCATTTCTTACCAACTTGGTCTGAATTATCAGAGCAGGGATTTTACAGTTTTGGCCCTTTAAAGACAATGGTCTCATAATGCCTTCCCTGTGGGTGATGAACCCTCTAACCTCAGCTGTTTCACTCTTGCCAACTTAGCTGCACAAAATCCTTTAGAATTTAGTGTGAGTGGAAAAATCTGACTCCATATTTGACCCCAGACTTTGCCGCAGTATGTGAACTGACCTTGCAGCCGTGGCAGTAGTTTTCTCCATTCTTCCCTGGAGGGAGGATGATTTCCCCTGTTGGGATCAGCTGGATCCTCAGTTCCATCATCATTTTGTTGTTTTTCCTCTGATTCCCCGTCCCTTTTTTGGTCAGTGCAGTTTAGTGTTGTCTATTCCTCTCCAAAATGTCCAAGAAGAAAATGTTGAACCTCTCCTCTCAGATCTGCTGACAAAACCTGAGGACAAGCAGAAAGAGGACAGGCATAAGGCGATCCAAGGAGTTGCTTGAAAGGCAAAACTCTATTCGTCAGAAACCTTTACCCTCATTAAAAAAAACACATGCCAACAGACCATAAATCGGCAAACACATGAGAAGAAATGTCTTATCTTTAGAGCTAAGGCCCTTACCTGAATGAGAATTTTTACTCCCTGACATTGAAGATTAAGTCCCAGCGCAGAGATTTGTCGTTGAGGTGTTACCTGTTGCAGAGCAGAGGGACACAGTGAGGCCAGCTTCCCTTTGCTGTAGTCAGAGGATGTTGCCTCTCCAGATGAGGGATCACGGGGAGGATATGGAGCTCTGCCTGGCCCAAGATGGATGTCACATGAAGAGGATATGTGTCTTTTGTTTTACTGCAGTGTGTGTGTGTGCATGGGGAGATAAAAGCACGTGTAAGGGAGTGTAAGCTCTGAGCCCCCGACGTCCCGCAAAGGTGATAATTCTTGTCCTGTGTGAATAAGTTGTTATTTTGTTGGAACAAAATAAGTTGTTTGAGGAGCAGCTGTGCACGCTTTTTAGCCATGTGTGATGAACGGAAGCATATTAGGACTCTACAGACAAGATAACTACTTGATAACATGGATAAACAAACTTTCTTACAACATAATGGAACTTCTAGATAATTCTCTCATGTGCATAAACTAATAACTTGTGTGTGCAAAATAACAACTCGTATCAGCAATACAATGATCCTGTATACACAAGATTTTTACCCACTTTAATAAGATGTTATAGCAACATAATGACCTTGTTAACACAACAATTTAACTTAAGCATAGAAAATCAAAACTCATACACACAAGATATTAACTAAGATTTTATCCTTTATCAACTAATGCAGACATGACTGAAAGCTGTTTGCCCAAGATAACTTGTTGTGGCAGTAAAAGTATCCTGTTTGCACGAGACACTAACTTTAGCCAAAAACTTGTGGACAAAAAAATAACAAAATGTATCTTGCGCACACAGTAAATCAACTATCTGGACAAGATTATGGCCTGTGTACACAAGCCAATAACCTATGCACACCAAAAAAATAACCTATTCCATCATGATAATTCATTTTTTTCCAACAAAATAATGATTTACTACAACAAGATCATAGTTTGATTTAGCAACATGTTTGGCTTGTGCCACAAGATATTAGCTTACATGCAAGATCATAACTTGCATTCACATGATAATAACTTGTATGGACAAGATATCCACGAATTGCAGCAAGTTAATAAATTCTTCTCATAAGAAAATATACTTCGGGCACATGATAATGACTAGACCTAGCAATATAATTATCTTGAGTGCACATGGTGTTACATCAGGAGCACAAGATAGAAACCTGTGGGCACAAGATAGAAAATTATTCCAACAACATGATAAATGGCGGCATTCTCATTTTGTGCCACAAGATAACTGACTGAAATCAAATCTTGTATGAACAAGATAATAAAATGTGGGCCCACGACAATAATGTTTTTTCAAGTTACATTAGAGGTACAGGAATGTATTTATTTTGTGACCACAATATATGAACTCATGCCCACAAGATTATTTCTTGGATGCATAAGATAAAAAAATGTGGGCACTAAATAATAACTTGTCTCAGGAATATTATGTGATTATTTTGTCTTTAAAATGATATCTCTTTTTTATTTATTGACTCTAATTTTATTGATATACATGTTTCTCATAAATTTGACTTCATTCTTCTAAAATTTAATCATAATTGAACTTCAATTTTGTTAATTTACCACTTTATTCCAGCAATATTATTCATTTTGGTATGGCCCTTACTCTCTGCTGCACGTAGGTTAGCTCATTTTTTGACAGTATGAGTCAGCAGGAAAGTAGCACACAGTCGATGATGCTTAGGGGTTTCCATGATTTTAGGTGTTAACAGCTCAGCGGTGTTATTGACTCGATGTTTGGATGTACCTTTGTTTGCAAAGTAAGTGTAGCTTTTCCACATAATTCCATGCACCTCCTGTAGGGACTCTTCTTTTGTTGTTTCCTTGTAGCTGCTGTTAGATAACTGATGGCACAGAGTCAGTGTGTGTGGTTTTGACTCCACACACTCACACATGCACACAAACACACACATGTGCAAACACACTCTTAGGGCAGGTCTGAACAGGGTTTCCTCCAAGACCAAGCATCCTGCCCTAAACATTCCCAGTACCCACCCAGTTGATTAAGAGTGTGTGAGTGACGTACGTGTGTGTGTGTGTGTGTGTGTGTGTGTTTTCGTGTGTGTGCATGACAAAGGAAATACAAGCAGGAGGCACGCGTACACACACACTTTCTAAACACAATAAGGGACTTGTGTTGTTGGGGGACCAGACTAACCTAGCTCTTCACACGCACGCACACACACACACACACACACACACACACACACACACACACACACACACACACACACACACACACACACACACACGCAGACTCACTGATTCACAGTAACAGCAGTTTTTTTTTCTCCAGTGGGATGGGTTAAAATCTGACACGGCAGTCGTACATTTGTGCCTCAGTGACAGAGAATATAAACAGCTTCGGTCCTGTAGATAAACAGCCATCATTCTAACGACCTTCCTGACCCGTGAATGGCTGAAGACACCTCCCTACATTCCTGTTTGCTCGCTGTCAGCGCTGTGGGACACATTGACATGAGCACATTACACAATTTGCCTCTGAGCATTTTCTCATCATTCAAAATCCTCTGTTTCCTGTTGAACACATGCAAAAATCAAACACAATCAAAAACAACTGTTAGAGATTGCCCAACTTTGAATGCGCAACTTTATATGAGCTTGACGTCTTCAGTTTGTTATGATTTTAGTCAAATACTAATTCGTGTAAACTCCAGGGTTGTATTAATTTGAAAATTTGTATTGCTTTTTCTTTTTTGTTTTAAATATTGGGTTTTTTGGTATATACTTTATTTAGAATTTCCCAATATAAACAAACAGTTAGGCACAAGGACAAGAAGACCTTATGGTGGTACAAGAATATATAACAGAAAAACGTCCAATGTGGCAGAAGTGTATGGAAGTAAATCTGTGCCATCTGATTTTGAATTTCTAAAGCTGAAATTTTCTTTTTCTTTGAATTTCAAGCACACATTTTTACTTCTTACACTTGTTTTTTTTTTCACAATGATGAAATACATTCAGTGTGAAAAAAAATCGGTCTCTCAAAATATTTATTTAGTAAAAATTCGACTTAAAAAATTTAGTGTAAAAGAAAATTCAACATAAAAAATATTCAGTCAAAAAATTCGATGTAAAAAAAAATTCTGTGCCAAATAATTCAGTGCAAAAAGACAGACTCAATATGGAAGCATTTACTTCCATAGAAGTAGGGTGTTGCATGCAGCCTTTAGACCATAAGATCCTGAATAGAAAACAAATTACAAGATCAAAAAAAAGATGAATAAATAAATAAAAAAAGATCAGAAAAACAGTGCACAGCAAGAAAACAAAGACAAAAAAACAAACAAAAAAAATTAAAAAAGCACAACACATGGATTATCTTAAATCTCTAAACCAAAAGCCAGTTTGTTTAGCAGTTGTGTCCAAGACCTCCAGAGATGAATCCTCTTATTGTGAGAAAACAAGCTTTATCACCTTGATGTTAATCAGGTAGAAAATTTAAGACCTTAATAAAAAATGATGGAAGTCGTATCATTCTTTCAAGCATCACAGGAGCTTTGTGTCCCTGAGAGGCAACCATCTCCTCACCTACTAGGGGGATGAGTAAGGGAACATTCCCATCCATAATCTGACAGCTAGACCTTAATAAATATTCCTATTTCTGCACACTGGACATTTGATATCCATCCAAAAGACGTGGCATATGAGACAATTTATCCTTAAATCAATTCAATGACCAGGAATTTATTAAAGACAAAATGCAGTTTAAGTTAAGATAAAACAAAAGTCACTACTGTCTTTCATCTCAGATTTCTCACCGCTCTGAGAGCTTTTGAAGTGAAAACAAAGTTCTGTCTTAATTTTTGAGAATTGTAACATTTTGAGAAAAAAACAACTCTATTTTTTTAAAAAGAATTCTGACAACTTAGTTCAAATTCTGACTTTGTTCTTCGAATTTTGTGGAAAAAAAAACAGTCTATTCAATGTTCAGAGTTCTAAGGTAAAAGGGAACCTCTAAGATTTTTTCTCTCAAAATTTCAAAACTGGAGTTGAGATATTTTTTTTCTCAGAATTATTTCAGAACTTTAGGTTCAAGTCCAAATTACAGCTTTTTTCCAGAAGTCAGAACTATAAAGTCTTTCATGAATGCTGACATTTTCTGTGGAATATTGGGTCAAAAAAAAAAGTCTGAATTTTTGTCTTAAATTCCGATTTTAGGCTCAAATCCAGCATTTAATCTCAGAAATCAGATTAAACACATTAAAATAGAATTCTGAGAGAAAAATTTGGAATTGTGACCTAATTCTCAGGAAAGTCAGAATTTTGACTTTTCTTCTCAAATTCAGATAAAACAAGTCAGAGTCCTCAACTCTCTACCATGAATAAAACATTAAAATATCTTAAAGTCAGGTTGTATTTTAATTTTTATATGAAAGGTTTTATGAGCCTTGATGTTCCTAACAATGTCAGGGAGATATTTAGTACTGATTTTTTTTTTTTTTCATGTTAAAAATACAAAGTCTTTAGAGTAATTTATAGGGAAAACAAAATTTGACACTGACAAGCACAAAACTGGAGCAAAGTTTCAGCTGGAGGATCCGTTCCCACTGAGCTCTGTATCCTGTGACCTCTCACTGAAATTTCACCCGTTTCTCTCTGTTTTACAGCCCTGATTTAGGAGCAGATTATCAGATTTTTATCCATATTCTCTTGATTTTATAGAATATTTCTGTGCATTTCTAATGGATCATGAAGCTGCTGATACTTGAACAGTCCATGATTGAGAAAGTTATTTATATCTGACAGACACTGTATTGAATGAATGTATTAAATGTTTAAGAGAGCTCATAAACCTTTAAGATGAGGATGGCAGGATCAGTGTGTAGGCAAGGGAGGAAGTGACAGTGACACATATCCTTTGACCTCTGACCTTGACTGAAGACGTTCCTGACAGCCTGGCATCAACAGGAAATCTGTGGCCTTGACATGTGTACACACACACACACTCACACTTATTCGCACATGTTTGTTCCCCGCTCTGCTCTGGAGTAAGGAGCAAAGTTTGGCAGTAATTGACTTCCAGTGTAAATACGACGTTGTACTTCCGAAGAAAAGTGAGGGAACAACAGCGGGACACAGCTTGTTTAGAGCAGACCTGTTACATAAATGGACTTTAATACATATATACATGATGGTACCATGTTGAGTGTCCAATCTAAATGCAAAGCTCTGAAACATGAGATTCAAGGATGGATGTGTTTTGCAAGTTCCCTGAAGGGCTCATTTCCATCTGTGGTCGCAGCCTGATGTCAGGTTCTGGTGACACTCAAAGACGAGCTCTGTGGGCAAAGACACACCCACCAGGGAGAACTTTGTCGATTCACGTTTTCTGTAAACACCTAACTTATGAGATTTTCATGTGACTACAAAGATGTGTAAAAGGTAACACCCACAAGCTATGTCTAACTGTATCACCATGGAAGCAGCTGAAACGAAGCATCGAGGCAGAGGCTGAAAATTCCTGAAATGAGGGCTTTTATTGAACTCTAATTGGGCGCTCACACCAAGCGCGAGTAAAATCTACTCGCTCAATTCGCGCAAACCTAGATGCATGAATGTATAGCATTTACTCGCTTCATTCGCACTATGACAGTAATTTCAACGGTAATCCCTGCCAATCCAACATCAAGTAAAAGACAAAGGTCTTGTACAAGTTACCAGGTAATCCAACCTCCTCACTCATTTGCCTTCAGGCGAGTTCCTTTTTATTCTGGTTTCTGTAATTGAAAGAAAAGGTATGATAAAGTTTGGGGCACCCACACCCACTGGTATCACATTTTAGATACCAGTGAACAACCGTCCGTTTTCATATGTCACCCAGCAACCTATGTGCTGATTAGTTATCACAATGTGAATATCCGCTCAAATGGAGACATTTTCAGCTTCCGCCCAATTCGCGTCATTCGCACTGCCAGAGTAGTGCAAGCGTCTAATCGCGCCTTTACATTGACATAACATGTAATTCATTTGCGCGAATGGTTTTACTCATGCTTGGTGTGTGGAGACAGTTAGGAAGACAAGTATCATCCAATATCTGAACTTATCCTGTTGGATCTGACCCCATATCTCATTAAGCTAAAAACGGAAAACACTCAGTACAGGCTGTAAGTCAATCATAGGTCTGGTTTACAACCTGTTCTAGCAGGGGCTGGATCCTTCAAAGGGTGCGTTTCAAGGCCAGCCTGTCAAAACTGTACAAATTTCAAGACTGCTTTAAATGCTGCCAACAAATGTGGCCTGCTTTACTCAGGTCATATGGGATAGATTCGGTGCATGACTTGGAAAATGGCAAGAACACACACACACACACACGCACACACAAACACGTGCACACAAGTCTGGGCCTAGTCTTAAGAATTTCCCCCATTTGCTCCGCCCCTGCCAGATACAGAGGAGTAACACACACCTTTCCTGTTAGCTAGAGGTAGAAAGATCGTGGCAGGACCTTCTCAGCTGTAGTTCAAGGGTTCACCCTGTTGTATATTTGTCCCACCGTCCAGAAACCAGAGCCCACATGAAGCTGACGCCCGGACCAGATGAGACCAGAGTAAATCTCACAAGTGCAGCCTGAAAATAACCCACACTATTTTTAACCACTGTCTCTGCAGCAGAAGAGGAAGTGCATAATATTTCATTGACGTTTGTTCCCTGGGTCGCTCTGTGCCAGCAGAACACCGTTGCGCTCTCCAGTTTCCACAGGAAGGCCGAGGAAGCTAGAGGACGCCGATCAGGCTGCAGATGTTGAAGAGGAGGACTCTGCAGCCTGAACACACCCTCTGGAGCACAGTTTCTTCAGCTACTGTAAACAGAGAGAAAGCTGCTGCACCTTGTTTTTCCTCTTGCAGCACATCCAGTATCCTGTGGAAATTAATTTCAGGGGAGTGATGTCTTTCAGATTAGCTGGAACCTGCTGCCCTCTTGAGGTTTCATGTTACAACAGGCCTGCTGCTCAGTGGAGGAGAAGCTAACCTGACTGCCTGCAACATCCCCTAAAGTGCTCATGAGGCTGTCGTAATGTTATGAAGATATTTCAGAGGACCCAGATCACTATATTACACACATGGAGGTTTACACACTGACTTTTTCAATGAAAACCACAAACCCATGGTGTGAAGTGTGGATAAAAACTGATTTTGATGGTTTGTAGATCATTTAAAGCCTGTATTTAGTTTAAAATAGTGCAAAGACAACATGTTGAATTTCCTGATGGAAGATTTTGTTTCCTCACAATAATTTCTGAGACTTGGGAACTCTCAATTCAAAAGGGTTGAGTTGAAACCAACAGTAGATGATCAGGATGCATGGGCCTTCATAAGCTGCAGTGAAAAAGGCATGGCTCTGGAGGAGAAATCACTGCATGGGCTGGATATCACCTCCAAAAAACATCATCTGTGAACACAGTTTGTCCCCACATCCTCAAATACAGCAATGCAAAGAGGAAGCATTACAGAGACAACATCCAGCAGCACTGGTGGTGTCTCTGGGCCCAAACCCGGTTATGTTGGACTCGGGGGAAAAAAGGAGACCTGCCCTTTGGTCTGGATACACCAGAGATGCCAGATCTCACCTGTAAATCAAAACTCCTTTGTTGCTGTTTTTTTCACATCTTTGTTTTTAAAACTTCCTGAAAGGCTTCCTCATCCTGCTGCCTGAAGGCTTCCCTCATTTAACAACAAATGAACCTTTTCCTCTGGTTTGAAGCATGCATTAGCGCAACTAAAAAAACAAAAAACAGTACCGATACACCTGATCAGGATCGATTCAAGCCAATGTCCAAACTGCCTTTTTATTAGCAGATTCATTACAAACCTTTAATGCCCGTTGAGTCTTGAATCTAAACTCTACAGTGAGGGAATTACAAAACAGGACCCATCACTTTCTTTGATAAAAATAACCTCATAAATTAAAAGTGACTTAAAGGTCGGCTTTCCCCTGTAGAGGGCGCTAAAGGAGCTGCAGCACAAACATGAAAAGGTCGTGACAGACAGATTTCAACTTCTCCTCAGGGTCAACTTAAGTGTGATTCTTCATTTGGTGATTTAAACAGGTTGTTTTATTCAACAGTTTTGTGTCTTTTCACAGTTTGTGTCATGGTTTTCTAAAATCACATGCAAACAAGGCTGAGGAAAGTTCTGGTGTGAAGTTAAAGATTTATGGATCAGGTGTGCAAGGGGACAAAGCTGAAAACAGACCTTAAGAATAATGCATGGATAACAAAGAGACAGAAAAACATGTATGTGGTATATCTGTGTCAAGAGTCCTTGGTGGAAAAATAGCAGCATCTGAAAAATAAAGTTTTTCTGTCTGGTCTGAACGGGGGGAACATGTTCTGTCGACGTTTATTTGTTCACAGATCAGCAGTAGCTTCAGTCACAGCAGCACCACAGGCATTACGATTTCATCCCTCTCTGTAGCTCTAAAAATAGAGCATATAAATTTATGATTACGCTCTCCGCTCACATCACAGCTGCAACATCTGCTGTGAGAGGCAACACAAGTTTGGTGTGTTTTAGAAGTGCTTATTTTGACATTGGGGTTTTAAGTTCAAGGGAAGAAAGTAGAGTTCATTTAGTCTGCTTAAATAAGATTTTAACAGCTTAGATGATTATCTGAAGGAACAAATGAGAAAGTCCCAAAAAAGTTTTTCTATAATTAAATTTAAAAAAGCAAACACAAAGTAAAATATTTCAAGACTGTTTTTGTTTGAGTCATTATGATTTTAACTAACAGCTCACAAGAACCAAAACCAACTCTCTCAAAACTTCAGAATATTGTGGGAACAGTCCAGTTTCTTGTCAGGTCCTTCAGTTCTGAAAAGAGCTCCAATCAGCTGATTAGCTTTGAAGGTTCACTGAGTCTTCATTCTCTATCTCTGGCTCAGCTCATACAACCACAATCACAGGGAGGACTGCTGACCTGACAGTTGTCCAGAAGACAATCACTGACCCCCTCCATAAAGAGAGTGAAGAGACTGGCTGTTCACAGAGTCTGTATGTAAGCAGATTCATGGAGAACTGACTGGAAAGGGAAAAGCGAGAGAGGAAAAGGGGACCAAGCAACAGGGGTAAGGGCAGCCTTAGAGGGGACTTTCGAACAAGGTGAATTTGAGATCTTAGGAGAGCTTCACAAGAAGTGAACTGAGGCTGGAGTCAGAGCATCAAGAGCCACGACACACAGACTAGTCCAGGAAACGGGCCAACGACACTCCTGAAACAGAGAAGTCAGAAGAGTCTCACTTGGGCTAAGAAGAAGTGGACTATTGCTCAGTGGTCCAACATCCTATTGAGTCAAAACAGCTTAAAGTTTATAAGTAAATTTTATAATCATAATAGTGCATCAGATTTCATATAGGGCTTTAGATTGGATACATCATTCATTCCCTCACAGTCACACCCTGGTTGTAGTAAACTACCTTAGTAGTCACAGCTGCTCAGGGGCAGACTGATGGAAACATGGCTGCCAGTTTGTGCCCACAACTTCTCCAGCCACCACCACCACCACCACCACCACCACCACACAACACTCACAATCATACACCAGTGGAGGACACACATTGGGAGCAAGGTGGGTTAAATGTCTTGTCCAAGGACACAACGGACAGACTCAGGATAGGGGGGAATCCTACCACCAACCTTCTGGTTATTGGACGACCGTTCTACCTCCTGAGCTACTGCCGCCCAGTTTTGGAGCACTTCATGTCTCTATCTGCTGAGAGGCTTTATAGAAATGCAGAATGTGGTGTAGATGCCTGTACATGACCATATCTAGAATAGACAGTAATCGTTCTGTGATGTAGAGGGCCACCGGTGAAAACTGAATGAAGACAAGGAGTCAGCTGGTAATGTTTAATTTAGATTGTTTAATGTTAATTCCATGCTGTGTTTCGGTCAAAACGATACAGATTCCCTGTCTGTGGCTTCAGTTGGATATCCAGTAGTACAAATCAGCTCCAAGTTACACATAAAGCAAAACAAGAAGAGAAACAAAGAAAAATCAGCAAAGAAAGAAAAAACCTCTGAACCTAGAGGAGCTTTGAGTTAAAATCAGGGGAGAAGCAGCAGAAACAGAACATGTGCTAACTCATGCAAACACTCCTAATTCAGGTTCTCTGTGGAGGAGAAACGGGCCGAATTGAGACTTGTCTTTAACACAAGTGAGAAATCTCCCATGTTTTTTTGTTTTTTTTAACTGTTTGTTAAAACCAGCGAGGATAGGTCGACCTGCAGAGATTCAGCATGTGTGCACAGTTACAGTATTTCAGCACAAAGTACAGTCCAAGGACAACTACAAAAACATGACAACAGAATCACTATGGTGGAAAAGTTAAGCACTTCTTTGCCCACGTGGATATCGCTAAATTTTGCCAACTTCCTCTGAAAACCTAAGTTCACAAAAAGGGCACTTGAAGTTTCCCAAACTGCCCGAAAAAAACATTAAAATGATTCGCATGACATTTCACTAAAAATAGATAAAATAGCTCCCATGACTAACTGTCGACGTTATCAGTAATAAAAGTTAATTTCTGTAATTACATTAAGAAAAAAATTCTCATTACATCCAGCAACTGATAAAAATATTGAAGAAAAAGCAAAAACAAAAATACAATAATGAGAACAAAGATAACATGTCAGAACCGCTTGTACCAGGACAAAAAAGAAACAAAAAACAAACAATCCAGGGACTCCTTCTTTACCTTTGTCAGTCTACCGTCGTATTTCCTGTCTCATTTAAGTGGTTTTACTTCAATGCTGTAAGGGCTAATATAAAAATAAAAAAGAAGAGAAAAATAAAGTTGTTAACTCCGCGGCCCTGCTGGGTAGGGGAGCCGCAGAGGTGGAAGAAAAGGAACAGGGGGGTGAGCTGAGGAAAGACAGGAAGGTGAGAAGTTGGTTAGGGAAGTGGGGAAGGATGAAGGTGGAGGAGGAGGAGGAGGAGGAGTGTGAGGAGGTGACAGGGGGAGGGAGTCAGGGTGTTGGCTGTAGGTGGCATAGTCTCACTGGGCCTCATCCTCAACGTCTTGCAGTGCCTCTTTGTTCTGTTCTTGTTCTAAAGAGAGAGAGAGAAAAAAAGAGGGTAAGCACACGATGACTAAGAAGAAAAAGAGCTTTAGCTTAAAAAAGACAAAAACTTTGTCTCAGCTAAAGAGGTGATGACCCCTTTTATTAATCTGAAAACACCTCATGTTGATAAATAAGGGCAAATTACAAGGTTCAAAGAAGAAAAGGAAATAAAGGCCTGACCTAAACCCACACAGCAGGAGCTGCTGCTTCTATTACGGATAATGTGCAAACCTGAATTTTACCAAAGATGAGTGGATGGATTAAAACAGTGTTCACAAAATATTTCAATAACATTGAAAACCAAATCAGTATTTTTTCCTCCACAATAAATCTTGATCATAGGAGGAAACGTTTGAAGCAATTGAAGGGGAAGTTGGTGCCTCACCGCTCAAGATTTTTAGCAGAGCGCTGAGCCTGGAGTTTTTAAAGACAATATAAAAACAGCAGCACATCTCAAATTCCAAGAACAGAAGACAAAACGCAAACCCGTTTCTTTTGTGAACATGACACAGTGAATATATAAATAAACATCACAATTAATCAATACCTGTGTGTTTTGAAAAATACAACAATAAAATGAAAAATTTTATTGTTTTGTCTTATAAATGATTTATGTTCATTTTAAACATGTATCACAACAGTGCTCTTTGAGAGGAGGACCACCCGGCATGTAATCGGTGCACAGTTTCAAGGTCAGCATCCATGATGCTATCGGGATGCTTAAGTGCTCATGGTGTGGGTAGCCTACACACCTTGAAGGTTCCATTAATGCGTAAACAGACTTTGGAGGAACATATGCTGCCACTCAGACAATCTTTTTCAGATCGCACAAATTTCTGCCATCCATAATAACAGCATGGCTCCACAGAAGAAGAGTCTGGGAGCTTAACTCACTTGCAGTCCTGAACAGCTACAAAGTTATAAGATTAAATGAATAATTAAACAAAAACTTGACAGAGGAGACTCAGTACTGTTGAGCAGCTAATATCCTACATCAAGGAAGAATGGGACAATATTTCATCCTAAAAACTGTCCTGTACTGCTCCTAAACACGTCAGAGTGTTAAAGGTGATGCAACACAACGGTAAACATGCAAGTTTCCACTTTTTGGGGAATGTGCTGCTAACATTAAATTCAATAAACAGAAATGTCCTCAGAAAACAATCACACTTCTTATTTTCACCATTTGATATACTGTCTTTGCACTCATTGATATCAAATATGCAGTTTAGATGTTTTAAAAACCATCACAATCTGTCACAGCTTTCCAAGTGTTGTTGAATCAGGGGTGTCACAGTTACAAATAAGACCCTCAGACAGTGGTGACATTCTGGTGTGATGTTTTCACTTGGAGTTTGAAATGTGCTGCCTTTTATTTTAAAAACTTACATCTACAATATTCATGTAGTGGAGTGAGGAGTTTTATCATTGATTTTAATTAAATAAAAGACTTCACAAAATCGTGTCAAGTACATAGAGACTGTTTAAAACACTTCTTTGGTAGAGATACTAGTACTTAGTTTATAAAAACCAGTCCGCTCGCAGCAGAAAAAGTTCTATCCTGACGAGAACAGGAAGTTTGTACAAGTCCTTAACTGTCATCTGCAAACATTAGTCTAAATGCATATTGTATTCAGACAGAACTTGTGGGATTGAACTGTGTACCATGTTCACTCATTCAAATACAGTGATCAGAAAACTGTCAGTGTGAGAAGTGTGATCAAACAGAATACAACGAAGTCAGCTGAGCTTTTACGCAGAACTTCAAACATGCAGAAACATCTAACTAATTCAACTCTGTGCTCTGAATAAAAACGGCTTGAATCATGTAACTTCAACTACTTTACAGTTTTGATTTATTTCATAAAAAAAGAGGCTTCACTATGTCAGACTGCAAGCAACTCGATCTGAACCAGTTTTTCTATGTTGTACACATGTAACTATAAATAATCCTTTTCTTGATAAATCCGAGTCAAGCCCAGCTGAACTGAACTCTGTTTTCACTGTGTGTGCTGGAGAGAGCAAAAGGCCTCATTCACCAACCATCCATGTCTTCTTTAAACCCATCAGCTTTGCTTGGATTTTTCCCTTCATTTCAATGGTCAACAAAAACACAAGAGTAAACTCAGGAGATTGGTTAGGCCAGTGCAGAGGTATTAGTGCAATGTTTCCTGGATGTAAAAATTCCTCTGAAGCACATTTCAAGGGGATGCATAAAATAATTCCTCAGTGAAGGAGATGATCTTGTTGGCTCACCTCTAAACCTATTGATTATAATCTATGAATCAGCTGTTTTTTTTGTTTACATCCAGTAGAAATATCCACCAGTAGGACCACCACATTTTTTGATGTTTGAAGTCAAGTGCACAATCCTTTTAAAAACCCAGCGTGATGTCTGTGTGCAGCCAACCCTGCACTGTCACAACCTGTGTTAGATAGGTGAGGATGTTCACTTGTTAGTTAGAAAAAAGCTGCTTCATATTCACCGGGACGTGACATGGAAAAATTGAAGAGCACTTCTGCAGAGCATTTCTGCAGTTTTGAAGGATTTTACAAAGAACAAAAACAAAAGGAGGGATTGGTGAATGAGGCCCAAAGTTAACAGACTGAACAGGTGAGTGAGGAAGCAACAGGTGAGCGGACTGAAGGATTAAACCGGGAGTGAGTCAGTGTTGGGGGGGAAGAAGGCAGCAGCCACACACAGCAAGGCTTTTGGTGAGCAACACTTACAAAGTACAGTTAACATGGGGAAATGAACAGTCAGGTTTGTTTCCTTTAGGACTCTACAGCAGAGGAATGAGAGAGAGACAGAGACACATGACGAGTCACTCAGAAAGACCACCCATGGAAGCTCCTCAACACAGCAAATGCTAACAGCTGGGATGAACGAGGAGGGAGAATAAATGAATCACACACTTTTTAAAAAGCTAACCTGACTCATTTGCAATGAGGAGAAACAGGTGATTTTTTTTTTTAAAGGTAGGATGGTTATGACTTAAATCTCATGAAGGCAGACTTGACCTCCACATGTACACCAGTTAGATGGTTCTCTGTATCAGAGCGTGCAAACTGTGAGCAGCATGATCCAAGTCCTGAGCACTCAGACAGTTTACGGCACATTTAAATATGCAGAGGAGCCTAAAACATTTATGTCAGACAAAGAGCAGAGTCAGGCTTAACCTGGAGACAAAAGGGGGCGGGGACTATCCCAACTGGTGAATTATACCACAACAGGAAGTTGAGAAGTCAAGCCTCAAACTGGAAATCTCTGGATTGTCATTTACATTTATGTTACATGTTTATCATTCCATTTGAACAGAACGTGACTCAAGCTGCTCACAGTATTTAGATCGATTTAACCCTGCTATCATAACAGTTTGGACAGGTAAAAGAAGACGAGTGAGTTAGTTCATCAAGTCCTGGTAACACATGTTCTGCAAAGACCATCAAGTAGACTAAACGTACAGATCAGTTTAAGTGTTACGTCAGAGAGCAGAGTCATGAATGAGCGTCTTACCCTCTCCCTGCATATCTGAAGTCCATAGTGTCAGGTTGTCACGTAACAACTGCATGATAAGCGTGGAGTCCTTGTAGCTGTCTTCACTCAGTGTGTCCAGTTCTGTGATGGCGTCATCAAAAGCACACTTTGCCAACCTGAGAAAACACACTTTCATTATTATGACTTTCAAAACAGAACCATGTGTCAGACAGAGTTATCATCATAATTCTAAATGTTTATGGGTGTTTTTTGGACCCTCATCAGACAGAACAGCTGAAGAGAGACAGGAAATGTGGGGAGTAGAAAGCAGAGGAAGACACGCAGTAAGGTGCAGTGGTCAGGAGTCGAAACAGCAACTGCTGAGACCAGAACTATAGCACCTGTGTTTGGTTTGCCACCTGTGTAATACCTGTTTTTGCAGTGTACTCCTCCTGAATTCAAAATAACTTGAAAGTAGTGTAGTAGTGTGCTGACCCTCATCAGCGTCGATGTGCGTTTTCCAAGAATGGCACTTGGTCAGTTTGTCTTTGTTGACTGCAATCAGAGGGTTTTGACAATGTCGTGGAGACACTGTTTCATAGCCAGTACTGGTGCTTTTATTTACTCCCCCTGTTTCCTTTCTCAATCATGAGGACCTCACCCCTCATGTATTCAGACAGCAGTGTTTCCCACAGACAGATGATACCTGGACAGGCTGTCCATGTATATTTATGGCAGCCTAAGTTTAATTGCCGACTACTTTGTATTGCCAAAGTGCTCAAGATTTCACACTACATTTTGATTTACAACCACTGATGAAACTTTGCAGAGACACTCCAGTTTAGTGTTTAGAAAAGACAGAAACCTGCAAGCACGGTCGGGCGAGTTGAGGATCTCGTAGTAGAAGACGGAGAAGTTGAGAGCAAGGCCGAGGCGGATGGGGTGCGTGGGAGGCAGCTCAGACAGGGCGAGATCCGTGGCAGTTTTGTAGGCCACCAGGCTGTTCTCTGCAGCCTCCTTTCTGTTGTTGCCTGTAGCAAACTCTGCCAGGTACCTGTGGTAGTCTCCCTTCCTGGAATTGGGGAAATCAAAATGGAACAAACTTTGTATTCATACCTGGGGGTCTGGAAAGTGTGTGAGAAAAATACAGGTTTGTCAAAGCGCCTGGAGGAACTTTTAGAATGTGTGTGTAAATACTGTAAAGTTACTTTAAAAGAATATCAACCACATTTAATTTAGTTATCAAACCTTCAACTTTTGTAAATCTTTGAAAATTTCCAGAACCTTGTTCCAGGACTTTGTAAAACATTTTTACAAATGAAATCCTGTGTGGCACCTTCACTTGGTACCCTGTAAGATACTCCTAAACTTTTCCTTCTCAACCTCATCATAACTCTCCATTCAACGCAAAAGAAAAGAAAACTCATTATTCACATCAAACAAGGGAGAATTGCCGATGTCGTCAGATAACTGACACCCATTGTCTTACATTTTGTTGTAGAAGACCTTTGACTCTCCCATTACAGCAGAGGGAAGTAGGTGCCTTTCAAGTGCTTCCAAAATATCACCACAGATCGACTTCAGCTCGTTTTCAACCTGAAAAAACATCCAAAGAAAATACAGTTATTCAAACTGATCACTGTCCCTCAAGACCAGGGACATGGTCAGGAAAACACTGAAAATCTTGTGTAATGATAACCTCCCCCGTGATTATCACATAAATCCTGATAGGTAGGTCATTTTAACAAGTTACTTAGTCCACATGTTGTACAAGCAATGTTATACTTCTGCTGACTTTGTGTCATCACTCTCTTACTAATCAGAACTGAAACTTTTGGGAACAATTTGTTTTTTTAAGTGTCTGTGACTTGATGTTGCAGCAAGGAAGATGAGATATCACAAGATTGAGACAATATTGAAGTTTATTTTCTTGTGATGGTTTGTTTAATTCCATACCAAAGATAACAGAACAAAAGAAAAACTCTTCAGATGAATTCTCTAAACAATATCCTTCTATACAAGAACAAACTTGACCTTCAAATTATTTTAGCTCCATATCTTTCTTTTCTGTAGACTGTGGGAACTTTCTTCCAGCACGCAGAGAATGAGTGGAAAGCTTTCAGACCGATCAGAGGGGATGCTCTATAAAATCTCAGAGGCTTGCCTCATCTCCCTTTTCAAATTTTGCTCGAGCTTCACTTTAATAATGAGTTTGAAACGTGCCCAACAAAGAGGGTATAAAAACCTGAAGGTGCAGCCTTGGCAGAGGAGTTTACAAGAACTTAAAAAGGGAGAATGTTTACAGCCGAACTGTTGCTGTTACACTTGAAGATGACAGTAGATTTTGTGTTCAAATGAAAGCTGGCATTTTTAATGATTCAGGAGCGAGTGTAAGGGGACTCAGCTGCAGGGATCTGGAGTGGCAACAAGCAGAAACCTACCAGCCTATGGGTGAGGGGAAGAGAGTCTTATCCTCTCTCTCAGCTCAGATGCTTCATCATGGCTGTGGACGTCTTTGTCCATTTTTGGACATCTGCCCTTTAAAGCCAATGATAGTAGCACCAATATTTAATTTGCTGATTGAATTCAGATTCAACTGAAGTCTTAAGGAGTGCTGGTATGGTGATAAAAGAAAGGTGTCCCCAAAGGGATTTAGGGATGAACTAAATGACGATGCAAACGCAGGATTACCAATCTCTGAATCCCATTAGATCATTGACTGCAGTCCAACTGCTCCTCCCAGCTCCCTGACACACTCTGGCCTCTCCCAGATAAATAACCAGCTCTTAATTTCCTTCATAAAAGCGGGAGACAGAGGAGGACCTGCCAAGTATGACTCACATGCAGTCTGCTCAGTAGTTGCTCACAGTGTGTATTATTAATAAAAGCTAGTATTCTTAGATTGGTACAGCAAAAGCCTTGAAACACGGCTCATACAGGGACAATGGGATATGATGAATCTTTGAGAGTGCTCTGAAAAAACAAAAACTAAAGCTAAGTCACATCCTGAGCTTTCAGTGAGAGCTTACTGTTTGCCTGTATTCCCGGATCATCTTCAGTTTCTCTTCTCCGCCCTTGCTCTCTTCCCTCTGTTCGATACTGCTGATTATCCTCCAGGAGGCTCTCCGAGCTCCGATCACGTTCTTGTAGGCCACTGATAGTAGGTTTCTCTCCTCCACTGTGAGCTCCACGTCCATGCTGGCCACGTTCTTCATCGACAACACCATCTCTGTTGGGGGAGCAACATTGGACAAACATTTAGTACTGAAAATGTCTCTGGCCAGTGTTTCCAATATTATACCTGAGAACATGAGCTGGTAATCTCATTGAATTGTGTTGGGTTTATTGACACAGAAAGTCATGTGCTGTGAGAGATTTAATATGAAACTAAAAAAACTCAAATATCAGACATTTACTGACAACAATTGCAACATAAGTCCTTGACATAAACAAAAATATCCTGTCAATTTTATAACTCTGAAAATGTGGAGCTATGAGACGCATGTTCAGCACCTTTTTAATTATCCAAAGTAAGCTATATCCTGTATAATAGTCAGACCAGTATAAAATACAGAGAGGGTTTTTTTATTGCATTGACATATTTTACCCAAAAGATCACACTCAAAGAAGCAGACTACAGCACTTTAATGGACCTGAGACCGAATCAAACAATAGTTCTTCTAAGAGAAAGTGCAGGTCTTCTCAGCAGACAGAATGGAGGGCAATCGCCTCATGTCCGACCATCATTTTTTGCTCTCTGCTTGCTGCCCAAGCTGCAACCTCCAGTCTTGAGAAATCAAACCGATGTGGAAGTGCTGAAAACTGCAATTTGTGGAGGGCCCAATGGAGCATAGTCCAAACCCTTTCCCCTCTGAGAGCCCCCCAAAACATACTATATTTTATATACCAATGAGAACTAATCAATCATCCGTGGTAAAACTATTTAAAATCCCTGCCTGTGTTAATGGCATCCAACACAAACAAGTGATGTTTGAGATATGTAGAGCAGTGGTTCTCAAGTCCAGTCCTCGAAGCCCATTGTCCTGCATGTTTTGGATGTTTCCCTGCTCCGTCACACCTGATTCAAATGATCAGCTCGTTATCAAGCTCTGTAATGGCTTAATAACGAGCTAATCATTTGAATCAGGTGTGTTGGAGCAGGGAAACATCCAAACATACAGGACAGTGGGCCTCGAGGACTGGACTTGAGAACCACTGATCTAGAGGAGTCACCTGCATGCATGTCATAAACCAGGGAGTGGGCCATCTTCTACAGCCAGAAAATTTGGATTTACTGATTTAGAGGGGGAAAAAATATCATTTGTGTCACTGAAATTAAATCCTTAACTATTATTCATATCAGAGGCTTAAAGGCTCTTTCACTTCGACAGTCAGTGTCAGCAGTGGGAGACGGTATGTGGGAAATTTGGTTTGCCACATAGTGTGAAGAGTTTAGGAGCCTTTGAGCGAAGATATAGTCAAAAGTCTGTCTTTGTGAGACTGGCTCCTGGGGCAAGCAGAGATTTCATACCACCAGGAGCAAATCTCATCCCTGAGAGGATCCTTTCAAAACTCCCTCTGAAACAACAGAGCTCAGTATGGTGAGGAGAGGAGAGAGGTTGGAGCTCAGCAGCACCTGCTGATTTCAGCTCTGCCGAAGACGACCAATTCATGAGCATAAGATCGAACTCCACCCTGAGACTGGGGTTTACAGCTCAGTGTATTCTGACATGAGGGGTGGAGAGATGAGGTATATACTCATAAGGGCAGAGTGCTGTGGCTCTGCTCCTCCTCACCACATCCTCTTGAGTTTGAGAGGCTTTTCATCTACTGTCTCTCAGACAACCTACAGATCCGAATGCAGAGTATCTACGATCTACTTCAGGGTCACAGTATGATGCCTGTTTTTAAATGATGAGTAAACCTGCCGGAGCTGCAGATACAGTGATAAGACAGAAATCAGCTTTTTTTCTCTCATGTTTCAAATTTTTACAGATGCTGATGCAATCAAACTTTGAACTTTCACACTCAAAACACTCTGGAGAGGAAATAAACAGCAACTGTGACTTTAACGTGAAATATCAGCATGCCTCTGTTCTTTATCAGACGTATTTTCTTTGGAGCAAAACGACTATACCTTTAATGTGAACAGGCAGACTAATGGAGAATCCAGAGACAGGCGTCACAGAAAATGATTTTGGCAAAGCCGAGGCTGCTTTTGGAACATTTGCGTTTCAGAAACATCTTAAGGAAAGATCACATGAATATTCATGATTGACCTTGAAATAAAACATCTGCAAGGATGGCAAAGAATCCCCCACAGCATGACAAACAGGTGATGCCCAGAGGATGGGAACATTTTCCACCATTTTCACAACTATCCTAATGTGGTGATCGAGAGACACGGAGGCTGTGCTACATTTACCCTCATGCTAAAATTTGACAACCTACAAAACATCCTTAACATGCAGATAGTTCATGTTAGAGAACATAGAAAAAGGTCCTGGGAAATTATTTATGAACTGACTGAGTAAATCTTTGATAGTTTTGAGATGTATTGTTTATTTTTGACATTGTCTGAGAATAGAAATAGGTAGTCTGATTTTGTATCAATGGTCATTTATGATGTTCCTAATCTTGGGGCAGGTGTTTTAAGTGTTTCCTCTTCCTGCTTTTTCGTGGACAGTCTGTTTTAAGTAACACGATTATCATATATGTTATGTTTTCAAGCACTGATGTGAGCAAATAATCGGACTATGAATGAATGAATAACGACCTTAATCCCTCTACAATCCTGCGAGTTTACCTTTCAGCCAGTGAGCACAAATCACTCTGTAAATACACACAGTCCCCAATCCCGTGAATGAGTCATGGCACATTCATTTAACGTTACTGGGCAACGTATGACCGGTGGCAAAGGCAGCCGTCTAAAAACAGCCCCCGTTACAAGGCCTGTAATGGTATGAAAGTCTGTCAGGGTTGTACCACAGAGCAGAGGGGACGAGGAGTCATTTTCGCAAATCGATCTGTTCAGCCTTGCTTGCAGGGGGAACACCCCACCATGCGAACAGCTGTCCTCCCACTCCCACCCAATGCTAACACACATCAAACTTCAACTATTAAGATAACCTTACTACTTAACCGGCTCGAGCAACAGATAGAATTGTGCGCACACTTGACGTGTTAATACAGATACAAGAAAGATGACAATAAGTGTTACTTTTATGTGCTAATCTTGTAATTAAGTCGTGTATTGGGCTACAAGACTAGCATGGTGCAAGTGAGGCAACTCCTGACAGCTCATGGTGCGTGCTCCCTGAAAGCGAACTGACGCGGCAATAAATTAGCTCCCGTTCATTGTGGATAGCAGGCGGCCGATTCGCTGCTTAGAGCATGTTGAGATACCTACCAAGAAGGACCCGGCAATAAGGGTGCTTCTCCGCCGTCAGCATTGTTCCCTCGAAGATTTACAGAAATCGTTTTATTAAAACACCTATAATGTAAGCTGTTTGGATTGAAAAGTTTCATCACCCACCGCAAGCGAACCATTCGCCTGAACTCGCGTTCGCCCTGCTTGGCTCGTCACTCAAGGGGTAAACTGGGGAGTCTCCTCAAACAAATCAACTATACATAAATGTGTTTACGACCAGCATAGCCCGAGTATCTTTATATCGGTTATTCTGTTATTATTCGGGGAAAAGCTGTTGAAAAGTGGCACCGCCAGTCTGTTCTGCGTCGCAAGGCATCCCGGCACGCTTCAGCGGCGAAACGGCCGCTTGCAACACACAATGTATGGAGGAGAATTTTCACCGCGTTAGTTCGCTTTCAGTCGGCGCGCAGTCGTACGCTCCAGTAATCCGCCATTTTGTTGTAACGCTAGCCCACTTCACTAGCGTTCCAACAAAATCACAGTCGCACAAATGACACAAAATGAGAGCACACCTGCTTATATTTCAGATTGTTATAGTTTATTATTATATTATTGTTCTAACTAGCCGTTTGTCATGTCAGAGAACAGTTCGCGGAGGCCGCAGCCACATAAACGGTCATGTTAGCGTCGCTCGGCTAATTGAGGTAGCTAAAAGAAGTCCCTGCGGCGAACATGTCCCACACCGAGCCGAGCCTGAGAGTCTTACCGTCATACCGCTCTGCCTGCTCGGCAAGTTTGGCCTGATACACTAGGTCTTCTCGCTCTCCCATGGTGTAACGAGATGTAGATAAATAGGAAAGTGACAGCTCCTCAGAATGGACACGGCGGCTGATGTCAGTTCCTAGAAATCAACCGGGTCGATGAGTGGTGTTCCGCCCCACCGGCAGCACAGTGCTGGGATGGAGTAAAGATGGCGACCACCGGCCTCATCCGCGTACTGCACAGACGTACACGGACCTCCAGCCTCGGTACGTCCCCCCGTAACTGTATTTTTAAATGCACTGATAGTCGGGGCGATTACAGTTCAAAGCGAAATCCCCCCAAAACTCTTCCAAAATAACAGAAAATCCCGTTATCTTCCTTAAGATTGTGTTTCAGATTTGTACTACAGGTGATCATTATCTAAAAGAGATAAACTCAGACAAAACGAGCATGTGTGCAGGGGCGTGCAGAGATATTTTTGACCTGGGTGTCTCAGTTAGAGGAGGGATGGAGGTTTGATCAAGATTATTACATTGTCATCCAAAACTCTGTATCAGACTCAGACAGGTATGCAGCAGATAGATCTTTCTCTGCGTCTATCTCCAAAATGAAGAAGTAAAGACAGCAACTACCCAAATTCAGAAATAAATTGTAGATATTTACACTGAACTTGTGAATTGAGAATTTTAATGTCAACGATGGAAAGGAGGGGAGAAAAAAGACAAAGAATAGAAAGAAAGCTGGACCAAAAAGCAGTATTCACAAACAATACAATAACTGTCTTCGCACTAATGCAAACTCTATTTTCATGTCTACAAAGAATTAGGCAGGTGTAACACTTTTCATAAATTCAGCCTCTTTCCAATTATTTAGATATCATCCAGTCCTCTTTCTTTCTTAAATTAACATATACTATAATACTATACTATACTATATCTGTTTTTAAAGATGGTTTGATTTTTCTTTTTGGAGATATTTATTATGAATAATCTTTGGGCAAAAATGAGTTAGGACTGTTAATTCATTACTATGAAAAACAAGTTCCTTCATTGTATCTTTTTCATGTCAAATCCAAACAGTTTTTTCTGAACTGTACTTTCCTTTCAAAGTAATAGCAGAGCCTCAAAATAACACACATCTATCTATCTATCTGTCTGTTTTCTCCATCTCTCCTCTGTCAGAAATGAGCATATAGATTTTAAACAGCAAAGTTGAAACTTCCAGATTCAGCGTTTGATGTCGTCTTTGCATCTTTTACAGTGATTCACACACCATTTAGTTGTTTAAACATTTCTTACCAAAGAATTGGAGTTATATTTTCACAGATCTGTTCCTTCAATTTGAATTTTCCTTGTTTCTTTTTATGAATATATCCGTGGAGACATAAAAGTACAAGCAACGCTCAAATCCAAGACAGAGGTTCCCATGGGGCCCATTAAGCTGTATCATATCGCTTCATATACCGTAGCATAGTGTGACATATGATATGATGAAATGTAGAGCTTACGCTCTCAGCAGCAATAAAGCTCATAGTTCTCTCACAGATAAAAGAGCCAGTACAGTGCACAAATACTCTGTCATGGGTTTGACTTTATTTACTAGTATATTAACACATTACATGCTACAGAAAATAAAAAGGTAATTTGTCAATCGTCTTGAAAGAATATAGTGTTATAATAAAATGGCACATTTTGATATTAACACAATCCCCACTCGCATTTTGGCCACCCCTTCCTTTGCTTGAAAGGAAATGAATGACTTCATGCAGGGCTACTAAAAAAATACTTCTTGGTGGTTTCATTGGCAACACAATTTTTAAGATAATGATTCATGTAGGTGAGCACCTGCCGAGTGCACGTGTGAGTAAGAAAGAAGCATGATTTGATTAAAAAAACACAAAGATGGACCAAGTAGAAAAGCTGGAAGTAAACAAAAATGTTACTTTTAAGAAGTTAATCAAGATTATAAGTGGAATATAGCTTAACAAGAGTTTGTATAGACAGTCAGGCAAAGCTTGAAGGTCAGGGAGGAGAAATCAAGGAGAATTAACAACCCTGGAAAGAGAGCAATCATCAATGCAAACAAGAGTCAACGCAGTAAGTGCATTCTGTTAAAAATCTAATTTCATCTCCTTCAATCTCATCAGCCCTGGCAGAGCAAGTTTTTTATTTTCTTTGTATGCTGCTACAGTGCCACCTAAAGGTGAAAACGAACCTGCCAAAAATACTAGAGCATGACTTCTGAGGAGTTTCCAAAGCTCAGTTTAAAAATCTGAAATACATTTTAGGCCTGCTTCAATCCAAACCAGTCTGCTTCATGATACTAAAAAGTGATGATTGTCAGATGTCAACAAAAAGATTGATTCAATGTAAATGGAAAATCACTTCTTAAGGGGGGGAAAAGGCAATTTGGACCACAACATGATTTGCTTTTCTAAATGTCTGATCGATTGGCAACACAAATGTCACAGAAGAGAGAAGTAAGACAGTAAAAAAGTTGTATGTGCATCAAAATGGAAAAGGCTTTAGATAGACGAAGGCAGAGTTTCGAGTAGGGAAGAAGAAAATGGATTTTAAAAAGTGGAAAGTGGAGGCATGATTATTAAATGGTTAAAAAAAAGGAGGAGGAGGTGGGGGGCAGGTACCAAAATAAACCACTTTCTCCTTACTCGGGGAAGAACATACGATGATTTGTTTTTGCTACGGTATATTCAGTGAGTCGAGAGCAGAGTGCTAATATGACAAGACGCTACTTACTAACATGGTGGACAGCCTACATTCACTCTTTTCAACTTCATCCAGAATGAGCACACATGTGGCCTTATGGGGGCTAGAGGGCAAACAGATGAGCCCTCCCTCCCCCTTGAGTCAGTTTTTGCACCAGAGACCCGTTGCTCCCTCCCAACATGCAGCAGTAAAAAGTGTACACTGAAATCCTCCCGAAGAAAAACAAAAACCAGCTATGAAGAGAACTACAAATATGACAAAAAAAACAATATCTTAGCATGTAATGATAATCACATAGTACATCATTTCATAACAATATGTTCTTTTTTTTTCTTACAAAAGACTACTTGGCGGTACTTGGTCATAGTAGATGGGTGAGTTGGGCTGAAGTGAGCCAGGGTGGGAGGCGTGAGAGTTTGAATGTAGTGTTGCCTTTGTCATCACCTCAATAATAGTCTTGAGGTTTCTCAGGTTTACCTCCTGGGGGGTTGGACTGCTCTTCTACGGCTATGATACAAGGCGACGCTCCAAGCTGCTGGTCTCGACTCAGGTTTGTTTCCTGCGTTTGGTTTTTCAGTGTTCAGGGTGCTGGACTGGTCCTACAAGAGGACCGTATCCCTCCTGTTGACTTCATGTCTTTCAGAGCGATAAAGTTCTTGTGTTGAATCTTTGTGTTGAATCTTTCCGCCATACTTCACCCTCTCTGCTCTCCTCTGTCACAGTCCTGTTAAGCCTACAATAATGCTGCATTCATGTCTCGTTACATTAACTGTAAAACTTACTCCTTACTTGGTAAAACAGTCTGAAATCTCAGTGTAGGCAGGCAGTAAACAGGAAATACTGTTCGGTTTAGTCTGAGGCGGTAAACTCCGGAAACATTTTAGCAACAAATTTCTGTCCTGGCGTCTCATTTTTCAAAATTTCCTACAAACTACTTATCTGTCATGGAGGTACCAGTTCAAACAAATGGTGAAAAGTCACCTGACATGACAAACTCTAGAGTTATTGTAATTCTTTGTGGCTGATGTCAGACGTTTGGACTTGAATTCATCACTAAGTGCACAAGTGCTGAGTGGAAATGCTCCTCTTTGCTTTCTTGCTGAGTAAAGGAATATAGGGGTGGACAACACAACCTGAAATTCGAGTCACAAGTTTATCAGATTGCATTACAACAGGGGTGGGCAATCATGTGCCATGGAGGGCCGAGAGGCTGCAGGTTTTCTTTCCAACCCAAAACTCCACCAGGTGATTTCACTGATTAGTCCCTGCTCTCTGCTTGGAGGTAAGGTAATCAGCGAAATCACCTGGTGGAGTTTCGGGTTGGAAAGAAAACCTGCAGCCTCTCGGCTCTCCATGGCACATAATGTCCCACCCCTGCTTTACAATCATACCAACAACTGGTCTGTTCAACACCATTTCTGTACTGGGTGTTGTGCAGGTGTGTCAAACCAATATCACCCTCTATTCAATTGTTTTGTAAAAGCAAACTGCACCATGCTAATTAACAAACTTTTAATAAGGTAATTTGCTGTCGTGGTAGTTTTCATTCCTGTTTAACTTTGAGCAAGAAAGCAACAGAGCACTTTTAAGAAGGTCAAGTTTTTTTGTTTTTTTTAAAGATTGTAAAATCAAAAAAGAACATTTATGATACCTTAAAAGTGTTTAAACATGGATGGATTATTAAGACCACGGTCAGCTGATCAAAAGGAATTATCCTGATATAGAAATACATATTTCACTCTCAAAATCCTTACCTAAAATTTCTTAATGCCTACCCAACAATGACCAGGCAGCTTCTTAAGAGCAAATTAAAAAAAACTTCTAACATTTAATAAAAAATAAAAAAACTTCTTACATTACATTGTTGTAAAAAGTTGCATCACAGATTGCTAATTTAATCTAACCCTTTGCAGAATGGGATAGTCCTAATTCAACCTAAAAGATTGGAGGTTTAATCCACTAAATAAAAAAAAAATAAAAAAGACTGGATTGTCAAATCTTGTCCTAGTTCATGATTATTTTTTTGTAATGTTAACAACCGATTTTAGAAAGTGACCCAACCTGATAGCTTTGCTCTGATCTGATCACTTTTGACTGATATCCCTCAGTACTGCTTCATTTTTGCACAGTGGACACTGTAGGTATTGCATTGGCTAAAAATGTCTGCGCATTTGATATTTTGAGTTCTGTGATAGTTCTGCTAAAGATTTAGAGGATCCACCAGGTCGTGTTTTTGCAACTCTACCCAAGCCTTGAAAAGTGAGGTTACAATCAGAGATAATTCAGTCCAACAGCTGCACACCCATGGAGTAAACCTCAATCCTTTTTTTCGCATACACACCAGAGAGTATTTCATTTTTCTTAATAAGATCGTTCTTAAGTCCAGTACTGAGGTTTTAATTATGCATCCATGTTTTAAACAAGATAAAACCTTGCTATAACTTAGACATGAATGCAGCATGAGAGTTTCTGCAATGCTGTGACTGTGATGACGGATGAGGGAGAGGATTACGAATGACACGGTGCTGCAGAGTTATCTACTGGCTCCAACACAGGAAGAGGAAGTGGTTGAAGTCTCCTAAGGAGTTAGCGCTGATAACGTGTCCATGGTGGCGATGTGAAGAAGGGGAGGATCTACAGGGTGTTGCCACATCCATGGATCAGGGGATTGAGTCTACAGCTCCTCTAGTTTGGAGTCTATCACCCAGGTTTAAGTCTGTCACTCAGCACAGGTGGAGGGATAAGGGTAGTGTGATTATTCAGAGGGATAGACATGGAGGCTGTGTGTGGTACAAGGGTCCAACGAAAAGGCCTGTTTGTTTTCTCAGTGACTCTATGAAACTGTACTTGGTGCAGGTGGAGATGGAAGAGAGGGTGAGTGTGGGGGAGGGAGGAGACAGGAAGGGTCTAATGCTAGTGTCCAGGATGCAGCTCTGCTGTCCGCTCTCAGCTGAGCTCTTCCTCCGTGTTGTGCTGGTCCAGCAGTTTGACGTGCGTGAAGGGAAAGTGGCCGCGTTTGCCTTTACATTCACCCTCCCACTGGCCGTTCACGTTTATTTTGGTCACCTTCACCATGTCGCCCACCTGGAGGAGGAGGAAGGAAAGAGGTTTCAGAAATATTACAAAGATTCAAATTATTATCCAAACTAAATGTCAAATAGGTTGAGGAAGTTTTTGATATGCTCAAGTAGATCTGTACACAGGATATGTGATTGAGCCATTGAGCTATTTTACTCTGCATCAGCATCTTTAAGTTGACGAAGTTGGATTTATTTCTAATCAAATTATTGACCAAGAGTCGAGTTTCAGCCCTAAACTGGGTGGCGGCAATTTGTAATTTGTAATTTCAGATGACCTAGTCAGGCAGAGGAGTGGTTGTTCTTGCGTCAATGAACCTGAGCAAACATCAAGTCACAGTCAATCACAAAGTTCAAGTGCAGGTGGGCGTTCAGTGAATCACAGGTTAAATCCCTGTGGACTCAAAGATTTCTCTGCTGAGGGGCTGAAAGTTTTAGTTTGTTAACTGTTGGCTAAAATGACTACACATACACCAGTCTATGTGATTATGATACCATGCCTTTAAAAATGAGTGTTCTTTTACCACTACATCTGCAGAGAGCATACCCATAGATTAGTGATGAAATCTGGTTCATCTGGTGTCCTATCAACAGATCAATAGTGGAATTTGCTGTAGAATAAATATGTTAAGGTTCACAAAAGTTTCATGTTTGCTCTTTTGGTTTAAAATTATATTTCCTACGCTGTTTTCTTAAAAGTCAGTTGATGAGTTGAGTCACTGTGTGAAAACCAAAACTGCAGATACAATCCTACAAACTGCAAGAAAGTCTGAAAAGTTTACAAAAATTGGGCAAAAATGCTTTATAAAGTGTAAATACAAGAGCAACGGATGTTTCATCAAAAGACGAGACAGTGTCCCCTCAGAGCAACATGCATTGCTCAGGCTTAATCTTGTTGCTGTTATATCAGGTGTATATTAGACACCTAATATATTAGACATTAGGAATGTAAGCAGGGCACAAATGAGATGGACCTGACACATAAGGTTTGCAAGATGTGCTACATGAAAACAAAATACTGTGTAAATAAGACAAACATAAAGGACAGACAAATGCTAAATTAGCTAAACAGTTGAAAAAATTTATAAATTGCAATATATTGTACTGCAATACTCACTGTATCGCAAAATGTTAAAATCGCAATAATTTCGTATCGTGGCCCAAGTATCGGAATTATATTGTATTATGGCGTCACTGGTGATTCCCAACCCTAGTGTATATGCTGTACTTGAAATATCTTACTGTCCTCTAAAAAGTGAGCTGTGTCCTCTACATTGGTGCTGGAGGGAGGAAAGATCACTCAGAACTTTCAGCAAGACTGTAGGCTGAGCACAACTGCACAATAGGCAGCAGGCAGGGCGATTAAAGAGAGTAACACAGCTGCATAGATTCTGCACATTGCTGAACATAAAGGACGTCTTCACACAGGGGCCCAGTTTAAGCCTCTTTTCCCCCGGTAACAAAATGTGTCGTGTAAAACCGTGCAACTTATAATCTTTTAGGGTTACCACAGTGTTACCCCACACATAGACAACAACTGGGTGAGATTATCGAGTACATTTCGCTGACCAGATTCTATCAGCACGAAACCAGGGTGCAGACAAGGAGACATCCACTGTAACGTCTGTCTGTCTGTTTCATGTAAAGACTGAGGTGGGATGTGTGATATGAACATTTAGAAGCTGAGGTCTAACATTAATCTGCATTATTTGAGTTAAACTAGCAACTTCATTAACATCAACCTTCTTCAGGGTATGGATTCTCTTTTGTGAAAATGAAACGCAGACCAGAACTTTTTTGAGAACGTGTTAATAGGAAAATTTACAAAATGTACTGCTGATGACATAATGAAGACATAAACAGACAATGAAACTAACACAATTATTAACTTTTGTTGAAATACAGTCGGGTAGAGGAGACCCCCCCCCTCCTTTAGGTAGATGTACGTCTGTATTCTGTGATTCATACAGTTGTCAGCAACAGTGTTTCATATATTGCATAATGGGCTTTTTTCATCTACAGCTTATGAATCAGTTATGGATAACTATCTGAACAGCAGGCAATGATGCAATAAAAAAACAAATAACTGGCCCTATGAGAGTCTTTAGGATCGACTCAGGACATCTACAGGCGTTACATCAGGGGTTTTTTCTTTTCTTTTTGGAAATAGGAGGCGCTCAAATGTCTACATGCTGAGATGCATGCACAACCTCATCCTTATGTAACAGGCCACTGAGGTTTGACACTAAGAGGTCACAGCAGGTTGATGATTTAGTGGGTTGCAGAGCTCTCCAAGTCGTTTGTGCTATTTTGGCCTATGTACAGTATACAGGGACATATAATGTCACATGCATTACCACAAGCTCTGGACTTAAACACTGTATAAATAAATGACCTTTACTGATGAGTCACAATCTTCAAATCAAAGCTCGTCTCTAATTTTGATGTTTGATTCTGAATGTTTGTCTTTCATATTTAAGATTTGTGAGGAGAAGGCCAATGGGTCTTTGGCTTTAATTTTGATTCTTCAGTGTTGAAACTCCTGTTAAGAGTTTTTTAAGGTTCATGAAATAGACGTGAATCCACATTGGTGCCTTTTCATGGCTTACAAAAGTGAATATGACCATCAGCAGCAAGATTTATGATTTTAATGCTGTAATACTGAATGCATGAAACTGCTGTGAGGAGATTGGTGTCAGCCAAGCACAAGAAAAAGCTGTTTGAACAATTTCAGCATTAAATATTTACATTAAAAGATTCATCTGACTGTCAAAAGTTGAGATTTTTGTCAGAAGACACAACTTGAGCATGTAGAGGACAAGATGAGCAAAAAATCCCAAAATTGATCAAAGAGGACTGCACATGCTGGTACAATTGGCCCCAAATTTATCGAGATTTTCTGTGTTCTGTTCAGCCTATGAAATAAGGCTCTGCAAGAAGTCAGTAGGGATGGGCGATAAATTATTGTTCACGATATATTGCCAGAAAAATCCTCCATGATAAACATTTTCCATCTCATGATAAATACGAGAAAAACAAACAAACATGGCTGAAGGTAATGCGGAAGATGTTTCTGAGCAGCTCGTCACTGAATGAGGTCTACGTGAGGGATTCCCTTCAATATTGGGGTTTAGATGAGTGCAGTCAGGTATGCCTGACATCAGACAGTGGATCTGCTGCTGTTCACTCTGTGCAATAAGAGTTTTTAACAAATGTTGAAAACGTTTTCACATTTAAGACTTGTTTGATGTCATTAGTTTTCTCCATAACCTACCACTCAAACTTGTGGCTAAGTATCTTATTTGACTATTCCAACTGGTGTTCTCAAGACAAAATGAGTCAAAAACATAGAATGGCATTACAATATTTTTTATCTGGACTTTTATCGTTATCGGCAGAATGGCAAAACTTATCGTGACAAATTTTTTAGCCCATGTCGCCCATCCCTAGAAGTCAGGGTCTGAATGCAGCAGGTAAAAGTCAATTCACTGCCACTGAGGAGGTGGGGCGATGAAGGCATCCACAATCAGAGAAGTTTCTTTGCTTTATGTTCTTTACTACTGGTGTGACTGTACAGCTGAGTCATGTTCTAGTGACACCAACCCAGAAATGTTACCAGTATGGGACACTCCTCCTCCTGCTGGTCCTTCACACCCAGTACCACCTAAACTGAATCCTTCATAATCATGGATTAATGTGTGAAAAGCGCTTCTGTATTTCTTTTGGTTATACTTATTCAGACGATTCAGGGATTTGGAGTTTTCTCTAATGTAGCTTCAACATTAACTACATATTTTGATGCAGACTATGACTTAAAAGGCTTTAAACTCTAAATAACATCAAAACTCTATGATACCAAAATGTCTAGAAGTGTAAAAAATGGAGCACATAATCCTGACATGCTGTTGACTTGTAAAAGTTCTGACTGAGACACAGAGTCAGTATCTGTAGGATTAACGGACTCATTCGTGATTGAAGAGCTTTGTTAGCTAAAGATGAGGCTGAACCTCCAGGATCAGACGGGTTTTCAGTCCAAAAGACAAGAAAACGAAGATAATTATTTACTATCCCGTCACGCCCTGCTGAGTCACTTCTGGTCAACTCGAGCAGAGAAAACATGCAGGTCAAAGACAAGAGTCTTTACCACAGGTGGGAGTGGCAGAAACCAGCTCATACAAAGGATCTACCTGTGTTGTAAGTGAGTGAACTTGTACAAAGGCTCGTCTGAATGACAGATGAGCCGGAGAGAGACAAATCTCAGACATTGCAAAACCAGCTTCAGTTTGGGGGCTCAAAAATGATCACTCTTTGTTGGTGTACTTGGATAGGGACAGCATACTCTTAGAATAAACAGCCTTCAAATCTCACTCCAGGCTCTGCTGGACTTCTGGCTTCAGAGAGACCAAAGGAAATGGTCCTGTTCCCAAACACAAACTATTTCCTTCCCCCAACGACCTGCTCCCTGGGAGTCCCGCTCTTGCTTCCGCACGGTTTAACAGCCCTGCCACTGAGTGCAGGGAGCAGTTTGGTGGCACTTTTCTTCCAACCTCAAATCAAAAAATTTGGGACTGAATTAAAAGTTGTTAAAAATAAAATGTTATGGAAGAGAGAATGTCCGGTTCCTATCTGATTTAGGATTTCAGCTGCTCAGCAGTTCAGGGCCTCTTTTGTTATATTTTGTGTTACGACACAACAGAGGTTTTCAGTGGGTGACAAGTCAGGACTGTAGGGCGGCCAGTTTAGCACCAAGACACTCTTACGAATGTGGTTCTGTGCTGTTTTGACTGAAATATGCAGGATCATCCTAAAATTGTACAGTCCAGATGGCAGCATATGTTACACCAACACCTGCATATATTATTCAGCACTGACAGAACCTTCAAACCTGTGTAAGCTGCACATAACATGGACACTTCTGCATCCCCAAACTGTCAGGGATGCAGGCTTTTGAGCTGTGCACAGATAACAAGCTCTACTCTTTCCAGCAGAGGATGTGACATCAATGATTTCCAACTGACAAGTCAAATTTTGATTTGTCAGACCACAGGACGGTTTCTCACTTTGAGTCAGTCCATCTTCAAGGAGCCTTGCCCTGAGAAGTTGGGGGAGTTTCTGGTTCATGTCTATATTTAGTTTCCTTGGAACATGGTGCAGATCTAACCTGCTTTGAGGATGCAGTAATGAACTATGATCACAGACTATAGTTTTTGGATGCAGCTGAGCCTGTGAAGTGACTTCCACTGCAGAGTCATGTCGGGTTTACCTGAAAGCCTGGCTTAAAGCACTGAATCTGAGTCTTGTCTTTTTAGTGTGAATATTTCTCCAGATTCTCTGAATTTTTAAATAAGATGTCCTGTAGATGATAAAATATTTCCGATAACCTCTATTAAACTTTTAAGATGCTCAGCCTTTTTGCAATGCACTTTTTTTTAACACCCAGTCTGTTGCAGATTAATTCAAGGAAGACGTCTTTCTTTGTATTTTCACACATTACACCACTTTCTAAGTGTTTTGTTTTCCCTGTTCAGCTGTTTTGAAGTGTTGTTGGTATCAAATTTAAAATGAACAACTACATATCCCCTTTAAAAAAACGTATTACATAAACACAATCAAATATTCCAGTCTCAACATTTGGTTGTTTTTTTTGCACCATCTAAATTTGATAAAAGGTTTACATCATTTGCAAACAATGAGATCCTGTTACATTTACCAGGACTTTCTAAATTTTGGAGGAATCAGGGTCATGTTTGGGTGTCAGAGTTAAAAACTGGGGAGGGGGGCAGACCTCGGTTAGGAGGTATATCACATCATGTAGAACGTATAAGCTGAAAAAAGCAAAGAGTTCACTTGCAAAAGGCCCTTTGGGTGTCTGCAAGTGGTTCAGTCTCGCCCTGCAGAAGAAGAGTCTTCTTTCTAAAACTGTCAACTTCTCTCCAGCATGTTAACAGGATGGAGTCAAGAAAAGATATCACACACACACAAACAGACACACACATGTAGATATTTACCTCTAAGGCGAGGGCAGTCTTGTCGTAGGCATTGGGCACCCTCTTCTGTATGGCCCTGGCATAGACAGGCCCGTTCTGGAGATTTGGAAGGGGGGTGGGCTGGGCGTACTGGCTTGGGTCTCCCAGTAGAGGAGCTCCAGACTGGGCTGCAGTGCCGTCAGAGTTCCCTACCATTCCCATTCCTCCAGGCGGTCCCCCTGGCACGCCAGGCCCCGCTGCTGAGCTTGGAGATGCCGGTCGGTACTTCTCCACATATGGCACTGGAATCATCCCTGCCCGGCCTTCAGAGTTCTGGGCGTTCCACCACTGCTCCTCGGGCTTCTCTAGAACTCGGAGAACATCGCCCTTCCTAAATGGGAGATCCTCCTCGTCATTGCCGGGGAAATCAAAAAGTGCACGGACATATTCGTCTTCCAGGCGCGGTGGGGGTCCTCCACCGGGGCCGACGCTGATAAAGGATGTGTGTTTGGACTTGTTGATGGGCTCTATCAAGGTAGTGGTGTCTAAGTAGTGGATTTTGTAGAACTCTAGCAAAGCAGGGAGAGCATCAAACTCCTGATCGCCAATACGGAACCTTGGATGGGCCAAACCTTGGGAGAAAGGTGAGGATTTAAGAAAGAGAAGAGTCAGAGACAGGAGATTTTCTAAGCATGTTTAAACACAGCAGATCAGAACTCTTTCTATTTATGCAATCAAGCACGATGGTGGTGATTTCCCACATGAGCAGGAAGGAGTTTTGTTTCCTTATTTTATGATTTTTTTCCCCCCACCTTTCATATTTATGTTCCATACAAAGAAAGACCAGCATTGGTTCTGCAACTGCATGAGGAAACATAAAAAGCACTGTCCTGCAGAGGGAAAACCCAGCTGAGATAGTGAGTGATTACTGGTCAAAGTCTGTTATAACCTGGCAATGTGACAGGCTTTTGAACATTTACAGCTCCCTCAGGGTCGGCAGGTGAATTAAGACTCATTTAAATGGTGCACCAGACCAGACCGTTTATGAATAATGTCCTCTGTTTAAACACACACACCAACCACCTGGGTGTGTTATAGGCGTCACAGCCGGATCAACAACCCAGGCCCCAATAGAGGAAGGATTGGAACCTGGGTAAGGTTTCTTTTCAGACAGGAACTTCAAAAAATAAATCTCTAAAATGTCAAGGAAGACGTTCTGAATTTTCAGTGTCAAAAGAAGGACTAAGACTGAGAGAAACTATTCCAGTTTTGAGGTCAAAACAAGAGTGGCTGAACCCAGTTATATTATATTTGTCTCAAGTTTTATAATCATGCCATAGAGGTTTTTGAAGTGAATAAATCTCTCATTTAAACTCTACGATAGGCAGGATTTGATATTCAGGGCACCAGTCTGGCCTCGTTGGTGGTCATGTGATGACGCTCGGCTCAAACAGCGTATCCCCCCAGGTGAGCTACGCAATCCCTGAACGCCCATAGGCTGTATAAGGAGTCAATCATAGAAATCAAGAACTCCCTAACAACTTTTAAAAACAGAGCTTCACAGAAAAAAGAGGACTTGAGCACAAACCAGTCTTACTGTAACTACATGTCAACATCACAAGCAGGGGGGGGAAAAATATATATTCTGTGTAATAAATTTCTAAAGTTTGTCCACAGCCCCATAAGCTTTGCTGGCGGAGGTGGGAAACATGACCTATACTGCAGCCCATCAACAGAGGGTGCTGTTTTCGGAGTGGCTTCACCCAGCAAGGAGGCAGACTCTGTCTATTCTATACACAGTCTATGGTTTTAACATTAACGTCCACTTATTTTGCACAGAATCAAAAGAACAACTGATATCACAGTCATTATTAACAGGGGAAATTTTGACTACATGTGCCCGCCTTGGTTCACTGTAGATGTTTACATTGTCAATAGAAATCTACAGCTGTTGCTATGGAAATATCATGGTGTTTATCATCTGGCTATTGATTCTTGAGTCAGTGAGTGACAAAATTAGAGCTTATTGAGAGCTATTAATGGCTTCAATGCACAATGGGGGTGTGGTCGTTGCAGGTGTGCAGGGTAGCTCTGGCTGTGGTGGTGGGGCCCAAAGTGATATGGTGAGTTCGTGGTGACACCCCTGTGTATTGTAGTGACAAAACATGCAGCAGTGATTTACACCCTCGTGCATAATCAGTCTGCGTAATCTCTGCACCTCTGTCTGAGCAGAAGCGTGTGTTACTATGAACAGGCCAGTGTTAGATCAGCACATGTTTGCATGTGGTCTGGCCCCGTTTTCTCCGTTAAGGAGCAGAAAGGGACTGCTGCGCATCTGCTTTGGTGCAAGTCATGCAAGAATGGTCCCACCATCTAAACCCCCCTCTCCAAACCCCTTTTCGCTGCCTTACCTGGACCGGATTGTCGGTTGTTGCTGATGCTGTTTATTATGTAATGCGAGACTTTGGAGTTCTCTGATACGGAGAGCACGTAGTCCCCGGGGCTGGTGATGGAGTCCCGGACCAGAAACACGCCGTGCCTCTGCCCCTGCAGCAGAGACACAGCCTCCTGTCTGCTCAACCGACCCCAGAACCAGCTGCCACGGTCTTCCGCGTCAAAATTTCCGGCCATGATTACCACTCAAAGCCGAGGCTTTCCCGGGCCTTCCCTTCTCTCCCTCCGGTTCTCCGCAGACGGAACCTTCAACTCATACAAAAACTTTAGCGCCGAGAGCCCGTTCAGCAAACAGGCGACCTCCGCAGCTGGCCCTTAGGACACCAATCCACCCATACAGAACCAGAACCACTGTCTGAGACTACTCTTCTTCGCGAGAGGACTGGAAATAAGTTCCTGCAGCGCTGTAGTTCGCTTTAGAGACGGAATTACGACCACAATCCACCGACCGATGACAACTAACTTCAAAAACTGAAATGGCGGATACGGGAAAACAAAAAAAGACCCCACTCACCGGATGTGACGTTCTAGTCATGTACACTAGACGCAGCGCTGTCAATTTTTCAAAACTTTATTTAAACGCGACATGATGTCACAGATTTAACGTTAACGCCAAGACTTTACCATGGGCGTGACTATACTTTTATTTAACGGGGGTGGCCCAATTTAGCTGGTGAAATAAATAAAGTATGTGTAGGCTATTTCAGTAATTCTAAACGTTTTTGGCTTATGAATCCAGTCTGTTGTGACAAAACCCCCATGACCCCTACATTCAAACTACAAACAGTCTTAAGTGGTTAATAAATGCAAAATAAAACTGGGTACATTCGTGGGTGATACAGGGACAAGTCTTTGAATAGAGACATATCTGTTGACTTTTATTTGGCTGACAACATCTACATCTCTGGCTTTGTGGTTTCAGCAAGTTCTCATCAAACCTCAGTCCCTCAGTATTGCATGTACTCTGTGTTCATGTTGAGATTTATTTTAAATATTACTCCCAAGCACTTACGAAGATAACATGAGCACATTTCCCCCACTGACTAATGGTTAGATTGTAATATTTGAGCTTGGACACTAGATGTCAGTCATACACTGTTTGTTTTTCAGTACTGAGCTCATCAAACCGAGCTGCTGCTATGTGATGTCACCTCTCACACCCCAAGTAAATAAACTGAAACATAATTATCAATTAGGGAATTGGCTTTTCAAACTTCTGTTTTCAAAACATTAAATTCCCACATGTGATTGAAAATAGCAAAAAAAAAGCATGTCAGGGTTCATCACCCTGAAATCACACATTACTCTGGCAAAAGTTGTAACAGGGATTTCAGGGAAATCTCAAGGGACAAAACTTTGAACCAACGACTTTCCCTCAGACTTACTTACTTACTTACTTACTTACTAACTGTTGTGGACATGTTGTTCACCTCATCTGCAGCATGGCTCTGTAGTAGAAGAGTCTAGGTGCTAAATCAGCCTGCCTGACCACCCAGTGAAAATGTTTGGTGTGTTATGAGGCATAAAATACACCGCAGGAGACCCAATGGAGCAGGTGTATTTCTGCAGCACAAATTTTAGGAGATTCTGGCACAGCTTTGCCCTCTGAAGGTGCACAGAGGCGGAAAGAATCTAAAAGGGTTGAAAAACCAACAGCATTTATAACATGAACAACTCTGCTTTTATACCAACACACATCAGCTTGTAGCCTTCACCAGGGTCTTTACTAAACAAACAATATTTAAATACTTTGAAAAGTTTCTGTAGTTTCTGTGCTGTTGTTCTGACTTGGGTAACCACATGCATTTGCCAACCCAAAAGGTGGTTTGAATGTCATGTCACTATTTACTTTAAACAGTGTCCTCACTTTTCAGTGACTTTACATGGTTGTATTTCAATTGACCTAAAAAGAAGGGAGCCTTTGTTGAAGAATCAAACATTCTGACTTTTGGTTTTGATCAAAATCACTAATAGGTGGTTGAATGCCTGATAAATCAATTGTCAAATATTTACAACTGCACCTCCGTTTGTGTAAATCCTTTACAACCACATCACCACAAAAGTGGTTTTTCTTATTCTGTTAACTTTAATCATTAAAAGCTCACAGGATGAGACATAGTGGATGCAGCTGACGCATTCTGTCAGAGACCTGGTTCACTTGCATCAGAAGAGACAAAGTCTCGATAATAAATGCAAGTAAAAAAAATGAGTGTTTTTCTGTGAGGATGCATAAATAAGTACATTGTGAATAAATTTGTGCAGTAGAACAAGTAAGATACAAACACCACTTGGATTGATGGATGCTTCTCCACGTCAAAGCTCCCACACTGGATGTAACTGACGCCTACAACCCAAACTTCTGTTGTGAATCTCAAGCTGCTGTAATATCCACAGAATAAAATGCAAGACACGTTTTTTGGATCATATAATTTATTGGTATCAATTACAGAAAATTACAATTTCATCTGTAAATAAATGCACAGAGCAGGATCGCCTCAATAAAGTGTCATGAATACAAAACTAAAGATGTAGGGGAGTTTATGGGGAAAGAAGAGTGACAGAGGAAGATGAGGGGGATAATACTGTGGTCTATTTAGAGAGGGAAATACACACATAAAGACATGGAGAGAAAGCAAAGATCCAAGGCGACAGACACCCCTCATGTTCACGTCTCTTTACGGTATATAAGAGGCATCCTTGAGCAAAACATACACAGCATCTTCACATCTAAAGCTTTTATACCTCCATCTATAGGTCCAAGGTGAGCACACAATACTCTCATATTATACAGTTTAATATGAAGGGACGAGTCACTCTGCATGGTGTCTGCTGAGAGATGTCATGAATAAAACACACCTGCCTTAAAGAAAAAATCAACAAAATACAGAGATGTGACCCCAATTTCAGCTCAAACATTCAAACTGAGCTGCAGTGAAAGAAATGAATGAATATTCTTTGATACCGACTCAATAATAATAATGATAAGAAGAAGAAGGCCAAATGGGATCATTTTCATTTTCAAGCATTTAAGGACAACTATGAAAACCGAGTCATAGATTACTGTGTTGCAAACGATCACAGAAGCACATTGAATTCAACTGATAATAAAAAATTCCTCAGATTCTCTGAGTTAACAAGATAATTTCATCTGAAGGATAAAAAAGAAAAAAAAAAGATGATTTTCTGAATTAAAAGTTAAAGCTACAGTGTGTAGGAATGTGAATACTTAGAGATGTCAGGCTTTTAGATTCTAGTTTAAAATGCTCCCTTGCTCACTCCTGGTTTGCCAATTCCAGAACTAATGGTGGCCTTTAAGGACAAGAAGGTCCTGTAATTATGATCTTCCATTTAAAAAGTTTTTGCCATCAAAAACTTCTTCTTATGGTTCATCTCTGTCCAATCGGTGCATTTCAGACTGCAACTCAGTAAATGGTACTGAATACCCATCCTCTTCTGACATAGAGGGTCACTCTGAATTTTTTTGTGTTATATTTAGGTTATTAAACACTAATCTAAACACATTTGTAATGTCATATTCCATTTCTGTGAGGTCTATTCTGCTAAATGCAGCTACATACTACACACTGCACCTTTATGGTCATTTTATCAATGTGTTTCTGCAGGACCAGCTGAGCCAATAGTGTTGCTTCACGGTATAAGATGATGCATCTGAATTAGACCTTGGATGACCTTCATGGAGTCTTAAGAGAGAATCAAGTAAGTGATAAAAATAGTAGATATCTTGGACTACACTGTTTAATGTTTATTCAGAAAAACAGAGTTTTAGATCTTTAATCCTGTAATTCCAGTATAATATTCTTTTTAATTAAAAAAGGTTATTCCTCATTTTCATGTCAAAAGGCAAACTCCCAGATTAGTATTTTTTTAGAAATTTTTTAGTAAGAGAAAACAGAAGAATATTTCTCTTAAGATATTGCACCACATTCTGCGTACTTGTGGTGGCCATTTTCTTTCACATAACAAAAAAAAAAACAAAAAAAAAACTGACCAGTAGAAGGTAAGTTTACACATTATGAAGGACAAATTTAACTAGTCTTTCTGCCAAGTTATAGTTTTAGTTATCTGCTTTGAATCTTTAAAACCATTTTTATGAAAACTCTTAAAAAGATAAATTACATTTCAAGTAGGCAAAAATGACATGGCAACACCTTTAGCTTAAGATCAGTCACATTTCTTAGATAGTGATGATAATAAATCGCAGAAACCAACACTTTGCGAAAGGATTTCAACCCCAGTCATCTCATTTCAACACTGCAAAACTCAAATCATATCAAGTGTGTTTGTGTGATCTTAAGTCAAATTATTTCATAACTTTTGACATTCGCCTCACAGACCTGACAAGTCCACTTAAGCCCAGTTGAGAATTTCATCAATTAAAGCAAACAAAATTGACTTAATAACCTTCTTGAGTGAGATTCAAATATTGTTTAAAGACACTTAAGAGATAACTGTATGATATCTAGAGGGTTGTGTCCTCTAAAAGTTATGGCTTCACATTGAGTAAGAGTTGCTCTGTCCATTCTGTGTAGCTACAGTTAGTTAAAACAGTAAAACAGCAGCAGCGATTAGGCCTTTTGAATAGTTCTGAATATATTTTTCATAATCACTCTGGGAATACGCAGGAAAAAGGTATTTTTTCTTAGATGCTATTAAAAACTGCAGCTGGGTCCCTCTGTGAAATCTCCACTATATAATAATCATATCCATAATTGACCCTTTAGTGACATTTAAGGCCTCTGTTCTGATTTTGCATATACAGCACAAACATTAATGTCTTTGTGCCAAAGGGGTGGATTTTTGCTGAAAAAAGGGTGTATTAATTCATTTTTTTGACCGCTTTGAGATGAAACCTTCTTATATTTCTTTACACTGTTACATCTTTAAACCTGCTCATTATTATGTTAGTTCAACTCTCATCTTGGTGTCACAGATTGAAAACCATGTTCACCCTCTTCTTGGCTCTTAGCGCTATTTATAAACACAAAGGCAGCTCAAAGTACTCACAACAGATAAAACATTGATTTCTCCTCTAATTACGCAGTTTTCCTCTGTAAGTGTACGGTTCAAACAGTCACTTCTGTACAGAAAAAACAACATACACTGGATATACTCTACATCCAAAAATCACGCCTTGTTACTTTAAACTTTATGTGGACCAGAAGTGGCACATGAAGGAAAATCACAGGCTTGGTGAGAGCTACATACTGTGAGTAGGTATAAGTAGTTTTAACCTGGTGAAAAGTATTCGTGAGTGTGATCTTCGTATAAGAAATCACAGGGCTGTGTGGAGGACTTTGGCGTGAAATGGGACTGGATTATGAGTTAAAGGGCTGCTAAATATTAGATTTTTCAGAGGGCTGTACCACAAAGCAAGTTTAACCAGGAATGTTAAAGAGGTTGATGAAACCAACATCGGCCGATTTGCACTCATTTATGCTCATGTACATACTCATGTGTACATACATACATGTATACACTATGGAAAACTTGGTTTCGCCTTCTGCCAGTATATGAATTTGAAGCCAAATTGCTCTCGGTATTTCTGTTTTTTTTGTCACTTCCTGAAACCAACATTGCGCAGTAGTGTTGTGCGCACTCTACCACTTGCGCAATAGCATTGTATGCATTTGACGGGAGAGTCACTGTGATGACGCTCAACTTAACTAACGTATTCCCCTGGATGATCTACACAATCTTTGTACGCCCATAGGCTGTATCAAGTGTCAATCATAGAAAAACCCCCCCAATAACTTTTAAAAATGGAGCTGTACAGAAAAAAAGAGGACTTGAGTACAAACCAGTCTTACAGTAACTACATGTCAACATCGCAACCAGGGGGGAGAAAAATTTGTATTCTGTGTAATTCATTTCTAAAGTTTGTCCACAGCTCCATAGGGATTGCTGGAGGAGGCAAGATTTATGACCTATACTGCAGCCCGTCACCAGAGGGTGCTGTTCTGCTGAGGGTGCTGAGGAGGCAGCTGAGGAGGGTGCTGAGGAGGCAGAAGGCGTCCATTCTATACACAGTCTATGGTATGAATGTTAACAGTTCTGCTCAGTACACATATTGTCCATGTTACTACGCCGCTCCCACCCTGAATGAGAGAAGACAAAAAAGAAAATGTGGGAAAAAACGTGAAAAAGACAGCTACAGTGCATTCCAGTTATGCTGGCTTGTTATGAACCGATGAAGGTCGCATTCATGTTACCTAATTCCTCATAGTGACGTTCAACCTGTTTAAAACATACAGATCTGTTTTCATGTGCAGATCTGTTTCATTCTGATTCAGTCAGCCACCTTAGGCCCTCTGTTGAATGTAAACACACTGCTTGATTGACACCTTCTCGACTTACTGTTACCACTGCTCTGCATGAATCACTGCTCTTGCTCTCTCTCTCTATCTTTCTCTCTGGTCCAACAACTCCCTCGCTCCACACTACAAAGTGCAGGAGGATGAGGGGATGCTTAAGCTCTCTGGTCCTGAGGGTAAAACCCGAACCTCAGTCCTTCTCCTGGATGTTCAAAAGCAGAAGCCAGTTGGGCTTTGAAGCGACTACGAATCCCAACTGAATGAGATGATAAGATGAAGAGCAGAAGAGGAGAGCCAAAGATGAAGACTTATTTCACTCAGGGCTCTGAAATGATTTGAGTTTTCGTAAAGGAAGCATAAATGAGCCCTCACCTCCTTTTCTTGCTTTGTAGTACAGCTTTTAGCTTTTTGTTACAGGACATGTCATCAATTACGTCTCTTTTAACTGTTTCCTACAATCATTAAGCCTTTACTGCACCCTTCTCTGTCGGGAGTCACTCACTTCTTTTGGTTTTAGTTGACTAAATTCATCCTCAGTGCGCTTTTCACCCACCAAATCAGGCTGCATCTGTTCGTGTCTTCAGAAGAAATGGTTTCACACGGAGAAACCTTTAAATTTCCGTCAATCTTCTGATGCATCTGGCTGGCTGTCGTCAACATCACGTGGGAGGAAAACAGTTAAAACATTTCAAAAGCACAAACTTCTCTTAAAGTGTTAAATGGGCCCTGATTAGTTAGTGTGTGTTTGGTTTTTCTGACACACAACATTAAAGGAAGGTGTGACAGGCACATGTAGGTATAAGCAGGGTTAGCAGGAGGTAAGGACCTGAAGAAAGGTAAACATTCTGTACATAAAAGCCTCACGTGATATAATTTATCTGTCGATTCTATCCTAAGCATCCTCATCTATTAATACTTCAAATCACAGACAGCTCAGTCAAACAGACTTCCAGGGGTAGGGGATTGTCACCTCATGTCACAGTCTCAGAGAATCACCTGGATCAAGCCGTTACTCTGGTGAGGATCTGACCTCAGATCAGCTGAAAGAGCAGCAAGTTTACCTCCAAACGCTACTTTCTGTTCGACTTTGAGCATGCTCAGTCTGGCACACAGGACTGGACGAAGGAAGGGAAACACAAGCAGGAAGCAGCAATCAGGTCAGGTGATCCGACTGGTCCGTCACCTCGTCTAAATCGTAGTCCTCCTCTGCTCTCATTGGCTCTGCAATCCCAGAGGAGTGCAGTGATTGGCTGGAGTAGGACATGTGTGAGGAGTGGCTCTGCGTGTCATCCTCGTCCTCCACCACCGTCGCCCTCCTCCCAGGCAGCTGCTCCTTCCTCTGCTCCTCCTCCTCCTCTCCTCTCCTTCCACTCCTCCTCCCTACCTTCCTCTGCTCCTCCACCGTCCACATGCTCTCATCCTCGTCCTTCCCCTGCACCTCCCGGTCAAAGTCCAGCAGCTCCTCCATCATTTCCTCAATCTCCATCTCTCCGTCCAGCTCTTCCTCCACCTCTGAACGCAGCTCGCCCATGCTCTCGGTCCGGTTGGTGTCATCTGTCTCCTCCTCCTCCCCAAGGCCCCTCAGTCTCTCAGGGGGGTCACTGGCCTGACTCTCTCCAAACTCCAGGATGGTGGGGAGGTTCCCTTGTTTGGGACAGCGCTTCCTCAGGCTGACCAGGAAAGGCTGTGGCAGGGAGAAGATGTCCACGTTGTTGCCCAGGTCGATCCATGTCACACTGGGGAAACTGCCTGGATCCTAAAGGGCGAAAAAAGAAAAAAAAGGTAAAAGTTAACAATCAAATGCAGATGTAAGAACTCTAAAACTGTATTTTATAACACAATTTGCCAGAACAAATGGTCCATATGGTTCCTGGCAAGAGGCATAAACAAACTGCAGATTGTTCTTCACGTGGAGGGATTTCTTACACAGGTAAGAGGTGAGAATGAAACTTAAAGGGATATTCCATCGTAAAATTAAGCTAGGGTCAAACACACCAGAACACTGAGTTAGACACCCCCTCGAGAGATAAATTGTTGCTGACCGCTTGGTTCTCTAGTCATTCCAACTTTAGTAACGACAACCACAGCGGGGTTTCGCAGCTCAAGGAAGAGCATTTATGATCATTACTTTATCATTTCCTTGAAGAAATAATCATCATATTAATCATTTTGCACTGCAGATATGGTAGTTCTTCTGCCTTAGCGTCTCAGTCTGATTGCATTTCCATGAAGTAATAATTATAAATGTTCTTCCTTGAGCTGCTTCACTCCACAGCAGTCCATAATGGACTCGTCAGGGCTCCCCCACAAACAAGCTGCTGCTGGAAGAGAGTAGGTGATTGTGTTTGGTCTTTTTGCTAAAGAAATCAGACAAAATTAAAAAGATGTTTGATGGGACCCTATATATACTGTTGATGAAGTTAGTTGCTGTTATGAGCATTATTTATGGCTAAAGAGTGGCTTTTTGGTTGAGGTTTGTTTATAGCTCCTTAGACCGCTGTGTATTGCTATCGCGCAGTCATTACTACAGTTGGTATAACTAGATAAGCAAGTGGTCGGCAACATTCATCTCTTGATGGGGTGTCTAACTCAGTCTTACAGTGTGTTTGACCCTAACTTAATTTTACGCTAGAATATCCCTTTAAGGAATTTAGGTACAGCCAAGTGGACTGGTCCAGATCAACTGGCCTTGTTGGCCACAACAGTTGACGCTTTGCTCATAAAGCCATTATGGCCACAAAAACATATGACTGTATTAGAGAACAGGACTACTTTTAGACAGGAATCTACAATTTATAACTCGTAGAAAATGCTGGTAAAAAAACATTAAAACTGGTTTAACATGTCTTGTTAGTGATGGTGGTCATTCTTTACAGCTGTCCACTCATAAACATATGGTCACTGGGTCGTCACTTCACTGATATGTGACTTTCTGACCTTCAGTGCATCAGTCAGCTCCTTCAGTACCGCCCTGGTCAGCCTGTTTCCATTCAGTGCGAGTGTCTCCAGGTTAGGCATAGAGGCCAGCGTGGGCAGAAGCAGCAGAAAAGCCTCGTCTGTCAGCTCAGTGAAGCCCAACTCCAGGCTGACCACAGTGGAGGCGTAACGCTGCAGGTGTGCACATAGACGCTCCATGTCCCGGACTGTAAGGGGGATCCCAGACAGGTCCAAGGCTCCACTGGAAGGGGGTGTTGACAGCACGGCCTTCAAACTGGAAAGTAAAACATTAGCAACATTAGGGCTGAGATGTTTTTCAGACCTGTAAGTGAGATTCTAATTAAGTTGCATACTTTAATGTCAAATATCCATCTGACGAAGCTGATTGGTTTTGAATTTTGACACAAATATCTGTATGGTATTCTAACGTCTACAGTTTGTTTTAGCTTTTGCTGCAGATGCATGTAATATTCACATCAGACACCACCTCTAACACAACTACCTGCAGCTTCACACATCTTAAAGTGATATAAGGATACCTGGTGATATTTCTGTCACCATAATGGCATCTTATTGGCTCTAATTTATTCACAGTGAAAAAAACAGACACATCATATTTAACATCCATTTGTGTACCTTCTTCTGAGCATAAATATACCGTGATCAGAAAACTCTGTTATTCTTACTTTGTGCATAGCCATTATGGGACAACTCTAATCAGGAATGGCTTCAACAATTATTCACAAGATACAGCATTCGTTATCTGTCATAAATAAGTAACATATTGAGTTAAGGTACGAAGACTTTCAAACTAAAAGTGGATTTATTTTAGATCCATTGGTAAAAGAGAAGTTTGTTGCTCAAAGAAAGGCAAAGTTCCCAGCGCTCTCTGAAATCCCTGCCTGTCTGTTTAGCTCTTGCAGAAGTACAAGTATGTTTGTGACAGAGAGGCGTATAGCTTTGTAGACAGGGAACACCATAATCTGCACAAACCTTAAAGTTCCCCAAGAGCTTACAGCAATGAGAAGTTGTAGACTGTGTAATACACGGACTTAATCTCTGACGTCACCCGCTGGTGTTTGGTGAAACCGAATGATTGCAAGCACCATGTTGGAAACACTGACTCATTTAAGTCACTCTACAAAAAGGCACAAAGGTGGAGTTGTACTGCCCAGCCATCAGCTACAATGGATGCACCTGTCCATCAACTTAGCTGTGCCCTTGATTGCACATCAGACACTCTTACTTACTACATCTAATATTCTGCCCACAACACCCTCCAAGTGGCCAGAATACATGACTGTTTCTCATTTTTACTGTAAAAGCATACCAGCTCCAAATCTGTCTCATGAACTACCAATAATCTGTATCACTTGACCCTTAGTAAATGACAGCCACAGGTGAAATAAGTGAAATTTTAACATCAAAAGCATAGTCTCCATTAGTTGTGAGCCTGGTCTGGAGAACAACCAGCAAGCCTTGAGCAGAGGACCCCAGAGTCCTGGACTTTTAGGTCTTGGGGAGGTCTCCAATTTAATCTGGAGCTTGACTATTCAACGCTTCGTATGCAACCACGAGCATTTAAAAACTGGATTCTGAATCAAAGCAGGAGCCAGTGCAAAGACCTGAGGATGGGTGTCACATGAGACCATTTGGATGACTTTGCAAAAGCTTAGCTGAAACATTTTGGACCACTTGCAGGTGGTTCGAACAAGTGCTGCTTGGACAGACGCTTAAAAAATAATTTAACCAAGTTTATAGAAAAACATGGACAATTGTCTTAAGCTCAACCCTGGACACTGTGGACCCTGCACTGGGGATAGTGAAACAGGTGACATTACGATTACAAAGCATGTACAGTTGAATGTCATCTGCCTCAAAATGATAAGAGACACCTTTAAAGGTCGTAAAGAGAATGACAGAGGGCCCAAGACCAAACCCTGAGAGACTCCAGATTTACTGTGACTCCTGGTGTCACAATTTGGACATCAAACTGAAAATACATGTTGCTAATGATGTGACGGTACTAATGTAAGCCAGTTCAGAAAGCTCGAGTAAATTGAAAGTTGATATCAAAGCCTGATGGAGACAGTCTGAGAGCAAAAGGAGGAGAAGTGGGAGTGAGGAACAGCAGACCACAAAAAGGAGGAGGACAATGCTGCAGTCGTACTCTGTCTCTATGTTTATCACCTTTGCAGAGCGCTGCATGTGTGGAATCAGACAGAGTTAGCGGACACACCACTGACCCTGGTGATGATTAAACGTCCAAGTATGACAAGGTTGTGAAGGACAGTAGTGAGTCTTGGATTTGCAACAATGTCAGTCTTTTTGTGTTTTGATTTTTGATATCTTCTCTAGACTTTTCATCGGTCAGGGTCTGAGAAGTTTCTGTTTTTGAGAGTATTTATTTTGAAAACTATTACTGCATTTTTTAGTATATGTGCAATTTTTGTATCGTTATGAAATTTACTGATATTTGTCTTAAAAAATAACGTGTTTGATGGTGCACCCCTGTAAAGTGTAATGTGTACCTCTGCTTAGGAGTATGTTTACTTTGATGTGTATGATGTTTAAACAGTGTTTATTCATTTATGAAACTTAAATGATTTGATCGTCGAGCTTTGCCAAAAGAATCTGAAGTTTTGTGAATTCAGTTTGAAAATATGATTTTAAGCTTACAGTAACAGAAAAGAAGAAGAAAAAATATTCAAGAATGTGTCTTTGCAAGTATGTAAAATTTTAACCCTCACAGTTTTCCATTTAATTCGGGTTTTTATAAGAAATATGAAGATGAAATTAGTCAGAGAAAATTTTGCAGAAAAAAATTGGAGTGTCAAACACTATCAGTTTGATATGTAGCTACTGCCAGCAGCTGGTTAGCTTAGCTCAACCAAAGGACTGTAAATGAGTGAAAACAGCTTGGAGCTGACTGTCTTCAGAGAAAAAGAAACCTTTTAAAAACTCTAATTAATACAGTAGTTTGATATTGATCCTCCTATCAAACCCAGCAAGAAAGTTAAAAGCTTTCTAGGTTGCTGAACTTAATACCTTAGGTGGAAACTTTCGGAGTATCAGCAACTTCAATCAAAAGCCCAGTAGCGAACACTCTGAGAGCATTTTACAGCCTACACAGCATGAAATTATGTGCACTGAAAGTACAAACTGCTCTGTACCTTGGCTGCTAATGGAAACTATACAAACACTGGAAAGCCATAAACACAGCAGCTGGAGAGCTCTGGGGACACAAAGACAAAGACAGGGAGACACAGAGGGGATTTAGAGCTTATGAAACTGTAGTTTGGGGAATGAGAAATGGCTGTTGGGAGGCGAAACACTCAAAGCAATACGCTCCAACCACACAGTCTGAGCTATAAATAAACCCAGCGGGGCGCCAGGCTTTGACGGTGAATTAAGTGGGGCGAGAACAAAGGGCTGAACTGAAGTCTGGTCCATAAATACAGGAAAACTGAGATCAGAAGTTTAATTTTCCAATCTCATAAATACAACAATACCGTGGATTATCACCGCCAAAGAAAACACAGGGAAATTTTAAGGACGTATAGGAGAAGGATTAACCCGCTCGCAGCAAATCTGCTCTCCTAGAGGCTAAACATCCAAAAACATGAGCCTCTGTAAAGACCCTCAGCACAAAACCGACCTGGGGTTCAATGTAGAACAAGTGTCTGAGTAATTGGGATTCAACTATTATCTTCACTTAACAGCTGAATGTATTTATCTGTCCGAGAGGGACTTCAGAGGAATCTAGGCCACCGCAGCCCAAAGCAAAGCAAAGTGTGGGTCAAATTTAGCCCTCTGAAAATATTTTACATACATTCCCAAAGGGTCAAGCAGAGAGGTCAGTCACTGGAGGGAAAACATGAAACAAGCAGTACATCTACAAATTGTTTGGAATATGGCGAGTGAACTAAACTGTGTTAGTTAGAAGCTGGCAGCAAAAACTTTCTCTTTGGTGCACTAACACATTAGTCAGATGAAATAATAGTCCAGTTAAATCGCCTATCAAGTTGTTAACATACCCCAATTATCTGTGCATGTAAACATACTGGGTAAGTTAGGCTGAGTGAGCATTTCCGACATGTCAGCCACAGTTGGGCTTCAGATACCGGTGAGTGATAAAACTGAGGCTACGTATTCTCAAACTCATTCTGGCTGATACTGACATTAATACTTGGGTGACCTTATGCCCTTTTTTACCCAGACACACGTCCTCTTTTGGGGGGCTGTCCGGCCTGTCTAGGTGGAGTTTATAAAATCCTTCAAATGTCCAGGGTTTTGTATGGAAGCCTGCTTTTTTCACTGGTGGAAACGGGCTTCCATAATTTTGAGTTTGTGTAGCATGTACTTTTTCTTTGCATCACAGACCATTGCATTCACCATACAGGTTCAATGGTTATATGGAAACACACTCAGAGACGCCAAACCCCGGAATGTGTATTCATTCATTATAAAACAGTGGAACGCATCAGTGCTCTTCGCTGCTCTGCTCCTCCGCTCAGTTCCAAGCAAAGCCACAGATGAGACGCACACATGCACTGTCCAGGTGAGTGAAAGAAAAGGTAGAAATATTTGTATGTGACTGATACTTTTGTTGAGGAGAAATGCTTTATAAAAATGAATATATTGTTTATGAATGCAACTTTGTGTGAGTATTTTTCAGTATCTCCATGAGGCCTGGTTTGGTGTCTGCTTGGTAATTCAGAACATGCGTTTAACTGAGTTAGAAGCGTGTGAAAAACACTCCCCATGTGTGCACGCCCAATGTGGTAGTGTCTACATTTTGGGGATTCAGAATATGGTCACCCTAATTAATCCAGTTTGTTTGAAATTAGCTTCAACAGCTAATGAATGATCAAAGTGGCTAAAAGTCAGTTCATGGGCAAAAAGTAGTGTCAAAAAATCGATTTCAGTCCATCACTTATGCAGCACTACCTCACCCTTTCTCTGCTTTCTATTAGCTGGGTCTGTAATTGGAAAATTTTGCATGCTCCGTTCAGGTTACTGACTTTGTTGTTATAACTGGCAGACTGAGTCTAACAATCAAAGCAGATGGTGAGCTTAAAATCAGGGCTGTCATGGTGACAACAGCTTCAGCTTCTTATTATAATCACTTAGTTCCCTCTGCCTGTCTGCTTATTAAACCCAGCTCTTCAGATGAGACCGCTGTCTCCTTCTCACTCTGACTCACCCTGCCGGCTCATCTGTACACCCAGATTATCCTCCATAGGTACCTGCCAGGCGTCTATGTCTGGAAGCTTTATGTTTGTCTTTCAGTCTTCATTGAGAACCCTCTCTGCTTTGATCCCCTGCCTCATAACTAAGTCACAGAACCTGACCCTGTCACAAAAAGCTGATCTTCCACACACGGATCACCTGTTGTGACAACAAGACATTCAAAACATGAGTTGTGTTATTTGGGGTTCTGCTGATAAGATTTCCAAAAATTAGCCACTAAACCGTAAAAAGGAGGCTTCAGGGTGACCGTAGGGTTAAAGGTGGGGTAGGCAGGATTCCACTAAAAAAGGATCTTTTTTTGTGGTGTGTATGCAAAAAAGCTTTTAATATCAGTCAATAGCTATTAGTTATTGATGACATTTGGGAATATAACAATATCGCTGCGTTTTGTATGTCTGTGTAGTCAACATTTAAAATTCTTGAGCGGCCCACTATTTATGACTGTAAACAAAACCATTCTCCTCCTCCCCTAATCTGATTGGTTGTGAGGCAGACCCTGCTCCCTCACGTTGTGAGGCACGCGCCACATCCTTGAATGACGTTCATGAGCCCAAACAAAGTGAGTGTGCTACAATATCGGACAGTAGAAACCAATCGGAAAGTACGGAACATTTTCTGAATCCTCTTTTGGCCACAACTGCCAACACAAGCAAGAAAACAAAGTAAATACCGGAGACTCTGGTGAAAAAAACGGCGCTTAAAAAGGAGGTAGACCAGCCAGACAAGGGCTAAAAAGCCGGGTCGACATCGATGAAGCATAAATGATGGGGGACGCTTCGGGGTCTTACGAACCCTGTAACCTCTCTGCTGGACAGGTAAACTGCTTTAACAAAGTAAGCCAAGTGTCTGTAACCGAAGAGTTACTTGTCAAAGGGACCTGTTGCGTGTTGAAGTGCTGCTTATCTGTTTAGTTCAGGTCCTGGACTATGTCACTTTATCCTAGTTGTAGAAGTCCTGCAAATATTGTGTTTGCTGGTGGTCTGTTGGCATCTACAGTAGCACCAATGCTTTTTACTTTCACGTCGACTGGGCCCCATTTGTAATTATCTGAAGTATTTATCTGCATTATATCTGGATTTAATTGGAACAATACGAGCGAGCAGGAGTTTCTGTTTGTGGGCGGGGCTTGTTGGAGCAGAGACGGAGGGGAGAGGCGGAGCTGAAGGGAAAACTGGTTGGGAGGGGTAGAGTTTACACCCAAGATTTCTCCCAAAAAACTGGCACTTCCTCAGATCCTGCCTACCCCAACTTTAAGTTATCCCAATCCTACCAAACGTTGTGGCCAACATGGACTGTACACTTCATGAAGAAAACTGAGACAGGATGTCTAAACATGGTGGTGGTTTTAAAAGAGTTTCAATACTTGTGGACATCTGACCCTTAGAGATGACTTTAGCTGGGATCAGATTCAAAGAAGCAGCTGAGTTAAAAAGCTGCTCTTAACAGTGAGCTCTGTGCTCAGGCTGGAGGCAGCGATGGACAGAAAAAGATCAAAGCTGTCCTCAGTTAACCCCTTTCAACCTCTCCATGATGAGCAGATGGGATCATTCACTCGGGTGCAAGACTGAGCGCTACAGGGGCTCATTTAAACAGTAGAGACCACTGACACCCACAGACAATCCCCACTGAGTGCATGACAAGCTCAAAGCACTCAAAACACTCTCTGCCTCAACTGTCTGTCCTTTGAACATTTGGACATGACACATACATTCAATACTACCTGTATTTTTATATTAGTCATCACCCCACAGCAGGAGTGGGTGATTTATGCTCAATAATCAATGAAAGAAGTCGAGTCAATTTGACCTGTCTTTGTGTTTATTATACAGTAAGGACACACAATAAGATAGGAGAGAGAAACTTATAATGGTATGTTAACATTAACACGGTACACGAACAACACACTGAGTTTGAGTTAAATATTCATGTAATGAATTCATTTAATGTTGTTTAGATTTTTTTAGTCAAACTTGTACATTTGTCTTTTCTGATTCAACAGCCAGTGATCTTCTGTGACTTCTTTAGCAACCGTTTCCATCACCTGTTCTTATATTCTTTTATGCAAGAGCAATAAATAGAAGGAATTATGAGTTTGAAGTTGCTGAAAGACTGATTTTCAATACTCCTCTATGCTGCATGTGAATCCAAATGACCCTACAGAAAGAGAAGTGAGGTACACAAGTTATGTAATTATGTTGGCTTGTTTATCTTGCATCACTGTCCTCACCGCTAACTAACACTAACAGCAGCTCTGTGGGAAATCAGCATATTTATGTGCCTACAACAGCCGCTCTCAGTAACATCACAACAAGCTCATATTACACGGACCAGAAGACACAACACATAAACATGTATTACTCTTTATTACTATGTGTGGGACATGGAGTGGAAACACAAACATGACATCTTCTCACCTCCTGAAGTTAAAAATGGAGGATGAGTTAGCAAACAGGTGCTCATTAACACATCCAGCAGACCTGATGTCACATTATGTCTCACTTAGAGTCGTTTCTTAGTACATGTGGTGAATTTAAATCCACAGTTAATTTGTTTTTTAGCTTCTGTTGGATAAAAACATGCTAATGTTTTCACCAACTAGACGCCAACTCACTGTCTGATCAGGATATCAACATAAAAGAGGTTTATAAAAGACTGTGCAGAGTTCAGTTTTTGCAGTCTGAACAGGAGTACACTCAAAACTAACCTTTTTGCAGGTGATCTAAAAGACAAAATAGTCGGAAAAATAAGTTTAAAAAAATATTTACATCAGAGTAGACAGGGCTTTAGACTTTGGACCTCATCATCAGAGGAGCCTTTGCACTTAGACAGTGTTGTCTGACTAACACAGACTGTGAATATTGCACAACTTACGTACAAAACTTTTACGGTAATTGATTTGAGAGACATACTACAAACTGATCCTTAAAGCTCCTCTGAACAACTCTGGTTTGGGTTGATTCTGGCTCTCCTTGTGGCTCCTCTCCTCCCTTACTCTGACCTGGAAATAAATGGCTCATCAATAACTTTTAATGGAAGAAATGTAAACAAAGTCTTTACTCTCTGTAGTTCAACTGACACCCTCACTCCATCAGCATTTTCAGACATTGAGGGTAACCACAGAGAGATAATGGATCTTGTTTGTTGTTGTAGACCATAAAGAGAGACAAACAGTATGAAACAGACTGAAAAAACCACATTGGTTGACTTGGAGCTCACAGATTCAGTAATCTGAGCAGTGGGTTTCAGTGACGTGGTTATTTCCTACATTTTCTATATTTACTTTTTTTGCAACAAGTGGCATGTCGTGAGGAAATTCAGATGAAGTTGAATGAAAACACTTTGAGGCTGATGCATCTGCCTGTCGCTGTCATAGTCCAAAACCACTTCCCACAGAGGCCCTGGAGGTTTTTCAGCGCTGTCTACACAGCAGCCCATTTCCTCGTCTGTGAAAGTGAAAGTGTGCTAATTGGTTAACACAGCTGGTGCCGCTCTGCTCTCGTTTACCCATTGCACTCGACGTGAGACCACTGATCTAATCGCTACAGCTCATCTTGTCCTCCTGCACTAAGCTGCTCCTCCCTCTTTCCTTCTGTCTGCAGGGCGTGCTTTTCTGCTCTCCACAGAAACAGTCGTTTTGAATCACACAACCTGCACAACGTCTGAGTCATATCTTGGGTGGTTTGTTTAGACACTTCTCTCCCAAGTTTCAACCCTTCCCCTCTTTTCACCCAGAAAAATCCATTACAGCTCTCCAACAAGTCTCCGCCCTCCTTTAGTAAAAAGCAATAAACAAAACAGACAAGAGGAGTGCAGGGAAAATAAAAAGCAGATGAGACGCTGAGAGAGATCATGAGGTGTTTGGCTTTAGACCAGAATCCCACGCTGCAGAGAGCGACACACCCCCACTGAAAACTGAGGTCATCCACTGCTGTCAGGTCAGCCAACAGCAGCTCAGAGCTTTAACATTAAATTTCTGCTGCTTTCTCTTTCCAGGTTTTTTACTGTCGCATATTTGGAGTTTATGACAGCTGCAGATCATGCCCATACTTTTAATAATGACCTCCACAAACACGTTTCCTTTGCTGATGATCGGAGAACAGAGAAAGTACAGGAGTGACTTTCTAGAGGGGGTAGGAGGCACCAACATGGACAAAGCCAGAAGAAGAAGATGATTTGTTCTTGAAGGTAGGGCTGGGCGATAAACCAAAAATGTACCAATATTGAAAACTTACGAAAATAACTGATGTCATTTTGTGTCGATATATTTGGTGTCCAGAAAAATAAATAAATAAAAGTTGTTTTTGGATGTGTGTAGCTAGGCTATGGTCTCATGTCCCTATAAGACATTGAAGACGTGACTCCACCCCATCCAGTCCGTAACAAAGAGGGAAAGACAGGTGAGGAGATGGAGGACGGTTCAAAAGTTGGAGTAGACAAAGTTAATATGGGAGGGGGTGAGCAACTTGTGAAGTAGTTATCGTCCGTTTATCGATATAGAAGTGAACTGCTCAATACACCGTGATATTGATTTGAGGCCATATCACCCAGCCCAACTTGGAGGTCTACTAAAGGTGTACTGGTCTACTAAAGTAACATGTAACATGCTCAAAAAACATAGTCCGACCTTGCACTGCCTCAAAAAAGTAACTGAAACCACGCAGACCTCGAGCTGTCTTTGTCGATGAAAATGAAGACAAAGTTTTCATTGCTTTTTCAATTTTTCATGACTAAGAAGAGACGATGACATAAACAAAATTTTGAATGTACAGACATCATTTCAGAGGCTGACTAGATTATTTGTCTAACCGCACTGATTGTTTGTCCTCCAACACCCTCGCAACACACTGACAAAACAAAATCCTCTGAGTCATGAACTGCTCCTCCACTCATTCCCACAATTGTGGCCTGTATTAGGGAACAAGGACCCCCTCGACTCACTCGGCTCGGATGTCGTGTCACACCTCTTAAAGTGACTTTTTTTTTTTCTCTCAGCTCATCCTAACTGAGTTTCACCTCTGTCCTCATCATCCTCTTTGTGTCTGCTTCTGTCTCTCCCTGTCCCTCCTCACTGCTTAATCTCTTCCCCTTTCAGATATAAAACCACCCACACTGCCTCAAGCAGACTCACAAGGTGAATCCAGGTGATGGGAGCTACATTTCAACAGCATTCTCCTTCGATAACAGAGATCCTTTACGATTTTAATTTGATATGATCTCCCCACAGCATGTACGTTTTAATATACAGCGTCACTTTCCGTCCCTTTTCCTGCTCTGGCTGCCTCCCTGCATCTCTGCCTCTTCTAGAGATCATTTATCATCCAGTCAGCTGGTCTGTATGCAGGTCTCCTTTCGCCTCCTCTTTCCTCTCCTGAGACAGAGAGGGTGAGAAAAACATTCTCTCCTTCCTCCTGCGTAACAAGGTCTACAAAGATAGCACAGAAGATGTGACTGAGTTATGTCTGCCTTACAGTTACAGGCCAGATCAGCAGAGTCGATACCTGTTAGGCTAAACTAAAAAGTCCATCATTTGGCCTCTGACCCTCTGTTGATTGTAAAAACAGTTTTGATAGCTGCTAAAACAAGCAGTCTCTGTATGTTCTGGAGGAAGAGTTGTATGTTTTCAGGAAATTTCAGGAGAAATTTTATTGAACAAAGCTTTTCAGAGATGAACTTGATTAGAAAATCTACAGTCTGCATGACAACCACACATCTATGACCTCACCGTACCATTTTCTGTGATGTTTTATCTAATCATGATCCATCAGGAGCTGCAGACTGGTTTTGAATCTAATCACCTCAGCAGCATCTAATTACACTGATTAGGCTGACTTCACTCAGAAAGGAGGAGCTTTGGTGAAGAAGAGCAGCTCTGGAGCTCTACAGTAGGAAGAAAATCATACATAACACACTGTTAAGACACACCAGCAGCAACATCAACAACTCCTAACGAGCAGCAACATGTTGATGATTTCCCTGTCAGTCTCTTAGACACCTAAGGACCAGAGTATGGTTGAGGGCCAATCCCAATGGTCACTCTTTCCCCTTCCCCTTTATCTTACCCCTTTGTCTACCCTTTTAAAAGCAATATGAAACAATACGAAATGATACAATGACACAAAACTAAACGTTAGGATACGATGCAATACGATATGATATGATATGGTAAGAAAAGAAAAGAAAGAAACAAGGGTGGCACAGTGGTGTAGTGGTTAGCACTGTTGCCTCACAGCAAGAAGGTTCTGGGTTCAAATCTGCGTCAAGGCGTTTCTGTGTGGAGTTTGCATGTTCTCCCTGTGTCTGCATGGATTTACTCCAGTTTCCTCCCACAGCCCAAAAACATGCAGAAGTGGGGTTAGATTTATTGGCCACTCTCAAATTGCCTGTAGGTGTGAATGTGAGCGTGGATGGTTGTTCGTCTCTATATGCCAGCCCTGCAATGAACTGCCAACTCATCCAGGGAATAAGCGGTAGAAAATGGATGGATGATAAGAAACAACACAATATGGTGCCATTGGATACAGAATGATGGGATATGATACAATTAGATTTCTTCAATGTGTTTTGACACAGTTAGATATGGTTGTTGTAAGTTGTTTCACAAATTCACAAGGTTATACTATAACAACACGTTTATTGCACTGATCAATTTATTGCAGACCAATCATAAACCAGCACATCTCATTATATGATGAAGTGAAGAGTACAAAAGCATTTTGGTTTGGTTTTACTAAGATGATATATTTTCTATGTTTTGGTGCAATTAATAACTTTACAGAGCTACAAACAAAGTGTAGGGTGACCATATTCTGAATCCCAAAAAAGAGGACACTACTTGGCGGGGCGGAGTCGCGCACAACATTGTTTCTCAGGTCGGGTTGAGTGTTTTTTATGCGCTTCTAACTCAGTTAGTCCACGCTACACAAACTCACAACTTCCATACAAAACCCTGGACATTTGAAGGAATTTATTAACTCCAAACAGCCCCCAAAAAGATGACACGTCCGGGTAAAAGAAGACATATGGTCATCCTAACCAAGTGTAAAAACTTGTGTGGAAATATACAAATTTCTAAGAAACCAACTGTGATCACTTGCACTTCAAATGTATGGATGTTCATTATGTTAATGAGTAAGCACCAGACATGCTGAATAAGTGAAAGAAGTCAACCTTGTCTTTGTTTTACATGGTAACCAAAGCCCCAATCTCACAAATTCAAGTTTCCGTCACTCCTCCATGGAATCCAGACACCCCTTCAGGTGAACTTTGACTCTCTTTATTCTTTGCCCCCAACCAGAACAGCTGACCAAAACTAAGTGTACAAAGATGCACTTGTCATTTCAAGACCAAGCTTTATTAGATGGCGTATTAGTTTACAGCTAGTTTGTATTATGGGTTACATAAAACGGCTGCTTTTCTGTCAGCTTGGTTTCCTGCCTCCTTGTAGTCAAAAGTTGATTAGTGTATCTTTAAAAGCTGCATATTCTCATACTTACAGCCATTCTACTGTTCAGCTGCAGAAGAAACCAGGAGGACTTTATGTTTCGTAGGAACATCAAACTCATGTAAAAATGACTTTAAGCCAAAATAATTCTGAGAGGAAAGGCATCTTGAGATTGTGACAAACTTCAGTTATTGACAGATGAATGGTGATGAGAAAAAAACACGAGTCTGACAGAAGCAGTTGGCTTTTGTTCAGCCATTCATCCACCAAAATACACTGGGAACACTCAAGAGTTACTCTGTACAGAGTGTCTTTATCTGTGTCAGGCAGCAGTGGAGCTCTGTGGGTAAAACCATTATTCACAGCTACAAGAGGTCACTAGTCTAATGTGAATAAACATGAGTCATATAGATGCGCAAACAAATGATGGTGTTGTTTCGTGGAGGAGGATGGAGATGGAGATGCAAAACATCAGCCCTGTTTTTAATCTCATTTAGCTGCCCTTATAAACTCATATTCAGCCATGCCACTAGAAGCACCTTTGTAGAGCTCAGAGCTTTACATCATTGACACACAGTAAAGGTCACATTTGAATTTCTGAACTTCATTATGATGCATCATGTGACTGCATGCTGCTTTTTAGGATGGATGACTTTCAAGCTACTCTCTTTATGAGTAACACTGTTTGTATAGAATATGACTTGTGTAGAAACAAACCCTGAAACCTTTAACAAAATGTAACTTGGACAGAGAGCTAAAGGTATATGTTAAAACTGATAATTAAGGGTTCCTTGAAACCATCTCCATTGGGCACTTGAAACAGACCTTTCAGGGTACCATGGGACAGACCATCATCAGGTGCTGTCTTGTGCACACCAAGGGGTAGGCTGGAAATCAGACTGCTTCAGGGCTTCTTGAAACAGAAACAGCTACTTAGGTCTTCATAGGATAGAATCTAGGGGTACCTCAGGAGACTTTTCTTTGTGCTTTTGTGTGAGACATTCAATAGGCACTGTGAAATGGGTGCAAAAGGACACTTGAATACAGATTACTTGAGTGTAGTCTGAAACAGTGGCACATATTTTATTGATATAGCCATTTCACAACAGACTGAAAATGGCACCTTAAGGCGGGTGGTAAGTAATGCTACTTACTTCAGGTGGGCTAGATATGAAATCAGTAAACTGGAATGGACAAGCCCAGTCAAAGGCCATGTGTGCATTTTGATAGCCACTACAGGTACTTAAAAACAGATCATCTGTGTATTAGGTCAGACACTTAACAGATGCCGTTGAGTTTATCTATAGGAACAAGATGGGTACCTGAAACAAGCCTTGAACAAGGCGCTAAAGTAGATGTCAAAGTGTTTGTTGAAACTGGACACTGTTAGGTCACTTAAAACAGAGAAAACTTTGACACAGCCACTATGGGAGGCCTTGATAAAAACCTCAGATGGTAAACACTGAACAAATGCTTCATTGTGCATCTCTGTAAGACACAAAATGAACAGAAAAGTGCGTGCTCTCAAACAGATGACCTGAGGGTTACGTCTTTACACAGAGGTCAAAGTTACATTAAAACAGCTGATTAGGGTCACTCAAGATGCTACGTTGTCAAACTGAGTCAAACACTTAAAAGGTTACTCTCTCATAATGACAGCAAAGGTTGAAGTGTGAAGTGAACTGTTAAAGCTGAAAAAGAAACAGTCCATAAATGGAAACTGGGACAGACGTTTAACAGATGCTCCCTTTATGCACCACACTGTTGTATTAGAAAAGGCCATCCACAGCTTGCTGTTATTTTTGAGGTTTTTGATACATGAAGCATGAAGGGAGCAGTGAATAAAACACATGTGCTACAACGCACCATCTGGACTCACAAAAGTAAAAACAACTGACAGATTTTTACTTCTGAGTCCAGTCAGAACCGATCTGTAATATCTGTCAAAGTCACAGTCATTCCTCCTGTTTCATGTCTGCTGAATCACTTGAGATCCTATCACTACCTCATATATTTCAGACATATTAGGTGCTTCATTGTTGTACCTTTACTCCTCTGCGTGTTCAGACTTAATGCAAAGCTAGTTTCAGTTTTACAGAGAGTAACCAGGCTGCTCGGTGAGTGTACCATTCAGGCCTAAGGATGAAGGGCAGAGAGGATGATTCAGAGGACGAGTCATGGGAAAGAGAACAAAAGATTGGATTAAAGAAAAGAAATGGATCCAAGTGCTTTGGATAAGGATTAATTTTACCACGTCATTTTCCCGCTATTGTTAGTTAGAGCTGCAGTAACTTTAGAGAATCAGAGTTCCCACAACAACTAATTTTGAGCTTCAAAAGTGATCTGTATTTTATCTGAGGGATAAAAAAGGAGTTTTCAGATGAAGGAAAATGTGCTTTTAGGGAAAAAGGTGGAGTGTAAATTCAGCTGTCTTATTCAAGCTCAATGAAACAATTCTGCAAATTTAGTCAAGACAGAGAGCTTTGCACCAAGAACCATGACTCAAGGAAAGATTTAGTGTAAATATAAATGACAAAAGAGTAGACGAAAGGATGTTAAAGCTAAAAAAAAGACTGTCACAAATGCTGAAAAATAAGCCTGTTCTTTTCCTTTTTGTTTCCTTTTAACCTGATAAAAAGTTTTTTTATGTGCAACAATTGAATCACGCTGCTCTGTTTTCTAGGTGTTGAGTTGAGATTTATTCAAGCATGGGTGGAGAGATGGTCTGAATTCTGTCGCAAAAGCTTGAAATTAAAGTCAAACAATTTTAAAGATGATGAATTCTGGCAGCGAATCGCCAACAGACATTTAGATGCTGTAACAGATGAGTCACGCTGACAGCTGAAATGTCCAGAACCAAAAAACAGCAGAGTTATCTGTTCGTTCGCTTGCTTTATTAAAATCAGTCTGTGCTCAAAAATGAATCTCCTGAGCTCTACTGGTCAGGCACTTTTTAAAAACGTTATCTTCATCAGAGCTGCAGTTTTAGCAAGTTTTTATCACACCGGCTTTTTATTGGGGGGCTGTCGACAGAGTCTGACCAGAGCAGCAGATTTTATTCTTTCATATTAGGAAAGAGAAGCGTTTTTACTATGAAGTCTATTGATAGAAACATCAAGAAGATTAAGAAAAAAAATGACTAAGGAAGGGAGATAACAGAGAAAGGGGAATGAAATAAGGAGACGAAATCTAAAGGACAAAGCTTCAAAATAACCTCAATGAAAAGTAACTAATAATTTTAAGGATACATTAAAATTACATTTATTCATACCTATAGTTTATTATTTCAGCCTTATTGTATACATTAAGTAAATTTAAACTTTATGTTACTATCATTTTAATTTTTATAAGAAGCCAGTTATTATTTATGTTTCGTTATATCGTCTTATCCTCTCTCTAGTAAGTCATAATGTGGTGTGTCCCATTAGAGTTGAGACTGTTTAAAATGTCGATAAAACCACATTTTGTTTTATAATTTGAAAATCATTTGGAACCTAAATTTATACAAAATAGTCTAAAAAAAACATATTAAATGATAAAATGCTAATTAAAGATGTGATTCCAGCAGCGTGTTTCAAACTGCTGGGACAGGGACGACAAAACACTGAAAAGGTTGTGTAATGCAAAAGAAAAACTCAGAGATATATCTCTTTAAGTGAGGTTATTTTGCAACGTGTTAGTAGCACAACTGTGTACAAAAAAGACATGAGAGACATGAGAGAATAATTCAACAGTTTTAAAGTAAAACTGCAAATAATCTCCTTTATAATCTTCATAATATTTTGACACAGACAACAGGAGAATCTCTGATCAAAAGGGACAAATGCAATGACTGAAAGTGGACAGCCATGATCGTCAGACTGTAGCACTGCATTTAAAACAAACATGACTCTGGAGTGGAAATCACTGCATGGGTTCAAAATCAGCTATCAAAAAACATAGTCTGTGAACAGAGTTTGTTGTTGCATCGAGGAAAGCAGGTTTTAACTGTATGCAAAGAAGAAAAAGAAATGATACATGATCATGATCCAGAAACATTTCTAAACCTGAACCCATTTTAGTTGGACTTGAATGAAAACTGTCCTGTAGTCTGACAAATCAAAATCTGACATCATTTTTGGAAACCATGTATGCTGCATCCTCTGCCTCAAAGAGAAGAGGGACCACCAGGCTTGTTGCTAGGACTCAGTTCAAAAGCCAATAACCCTGATGGTACTAGGGTGCCTAGGGTGCCCATGGCAACCCCTTACCAAGTTCACATATGGCACAGGTGGCTCTCACCCCCCAGGAAAGGCGCCACTAATCCTGAAAAAATTCAGGTTTTGAAGCAACATATGCTGCTTTCCCCCTGACTTCATCAACCAATAAAACATCACACCTCCTCAACCACAGCCTTTTTTACAGAGTGAGAGAGTAAAATTATGCTTGTATGATGGTGTGCTAATCAGTGACTCCCTACGTACAGTATATATACAGTGCACCTGCTTCTCTACCTGACTGGGATTCCTTTTAGATATTTTAGATATCTGATATCCTTTTAGTGAATGAAACATTTCCCAATATCAGATATAACAAGCCTATCTCTGATATTTACCATAACTGGCCACTTCATCCTACACAGACCAAAAATCATTTAACTACATTTCAGAGCTGATATCGTCCCCGCCCGGCTCTGCCTGCTGGTGAAATGAAGCGGGGCGGCTCAGACATCCTGAGTCAACACTTGACTTTCTCTCTGCAGGCTGTCAGAGCTCAGGTGGGAGGAAGCCAATAAATCTGTCAGTGAGGCAGCCACAGCTAGCCGGTCAGCAGGCGGCAGACACACTGACAGACAGGCAGAGCCAGACGACGGCAGATAACAGGAGGAGGTCATTTGTTCTTATTTCAGGTGGAGATTGAATGTGTTTGTGTCTAGTTCTGAGCTGAAATCCAGAGTCAAGAAAAAACTCAACTAGGCCTTTATATTTTTCTCTAAGTAAGACATGAAAATGAAGCATTCATTTGTTAAAACCACCCGAGGAGGCAAACAGGCAGACAGACAGACAGAATCAGGTTCAGAGCCAGATGGTGGACAGACAGACAGGCAGTTTTTTACTCAGTTGATGGTCAACATCTTGGCTGCTGAGGCTTTTTGGCTTGCTGCTCCAATAAAAGTCTGTCAAAGCAGCATTGGAGCCTCTCCAGCCACTTTATTAACCTCACAGTCTGAACTGAAGGACCTTTAATTATTTATTTAGAAGTGCTTAAATGTTGTGCAAGCAGAATGGTTCTCTGAAATGTTTCACTTTACTTTGCATCACAAAGCTTTTAAAGGCAAACTGCAGTAAAAACATGACTATTGCGATTTAGCTCTTCAGAGGTACTAATAAAATTAATATTCACATAATCAGACTGTTTTTTTCTTTGGATGAGACTTTCTTATCTCTGTAAAGATTTCCATCTCAGAGCTGGTGATGACAATAAAACAGACCGTTGAACAGCACTGATAAATGGACGATGACATCTACGTATCTTATCTGTCTGTCTGTCACTTTATATGTATACCCTGTATTAACTTAGTCTAATGTAATCTCTAGCATCAGCAGCTGAGAGAAACACTGAACCACACACTCTTAGCTTCTTTTTAAATGCTGTGCGATATTGTGTTACTGGGTCACTCCTTCCTGCCTGCTCACTTATTCTTCAAACCCTAAAATACAACTCGAATCAAACACAGCTGGCAGGAAATTACTGCTGATCACTTTTTAAGGGGAAACATCTCCTCCATTTGCTGCAAAAAAGAAGACTCTCTGGGCGAATCTCCTCTCCCGTTGTTTTCCTCGGTTTTCTCTGCTGGGGTTTTCGAGCTCAGATGTTAAAAAGGGATGAGAGGAGGTCTGCATGTTCAGCCGCCTCATTTAAACCTCTGAGTGGACTCTGAGGGCACTGAAAGGAGCTGTTGTTCAGAAGCCAGACAACTAACAGTGAGCCTCTTAAATCCTGCACGTGGTTCACAACCAGAACCACTCTCCTTGAATGGACAATAACAAACTGTCGGCCAGTTGATTTACATTTTACACACAAAACCCTCCTTCTTTGGCAGAGATGACGACTCATTTCATTAAAGTTTAGATCAGGGCTTCATGTTGGCTCTGCAGTTTTAGCAATACTTCTGCAAAAGGTTCAGTTTTATTTCGTAATTCATTACATTTGTTTTACAGCGTACAAAAATTCTATGGTAAAGAAAGTTCAGAGATGTTTGGGGAGTATGCAGAAGACGCCGTCAGGAAGGAGACTGATTATTATTACTATAGCCCAGCTGTAATAAATACTTCATTTTGATTGGTCAAAACTCAATGACAATGACAAGTTCTCACAAGCAAAAGTGACCCTGGGATGACCTGATGACTCAAATCATTTCAAACCACTCAAGTCGGGCCTGTTGTCCTGCAATCCATGCATCAACTGCAGAGCTCATGGAGCATTACTTTTGCTGTTTGCTACAACTTTAAATGTTGCAGTGGTATTTGTAACTGCAGTGCATTTACAATTAGTAAATATCAAATCAAAACTGAAACATTCAACATCGTATACAAGAATGAAACCTCAGTTCTGTGACATCAAACCAATCAGATAGTCTTTAGTCGGGTAAACTAGGGGACATAAGAAGTCTGTAAGCCGGACATCAGAGGGAAAGACGCACCAGAGGATAAGCCAGTTCATCACTTTAATTGGCCACCTGTGACTGACATAACCATATAACAGATATCAGTCAAGCAGGTAATTGGTCTAACCCTAGTTTAGGGAGTTTCAACTGTAAAATGAGGGAGAGCCGAATGAAGACAGAAATGCCACAGAGGTCCCATATACCTCGTCTAATTTTACTGAAAATACAAATGTTCAATTTGTAGAATTATAACAGAAAAGCAGGTTAATGTTATAAATTGACCGTGAATTCAAATGTATAGTGTAATATTTATTAATTTCACAGACACAGCCTGATATGAACTGACTTCAAAACCACAGGGACTGTTATTTCTAGCTGCATAAATCAATCATTTTAGAGTTAATGAAATCATCTAAATCAATATCTCATACCTATTTGTTTGTGTCTTTAGTTGGATGACTAGTCAGCATTATAGTAAATTAGAATCACCACAGGGTTAGACCAAACCACAATCTCTGAATTTAAGAAATGATGCAGATGCTGAAAACTGCAGTTCCTCTGAGTGTCCACTTGGACCTGACCGCAAAAGCACCAGTCAACACATACACACCCATTCAAACCAAACTCAAACATGTTTAAAGCCTGGTTCAAAAAAAATTTTTTTTGTCTGGATCGCTCATTTGTTTATCTGCGTACATTGTACTGAAAGTGAATTATTTAAAATCTATTCCCTGCAAAGATTTTAAGATTACAGATTTAGCTTGGGTGACTGGGTGACTAACCCTGTCCAGAAAAAAAATCTGACATAACTAAGACCTGATCCATGTACTAGACAGTCTGTGGGTGAGATGTAACCCAGACACTAAGTTATTTCAGTGTCTGTAACTGCTGCAAACAGGTGCCTGAATTGGTTTCATTTTTGTATTAAGTTTTGCAGGAACAGCTTCATTGGCCAAATTTAGCAGACAGAAAAGATTATTTTTACCAAAGAAAGCTGCACATGCAGAGCAGCAAAGAGAGATGACGCACCCCTCTCCCCAACACAATCGACTCACACCAACAAAAAAATCAAGTCACTTCTTCCTTCGTGTTGACACGACTTTATCTATTTTCTAAACAAACACACGAGGCTGAAAAATCGGAGTCATGAAATTGGCAGCTCAGCGGTTGACAGCGGTGATGTTTGTGTAACATTTAAAAGAGATTATTTAAAAATAATGACTCATGTTTTAATTCCTGCTGTAATCAGACAGTGAAGCCGGACAGAGAGTGCTGAGTCACACACAAACTACATTTTTTTTGCAGATATACATTCAGTCAAACTGACAGTTAGTCGTGATGTTATATGTTTTTATTACAGGATCATCTTATGAATTTAAGTTAATGTTCTCTGTGCAAACTGAAACACATCAAACCTTTCATCCAGTGCACTTCTATAAACTAGATTTGAAACCACATTTGAGCATCTTCACAGTCCCAAGCGCTCCAATATATACCACTGTACCACTAACACTTTTTGAATGCTTTTCTAAGTATTTTTATTTATTTATTTATTTTATTTCTGGCGACTTCCCTTAAGTTTACACTATGTCTCAAACGAAATGTAAAAAAAAAAGCCGACATTTTATCCTATCTTTTATTTATTTATTTTTTTTACTGGCGGAAACAGGCCTCCATACAAAACCTCAGACAGCCTCCCAAAAGAGGGCATGTCCAGGTAAAAGAGGACGTATGGCCACCCTTCTTAATATGAATTTCAGTCCATTTCACTGACACCAAAAAACCCTCACAAGAGCTTTAAAATCATCTTAAATCTACTTGACTGGGACTGTATATTAAATGATTGACACTATATTTTTTACAGGGTGACACCTGCTTCCAACTTCAAAAATCAAGAATTACCACAACTACAATATACATATTTATGTTTTATATTATCCTGAAAAATAAAAAAACAGTCAAACACAATTTTGAATCTTTTTGAATCTTTGTTTAACACTCGTCCTTTTATCTCTTCGGTTCCTTTCTGCGCTCAAGCTCTGATACATTCGCCTCATCTCTTGACATTTTGCATAGGATTTTCAGGCATTAAAAGCAACTCTTAAAAGTAATCTGTCTTAATTCTGATAGCGTTTTTTGCTTTTGTGGATCATAAAAAAGCATCAGTATCTATTTCAGTCTGATTCATAACCAAACAAAACTCCTCTAAGGAGCTTTAACTGTTTACGGTTTGTGTTGGGAGCTTATTGGGTGAACCTATGACCAATGGCCTAAATGCGCCCCATGTACTGAGGCTCTGGTCTTAATTCCAGTGGTTGCTGGTTTGACTCCCGGCCACGGCCCTTTGGTGCATGTCTTTCCCCAGTTTATAGGTAATAATAATCTCTAATAGGTAAACATGCCCAAAAAAATTCAGTTTAAAATGAAATAAAAGTTTCAAGAAATCTGGTAAAATTTTCAGGGGAAAACTCCGGAAGAGTCTGTCCTAATGTATCCATGCGCGCATATGAGTGTGTGTGTGTGTGTGTGTGTGTGTGTGTGTGTGTGCATGTGCGTGTGTGTCAGTGTGTCCTCCATGTAAAAAGATGATTCAATCTGCTCCTTTGCCCCGGGGCCTCACAGTAAGTGGCCTGTCTCCTTTCTGACAAACCGCTCTGACTGGAGTTCATGACAGCCTGAAGTGCTGACTGCAGCACACAGATGATTAAATCCCTTCCACATCTACAGAATTACTTAAGATAATTACTCTGTGTATTTCATTTTCATCTGCAGCCGTCTCTAATAGCATTAGAAGTGAGTTGCTGCTTTAACAACAATCTTTCTGTATCTGCGACAAACACCCAAACACACCCTGCAGGGACTCGATCTGCGGGTCTACATTGAGAAGGTATTTTTTCCCTTCACCTCACTGTGTCGACAAACTGTTTCTCAGAGGAGGTGGCACCTGAAATTCACTCTAACAACCGAGAAAGAGAGATTTTCACTTCTCGCTGCTCCTACATTCACACAGCAGTGGGATTCCTGCTACACTGACACTTTTTCTGCCATCTGTTCCCACCAGGACGCACTTATCACAGTGCTGGAGATAAATTGTGTTGTGCTGCGTCACACAGGGATCAGGTTCACAACCGAGGCGAGCCAAAATAGAGAAAGTCATTTCATCCCTTCAGAATAAAATCTATTGTGTGTAATTCTTTCATCATGTTGTTATATTTCGATTTTCTGCTCTCTCTTTGAAGAACCGTCTCATGGTACAATAAAACCTAATAAGAACACCTGCAGAGCATCAATTCAACATCAAATCCTCTTTTGGCTCAACACTGAAGTATCTGAAGTCCAAACAAGTTCATATCTCATGGCTGTTTTGAACTGTATACGCTACTCAATTATGGCAACAATCATAATCACAAATATTTTTCAAACTGTTGACACATGCAGAGATCCCACTGCGTCAGAAACAATGAGTCTGTTCTGTCATTAAAGAAAGCAGAGCACATTTCTGCACACCACACAGCGCTTCAATCTTGTTGATAATTCTAAAGTCCAGATGCACCGACAGAAAAAGATAGAATCTGATGTAACTCGGACTTAACTTGGCCTTGACTCATGTTCATCTCTGGTGTCTCAGACCCAGACTTGGGGCACATATTAATGTGGGTTTTGGTGACTCAACTGCTGCACTGACTGCATATAAAGTTGCACTTAAACCACGCAGTCTGGTTCAATTTGCAGGGTGAACAATTATGAGTGTTTCTATTGAGAAAGACAACGTAACTAACCAAACTCTACCATCCTACTTTTTCAGCACCCCACTGGTGAAGTCCCAAGAATTTCTCCAACCTTGAAAGATGAAACTAAAAACACTGCAGACCCTCAATTGAATAAGACAGGAGGATGGATTATTAGAGCGCACCTGCAGCCATCTACATTCAGGACAACTCTTTTCCGACAAAATTCACCATATGATCAAATAAAGAGCTATGCAAGTTACCTTTTACCAAATCACTGTCCTGGTCTCGTAGATATTTTTTTTAATGGCTGCATTAAGTTTTAAAATTTTTCTACACGATGTTGTTGTGTTTTGTTTACTGGTCATTTCCTCGACTATATGAGCTCCACAGCAGAGATAGGAAGGATCTTGTGTCCTTACACTTACACTATCATTAATGACTCCTGAACTGATTCGTTTGCTTTGCCTTGTGAATGTGATGTACTTAGTGATGCAGCTTTCACAAGCCTGAGGGTAACTCCTTCCTCTGTGTACCTTACATAGCAGACACATATGGATTAGCTGTTTAAGGTTGCTTTTCATGACTGATCTGCATATCCTGTAACACTTATCTATATCAAACTGATGCAAATTTTTATGCTCCTTTGGCGGCTGAGGCTTTTTACATAATGTGCCTGCAAAGAGGAAGAGCAGAAAAGGCAGCTGTTACAATGCAAAGTTGATGAAATTACAGCCAAGGCTCCGAGATGCAGCTCCAAATACAGCAATGTTTAGATGCTGGACTAAAAGTCACATTGACATCCACTGGAAAAAAAAAAAAAACGTAGGCATTAATTTATGCTTGAAAGGGGGAAAAGAGACACTGAGTTGGCACAAAAGGCTTTCTGTCTCAAACTGTGAACATGACTGTGTGGGAAAATAACAACACTGAGACTCCAGTAGATTTTTCCATGGCATCCAAAGGGGCAGCAGATGATGACACACTGCTGACACACTGAGATGCTAACGAAATCAGATGGTACACACTGTACCATCGCTCATGCACACACATATGCAGAGTTACTCACCAGGCCTGGGGTTTCCTCTTGAGCAGACCTTGTCTCCTCCACTGGGAGTGTGGGCTCAGGTGATAAGTCAGCTGACGACAAACCTTCTCCATCGCCCCGAGAGAGTCGCCCTCCTGGTGGACACACACAGATAAAGACATGAACTGTCAGCCCGGGTTTAGAGGACTGTCAGGCGGTAAGAAAAGCCTACAGCTGATGATACTTGAGGATTTGGCACTGCAGTTTAACAGGGTGGACCACATTTGCTTTCGTGTTTGGTCACCTATCAGGCTTTCATTAGCAGTAAGACTCAAAGAAATGAATCCAACAGGTGAGTATGACTCTAACAGGTGCATGCGGTTTCATGCTGCTGGTTAGGAGCTTCACAGTGAGCAGAGCTGTGCACACAGGGGATCTGGGGAGGGAGAGAAAATGTCACTTTGGACACGACATTATCAGAGAAAAAGACAAAGCAGTGAGGTGTATGAGCTGAGACAGACAGGAGAAAGACAGCAGGAAGTTATTAACGGATTTCAAGACCAATGGAGCAAAGAATTAACAAGCACACCTTCTGTCACTGTCAAGTTACTGATATGCAGGAACACACATATGAACTGGTGCTGCATTGATTGGCTGTCTTCAAAATTAATCCCTGTTTATTACCTGGAGTGGAACAATGAAGCTCACTTTGTGTCTTCTCATTTGAATATTCATAAGTATCCTTTTCTTTCTAGATAAACTCTTAAGAACCCCAAAGTAGGGCTGGGCGATATGGGAAAAAGTTTATCACAATATATTTTCTTCATATCAGTCAGTATCGATATATATCACGATATAAAAATGAAATGTAACATTGCTTATTGGTAACATGTCTTTTGCAATACAATAAGCTACTGCATCTGTGAGGTCTTTGTGTCTCTTTGACGTTTTGTTGTAAGCTGTTGTGCTGGAGAAAGCAAACTGAATGGTCGGCTGTTTCAGCTGCACAGGCGCCATGGGTTCCATGCTCCACTAGGGGTTTGTAATCTTTTGCATTGCACATACTCTGCCGCGTGGTACTGCTTCAGGTGGTGAAAAAGATTTGAGGTATTCCCCGACTTTGTGAGAATATGTACTCGACATAATTTGCAGTGCCAATTTACTCTGCTTCACGTCCGACCTCAATAAACCAAAATATCTCCACACCACTGACATTTTCGTGCCGGTGTTGTCGACAATGTTGCCATCTGTTGAGCCTTCATCTGCATTTCTGTCATTTTCTTCTTTTCTCACCGACAGTGCTGTCAGCTTCACTTGTTTAAGTGCTATGGTTGTGTGTAGCTGCAGCCTGTTACTACACAGTTGTTTACTACTTGGTTTTAATTCAGTACATGATTGGTTCAGCTCGAAGCGGACCTGGAGCAACTCCACTTTTCATTAGCGATTCATATAGTCTACCAAAACATGGCAGAATGCCAGCTATTGAAAAGCATATTTATCATGTTTTATATTGATATTGAGGGAAATTAATTTTCAATATGTATTGTTATTGTTTTATCGTCCAGCCCAACCCCAAAGCTAAAACTTTTAAAGAACTGAGCCGCTGTAACAAGTAACTGTAACAGAGAAAGTTCACTCTTGTGTTTTGGACAGTGTTAAACTCAGATTATCAGATCTGCAGGAATCCCCTTTAAACCAGATGGCGAAGGAAGGAAGTGCTATCAACAAACACTGCTGGTGTTTTCTCAACTGTAACATGCAAAAAAAAAAAATGTTGCACAGGTGTATGTTTGTGTGTTTTTCTGTCTGTTCTGTAAATTACGGTGGACAGAAGTTGAATAGCATAGCAGAAAAAGCAATCATCTTGCAGACAGCTTTTTGTGACAGTGAATGAATTGATACCCCAAGGGAAACAGAGAAAGAGTTCTCCCACCTCTGCAGCGGCCAATTAATCTGCTATTTTTCAAATGAAATGAAGCGATAATGATTCCTGCAGAGAAACTGTGAGGGTGTTCTTGAGGACACTTTGTATTAAGTGTGTAAATTCATATTATAGATTTGGAGAGAAAGAATAATCTCTCCTTCTTCTGTATTTTCACTTATTATTTCTCTGTAATCTGCTCCACTGTTCCATAAAATGTGCACTCTCGAATAATCCTCGATATATTAATAGATGTCTTTAAGGTAAAGAAGACCAATGGTGTATTTGAGCTAATGGTATCCATGGCGATGTGCCTTGATGACATGTGAATTGAGGAAAACCTTGCACCTGTAATAACCTTCACAACTGTACATTTTACTTTCCCATGTGAGGCATCGAGCGGAAACCGTTTAGAGGACTCCGTGTGAATACAAAACCCTGTGTGCATAAATATTGATGCAGTGAGAGGTTTTCATCAGACAGACTTCTTACACTCCTCCACGGTGACTGTACGTTTTAACAATCTGAGTTCCTAGTTTGCCGCAGGATCTATTTTTTTAGGGATCAATATTGTACCGCAGACTGGCTTTTAAACAGACCTTTTTGGAGATCAGTTTTGTTTGCGGCCTGCTCTGGTTTTTGTTTATCTGTGTGGTGTTGGTAGAGACACATTGATTTTCTGTTTCGCACCCTCACGCTTGTTAATGAACAGAAAGAGGAGTCTTGTTGTGTCAATAAAGCTGCATGAATTGAATTATGCTGAAGTGAAGGAGAAGAGGGGGGGGGGGTGGTCGATGAGAGGCTGGAGCCTTGTGGTTTCTCTGTGGCCTTCTCTACATCTCACTCAGTCCCTCCTCCTGCTTCCCATCGCCCTGTTTCCAGCTCGCCCTCCTCCTGTCTCTGACGTCCTTTCTTCTCTCCTCTCTCTCTTTCTTTACATTATTGACAGAGCGAATCTATGCACCTCCAGAGGACTGATGACCTCTCTTCTCTCCCTCCATTTCTCCTCTCTCTCTTGTTATTTTTTATCAGTCTGCTTCATCTCTATTCCTTCCCCTCCGGCCAACCTGCTGATAAAGTTAGTTTGCGCAGCACAAATTGAGCCATTACTTTGGCTCTATTTTTCACCACATGTCGTGCACACTCTGGTACATTACTGCTAAGTTAATCAGATCTCTCTCTGTCCTAGTGGTCAAAGGGTTCAGAGGAAGCTCGATAGATGGCAGATTGATGTCTGGATCTCAGGTCCACGCTGGGTTAAATTTGCTCCACAAGGAAGGAGGTATCGAGAAGGACTCATAACCTTGTGGCTTACAAATACAAAGGTGTCAGTAATCATTAGACATCCCTGTTTCAATACTGTGTAAAATGTTGATCCAAGCAGTTTTTAGATCATTTAAACCCCAACAATAAATGAAAATAGTGCAAAGACCTCGAATCAAATGTTGATGCTGGAAAATCTTATTGCTTCATAAAAACATTTACATACAGTCATTTTACAAGCAACAAATGACAACAAAAAACCTTATGGAGGATCACGACCAGTTTTTAAAAAAAAACTGCAGCAGGTTGGTCCAAAAGGTCGTTTCAGAGAGGCTGAGACTCTGTGAGAGACTGTGTGAGCCAATAGTTCAACAATCCCTTAACAATCTTCCCCACTTACAGTATCATCTGAATTTCATAATATTCATAAGATTTAAAGAATCTCGAGAAATCTCAAACAAAAGCTACAAAGGCCAAAAACCACTAAGGATCTCTGAGCTCTGAGACAGCACAGCATTAAAAACAGACATGACTCTGTGGTGGAAATCGCTGCTTGGGCTCCACACCCTTTGCAAATGCAGGCTAAAACTACAACATAGAAATAGGAAACCACAATCAATCATGATCCGGAAATTTCTGCAACTTGTTTTGGCCTGAGCTCGTTTGAGACAACTCAAGATAACCTTTGTCTTAATGAGACATTCCATTTGGAAATGATGATTGTCCCATCCCCAACACTTAAAGGGATATTCCGGTGTAAAATTAAGTTAGGGTCAAACACACCGTAACACCAAGTTAGACACCCCGTCAAGAGATGAATGTTGCCGACCGCTTGCTTCTCTAGTTATACCAACTTTAGTAACGACCGCAGAAAGCAATACACAGAGCCACACGCTCAAGCCAAACGCCACTCTATAGCCACAAATAATGCTCAGAACAGCACCTTCATCAACAGTACATATAGGGTCCCAGCCAAAGTACTAGCCACGAAACATCTTTTTAGCTTTGCCTGATTTCTTTAACAAAGAGACAAAACACAACTCACCCACTCGCTTCCAGCAGCCACTTGTATGTACGGAGACCTACAGGCGAGTCCATCGACTGCTGGGGGGTGACACAGCTCAAAGAAGAACATTTATGATCATTAGGCAGAAGAACTACCGCGTCTGCAGTGCAAAATGATTAATATGGTGATTATTACTTCAAGGAAATGATAAAGTACTTTCATCTCTTGACGGGGTGTCTAACTCGGTGTTGCAGTATGTTTGATCGTTACTTAATTTTACGCCGGAATATGCCTTCTAGGGTCCATCCAGCGTGTTGTCAGCACACAAAAGCCACCATCCTTGATGGTATAGGAATGCATAACTGCCCACGGCATAGATAGCTTACACAACTGGGAGGATGTCTTTATGCGACATGATATATACAGTAACATGTTATGCCATTGAGACCATGAATTTTTCATGGGGGACTTTGCATATTTCAGCAGGACAATGGCAAACCACATTCTGTACTTAGTACCTGATGTATTGCCTGTCTAAGGTGCTGACTTGTGACTCACTGAGAATAGTGAGTATCATGAAATCAAAAATGCAACAAATGACACAAAATACTAAGCAGCTAAAATCCTGAATCTGGCAGGATTGAGAAACTGTCATTTCAAAAGCCCAGAAATTGGACTTCCCAGTTACTAGACATTTGCAGAGTGTTGTTAAAATAATAAAATGGTTAAATATGTCCCCCAGTTTTATTTCAAGTTTATTTTACAGTTAAAGAAATTATTGGTCATTGAAAAGGGATCATGGTTGAGATGTAACATTAAGAAATCAAGTCATTGTTATGTGAACAGCTTGATAATCGTCGAACGTTAGGGAGAACATATGGGTGTGTGGGTAGATATCTGCTGGTGACACATGTTGCTTCAGTGTCACACAGGAAAAAGGAAGATTGCCGACATTGGTGTGATCTCAGGGAAAATTACATCACTGTCTAGAGAGTATGACAAGTTGGCTGTAAGTGTACAGAACTTTGCAAACAACCACTTTTAGTGTCTTCATAATGATTTTTTGTTATCAGTGTTCCTGAAGGTTTAGCATAAGAATTCTCACACAAAGAAACACTGTTCAGGATTCAAACTACTGTCCTCTTGACTTCTCATTATAGACTAAGCATTCATCTTTAATTAAATGCGCAGCCTGTTTTTATCCTGTCAATTAAGAGCCTGGGCTGCAGAAAAACAGAAAAAAAACATCATGTAATTAATGTTATTATCATCCTATACCTACATAGTGAGAGCAGACTTTAATGGCTTTAATAAACAGACACAAACAATGAATTATTTCCAGCCATTATCTGGGCGCTGCATTGTTTACAGCCAAGCTAGTTTATGGTGAGTCTCAGCTTCACTGTAAATAGTAAGTTACACCAACTTGACCATGGTTTAAATCAGTAAAATGAGACCCAAAAGAAGAATTTTTTCTAGTTTTACCTGCAATCAGTGGTTCATACATGTGCTGAAATAACATCATGATTTGAAAAGTGAAAGTACAGACTTTGTCAGGTTTGTCTTAAAAGGTGGGGGGAAAACAAACTCTGAAATTTTTGCATATTTTGCAGAGTTCTGATTGAATGTTTTTGTTGCATTTGAGGAAGTCAGAAATCGTAAACAATGATTGCAGACAGCGTTGAAGACATTTGTCGTTCAAGTTAAAGTGTTTGATTTTGAACTATTTGCTAACTGTACTTGCATGTAGTTATCTGTTAGGTAAGATGATCAAAATATTGTCAAATTAGGAGCTGAGATTCCTGTACATAAAATCATAGAAACCAGAACACTTCTCACTCTGAAATCTGAGCTACAAATAATAAAATAAAAACATTATTTAATGCAGACTGTGAAAGTAGATCACGTTTGACTGATTGGCCTCATCAGGAAACATGTCCAGCAAACCTCTCATGTATAAAAATTATTGATTTTTGTGCATTCTCAAGGCCTTTGGAAAAGAAATCAGAAAAATTATAAATGATAAATCATCCACATGTGGAGTCATGTTCCCTCAGCACATGTTGCTGCTGAAAAATTCACCTCTCACTTTTACCTCATTTCCCCAGGGGCTGGCTGAGGTTGTAAATCCCTGAGTCTACTTGGGTCAGCAGACCTCTCAGAGACACATGAATTGAGCATAAAATCTTTACACAGTTTAACATGATGGTGGCATAAAATAGGGAGGAAGAAATAGGAGAAAGCCTGTAAAATCCTAACCAAGCTAAGGAAATAGACACAGCTTTTTATGGTGCAGTCATCAAAGTCTGTACTTTCAGAAAACATAAGCATGTAGAGGAGATGCACATGAATTGTGTCAATAATCAGACAAATCACATTAGAAAAATAGGTGTTTTCAAACCTGACAAATGAAGAAATACATAAATCAGAAGATAAAAAACATGATTTAACCAGGGCACCATATATTACAGAGACTTTTATGCTGATTGGCTGACAGTTATTGAGCTGCCGGTACCAGCAAGGTCAAACACACACACAGGCACAAAAACTGAGCAGCGAGCTGAAGGATGGATGGATGAAATGACACAAATGAAAAGTGAGAAACAGAAATGACTAGAGATGAAGGAGCTCTGAAAGACAGGGAGAAAATCACAGCATAGCAGCAGTGACAAGGTGACGAAGCCTTCAGCTGCTGAACACAGAGATCCACGAGACATCTAGCACAGCTTCAGTTACACCAGTTAAAAACAGGCTTCTTGCTCTCTTAATGGGAGGCCAAAAGTTTTGGAGGCTGGAGCTGCTTTTGTGTACAAAAGCAGACAAAATTTTATCTAAATTCTGCCACGACAATTTCCTGGTAACATCCTAAAAATTTTCACAAGAAGTTACCTGTCAAAGATGAAGTGAAGAAAACGCACAACTGGCCAGTGATCTGGCATGTTGAACTATATATCAAGTTACAGTAGGGGTGTCCGATATTGTAGCCTTCAATATTGGCTGATACCGATATTGATCCGATATTAGCGCAAACTTGTGCATGACAAGATATTTACTCAGCTGCAACGTCGTTTTCGGACTTAAATGAGAAATACTGCTACAGGGCCGACCTCACTCCTACTCCATGCTACTTTGTTAGTACCTTAGTACACATTGATGTAATGATCATGTGGGCTCTGCTTGCTGGATATGGGTGCTGCAAGATAGAGGTGCTGGATTGGAGTCTAGAATGGACTGATTGTATCAGAGTGCTGATGTTGGAGATTTTAGATTTTTTGCTGATATAATCCGATATTCGATTTTTTTAAGATATAAGACCAATATCGAATATCAATATCTTGTCGGGACACAGCTAAGTTACAGTGTGATTGGTTTGATCTTCATAGACACTTCAGACTCTTCTTTGCTCACCAGTATGTTATCTTTAATTCATTAATACATGCTGTGAATTACAAGTAAGATTGACTGCATACATATAAAGTCAAAAAACTGTCACCATAGTGTGATACTCGCCAGCTATCCTGGATACCATGGTTTGTTCATGTGAGTATGAATCTCTAAAAAAAATTCGGCATGTCTATCCTGATATTTCTAGAAATTTTCCAGGTCAAAAAGTCGTGTGTATATGTCCTGTGAACAGAGGCTCTTTTACCAAGAGATTTGATTCCTGCCTGTGGCCCCTTTTCCCCCGTGTCACTCATGCTTTCTTTCCTCGTATTCTGCTTTATTTGTCTTCTTCAAATAAGGTGAGAAAAAGCCCCAAAAATTACTGGAGAAAATAATTTTGAACTTCTTGGGCAAAAATCATATCATGTAAGCCCAGAGTCTGCCTTTTTTCCCCAGACAAAGCAGAACATACTGTATTACCCAAAGGACGAGCTGGAGGTGCAGGTGTTACAGTCAGTGGACTGAGGTGTTCCAGGAATGATGGCTTGAGTCTGACCCTGAACATCATGTTAAATATAAACCTGCGGACAATCTTTCTGTTCTGCTCACAGTCACAGCTCCCTCTTTTCTCTCATTCAGCAACTCACTTATTTTGCACTAGATGACGCAAGTTCAAGCAAAAGGCACAAGACATTCAGGCACCTGAGAACGGAACTAGAGCTTTTCTAAGATTTGTAATTTCTCTGTTTGAAATGAGAGATGAGACAAAAATCTGCAGATGACAGGTGAACAATCCAGACATTCAGGAAAAAAAAAAAAAAAAACATTTCAGAGTTGCAAGAAATAAACAGTACATTATTGTATTTGTTCAGCCCTCACCAGTCACTGTCCCGCAGCTTTATTGGAGCTGTATTTGTAACATCACTGCTGCTGCTGCTCCACATAATTTATGAACCACAGGGAGGATTATTGTGAAGCAGCTACAGGAAATGAGCAATTTTCAGGTCATCAGGGCTTTGTGTGATATTGCTCCCTCATGACTACCAGAGCACACTGTAGTGTCCAAATGAGCACTTTACAGCAGAGTGTGGAACTATTCTCAACATGACGCACAACCAAACAAAAACAGTCATGTGATGGCACTATTAGTCGTGCATCACACATTATGGATGCAAATTTACAATTGGGCAATAAACTATTAGTCATATAATCCCCACAGAGGGAAAAATGGAGGGTCTGATTAATAGAATAGTTGCAGTTTTTGCACCTAGTAGACGTGTTCAGATGAGAAAAATCCTCAGGAGTTTTAAGGTAATGAGATTTTTGGGTGTACAGCAGACACACTGTAGCTATCAGTGAGGAGGCTGGAGATCTCTTTTCCTCTTGACCAAATGACAGGCTCAGTAAGCATTTCCAGCCATCATCCATGGGCTTCAAAACTCTGCATCCGAAACAAATAGCCTCACCGGGGCTACATCCATGTTTTATAAAGTCTGTGGGTGAGACATGACCCCATCCTGACGTTATTTCAGTGCCTGTATCTGCTGCAGACAGGTGGGTGTCTGACTTCAAGTGTCTCTGTGACATTTTTCCATTTTAAAGGTTCGCAGTGAGCGCTTTGTAGACTGACAGGAATATTTTCGCTCAGAAAACTGCACATGCAGAACAACAAAGAGGCATGACTCACCTCACTACAGGGGCCATGTGTTAAATTGGTCAAGAGGTGGCTGATTGTGAGGCACTTTTGTCCAACACAGACACACTTTTCCTTATGTCTGAATCTGTTGTGCGACAGAAATGAGATTGAAAATACTTTTATCCAGCTGTGCAGCCTTGTTAGGGTCCAAGCCTCTTATCACTTAGCTGTAAAATCTGTGAAACAACTTTGCTAAACACTGTTAAAAAGTGTCAGCTCCCCTGTAAGCTCTTCATCTGTGCCTGGACAGATTTGAGCTCCATGAGGCGGATGATGTTCAGGGCTGCTCTGCACAGCTCCGAGGGGAGATGCTGACAGCTCATCTACAATTGAGACACAACACAAGAGCAAACTGCGTGAAGCAGCAAAACTCACTGAGCTTGAATGTCATTGGAGGACGATGCGTCATGAGTTGGACTTTAGGATGAAGGAGGAGGCAGGGGTACATGATGCACAATTCTGAAACGGTTTAATACGTGGAAAGCAGTGAATGAGTAAGATATGAAAAGAACAAAAATATATGCTAGAGATTTGTGCAATTCTGGGCGCTCCTTAATGACCCAACAGAGACAGTGCTGTCGATATTCTTTTTTTGCAGTCAAGATTATATAATTATGACTTTTGAAAACGGTTTATGACTTTTGAAGACACTACATTAACATTTCGAGAAAACCCATCAAAGGAGAGGCAGCGGAGACTAAAATATCTTTGTCACCAAGTTCAGCAAAGTAAAACTGAGTGTGATCAAACGTGTCAGACGGAACAGACAGAGCGAAACAAAACAAAAGAAAGAACACCTCTTGAGCTCTCTTTCCCTCTTGCTCTCTCTCTCTCTATTTCTGTCTGTCTTACATCACATAAAAACAACCCCTCTGGAGCTTCTTTCAGTCTGCTCGCCGTTCATGAACTATACACACATCTTTTCTCTGCAATTTTCTCAGAATATTATTATGAAGATGGTTATTCTCCCAGACAGCTTCCTGTGAATTCATACACAGTGTTTTCTGAGGTCACGGATACAACAGAGCAATTGGCTTAATCCTTTAAAAATTCAGTTACAGATTTGTCATAATTAGGCATAATCTCAGTAAGTTTGAAACACTGGTGCTTTCCATCCTGATTGTAACTTCAGCAGGGGTGTGTCCAGAAAGCACGCCAGGGTAGGTCTAGACCCCCTTGAAATCTGATTAGCCACCCTAGATGCCAACCTACAATCTTAAAGGGATATTCCGGCGTAAATTAGGTTAGGGTCAAACACACCGTAACACCGAGTTAGACACCCCCTGAATGTTGAGATGAATGTTGCCGACCGCTTGCTTTTCTAGTTATACCAACTTTAGTAACGACCGCATGATAGCAATACACAGTGATCTGAGGAGCCATAAACAATCATAAATGTTCAATCATTTCGTCATGGAAATGTAATCAGACCGAGACGCAAAGGCAGAAGAACTACCACGTTTGTAGTGCAAAATCATTATTATGATGATTATTACTTCAAGGAAATGATAAAGAAATAATCATAAATGTTCTTCCTTGAGCTGCGTCACGCTGCTGCGGTCCATAATGGACTGGCCCGAGGTCTCACTACAAACAAGCGGCTGCTGGAAGAGAGTAGGTGAGTTGTGTTTAGTCTCTTTGCTAAAGAAATTAGGCAAAGCTAAAAAGATGTTTGGTGGCTAGTGCTGTGGCTGGGACCCTTTATGTACTGTTGATGAAGTTAGGTGCTGTTCTGAGCATTATTTGTGGCTATAGAGTGGTGTTTTTGTTGAGGTTTGTTTATGGCTCCTCAGACCACTGTGTGTTGCTATCCTGTGGTCGTTACTAAAGTTGGTATAACTTGAGAAGGAAGCGGTCAGCAACATTCATCTCTCAAGTCGGTGTTACGGTGCTTTCGACCCTAAATTAATTTATGCCGGAATATCCCTTTAAAATATGATCGGATATTTGCCTTGTTAGGGGTGGGGCTTGATAGCTTGGGCCCCCGTGGTTGTAACGCAATCGTTTCAAAGTTGCCAAGGTTACAATATTGGCAAATCAGAGGCATGGCTGACTTGACTGATATATCCATAATTGAGTTTTGAAACACCTACTCTGTTGCCTGTAGCAGTAGGAGGCCTTTCTTATCTGCTGGGGACAGTTCCTGTAGTGTGAAATGTGACGTAAAAACTATGACTTGAGCAACCCATTTTAGAAAAAGTCCAAACACACTCCTGGACGTCACACCAGAACAGATAAACAATGTGAACCATGACAGCTTGGCTTTGTCTTTGCAGCTTCAGCGCTGGCTTAAAAAAAAGCTTTTATCTCCACAAGCAATTGAGGGACATGCCATGTGGTGGCACAACGCACCGCGGTTCAATCACACATCAGACCTTTTAATTCCTATCTTTTTCTGCATCCCCTTTCTCTCCTCCCTGCATTATTCATCCAGTATGGCTGCTGTCACGCTTCCTCTCCCTGACTCTCCCTCAATGACACACTGGACTACATGAACGAACAAACACAACAGGCCGTGGATCCCTCAAGGACACACACACAGAAACACAACCACTTAGAGCACTTCCGTAACCTGATAGTGTCAGACAGAATGAGTCAGCTGACAGAGCGGCTGCGTGTGTGAGCATGCGTGAGTGTGTGTACCTTAGCTGTGAGGCTGTTTCTGCACATTGGAGTGAGATATAGGTGTGTACAAGAGTGTGTTATACCGTCTTGGGGCAGTGGACGTATCGTGCCAGGCTGATAATCAGGTCATGTGTGATAGGGTCCACCAGGTTTCTGAAGCTGGCGTAGCGATACAGCACGTCATCCAGAGATGTCGACTCCATGCCCAGATCCTGCACACACACAGAGACACACAGACACATTGAATAAGAACACAATATCCTGACTTACACAAGTGTACAGACAGTCCCTATAGTAAGAGGAACGCCCGCTCTAGTTATATAACACACTTTACTCACACAGCAGAAACTGAATGTAGCCTTACAAAACCACGAAAAGAGGAAAATTTAAACACAGCTAGCACAGAATCCAACCTATGAGAAGAAATATAGAAAATAAATTACTATTCACACATGTAGATCACATTTTCCCCCTATATAATTATTGACTCTCCTCATTGTCACATAAAAGATGCCCTGATTGGCTTTAAAAAAGACAACTTCCCCTGTTGATGAGTTTAAACAATGATTACCGGTCAGTAGCATCATCCTGCATGTTATTTATGCTGTGAATAAATGGAAAATCCTCTGCAAAGGGAAGGAATGTGCCATCCATCATCCTTTCTATCTCTGCTGCAGCCACCCGGATGTGGCAGGTAAACAAAGAGACAAAAAATGGCGAAGGCTGATGGCATTTTGCTGGTTGTCATGGCCCATTGATAATCTGTTGGATGAGGAAGAGTGAAGGTCTTCAACCAGCTGCTTTGCTTTGGGAACATGTTCTGGGTTTCTTCCATAAAAAGCCACGTGATCATCTTTAATCGACAGTTTACTTTCACCTGTACCATAACAGAGAGCCTGTTTTCACAGCCTATGTTGTAGATGAAAATTTCATCACATGATTTTGTTATTGTGTTGCAATGTAGTGACTATTAATGGTCCTCAAGCTAAATCAGACATGCATGCAACCTCTGATTGGCCTTAAGCCAACAAGCATACATAAATCCGGTATAAAAAATAGTAAAGCACATACACTGTGCTTGTGAGAGAGACAGTTAACTTCATTTCCATCTTTGTCAAGAGCTGCACCGTGCAGCACTGATCAGAATGATGGTTAAACCAGGTAGTCCTGCTCATAAAGCCTGATATCTTTGTTTTTTTCAATCTCATTATCCACACTTAAGTGACAAACAACCAATAAAAACCAGCAGTTCAACTCTGCCTGAACTGCAGAGTATTTATTTGTTTACTAGCCAACTCTGAACACAAACCTATGTGCCTTACTTGCAGCGACTGAGTTGCACTGATGAAAGAACATCACGTTCCCATGCACAAACTGAAGAAGTGAGGGCATGCATCGGTCCATGCAATGACAACGCTGTGTGCTGGTTTAACATGGTTTTGCACTTCAATGTGCCTGTGGCAGATACTGTATGTGACCAAAATATGAAACAAAATTTATAACAAATCTTTTGAGCAAAAGCAGAAAAAGATATTTTGATTGCAGCTCCAAATGTCCCACTTAATATCCTGGTATGCAAATCTGGCCTGGCTGAAAACAGCCCTGCTGCAGAATAATTACCACCTTATCATAATATTTTGTCACATTTTACATACCTCTACATTGCTGTTGGTCCATTAATGGGAGTAAAGGCAGTCATTTGCAGCTATTAGGCTAAATAGGGGCAATCAGGCATGAGAATCAGCACTATAACAAACAACACTCCATTAAATAAACAGCTTTTCACTGAACGGCCAAATGAGTGAAAAAGTCATTCCTGTAACATTACTTCACTTTGGACATTATGCTCCCCTAGTTATGATGGACTTTATGTCTGCATGTGACAACCAATGACACAAATTACAAAACAAACTTGCTGGTTTCTCTGTACAGTCAGTTTGCATCACAATTTAAAACACAACTTTTACAGAGCAAGTGTAAAAAGTCACGGGAGTGTTTCACCCTCTATGCTGCACAGAGAAGAGCTGCCTGCTAATTCATGAAGCTCATCATAGGTAATGATGATCAATCGTAATCAATATTAAAAAGACAAGGTTCACTGGCAGGTCTCTTTCAAACAGAAGGTGTGTAAATCATCTAAACTTTTCAGTTCAAAGTTAGAGCCACGCTGAGGGATTTTTCTCCCACTGACATTTTCTGCCCTTCACCTCAGAACCTCTCTCCGGGAGCACCGCCTTCTTCTCTCTCATCCTCATCTCTGTTACGCTTTCCTTGTGGGTGACTTTTTACCATTCAACTGGTGTGAAACCAGATGATCAACATGTAACACGAAGAATTAAAACTCTGAGGTTGACAGTCAAGATGTCTGCACATCAAGCCTACAATGTTATGAATTCAAAAACTGTCACTATAGCGCAGATCTCTGCTGCTTCATCTGTTGTCATGTTGTTGATGTTGTACTGTGGCTTTCTGAGTATGTTTTCATGTTATCAACTTCTCCTGGGACCTTCTCCTGCCTCCACTGGTCCAACAGGGAAGACTAAACACTTTGAGGGCTAAATGTGAATAAATGCTTTTGGAAAATTTTGGGAGAGGTGCAGAGTATTAAGAAAAAAGCATTAAGACATCAGGAATAAAGTCATTATTTTAAAAGACTAAAGCCATTATGTTACAAGTCATTGTGTTACGAGAAATAAGTCGTTAAATATGCAGACAATTTACAGGACACTCCACGTTCCTCATTTTGGTTGGCTGCTCACCAAACAACAACTACAATTCCATTTCTGCTTAAAACTCCTGTCTGGAGTTTTTTGACATTAATGAAATAGGCTGAAATTAATATAAATGCCTATTCATTAACTTCATTCTACCCAAAAGCAAACAAGACCATGAGAGTCACATTTTAGTTTTTAATGGCCAAAACCAGTGTAAGGGAGGAGGTGTCGGCCTTCTAGGCAAAGAGACAGCGCTGTTTTTACAATGTCCACATAAAATGTTTAAAATAAAGGACACATTAGACCATCAAAAATCAACAGAACAAGATTTTGTGTCAAACATCAGCACTTAAGATGGCAGGAAAAGATTGCTTTGTCTATCGGAGGCACCAAAACAGACACAAACCAAAAGTTCCTTCCTTAGCGTTAATTCTCAAAACATAACTTTATTCTCATAATATTCGACTTTATTTTACAATTTTTTTTCCCCATTGCATGATGTCTGTATTCTAAAAAAAAAAAAAGTGAACCTATTTGAAAAGAAAATTTAAAGCTCCTGTGATGGACTGTGTTGTCTGTGTCGACTTCAGTGCCCCTTGTGGACAAAGTGGTAACTCTTAATGCTGCTGATTTTGACTGACTCACCATGAATATCTTAATGTGGGTCAAATAACTGAGACGGTTTCCTCAGCGTACCTACCCCCTTACATCAGTTTCAGGCATCCAAAATTATGCACAGACATTGTCCATCTTTTTGTTAATAGTCTCACTTTCTGTTGTATACCATAGAGATGCTAAACTGTTCATTTCAGTCTGTTTCATAACCAATCAGAAACTCCTCACAGGAGCTTTAACATGGCTCTTATACCATGAGTTTTCAGGGGTGTATTCGTAAAACAGTCTAGACAAGAGAGACAATGGAGTGAACAAAAAGAGTTTCTTTCGGTTTCGTTTATCTCTTTTACTCCAGCAGCGTCTGTAACTGTGACTGCGGTGTCTTTAATAATGCACCTGAGAGTGCTGGGAGCTACGCCATGGCTGTCTTTTATGATGTGCACAAATAGGCAGAACAGACAAAAAAAAATGCCCTCAGAGAACTAGTGATCCTGTCTTTTATTTAAATGATCGATCAGCTTTTAAAATCGTGCTGACAGCCCTGTTCATCACATACACTACATTTTTTATGAAGAGGACAAAGGCTGAAAACCATTCGAGCACACAGATATGCACACACACACTCCTACTCTCTGGTGTGTGTGAGGCTTTCACGTTCTCCATGCTGCTCTAAGTAAACCATCCGAACCTTAAAACATCAAATTAGAGCCTGTTGCATGGCGCTCTGCTACATGACAGTCCAGCTGCTGGAGAAGGGAATCAAAATCAAAATTTGTCACATCACTCGATCCATCAAAGGCGGCTATGCATAAACCTGTTGGCAGCTTCCCGCATGACGAGCAGTCCGGTTAAATCTTAAAGAGTCAACATAACTGAAAGCACCGCTTCAGACAGGAGAGGATTAGACCACAGCCGCTTTAGAGGAATGTCACAGAGATGCAGCTTCAGACTCAAAGCTGAGTCAACACTGAGCTGAGTGAGAATATTCAGATTTATGTTTTTTTGTTGGGGGGGGGGGATACAATTTAAGGCCAAATGCATCAGTAAATCCCCCTGAAGGCACAGCAGCATGACACAGACACTGTGATATGAAGGTGATCTTAAAGTCGGGTTTTCAGCAACATTTAAAGTTGGCCCTGAGTGTGGGAGTAAAATAAAGGTCACAGGTTCCCTCGGTGCTCTTTTAATGGCAATCTGCCAATTAGATTATGAGAGAAGCTGGTACGAGCTCTTAGCTTCTGCAGAGTGCAAAATGGAGACTAAGCTTCCAGGTGAGGTGTGAAAAGTGGTCAGAAAAAGACTTGGCAATGCGCCTCATAGATGAAGACATTAACATAGATCTTGTTTGAATCAGCTGAGGAGAAGAGACATTTATTTATCTGGACTCCAAATTTAAACGTTCACTGAGGGTTCCCTGAGTGACATTAAACATCTTCCTCTAAAAGTGTTTTTACATTATGGACACTTAGAAAATGCTAAACTGCCTTGGTTTCATAGTTTCAGGGCCTTCATCCAGTCACTCCAGCCTACATCCAGTTTTCGTTGTTGGCAGCATCCACTGTACCTCTAACTTACAGCGCCTCTCACTGGCGCTCATTGTTGCTAGGCTACAAAAGTTATCCCGCAGCTCTTCCACATCTTAGAGTATTGACTGTCAGGTCTGTTTTGAAAAGCCCACTGTGCTTCATATTTACTTTTATACAGCAGCATCTGTCAAAGATAATGTTGAAAAGCACTAGACCTCAAAATAGTCATTTTTATTCCTTCCTATTTTACGCTTCCTGTTTTTTTGACACTCTCCTCGTCTTACCTCACTGACTTCCTACCCTTCCCTCCTTCCATGCCGGTTCATTTCAATACCTTTGCGTGAGTATTTGACCTCCTGCGTACCAAACCTTGGCTTTCATGAAGTGAACATTGGCCTCTTGCTCTATGTACCTGAGGGCATTTTTGTGAAAACACAAAACACTGCAATAATTTCGTAGAAACACGTGCTGTCCGTGCAAAGAAAGGGAGTTTATGGAAACAGGCCCTTAACCTTTTATGGTAGGAGGAGAAATCTAACATAAAATGTCAGATTTTTTTTTTCATTTTTGAACTGTGGAAACACTAAACTAGCACACAACTGTGTTCATTGTTGCTACTTGCTTTTCTCTTGCCTTTCTGCAGAGCCCACATTGGTCAACAGAGCGTCTATCATGAGGTCCCATCATCTCTTTCAAAAATCAAATAACGTATTAAAACCTGAAATTTTAGAAAAGGGAATAAAAGCATACATTTGCATGCTTAGAGCTAACTTTAATACAAAGTTCAAGAGATGATGTGGTTTTTAATTTCATAGTTTTGCTGTTGATGGTTACAGATCCTTATTGCACCAGGTTGGTAAAAGTTTTCATTAAAGCTCCTGTAAGGAACTTTCGGCTTGCGGTGACTTTGGCGCACCCTAGGGAGACTGCTCTCCTTGCTTACCTTGTCCCCTACATGCTTTAACTGTGTCTTCTGACAAAAAATATCACTGTGCTAACTCTTGACAGCTAAACATATCTTTTATTGTAGATAACAAACCGTTAAGTGTAAAAACAGGGCTGTTTCTTCAGGTGCTTGTCTGTCCCCCTACCCACTTGCATAAGTTGTTGTGAATGATCTTGTTTGCTGTAGAGTATCACAGAAAGGCATCAATATGAATCTCAGTCTATTCCACAGACATTAAAAAAAACCTCTTCACTGGAGCTTTGGGTTTGACCCGAGCCTTCTTCATGTGGACACCTGAAGAACTGCAGTTTTACCCTCCTCCAACATTCAGTCATTCCTAGCTCCCAATGACTAAGATATGACAGAATTCAAACTCTAAATTAAAAAATAGGCAAAACAAACAAGTTCATGACGTCCTTATGAACATGACTTTGTCTTTCATATGTAAATGATAAATACAAACACACACCTGGATAGTACATCCTCCTGTAAAAGGACATCAATTCAGATGGTAGGTACCCTAGGGCAGTCTGCTCCTGCAAACAATACGTAATGGGTTTGCCTTTGTGTCAACACTGTTTGTGCTGATAATACCAGTGAGCTTGAATCACATTCTGGGAAAATGCTTTTTTAGTCCACAGGTAAGTGCAGGCTCATAGTGGCCATAGATATGATTTTGTGTGTCTAGAGTGACTATGTTTAGAGACAGAGAGAGGGAAAAAGGAGAGGGGGGGGGGGGGGTGATGCACGGTCTGCTACAGAAAGGTATGACTCACTGAGGTTTCCAGGCCGCCTTTTGTTTTGCATGGGCAGATTAGTGGCTGATTGGCACACAGGCTCTCAGCTGCTGTATTTTCAGATAGGAGTGACTTAAATACCAACATAGCAGCTGACAAACCTATGATTGGTGAATCAACAGGTGCATGTTGTGATGAACAGGATGCACAGACTCCCACAGTTTCCAGCTGACATCACTCAATCACAGGATGCATTAAGGGTGTTTCATTTTTTGATGCTGTCAAGAAAACCGATCCGACATGTCTCCTTTGATCACTGTTCTTTGACCTAGATCGGAAACTTCATGGGAAGAGGAAAAATATGAAGGATAGCCGTAAACCAGTCAGGGAGGACAGGCACAGAGCTGAGGGATGTTATTAATCCTTGAATTCTTGAGTCTGCCGGTGCATACATCAGAATTTTTGTTTGCTGTGATGTCATTTCTCTGAAGATATTTCAAGACCGTAACTCCCTTGAATCTGTTCAGCTAAAAATAAAAGGTTATGAGAGTTAATATAACTCTGATATTACATAACAAAGTAAGAATCAGGTCAAAAACAAGAAACAACAACAAAAACTAGTTTATATTTTTATCTGATTTTACCAAGTAAATGACAAATCGTGTCAATCAAAACCAACAGTAACTTAATAACCTTAAAGGCTCCTTAGGCTCTATTGACTGTTTTTATTATGGTTGTGTGTTTGTGATAAAATTTTGGAGCATGACACACCTCTCTGGTCATCTAAAAAGTGAGCTGCATCCCTCTCACTGGTGCAACCAATATACTCATATACACAGAGTAATTCTTAATAATGTGACAGTATTTACATCAGCCTTATTTGCATGTGGTTAGTGTTACCTGGGGATCTCCTGCATGGAGGGCATCTGCATTTATAAACCTGATATTGACGGTTGCCCCCCCTTTAGTTGGCACTAACATGCTGTCACATAGCAAGGGATCCTATTCATTACGTTACTTAGTTAGTTGTGTTTTATCTTAAGTTACCACTCAGTCAAAAACACACTATAAACTCTGAAGGAAATGCAGTTGCAGAAAAAGTTAACTGGAATCCACCCAAAGATCCAGATGCGTAAGAATGATTAGACTCATGTCATGCTTTGCAGCGTGGGGTTGGAAATATTTTCTGTACTTTAAATGGATATATCGCCTTTGTAAACAATGTCGCCTACAAAACAGGTGGTGCACCATTCATTGTTGCTTGGCAACCAAATCACTTGTGCATATGGAAATCAGTATTTCTAAATCTATATGACATGTACTTAATAACTTTCTACAGTCTGTCCTCAGGCTTCTTATGCACATGCTCTCTGAAAGTTTACAGGATGTAAATGTCTAGATGACTGAATTTAATCGATTTCCAGCCACCTGTAGCTAAAGGCTGCTGTAGAGAGGTGTGCTGCCCTAAAAGACAACATGGCTGCCATTCAGCACCTCAACATTTTCAACCAGTGATGCTGGGAAACTTGAGTAAATTACAGGCTTTACATATCCCACTGATCATTGACGTCAAAAGGTGATTCACTCCTTAAACTAACCCCATGTGAGTGGTGCTGCTTCACCAGCTGCAAAGAAGACTATAATTCTGTTCAGATGTGAATCAAGAATATTTTTCAAAACTCTACTTATTGTATTTGTCTAACTACAATAACACCAAATCCACTCACTTGATACTGCTATTAGATGGCGACACAAAGAAATTGTTCACCAAATCTTACAGAAGGTAGCAGCAGGTTATGCGTTTCCCCCCCCTTTTACAGCCTCATGTTTAGCCAGGCTAACTGGCTCCTAATTTCTGCAAGCAGTTAATCAGCAGGTCCTATCAAAATCCTCATTTAAGTGTCAGCGACAGCCAGTAACCTTTTCCTAAAATGTCAAGCTTTCACCTCAAAGAACCCAGGAGCATTCACATCTGCAACCTTTATGAACCACCACAGTTTCCTTTTCTTCACTGCAAAATGTTCAGTTTGACAAGAGACAAAAGTGCAATGTTTTGATGCTTTTTGCAAACCAGGTTCTTCTCAAAAAGTGTGAGTCTATGAGGATGAGTGAGAGGACAAGCCAGTCATATTATCCTTGTAATATGAAAATTAATTCATAATATCTGCATTAGACAGGAGGCAACACTGCGCTGCTCTCCTTATAGATCTGTTGAAAGCTTTTGACACAGTCGATCACTTCTTACTATTAAAAAAGCTATCCAGTATTGATTTGGATGAAGGTTCACATGCATGGTTTCAGGGTTATTTGTTTGAGAGATCTCAGTGTGTTAAAATAGGTCAAGCTAAATCAGATTTTTATTGATAGATAGAGGAGTGCCACAGGGTTCAGTTTTGGGGCCCTTGCTTTTCACTGTTTATATCAATGACATTGTCGCTAATCTGCAAAATTGTCATGTACATCATTATGCAGATGATGTTATTGTTTATTGTGTCGCAGATACTGTACAATCTGCCACTGATAACCTGCAACTTGCTTTGAACACTCTACAAGAGTCTCTTATTAACCTTAAACTGGTACTAAATGTAAGCAAGACAAAATTCATGCTTTTCTCCAGGGCTAGGAATGTTACATCTGAAAACATAAAGAAATCTACTTCCAATGGATCAAGAATTAAGAGTCACTAACTTTAAATATCTTGGGATACGGCTTAATGAGGAATTCACATTCAAACATATAAGTACTCTTGTCACCCAGTTACGTCAGAGAATTGGTTTTCTTTACAGAAACAGCATGTTTTTCCACTGTCATTTCATAAAAAAAATCGTGGAGGTCATGTTCCTGTCTGTCCTGGACTATGGTGATATAATATACAGACATGCTGGAGTTTCAACTCTCAAGCCTCTGGACTCAGTTTTCTACTCTGCTCTCCCATTCATAACTGGTTATAGGTACAAAACTCATCATTGCATCCTCTATGAGAAAGTTGGGTGGCCATCACTTGATCAGAGAAGGAATAAACATTGGTTTCTGTATATTTTCAAAGCCCTTACAAACAGGCTACCACCCTACCTCACAAACCTGTTAAAGTTCTATGATTGCTCCTACATGACTCGTTCTTCTGGTTCACTAACTCTGAAAGTTCCTCGAGTCTACACTGAACTCGGTAAATTGGCATTTTCATTCGATGCCCTTCACTCATGGAATTTACTCCAACAATCTCTAAAGATGACAGCCTTTCCCTCTCTTACAGAGTTTAAGACTTTAATTATTGACCATTGCTCCTCTGTTTGTAACTGTTTTCATTAATTCCTTTGCTGTTGTGATTGTTTGATTGATTGTTTGATTCTGTGATCATATGAGGTCTGTGCTCTCGACGACATTGAAAATGAGGGAAACCTCAATGTCCTTTCAAGAATAAATAAAGGTTTGAATGAATTATCAATCTGCTGGATTGTTCTTCCCAAATGAAACCAGTGAAAACCCAACAACAATGCTATTACAGAAGGTGCGTGCATGTTTGCTGAAGTCTGCAGTGAGATCAACAGACGGTGAAACTCAATGAAAGGGAGGATATAGTGTGAACGCACACAGAGTCCCAGTAAACAGTCTGGGCTCGTCTTTCATTAGAAGCTCCTCTCTCATTAGTGGAGGTCAAGATCAAAGCGGGGTCTGACGGTGGCAAAGCACATAGATATGAGGCTCAGACACAAGCGTGAAGGTTAAAGTGCTGCTGTTTGGTAAATACGTAAGACATAAAAATATGAAGCTCACCGTAGCTAGAGATCACATACAGAGAAAAGTACAGTGGTCCTTAAGTTTTAAAACACAGCAGCCCTAACCCTAACCCTGTGGTCTTATTTCTCTTATCATGTGACGTGACAAGCAGTTTTGTGAATTGTCTCTCTCTTTTTTGGGATGTAGTGTTTTCTGAAAGTTTAATCTTTGTTTTTCTATAATTGTGTGTCAAATGTTTTTATGTTAATGATTAATTTGAAACGTTGTATTGAAATCTACAAATTGCACTGTCAAAAGGCAAAACTGGTGAAATCAAAGAAGGTGCTGCAGACATACACAGAAAACACCCAAGAGGAGCTCTTTTGGTAAAAAAGGGAGAAAATATGTGGCTCACCTTTTCTCGAGATCATATCCAGAGAAAAGGACAGTAGCCCTGAAGTTTTAAAACATAAAAGTTATGTCTTACTATGTAGTGTGGTAAAATGTTTCATTAAATGTCTTGCAGTGTGGTCTGAAATTAATGAGGTAAATCTCTGCGTTTTTAAAATGTTGTTTTCCATTCAAGTTGTTCATTGGAAATTGTCAAACGGTGAAGGGTAAACTGGTGAAACACACAAAGAGAACTACGAACACAACAGCAAACACAAACACTCAAGTGTTTAAAACTAGAGAAAAAATATATAGGCTCTTCTTTAACTAGAAAACCTGCTCATGGTGAAGTGCAGTGGCCCTGACCATGACACTACAACATCTGTGTCCGTGAGATCTTGCCTTCTAAAGGCTGTGTGACATAATTGAGATGCAGTTTTTAACATTCAGTGTTCACACCAAAACTAAAGCATGTTTTTAAACTATGTGGCACCAAAGTCTTTGTCGGTTGTGTCACCATGTAACTGCTTAAATAACACAGCTTTGATATTTTCACTTCAGTCTGAACACTATGTCAGTGTCTCGCCATTCTAGCATATGACAGCACTCAAAACTGGAACAACCCTCTTACTCTCTCTGTGTGTCTAAAATGCAGTAGACAGAACTTAAAACGGGAGCTGATGGGACAGACTGTACCGACAGCACTCTGCCGTGATTCATCGTGCAGTCAAACAAGACCGAACCAATCAAAAGCAAAAAAACAACAACAATGCTACTACCAAAGAAAGGCTGGAATATGAAGTACAGTACAGAACTGAACGTATGATGGAGGGCACTTATGAAACACAATTTTTAACGTAACACAGAGCAGTCACGAAACCCATGATTTTCCACAATCATTACACAATCAATGGTTTTCCACCCCCATGATTAGCTCCAAAAAACCTCTGACCTGCTGACTTCAGACCTGGCTCTGCTAACTGAGGCTGTTCATTGGTGTACCTAAGTGAAACATGATTTGCTGTCAACATTGTTTTTGTGTCTGACTTCCTGACTAGTCGATGCAGAAAAAATAAAACAGACAAAGTGAAAATCTCTATGCACTGTGATGGAGCAGGAGGTGCAATTCTGGCCTAAGACTAAGGACAGTGCATAAGAAGCACAGACTGTATAATACATGGTTTTTACAGTACAAAGATTTTTCTAATTTTATGTCATTTTTACATTTCCTTGAACAATGTGAGTTACAACCTCATGAAGCTGTTAAGAGCAGATCACTGAGAGGATCAGATGGATTACATTTGCAGGTTTTCTAAAGGTGCTATTCGTAATCAACCTTACGGGAAAATAATCCAGCTTTGGTTTCCAGTTAATTGGAGAGCGCTGATTGAGAAAGTGGCCTTCCCATTAGCTCCTAACAGAGTTCCTGCTTGACTAATCAGTCTGTGTAGTCAGAGCAGTCCAGCCACCGCCACGGTTTCCCAGCAACGTGGAGGAGAACTGGAAAACCAGCAAAAGAGGTGACTTCCTTCACAAATAAACTCTTTTTTACCCTCTCTCTCATTTCTGCATCATTATGCCCCACTCTTTAGGAGCTGAATAAGAGAATTGTCTTGGTAATCACTGTCTTTTTCTGCTCCTCCGTCAGTGTCTGTTGAAAATTTTCCCTCACTTCTGACCTTTTTCCTCTATAATTGTCTTCATCCAATTCATTGTGTGATCTGTCCATCATGTACTATTCTACAAGAGTACATTTCAGCCAGACCATGAAGCCATATGATTACCCGGCTACCAAAGGAGACTCTGAGAGACACTGTTTATTTTGTTAGGGCAGGAATGCAGCCTCAACATCAAACAGGTGCCTTTTGTAAGTCGTACAAGATTGTAACAAGTCACAAGTTAACGGCAGATGGGAGCTGCTTTCCCAAATCTGTTTTAGCTTACTTAGTCTACTAAATGAACAGCTTGGTGGGAGATATGACAGTAAACTAGCTAATGAATCAGCCACAGTTATAAACTGCTAACCCCAGTTCTTCTCCAGTTGAGAAATATGGTCTCTTCTTGAGAAAACCAACATAGCGTATCTAAATGACAGACCTGGTGGTAAACAAACTGCTGAATGACGAGATGATGGCTGCGTCCATTATTCATGTGGCCTTTGGAAAGAAAGAACAGGTTCATCCTGCAGTCTGAAACATGGTTGTATCCCTTCATCTTAGTCTACTCCAGTTGAGGAGCATCACGCTCATTTTCCTTTTCTCTAATCCACAGCTCCACTAACAGCTGAGAAAAAAAAATCCCTCAGAGGTCATGATCTCTGCCTCTACTCGTCACGAAGCTGATCAAAGCTAAGCCATGAGAGCCGCTGTTCACACCCTCACACCTTTTCTTCTGATCAGACCACAGCACAAGAAACCATGCATGTTATTAACATTTGAACCCCTGAAGAAGTCTGTTTTATTTCTCCTGACATCAGGGATGAATTTCTGCATGGGGTTTACCATCTTCTGACTAGTTTTGTATCAATGACAGAGATTATGTGATAATTCCACAAAAATCCTGGTGCTTTAAGTGTTAAATAACACTGTTTAACTCTGTACATCCTTTGTAGATTAGCTGCATCCATAAAACGCAGATTAGTCAATACAACTTGTTTGCTAGCATCAGAACACAGCTAACGTTAGCATTCAGTCACTTTAATACTTCACAATAACTGTGAACAGTGGGGAAAAGTGAAATTTTTACACAAGCATAATTATTTTTACAGCTCACTACTTTAGCAAGAGTAATGTTTATTTTCCGTGGCTATTTTTATTTCAGTGGGCATGACTTCTTTAGCCTCAATCCTGTCGCTATACTTCTTAATAATCAGCTTTTTTAGGGAAACTGTTGGTGCATAAGTAAGTTTCTCATTCTACCATTAAATTACGGTTATATCCCTGTTAAAAGAAGTGAGACCACATGACTTGATTCGATGTGTGACCCTGCGAACTGGATACTTTCAGTCCAATACTTTTAGTCCCTGTATTGAACTTTTGGTATGTGTAAATTTTGGCGCCCCTTGTGGACAAAACAGTGATTGCAGGAACTAATGTCATGTCTTCTGACACTCAAATATACTGTATATTTTGTTGTAATAATCTGGTGTAAAATATAAAAACTGCTTTGTCTACAGCCGCTCCTCTGACACGTACCCTCTCACATAACTTATACGCATTAAATATTACAGTGTAAAACTCGACAATCTTGTCACTAATTGTCTCGTTTGCTTTTGTTTATCATAAAGAAGCTTTAATATGAATTTTAGCCTTTTTCATTGTTGTAAATTAAAACACTCACAAGCAGGAGCCTTAAAGGCATATTCCGGCGTAAAATTAATTTAGGGTAAAACACACTGTAATACCGCGTTAGACACCCCGCTGCTGACCGCTTGCTTCTCTAGTTAAACCATCTTTAGTAACAATTGCAGGATAGCAATACACAGTGGTCTGAGGAGCTATAAACAAACCTCAACCAAAAAGCCACTCTATAGCCACAAATAATGCTCAGAACAGCACCTAACTTCATCAACAGTACATATAGGGTCCTAGCCACAGCACTAGCCACCAAACATCTTTTTAACTTTGCCTAATTTCTTTAAGTGATTTTTATCGTGAAAAAAAAAGGTCTCCAATTGACAGGATTAAATGCTAAACCAAGACACCTACATCACAGCACTGAAGCTGCACTACTACAGCTTTGGTGTGGTGAAAAACTTTAAGCATAGCTATGCACAATTCTATTAATGCAATCTCAAACCAAGTACTATCTCACCTAGAAACTTATTTTGAATGTTTTTTCCCTATAAATTCACAAAACAGGGTCATTGGGTTCAGCTGCAGATTGTGGGACACAGATGAAAAGTCAGACACAATTCTAAACTGCATTGTTTCTCTGGTCTGCCTCCAATTAACCTGAGAAGTGAGACATTATAACAATGTACATGCTTCCCACACCGAGTGTGACGTCACAATAAGTCCTTTAATGGCAGGAGCAATGATCCACTAAGTGCTGACAGAAGATTCGTAGCTTACCACATATCTCTCAGTAGCTGTATCTGGAGCCTTAATGGATGAGGTTTTAAAGAGCAAACAACCCTAAACAAATATGTTACAATGATAAGACAGAGGAAACAACCTGTGGTCTGATATCTTAAGTTGCTTTGGTCAGATGAATTTCCAACAGTGTTGTTTCTCTATCTATGAGAGAAGTATTCTCCAAAAAGTCATGATTAAAGAAAAACGACCTCTAATGTAAACCTTTAGCTTACTCTCCTTCACACATGCAGTCATGAAATTTTAGTTTTAAATTGATTTTAGTTTTTTTACTAGAAGAAGGTCTAAGAAGTGGTCTGATATTTTCAATAAATTCTGAGGAGCGCTGAAATCATGGACCTGTTCAAACATTTCCTCCAGAGTGAGAATTCCTCCCTGTGGACCTAGAGGTGATACATGAGAGCCAGGACATGATATCAAAAGCAAACTGTGAAAGCCACAGTGTAATCTTTACAGTGTGAAGCCACAGAGCCCTGTGGTTCTATGGGAATTTTTTAATCTCTGTGACATCTAGACCGTATGCCTCCCAGGTCTGTTTTTGGATCAAACGAGGTTTAAACTGCGTTCCAGCATGAAGACACCCACTGTGTTCAGCAATGTGCAGTTTTATAAAGCTGTGTAGCTCCTTCTAGTAGAAGTTCAATCTTGGTGTCATGATCAGAAAACCACAAAAAGTGCCTGAAAAATCTGTCAATCACTGGTTTACATCCCTGTTATTGACTGTTTGAAACATGTAGGACATAATAGCTCCTCAAAAGTAAAGACAAAACCCTTGGAGCTCCCCCTGCTGACTGGCTGCTGTATAAGGTCCGTCCCCTCCATGTTATCAGATGGGACATGACCAAACTAACAGTTTCTGTTTTTTGAAGTCCTTTCAGTTGTACGTCTTTCAAATTGCCTTTTTTTTTTAGAGGTTTATATTTAATTGGTGATTTATACTGTAAAAATTGACGTAGCAATGGATAGCCTGGTTTTGACTTTACTTTTGTTCAAAAGGATGCAGAGACGCAGTGTTCATCTTTTTGACAAGGCAGTTCCATTTAACAGGCCAATGATGAAAACTTGATGAATTTATCTAATTTGCATTTATCTGAAACTGAAAGGGAGCACTTCGTCTCAATAGGCTGAAACCAGTTTATCTTCCACATTTACAAATTTACCTCACAAGCTGCTGATATGCCAAACAATCCTCTCCAGCACCTTAAGCTTGATATTTACAACTTGTCTTGAGTCCACTTTTCACCTTGTGTGTATCATTGCTTAGTGGGAATCCTGCTAACCCCTTTCCTGTGTCATGTAAAGAGCGCTTCCCCTCCCCTGAAGTATCACTAATCTTAATCCTCTCGTAATAATGATGGATGGAGAGGTGTCCTCTGTTGGTCAGCATGTGTACACTGTTTGCCACCGTTTGAAGGATTAACTATGTTTATGTGTTTGATGAGGGAGTTGTAAATACTAACAGAACGGAGCGGATATAAATCTCTAAAGCCCAAACAATAAACCCTGGAAGCAGCGGTGTTTCAGTGTGTCTGAGTATGTCGGGCTCTGTGCTCTGAGGTTGAGTCATGGAGGAATGAACAGTCAACACAGGCAGCATATGTATTCTGTGCATCGCTGTTATTGCCTCTATTTTTTGTTCTTTTTCATTTCAGTCAAAGCTACTCTCCATGTTTACTGATCACAGTTTTAAACAGCCTTTCTTTTTTCAGCTCTCCAAATCCCCAATTTGACTAGTACTATGCTCTTTTTCCTGTTTTTCTTCCCTTTCTCACAACAGCAGATTCTTTCAGTCTGCTGGTGTTCAGCTCTTCCTTTTCTCTGCAGCAGCTGCCTGACAGTCGTCCAGATGCTACAAGTGTCTAAAAAGCTACGAGCGAATATAAATGAAAGCGGTCTCAACGCCGTCAAAGTGTTGTGCAGACAACAGGTCCTGCCGACCAGGGGGTCTGGATTAAGTCATACACATGATAAAGATGCTTAGGTATTTGTGCAGTGGTTCTGATAACAACTGTGGATGTGAAAATTGGCCTAATTTGATGAAAACAAACTTCCAGACTCTTTTGTGTTTTGGAAACTGCACGATAGTTTTTTGGTGGCGGGGCTAAGCTCGAGTCAGTAAGTTCAATTGGACTAACAATTTTGGGTCTGAATATGTGAGGTCTCCAGGATAGAGTGGTCCTTGAAAAAGTTTACACTGACAACTGGGACCAGACTGACTGACCCACATACTCTCACTTAGATCAGAGATGTTGAGGAGAACCTGTGACCCCTGACCTAAATAAACACCCACAATCAAACACCGAGCAGTTACCTGTCTGAGGGTCTTGAGCATCTCTGTCGCCTCGTCCTGCTTGCCTTGCTTGGCCATCATCATCATCTCCTGAATCATACCAATACGGCGCTGATAGGGTGGCGGCGGCGTCCCCCCACGGTTCAGCCGGTCCCCTGATTTCAGCATGAGGGAGGCCAGAATGTCTCCTCGCTCCTTGGTCGGCGTCCTCTTCCAGCTGTGCTGTGGGCTTGCTCCTCCAGGCTCCTGGCCTTTGGTCTGTTTGGCCCCCATGGTGCTGCTTTACAGTGAGCTGTGATAATAACAAGACTGGTCCCACTGAGGAGTCCTTCAGAGGAGGTTGGATTAATGTCAGAGACACTAAACTCATTAAAATGTCTGCAGCTGGTCACATCTCACTGAGAAAATGTGATCTGAGACTGAGAAGTTGAGCTCTATGAGCAACAAAACAATTTTCCCCAAACAAAATGTTCATTATCACTCAGAAGAAACAGAGAAGTGAATGCTTGAAGATAGGAAGTGAATGCTTGAAAACACAAAGAGGTGAAATATCCTGTTTTCTGCTTCATGAAGTTGTTTATAATCCCATAGAGTGACGCTCAAGTCGGAAACAGGTCGGAGGATGCTGCCTGCAGCATGGCAGCAAAACACGGACACAGCAAAGTCAGGATGCAGGGTAGAGAGAGTGCAGACTGTGGCCCGCTGCAGCCTCCTATCCCGGACACAACTTCACCACGTCTGCAAAAAAATTCACGCTGACAGGAGCGTCATGTCCCTCCTGAGATCCCTCTTAAAACAGCTGCTTATGTCCTGGACCAGCGGAGGAGAGGGAGGATGGTGGAAGGAGGTGGCGCATGAAGCAGGGCATGGCAATGTTTACGTCTCTTGAAGATAACCGCTCAATGTTTGTTCCTCGGCCGCTGGAAGTCATGCAAAAGCTGCAGCGAGCACCGCCCTCGTCCTTCTTCAAGGATGATCCTCCATCCGCTCCGGAGCAGGGAAATGTCCTCCACGGTGCCTTGGTCTCCGGGGTTGAGTAGAGGCTGCAGTAGCTCCGTGGTTTGACAGATGAAGTGGAGAGACTGAGGGCTAGTCCCGTGCTGGGACTGAATTATGGATTACACCCTCTGTTCAACTGTAAGGGGAGCGCGCGGCGAGTGCACGTTAGCTCGAGTCCTCGCACGGGGTGATGGAGAGAGAGAGAGAGAGAGAGAGAGAGAGAGAGAGAGAGAGAGAGAGAGAGAGAGAGAGAGAGAGAGAGACTGCAGGGTACGAGCAACGCCAAGTTTGCACTTTGCCAGTCCTGACATACTCAACGCTCCACTAAATCTCACAAATAGACGAGTCGGTTTCCAATTGCGTCGCTTTTTGGGGACACAAACAAAAATGATCAAGTCGACTCGTAGTTATTTTAATTTTGCATGACCATGTAGCAAAATAGGCATTTGGCTTATTGTTAAAATACCACTTAGAAAGCTAAATACAATAGGGGAGAGTGGGGTAAGTTTAGCCAAAGGGTAAGTTGAGCCACCCCCTGTTGCTTGGAAATGGTAAAAGAAATTGATCATGTGACCAAATATTTAGGAGATGGACATTAATTCATGAAGTCTGTGAGGGTTAGAAGCACAAGGGTGAAGAGGTTAGAGGTTTATTTAAAAAAAAGAGTTACCCGTGAAAGTGAATTTAGTCTGTCATAAGTTTTATTAGAATTGTGTTCAGACCAAAAAAGATTTTTTTTAATTTGTTTTACACATCAATTGTGGTATCTATGAGCTACAACATGAGGTCAAAAACCGAGCATAAAAGTCCACCATTTTAGCTAAGAGGACTAATAAAGTCATAATAGTAGTTCTGGGGTAACTGAGAAAGTAAAGGAGTCTGATGAGAGGATCAGAGTTTCAGTTCAGATTGTTGAAATGTGTTACTTTTTCTTTTCAAAAATACAGCTGTGAATGTTCTGAATCACTTAAAGGAATTCTCATGTTAAAATGACTTTTTACAAAACAGCTTTTTAGCAGTTATATGCAATAATAATAAAAAGAATTAATGTACCAGATGAATAGCATATATAAGATAAAGATACACATGAATGTGAAGAAGTGATTGTTATTTAGGAAGAGAGAAGGTGAAGGAGGGCTGGGGTGGAGAGTGTGTGTGTGTGTGTGTGTGTGTGGGGGGGGGGGGGGGGGTAGTAGGGATATGGCTCAACTTACCTCATATGCGGGGTAAGTTGACCATAGGAGACCACTTTTTTGCATGCCATATTATCAAGACAGTTATGTTTACACTCATTCTGTTGGTTTGTAGGGATGCACAACATCTTGAAATACATGCAGATACACTAGTTAGAGACAAAACTATGATTGCCTTGATGTAGTGATTCAAAGTATGAAAAAAAGGCTCATCTTACTCCACTCTCCCCTATACAGGCCTATATTATGTATAGGCCTGTATAGGGGAGGCCGGTATATTTCCATTGACACCTTCTGACTCTGTCAAATGATAGACTTGACTCAAAAACATAAAGAAGAAAGGAGTGGAAGAAAATAATGATTGCTGGGCAAGCGCTAAAGACACAAAAATCTGACAATTTAAAATAAGTGATTTATGCAAAAAAAAACTGAGGAAGTCAACTGAAAATGTTGACCTCCTGAGGAGCATAAACCCAGCTGAACAGGAGAGCTCAGCCTCCTTATATAACCTCCAAGCCTCAACTGATTACTACCAGCTGTGGGAGATCACAGGTGTTCTCAATAGCTCCTGATTAACCAGTGAAGCTTGTGGCTTGGAATAGGATCTCTGTCCATAACAATTTTTAAAAGATCAAGGTAAAGGTTTAATGTCTAGTGAAAAAACGAATGAGCAATGATAAAAAAAAGTAGATTAAAATTTACTGATTTGTTAAGAATTACAGGACCTTTTCTGCAAGTTACATGTACATTTGTTCCTCTAAAATATATTGGTAGGAGCCTCCTGGGGTGCAACAATATGTGCCCACAATGCACAAAACATGACCAACCAGCAGGTGGCAGAAGAGGAGCAATGAATAGTTCACCGAGACACGAAGAGAAAAGCATGCAACTTTTTGAAGGTAACAGATCTGAGGGAAATTTTTGAGGCTAGCTGGAGAGGAAGCTCTTAGAAAAAGGAAGAAAATTCAGTGAAGTTGCTGAAAATGATGTCGTTTTCTAGGAGATCTTTGCAGGAGATGCTGAGAGTAAAAGAGCTGGGAGTTTATTACCCAAATATCAAAATTAACAGACATTACACTCAGCTGATTTTAAGGAGCTGGTTTACTAAGAAGACTTGGCTAAAGGCTGGTAGAAATGCTAATGCTTTATTTTGACCTTGCCTTCTTGTTCAGGTCTTTCCAGGAAAGCTAAACAAAAAAGAAAAAAAAAAAGAAAGAAAAGAAAAGAAAATTCAAACTGTCAAGGGTTTACCTGGAAAATGCTGTTGATTCAGTTTACTGACAGATAAATGCATTTTAATTTAGTACACTGCTGTGTTTTGTGCTGTTACGCCTTATATTGAGTATAACGTCAGTCACCTCAGAGAATAATACTCACTTCTAAGCCAGTACCTACCCTGCAGCGTCAAATATTTTAGTCGTCTTACATTTTGTTTCGGTTTCTGCCTTTCCCTCATGACGTTGATGCCTTTTGTGATTGCTTTCTGCTGAACTGCGCAATAAATATAAACTTGCCTTGTCTGTGCCTATAAGTGTGTAAACAAACAAGTCTATTACATATTTATAGGCTGATTTGGATCCAAAACAGCAAAAATGAGCTGTCTATGGTCAATCTTCATACAGACAGAGGAGTGGAACTGCACTGCCCCCTGGTGGTAAAGTTGGGCGAGTCAAACAGTAAACTATGTGAAAGCATGATCCAAAAATGCTGGCGACTTCTCTGAGCCCACGCCCAATTAAAATGATCTGATTCGAAGCATAAAACTGTTTCAAGGTTTAACAAAATAAATTGGAAATCATGGACATCAAGTCCCCTACTCTGAAGAGAGGAGGGTCCACCCAGTGTTTATAGGTGCACAGTTCAGCATCCATTACAAAGGAGTTTACAGTGCCCACTGCATGGATAATTCACAATGAGCAAGATTTGATGTAGCTGGACTCAAAGTTAAAATCTGCATTTCTGATAAGACAGTCAAATCTTTGTTTTATCATCTGATATATTGTCTTAGTACTGTTTTATTTTAAATTTAGGCTTTGTCGTGCTTGATTGTTAAATGTTTACAAAAATAGAAATAATAAATATATATGGAAATTAAAGCCCTTTAACTCAATATTTCTTCAGCTTTGGGGAATTTTTTAGAGCCACATGCAACAAACTTGCACAAGAATTGTCCACATTAATTTTTCAAAAGGAATATTTATTAGTTTTGCCTTTAATTACATCTCTATTTACAGTAGTATTTCAACCATTGTAGTCGCTTCAAATCACTCATCAAAACAGGATGTTAGTTTTCTTTCTTGTGTGACAGAAGAAAGTTTTCCGGCTCAAAACATCACAGAACTTTGAGAAGCCTAGCAGTGAGCCTGAAGAAAAGACACCGGCTATGTTTGTGTGGACATGAGGACTTCATTCTGTACAGCAGGCGGCAGAGAATAAGGTAGACATGATCACACACGTCACACACACACACACACACACACTCCCACAAACATACTCACACACTCCTCTCTCTCCTGTGAGCCACACAGAGCTTTGTTTAATTACTTTATGGTGTGCTGCTTTCATTGTGTCAGGATGATAACTATCCGCTCCCTACCACTTCATCAGCAAAGGAAGGTTGTTTATCTTTTATTTTTGGCTGTTACCACAGTTAAAAACACATAAAAGCTTTACCCTTTTTCAGTTTAATCGTTCACAACATTGAAGTGCAGTGGATCTATCTGAACATATTTTTAGAAGGACTCAAAAGGGAGAACTAGTTTTACGGTCCAAAAGCTAAAGATCCCTACAAAAATGGAGTCAACTGGAACAACATGGTTGAAGCTCCAGAGAGGATTTTTAGCAGGTTCTGAAACTGATATCTCTATATGACCTACAGACACAAAAGAAACAACAAGATGAAAGACTGATGATGTCTTTATGGTTATTTTTTTATGCATGTCACCCCTGCTGCAGGGAAGGTTCATCTTAGAAAAAGTCTCAAGTCCAAGATTCAAAGTGACATACTGATAAATGCTGAAATAAACACAAAAGCGATTCAAAAGCGAAATAAAAGGTACCACTGTGTCCACGAGCGGGGCCAAAACTGACAACCTAAAAGTCCCTCACAGGAGCTTTAAGACAAGCCTGGCTAAGGCTGGGCTCAGACTAAAGGAGTCTTGAAATCCTCACCCAGTCAGGTTGTGTCCAAAACAAGGGGTTTTACCTCACAGATTTTTCCCTTTACTCAAAATAACAGTCCAGGTATTAAAAATAAAAGTTCACTTTCTTCAAAACAGTTACCGTGTCTGAAACAGGGCACAGCACCTTTTTTTCTCGGTGCATCGGGGTTCAAGCTTTCCTAATACTGACACGTCCCCTGATGACACACTGCTACTGTGACTAATGCCTGTGGAGACTGGTCGGTAATAAATCAGTGCTTTTTCACTGACCATTTTAGGTAGAGATACCATTTGATCTCAGAGAAACAGATCCATCCATGTCACTGTGCTTCAATGTTGTAAAACTGTTCAATATGAATCCCTCAGAGTCTCTGATTATTAAACTGTTGTGGTGTAGAATAAGAATTAAAGACAAAACATGACAGAAGGGAGTCCAGGACTGAAGTCCTGTTTCAGAGACTCAGAGGAGAACCACAAGAGGAAGAGAAGAGGAGTTTATAACACAAAGTCTAAGCGATGGCTTCAGAGCAACTGGAGTTGATGCTCTTTTCATGAACTCTGAGCTCTACAGAAGGAACATCCTGCTCAACATTTCAACTACTGGATAAACAACTTGTCCAGTCCCATTTGGCAACTTTGACCTCCTCCCCGCCTCCCGATGTTCTTCCACTTCACTGAGTGTGTCTTTTCAAACCGGACATAACGTGAAGACTGACTGATTGCAGGAGCAAGAGCAAACTGACGATCGATTTATACCCCGTGTGACTGAATCAATGAGCTACTGCTGTCCTGGGCAAGGCGCGCCTGAAAGGAGGTGATGTGGAAATTATTCTATATTGCCTCTGCACAACCTGTCTGATACTAGTCTGAAGCTGAACGCTGGGGCAATGTTACAAAGAGAGGATGACACTAGAGGATCCGGACAGGACCAGGACTCAAAATGTGTCCGGATACTTGCAGGTCGGAGGCGACTACAGACAGTTAGAATGTGTAGCCAGCAGGGGGCGCTTTGTCGTCTTTGTTGCTCTCCAGGGAGAATGGGGGAATGCGAACGTCAAAGTGGGAGCCGTCAGTCCTCTCGATCCGAAACGTTCCCCTAAAAAACACAGAGTAAAACAGAGATACTGTGAGTTGTTTCACTAAACCATAGAAATTAAAAGAGATCTACGAAGAAATGTCGCCAGTAACTATTTGTAATCCCAGTGTGTCCGGTTCTCTGTGATAGAAACTAAAGCAAAGACTCACCACATGTGACCACTGGGAGCTTGTAGAGACACGTGGCTGCTGTACTGAAAGGCTGGCTGCTCTTTGGATAACACCGGCTCCTGTCACAAAGTACAACAACAAGAACAACATGAACACACAACACAGTTTACGCACCTATAAACAGTAATATGGCTGTTAGTTATGGCTGCATTGCATTTATTGATGTGATCGCAGCTGCTCTAGAGTCATTACTAAGACTGCGAGGTGGGCTTGAAAGCTCCTCCGTGAGGTTTGTAATTTATTTCATTAAGTACTGATGCCTTTCATGAGCTACAAAATCTAACAAGGTCATCAGAGCAAATATCGATTCATCTATTTAATATTTTATTCAACAGAAATGAAAGAAAACGACCCTCTTCTGGTTGTTGTATGGTATGACAGAGGGATCTGTGTTTCACTTTTGCTACTGCAGTTCTAGTGTTGCGACCACCTCATTTAGGACAGTCGTGGCCTTGACTGCTGTACTGACCCGGCCTACGACTCCTCGTCCTCTGACCGTCTCCAGAGTTCCTGACAGGCTGAAGATCCTCCAGTGCCTCTCTCTGAGCTGCACCACCTCGTTCCCCATGTTTTCCAGACGGATGCAGTACCTCCACTGTGGAAAAACAACACTCAAACAAGTTATAAGAGCCAGCTAACTGGTACTGAAGCTGTACACAGTCACATGAAATAAACCAGTGCACTTCTTAAAGCAACAAGAAAGTCAGAACATTTCTACTCACCCAATAAACATGAGAGTTCTGAGCCTCCTGTGTGGGAGAAACAACTTCTGTCAGTCTTTAAAATAACTTCAGGACCAAAAAAAGCCAGAGGAAGAGTTTAAGACTGTCAGATCTAAAGATGCTTGAAGAAACTTGTGAAAAACAAAGGCGGCTGCTGATTTACCCTCATGCCCATGTAGAAGGGGATGACAGTGACACGGATGTTCTCCGTGGTTTCCCTGTGGACGTCGGACAGCTCCAGCCAGGGGTGGTTCTTCTCCTGCCATGCCTTCAGGGTGTCTCTGGCTGTGAATGGAGGAGCTACACAGGCAGATAAAACAGACACCGATTTACCAAATACAATGAGGTGAATCTTGAAGTAAACTAGACCGTCTGAATATCACGGTGATGCTGTGGAGGATTATTTACTTTTAGCAGGGTTGTACATGAGGAAGCGCTCAAACAGCTCGTGCTGGATGGGGGCCTGCTCTGTTGAGTTGTAGGGCAGGATGTCTTCATGGCTCACATAGTCCAGACCTGAAGGAAAAACACAGACACACGGTCATACAGGGACAAAACCTCTGAAACCAGCCAAAGCTCACCCTCCATCACTACTTGACAGCTTACACAACACTTCACCTCAGCTAACTTTAGAGGAGCTGCTGAAGACAAACATCTGCTCTGTATAAAATCCACTTTCACAGAAATTAGTCACCAGCTCACCATAAGATAATCCTAAATAAGGTGTTTGTATGAGTGTGGAATTTCACCAATAGTGCTGTTCACATGTTAATCCACATATTCAAACAATTCTAATACGGTGTTTCACACTCAGATCATTAAATACAAGAATTTGGTGCCCATGTAAACATTGTGAGGGGTGTATCAGTCAAGTATGTGTGGCAGCTTACCTGGGATGGCGTACAGAGCTCTGCTGTCATCATGGTTGGCCAGAAACGTCACTGCTTCTGTCTGAGACCTCTGAGACTGTCAAACACAAACAACTGGATGTTAGTTTGTTTTCACACTGACATGGTTTAATTACACAGCAGTGTTAAATACTTAATTCTGATTAGTCAACACTCCAGCAGCACATTGTTACTGAGGGATCGTCTCTAATCACAAAAGTAAGAAAAAAAATCGCAGGTTAGAGAGGAATAACTGAGAGACCAATTCAGATTTCTACTACAAACATCTTCTGATTGTAAATCCTTCTAAAGGGCTCTGATGTTTAATAAAGCTGTAAGTGGAAGTCAGGGTAATGAGTGTTGGTCCTGCAGGAGAGACAGATTCTTACTATGTGGGGGCAGTCCCTGGTGTCAATCAGGACTTGGTAGTAAGTGTGGGTCTTTCCCTTCACCTCCTTGGAGCCGTGAGCTCCGGGTGGCTCTGGTTTGCTAAAGGACAGAAAGTAAGACGTTGGTGAAAGTCTCACCCACACACGACGAGAAGCTGGACAGTCTTAAGATAGGTGTGCACGTTTACCTGTCGGACATAGGAGGGGTGATGTCTCTGTCGTAGAGTCGGGCATGCCAGGGGAACAAAACGATGCCTCTGTAGCCGAACACACTGTGGAGAAAGAGCTGAGGAGAGCACCACACTGAGGGTCAGATTAAAACTGTTTATGTTTAGAAAAGCAGCACCAAAATGAGATTACAGACACTGGACTGGATCACGCAAATGTTCAATCAAAACAACACAAAGTGACGGATGCACGAATGATGAATAACACTGAGACTCAACACAATGAAAGGATGTTCACCAACAACTTGAATGTTTATCCTAACTCTTGCACTAGTGTTTCAAAGCTACACTCAGTCAGACATTCAGCTTTTTGCAATAGTGTAAATAAACTAAAAATGACATAACAGACCATCCATCACTGCCTCATTAATAATCATCAGACTGAACTGTGTTCTAGTTCAAACATTTCCTCCAAAGCTCAATCATGTCACGTTTAACCCTCTTATTACATCATGCTGGTCATGGGGGCAGCTGAGTCGGTAACTTAAGGTGTGTGTAAGTGGGAATCTTACCTGTCCCGTTTCATATTTTCCGTGTTGCTTCACAGCTTCAAAAACCCCCACTGTCTCCAAAATCTTCCCTTCGGGCCTGTTCCTGCCAAAAACAGGCAACACAATTACACAATGCGCCCTGAGTGTGTGTGTTTCTGTGCAGTTCTTAAGTTCTTTTTGTTCTCTAAACATGATAAGAACAAAACAGAAATATGCACTTTTAAATATAGGCACAGAATAGCAGCGGGCACTGTAACCAACTTCATTTCAATACTGTTATTAACTCTTTCAGGAGAATGTGTTTGAGATCTTCTTATAATCAGAAGTGAGGTTGGATTGAAATATTACAATGATTCTTTTTACAGAAGTATGAAATCACACGCTAGTTTTAATTCTTCGACTTAAACTAAATCATAACCTGAATCTAATGCAGACTGTGAGCTACCCCTTCAGGAATCAACACCCAGCAGCCAGCAGACTGATTTATTGTTTGTTTTCTTCACAGAGATTCAGACGCAAATTATTTTCCCAGCTGACCTTAAACTGGATCCTGACCGAGTTTATTTTTAACTCAATCTGAAACCATTTTTTCACAAGGCAAAGCCTGCGTCATTTCTGAACTTGCACTTCTCACTTTGAGCCGTTTTCTTCTGCGAGAGTTTCTATCTTGTGTTTGAGCTGTTGTTGTTTTTTTCTGTCAGTGATTTAAAGGCCTATTGGCTTGGACTATAATTGTCGTGTGCGGCTCCAGTTTTCATCTGTTCACACTTGTCCTTGCATGAAGACACATCAAAGAATTCAACAAAATTAATCTTACAAGTGGGCAAATACAAGCATTTTTGAGACTCTGTAAAACCATCATAAGCTATTAAATACAAAACATCTGATCTGTAACAATCGCGCAGGTCTATGAAGAAAATATGTCACCCGAGACCAAAACAACATCATGTATGTTCAAACACACACAGCTTATGAGAGGAGCCTCGGCAGGAAATCCCACAGCTGTAAAAAGAAGAAAAGGCTTCAGGGTTTTTCCTCCTTCAAAGACGATTTACATTCATCCCTATTGGGGAGAAAATCCTGCCACCTAATCTCAATCACAACTTTGATCAGATTGAATAAAACACCTCGACTTGTCAGCTGTCGACAGATAGGAACATTATTCAACCTAATCTCCATGTCCTGGCACCACACACACACACACACACACACACACACACACACACACACACACACACACACACACACACACACACACACACACACACACACACACACACACACACACACACACACACACACACACACACACACACACACACACACACACACAGAGTTACAGTACATATTAGCACTGACAACAACAGCTGGTCACTTCAAATAAATAACACGCATACTTCTGCGCTCCCTGCAAAGCTAATCTTCACAACAGGGATGAAGAGCAGGGATTAATGGAGGTGTATGTACAGAGGGGGAGATTTAATATCACACAGGAGGTTGGTTCAGGTTATTTTCTTATAATGTTCATAGTACCGCTGCTGAAGAATAATCATACAGTAGCCTCATTTTACTGTGAGGAACATGGTGCAACAATTACAGCTGCCCTGAACAGGAAAAGTGAACCACTTCTATGTTCTTTGACAAAACAGGCCTCCAACTGAACAGTCAACAAATACAACCTGTTCCTGAGTTTCATTTACCGATACATTTCATCTCAAAAGTAGTTAAGTAGCTGTGAAAATATTCATAACAACAGACTTTGATGGTCTGCAAGTCATTTGTGAGCTTTCATTATATTGAAAAATGAAAATATATTCATTCAAAATAAACACAAATTTTGAATCCAGTGCTGGCAGCATCTCGCAAAAAAGTTGGAACAAGGACAAATAAAAAAACGTAGTGTAACATCTCACAACTGATAAACATGGTTTGCAACAGGTTAGTGGCATGATTGGGTGTAATGAAGGTATTCCAGTTAGAAAGAGTCTCTCAGAGGGAAAGATGGGGAAATTTCAACACTCTGTGAGGGACCGCATGAGTAAAGAGTTCAGCGGTTTCTCAAGAATATTCCTCAGGACAAAAATATAATACTATCTTCAACAGCAGGTAATATCAATCAGGGATGGGTGATAAATTATCGTTCATGATATATCGTCAGAAAAATCCTCCATTAAAATAATAGCCATCTCATGATTAACAATTTTGAATAATGTTAAAAGCAATACGCTAATATCGTGATAATATCATGAATCGTGATATTTTGGGCCACCAATATCATGATATCTAATTTTTTATATCGGGACATGCCTAATTGGAATTATAATATTTTTTATCTGGACTTTTAGTGTGATAAATTTTTTGTCCATATTGCCCATCCCTAATATAACATAAAGATGGCGAAAGTGTGACCTTCGGGCCCTTAGGTAAACTGCATTCTTGGCTCTGTAGTGGAAATCACTGCATGGGTGAAGGGCTTTAGGAGGATTATCAGAGGGGGAAAAAGGGTCTTTTTACTTTTATGATGTTATTATAAAAATGTGTACCAAGATGTCTCTTATTATTAACAGGATGAAAAGACCCTATCAGGCTGAAGTAAACTGGTTTAGTGGTTTCAGTGCTGAGAGTTTGTACCGGTGAATTAATGCATTATTTCCTCTGAAAAGAACAGTGTTGGATTTCCTGAACGCAGTATCGTATCTACTGTAACGCTGTGTTCTGCCCTGAGGTAAAACATCTTTGTAACGGCAGGCGAGGTTAATGCATAGCCCTTATGTACACTCCCTCACTCTGTATCACCCAGGCCTCGACTGAAAGCTTACGCTGGGTAGAGTGACTACAGACTTGGACTTGTTGTACTTGGACCTGTACTTTGTACTGGCTTCAAGTTTAGTCTGGAATAAGGGGTGTGGTTTTTTTGGTCATTATCAAGTTTTGATTCATGAAAAGAGGAACACCAAGTCCTCATAGTGACAGTAGGATAGACTACAAGTTAAAGCTCAGTGCTGTTCAAGAGGAGACATGAAGAAAGCCCCTTGGGTGTAATGCAGACTGGTTTTGAGCCCAACCTCTATTAGAGACTAACTTTACTCCTACTGTGTGGTCTCTGTGATAATAATAGCAAAGATACAGATCTCTAAAAATCCAGGAATGTATTGAAATTTCCTTCTACACTGATCACAAGCCTCAGCAGCTCTAAAACACATTTGCCTCCCCAGCTTTGTGCTGTTTTTTTCTACCTCTGCAACAATCTGAGAAATGTCAGTAAACTGTAAGGCCAAAGATAATCGGATCTAAATATAGCCAACCCACGGCAAACCCTGCAACCAGCCAGAGTCGACTCCTGGTCAATGACCCCCTGTGAATAAAGCCAGGACTCAGCTTTTTCCTTCTGCACTGGAGGAGTGGAGGCAGGAACACAGAGCTGGCTTCATGGTGCGAGAAATTCGCTGTAGCAGGACAGACGACTCGATTACACAATGAAAGAGTTATATAAACTAAGGAGAGAGAGAGAGAGAGAGAGAGAGAGTGAGAGAGAGAGAGAGAAGCTGGTGGTAAATCTCTGCTGCTATTTCAACCAGTGAGGGGGCACCAACCCACCTGGACACCTGCCTTCTCTTCCTTTACAGTTGAATTATTTCACAAGCAGACTTTGCTGCTCTGTTCCAGTCTGAATCTGACCTGATTTCTATCTGTGCCTTTGCTTCTGGTTGGTTAAAGCTCCCATCTGGAGTTTTTTTAGCTGGTAATTAAACTAACAGTAAGGGTTCTTGTGAGACAGATGAAAACCTGAGCACATAACAGATGATTTAAAATCTGAGAGATGAAACATTGACCATGATATGTCTTTAAACAGGAGGTGGTGTTATCTGTTTGATAGAAGATTACACTGTGAGGTGTTCAGGGTTTGGGTTGGTAAAATTAGAATCGGGTGAAAGTTAATAAAACAATCATGATGTGTTCAAATGTAACATCCAGAAAAAAGGGGAAAAAATAGTTTTGGGGGAATAATACAAAAGTTTGAAGGAAAATAATAAAAAAGACTCAAAAACATTGGTGAATCATTAAGGAGTCTTGATAATGGTATCAGTATCGATAAAAATTAATGATCCCAATCCCTCGTCATGAGTTAACTCTCCATACCTGCTCAGAAAGAGGCACATATCTGACTATATTAAATCTTTCAGCAAATACAGCAAACATTTTTCATTGCTGTTTTTTTTTTTAGCTGTTTTTTTACTCTTCTAACTTCACAGTGTGGAGGAAGCACCTTTACTTAAGTGGTCAACCAATAACCGTTCTACAGTGGCTGATACTGATTATGAGAGAGCATGTCAGCTGATGGCCCGGATTATAATGCCAATATCACACTATGTTTTATTTTGACATAAACACGGCAATTCAATAATACCAGCAAATGATGAATAAAGTTCCTGACTATTAGAGAAATAAATGTAAACTGAAAAATATCACTCATCACAGTGTCCGGTTATCTGAAATTGAAAGAAAATCTCCTCATTTTTATTTACATAAGCTAACAGCTAAAGACCTTTCCTACAACCATGAGCCACGACTGCTGCTGTGAAGTCTGAATGTTAACTCTTAAACTGACACAGAGCTACAACATGCAGGACAATACGGAAGTAAAGAAAATCTCTAAAATCAGAACGTCTTAGCAGAAGAAAATCAATACTCATCAGCTATGTGCAGAGTCAACATGACTGCCCCTGTGTTGCTATTATTAGCACTAAGTCTGTGAGCTATGAACACATGACAAGACTCACTAAACGAAGCAAAATGGACTGCTTGGTCATGGTGTGGGAGGTGGGTTTCATGATACAGAGGTCTGAGTTATTTTTACAAGGTTGGAGGACTAAACACCAGTTTCAACAAAGTCTATTTAGTCATCCTAGAGTTCAAGTAACAGAGTCAGTGTGATAATATTTGTCAGCTTCATAATCAGCGACAAAAAGCTTTACTGTACCCTTCAATTAATAAATCACAGCTAAAAATTCAGAGGACTATTGTTTAGTGACAAATTTACTTTTAATTTTGAGCTTAAAAACACCAGAGGTGGGGTTGTATGAGGTACGTACATGTCACTAGAAAGAGTGTGTACTATTATAGATGTGAGTTTCTCAAAATCAACTGAATTAAGTAGCAGAGTTGATCCAGTCTGCAGTGAACTGATAGCTTTGCTGGCCTAATGTCTCTCTGCAGCTTCTTATTCAACCAACTAGTTAACATGAAGTTGATGTAACTTACAATGCCACTTTAAAAATGCTGAAATATCCCTTTAAATGATTCCATATAACAATCAAACCCAGATAATCTTCCCTTGGATTTAGACTCAGAGTTTGCTCTGTCTATGTCAGGCACAGCTCTAAGCTGCCCCAGAAACCACACACAGGGGGGGTTGTGGTGAAACCCACAGTCTTTACATACACTGTGTTGTATTGGTCAGTTACAGCAAACAACTGCTGTAAGTAATGAGCTCCACAAGAAATGCAGGAGTAACATGCTCCCCAGTCCCTGACTACAGAGTCTTACTGTCCCTGTGATTACAGATTCACTGACTGGTCTTGTCTGATTAATCAAACCTCATAAATACTTTACTGTTAAGAGTGAAAACACTGAAGACATTTTCATCAATTCAGACTAGCTGATCAAATATTTTGCTCAGTAGAAATAAATACCCCAAACAAAGCAACCAACTGTCGTAAAAAAAAAAAAAACTAGGGGGCTGACACCAATAACCAACTCATAAACAAACATTTTTGCTCTCTAGTAAAAATCCAGCTTTTTCTTGAACATATCACATAAAGGTTACTGGAAGTCAACAGGTGTGTAATTAACGTTGACAAGGTAATGCTGAAAAGCTTAAGCCTGACACTCTACCTAATGGCACCATCTGAGGACACGTAAAGGGGTCAGCAAATCTGCATGAACCGTCTCTGAATAGAGGCAAAGAATCCTGAGATAATAGTTTCAGCTTTGCAGACGTTATCTTTCTATCAGCATAACTATGACAAATATTTTAATTGACCTCTAAAATGCAGCCTCATGTTTAACTCATCCAGTCTGAATGTGCAGATGGAGAAGCTTTTAATTTGAGGAGATGCTGCTTAACCATGTGCCAACTAAGTCCACAGAGAGAGACGGTGAAGCAGTATGGTGAGTCACTGAAAGGCTTCTTTGATTCATATGCCAACAGATAGAAAGGATAAGAAAACAGATGGGAAAATAAAACTCACAAGTTTTGATTGTGTAAGCCAAATCCCAAAGAAATCGTGCCATAGCAATTTTATAAAAGATGAAGATAATCACTAAAATGACACAAAATATAGCTCTTTGGGAGAATCTACTGCGTCATGATACAGAAAACCAATGCTGTACATTCGTAAGAACTATGAAATTCTGTAAACTACTAAATTAGGGTTTGTTGCAATGTGGGTTTTCATGCAAAACATTTGAAGCTGTTTTAGACAAGTTTGAGTTTGGGTAGATATATTGTTCCTGATGTTAATATATCATGTCAAACTCACACAACCCAAAGGACAAGCCAGAAATACACATCAAGATGAGCACAAAATGCTCTAAAAAAACAAGTTCCCCAAATATGGACTCAGTCATATGCAGTAGCAGTGCATCCCATAAAGTTACAGAATTATAAATAAGTTCAGTGTTTTCCATCAGTTACATAAGGGGGAATCCAGAAGTTAAAAAAGATATTTCGAGCAATTTTCTGATGATAAGGAGGCCTGAGGAAAAAAAAAAAAACAGTTTCACTTTTCATTTCCATTTTTTGAAGCACACTCGAATTCTGGTTATTTTTCAGAACAGCATCACAACCTTCATTTGATATTACTTCTACACAACAATTTAATGAGCAGCATATAACGGTAAAAGCTATTTGACAGCTAAGTTTACAACTCTATTGCACTTACTCAAACAGTTCCACGATTGAAATGAAACTGGACTGTCATTATATGGTTGCAATAGTCCATCTTTGTTGTTTTATTCATCTATGCAGTCATCATAAAACAACCAAAATACATAATGATGCTGTTTAACATTTTAATTGATAGAAATAGGTGCCGTTAATTTTAAAAAGTCTCAGTTTTGACCACATTATTAAGAAAAACAAAACTTTCCACCGCTTATTAGACGCCAAAAAATCTAAATTTGATAGTTGGCACAAGTTTAATCCAATTTTCTTCAGCTGAGAAGTATAAGCATACTATACAAACATCGGCACGGAAAGTATAATGTCCTCACATTAAGTGAGAAAGCAATGTTTGTTTACATAAATTAATTTTTCACGTTTTTTTTTACTAAATTCACACTTGGTGTGTGTTGTGTGGACCATCTGAGGTAGATTGATAGCCAGAATCCTGGTGACATTATTTGGTATATCGACATGCCGATACCGGCACTTATGGAATTCCTCTCATCTCATGTTGTATAATAATGATATGTAACCACAGATTCATTATGGGGGCTGTTTGACTGGGATAATATTCAAATCCCAATGGTTAAAAGCTAATTTATAATTTCACGGCTTTTATTTGCAAACTTAAAGAAAAAAAGGAGAAATGTGCAGCCTGTTATTGACGATATACCGGTGTGCCGATATGTAAAAGCCTACTTCTACAAATTCATATGAATCACATTTCGATTACACATTTCGCGTTGGGTTTTAAATGCCCTAGCTGTGTTTTATTTTAACCTGGGTTGAAAGGCATGCTCAGTCAGATCAGTGGATGTTGCTCAATCCACGCTAGCTTGTTACCTTGCTGGCTAATGAGCAGCAGAGGACACCTGTACTTTCATGATTTACAGCAAACTAAGTTCTCAAAATGTTTACACATCATTCCCATTGTAACGGCACTATGTTGACGGATCTACCAGCATAGCCAGAGTGTGTCAGGTGCCATTTTGAGGAGCTGTTTCTCGGCTAAAAAGTCTTTAGCATGTTAGCATTACTGGAGGAGGACACTGGCTGCGTCTCTTACCGCGACGACATGAACCTCCTCTGCTGAACACCGCTGGGCAGTCCGCAGGCTCGACATTGTAACCTCGGTCTGTACACTTCAAACCCGCTGCTGCTGTCAACCACGCTCAATATCCGGTGTGTATGTTTCTTATTGTATTTACTGACAGTACTAAGCAAGCCTCTGCGTAGAGCACAGGCCGCCATCTTTCCAGGCCTGGCACGCTCTCAAACACGCATGAACAGCAGGGCACTGATGCGGCTTTCATGGGACAAATATAGAGTCGGATTCCTGAGTTTCCGAAGCTTAACTGTTATACCTTTATTAATCTACTTTTGTTTCCCTATAATAACATCAAGTTTGCACGCAATTATTCGAGTTGTGTGAAAATATCAATCACACTGATATTTGTAGATGATATATTGTGTTGCTTTTCTGCCATCTATCAGGAGTTTGTTGTCAATACCCAATACCAGACATAATGCTAAAACAAAAAGAAGTGGTGACAAAACAAATGAAAACCGAAAAAAAAGAAAAAACTGTAACAGAAACGATGCAATATTCTGACTGTTAAACTGGCATCTTGTGGTAGCTACGAAAAAGCTGCAGTGAGCTTCTGCAACCGATAGGTGGTTGGTGGAAGTTAATTAAAAAATACTAGCTTAACATTACAATATGTCAAGAAGTTTGGGGGGGGGGGGGCAGAGGATCAAAAGAGCTAAATAGAGCAATTAAAATATTGATGTAGTTCCTCCTCAAGCTTACACAATAAACAACCAACTCTGAAAATGAACTAAGCTACTGTTAGATAATATAGTTTTGTTACTACACCACTCTAACTTTGAACGAAATAGGCATTCGAATGTTAGTTTTGAACATTTACGTATACTTTGTGACGTCTGCTCACAAGAGTCAAATAAGTTAAATTCCGCCTCTCGGCTTTACGAGTTTTTGCGTGTGGTGTTTGAAGGCAACATATGGCCTCACGTGTGCATTTCATAGACTGTATTTACCTTACGAAGCAAAGGTTCAAAGTTTAAAAAGAAATATCTACAAAGGTCTAAAATCTTACCGTTTTAAAAAACTTCACATATGAGCTGATCATTATCAAAAATGCTAAACAATACAAATAATATTTCCATACGCATGATCACGTGAGCAGTACGTCATCACGTCACATGGTAAACATCATGGCTGGTTCCTTGTTCGTTTGTGTGTTTCCCGAGCCACGAAAAAAGCTAGATTTTTATGTATAAAACAGCTGATACAAACTTTATCTATTTTCTTTTGTATTTGATTTACACTCGTCTGTCCTTCCTCGGCGAAAACCAGCACAGCAAAAGGTGTCTTCGTTGTTTATTTTGATATCTACGTCGCATAAATCCAGGCTTCCTGGTCAGTTTTAAGGTTAAAATCATGGCTTCAGCGTTTGTCGTCGGAAATAAATTCAGAAATAAAGTGACAGAATTGTTGGAAAACACAGACTCGTCTTTGCCTCAGCGACTAAGAGAGGAACTTGAGGATATTCTTGAAAGAGAGGAACCAAAAACCCTGCCCTTCAGTACAGCAAGAAAGCTCAAGAAGTACCTTCAGGAAAATGGTAAAGAGGCTACAATTTTAAAAAGCTGTATTCTAATGCAATGAAAGAAATAAAGTCAGCAGAAATATTGCTTTAGTAATACCTGATGTGTTTTTCTTTACAGGACACCCTTTCTACCTGCATGAGTTACTGGAGGACAGCTCATTACACCTGCCTGAGTTTGTACAGCCTCCAAGAGTAAGCTGATATATATATGTCATTTCTTATTTGTGTGTTTAAGCCATCACGACCAGCCGTACAAAAGAGAGGAGAAAAGCGCCACACCTTTCCTTGAATTAATTGTCTTGAGTTCCTTGAATTGAGTGTCTTGGCAAAATTGCACAAAGTTTTTAAGTTTTGCATCTGTTAAAATTTAATAAATTGCTATTTTATGTTTTATTTGATTCAGAACCACACAAAACGATAATTTATTCTTTCTATAATTTGTTCTTTTTTCCGTTAATTTCAGTGTCACACAAAGACCTCTGCTGAAAAGGGTTAAAATAAAGTTTTTGCTTTTTATTTTCCTCCAGAATCCTGAGCTGGTGGCACGTCTAGAGAAAATAAAAGCAAAACTAGCCAATGAGGAATACAACAGAATCACACGCAATGTGAATGCTCAGGTACATTTTTGTATGTCTTAAATATACACCATTAATAATCACTTTTTTTGCCTTGAAGTGAGCAACATGTTACATCTCATGTCTTTGCTGGTGCCTCTTAGCAAGAGAGATGGCATTTATTCATTAGGTCAACTTAACAAACTTGGCCAGAATGGATATATTCTATATGTGATTATAAATGAGGACATTGTGTTTTTGGACAAAGTTTTATAGTTTAAGTTTACTTATACTGAATGTTGTAAACTGCAGGTAGCCTTCATTGTTCCAACAAAGACAAAGAAGACTCAAAGTTTTTGTGTTTGCACTGTTTTCATGATTAAGTACATTGAAGGTCTGCTTATATTTGACTATTTATTTGCTTTTTTGTTCACAGGAACTTAACCGCAATGGAACATTAGCAGATATTGGACTGCAAGGTCAGCATTATGCGTGAATGCACAGTTCATTATCATATCTCAGCAAACAGAGGCTCAGGCTGTGTTAAAATTCCATGTGCTAAGATTTAATAATGTACCTGAATTTGACAATTACAGACCTTTACCTGTAACTGTCTCCAGAATCAGCTACCTTAAATGCTCAGAGAACTTGTGACTACACTCATAAAGTTAAAGTTAAAGTATTTGAATCCACCATCCATCCAAGACATTCAGATGTATTTTGCAAATTGTACTTCATGAGATCAATTCTAACCTAATTTCCCTTTTCTTTGCTCAGTGCGATCAGCCAAAGCGGTGGTGGTGACTGTTTTTAACTTCCTGGTCACAGTGATCGCCACTTTTGCCTGTTCATACATGGGGAGTCAATACCTGTTCACTGACACGGCAGCGGTAAGAAATATTCAGGAAGTAAACCTGGGAAAATAATTTGGAATTTGCTCCAAAGTTACAGCTAAGCTAAGGTAGCTGTCATAACTGATTGATGGTGCATCAAGATTTAACTTGATGCACCATCTTCACTTCTGTGGATTACTTTTGTAACATACAGTTATTGTTGTTAATTTTTTCTGCTGTCCATCTTTTATTTTTACCCACTGTAAACCAATCAAACCAATAACAAACTAACAAGACTTCTCAAAGCAGACTGATGTGATTACATTAAGTTGACCTGAGTCTTAACCATAGCAACAGAGAGAGCAACAGGCTGCTAATGAGAAATAACAGACTGTTGCTATGGAGTTTTGACCTATCAGAGTGCAGCCTTAACGAAAACTGTGCAATAGTATAATAATTTCTCTATCAGTTCTTGTGCAGACCACTTTTGATGCTCTACTGAATGTGCTGCCATTTTTTCTGTAATGTACATCTTAAACAAATATTTTCTCAGTGCAGAAACATATACACTAGCACATGTGCCTCTGCTAGCCTTTATCAGAGAACAATGTACATATGTATCAAGATGCTAATTTTTGTGCTAGGTTGCACTGATCTGAAAAGCAGTGTGTGTGTGTCAGCTTAACTGTCTTTGTTATTTTGGACGCTTGTTTTTCAGAGAGTGATATCAGCTGTGATCGCTGCTTCAGTAGTCGGGCTGGCTGAGCTCTACGTGCTGGTCCGGACCATGGAGGGAGAACTGGGGGAACCTTAGCAGCTGTGCAAAAAAAAGCATTTTTGGACAATGAAAGTCTCACTAAGTCTGCTGATCCAGAGCACACATGTGACTGTGCAGCAGAAACTTAGCAGGCTTTCTTTTTGTTTTGAGATGACAGAAATATCAGAGGAGTTAGGAGTTGTGTTAAATTATGGATGTTGTGTAAATTGCTGGAACTAGAAGTAATTATTGTAATAAAATGTGTCGATATGCGTTGTGATGTGTGTTCATGCTTTGTGATCATGTAGCAGCTTTGTTATAACATCAACATGATTATGTGATTTTGTATTTGAAATATTTCCCCCAATTTTTTTTTTAATTTTGTACTTTACTCCATGATAATTTCCCCCAAAAAGCCATCGTTCTTGTCCAAACTTGTTTATTCAGGATTTATTCAAAAACTGTCATGAAGAAAAGATAATGTTTATTTTAATTACTTTGTAAGCTCAATTTCCAAAAGGACCTACAAATGTAGTACTAAAGTGCAGGTCAGCGTAACAAGTTCAGTTTCACAAAGTTTGTAAAGTTTGGCAGTGAAGCCGTCAGCAAACAAACTCATCGAGGAAAAGATGGTTAAGGCTTTTTTAGCCACAGACTCATACAATTTGGTGATTAGGTGAGATTTTTCTGGCCAAAAAACAGTTTAAAAAGTGGTTCCATTTTTTTTTTTTTTTTTACCCCAATGAACAAGCTTTTATTCGTTTCTTTTCTTATAAAGGTCAGATCTCAATTACTAAATTTATTACCTGCTTTTGAAGGCTTTAAAACTTTAATTCTCTTACAGCTGCAAAATTAGTTCCTTAATTCCACAGTTGGTAGCACTTCCATGGCAACAGTCTTTTTTTTTTTTTACCTTTGTGGTATTAATGAACTTTAAACATAACATTTTTATTCTTTATCATACAAAGCATGATGCATAAAACAACTTCAGCATTAAATGAAGCGCTTCTGCCTGACACTCTTAGTATGGGGTCATCGTCTGTTACTCAATCAGCGCTGAAGTCCAAACCACACTCCTCAGTGTCAGCTCATCAGTAAACAGTTGGAAATAAATGGTTAAATCATATTTATTCATGGAAAAATGTACTCAGTAGACCATGTGTGCAGCTGTTTCAGTAGTTGTTTGTTCAGACTTTGCTGTTTTGTTGCGCTTGTTTTGACCCTTTTGAATAACCCACCAGCTGTGGTATCAGTTAATAATATTTTCTTGAAAGATTTTATCCTCCAGCTGGCAGATGTGGAAATAATTGTCATCTGATCTGTACTTACTGTATCTGGTGAATTTGAAGTGAATTATAGAGCCAACCAGCAGATGAAAACAAACGATTAATGTTACCCAGGGGTACAGTAGCCGTGCTGACAGACTTATCATCCTCTGAACAATAACACCGTGTATCTTAGCTCAAAACAATCCTACTACAGCACACGGTCTGTGTTCGCTGATCCTTTCTCCAAATATGATTTTTTTGTAAACTATCTGATTCTCTTCTTATTACGTCCTGTCATATCAGCAGAGATTAAAAGATGTAACTACATCTGGAGGACCAAAAAAAAAAAGTATCTTTCTAAGATCTGAGATTTGACACCCGGATTAAAGGTTTATTGAAAGATTATTTGGTATTAAAGATGATTATGATAGACAGAGATCTCTGTGCAGTGCTGGGCGAACAGTGAGCGCTGCTGTCTGTCATATTTTCCCCTGTATTATTACTCTCATGTAATATTTCAAACTTAAATCCAGGCAGAATTACAGAGCCTGTAAGCTGATAGACCCTGAGCTCTGGCTTTAATTTACTTCTTATTTTTCATCTTTTCCTCTTCCCTCTGTCCGTCTAAACCTCCTCATACTTACAGAACAGAGAGATCTGAAACAAATATATTTTGACTTAGAAAACAATTATTTCTGCCATGGTATCTTCCCACAAGGAATCATTTTAATCAGGATGTTTTGAAAGATAATACTCGAAGGGTCGCAGCATTAAACATGCCACAGTTCAGCTTAGAGCAGGAAAACAGGAGCAGGCATCTGTGAGAGGAGACCATGGAAAGCACCAAAGACAAGTTTCAGGGTTACTGAGTTTATCAGCAGCTCCATGAACCCTTTGATTTGCCTCTGCAAAACTTTGAACAAAAATGCTTTACCCTGACTTTCAGCAACCATCAGGGTATAGATATATATAAAAACAAAAAAGCATTTGGGTGATTTGCATTCAATTTCACACACTGAAACTGAGTCAAAGCAGCTGAAAAAGTGTTTCAAAATAAACCAATTTAGACAGAATCAAATGACTGGGACGTACAGCAGAAAAACACAAAATAAAGACGACAATCAAACACTTAAAAATGACTTTCAGGTATGCAATGGGCTGAAAACACGTTTAGACACGGGGTGAAGAAAGGACTAAAACACTCAAACGTACAGAAATTTAAAAGAAGAAACGTTCACATCCAGACTGATCAGAACTCAAGGAAGTTGGTGACGATGGCAGCATTGTAGATCAGGTCTGAAATGTACCCCATAGAGGTCTGTGCTCCCATTTGTGGATGGTGATGGTGGTGCGGGTGATGGTGTCCCTGTCCTTGAGTTACCTCCCAGTACACCTGCTGAGGATGAGACGGGACCACTTGGTCTACAGATGAGTGACCACCACCTCCAGCTCCACCTCCATAAGCGACTTGATGGGTCCCAGTTTGAGCCACAGTCTGGGGTTTTAAGTTCCTGAAAGCCTGATAGGAGGTGCGAGTGGAGGCTGGGTGCGGGGTCTGTCTGGTGACAGATTGAGGGAAGGAACCAGAGAAGAACCCTGGGAGAGCTGGTCCCAGGGTTTGATGGTGGTGGTGGTGGAGGTGGTCTTCCTCCCAGAGACGGGGCTCTGGGGGTTTCGAGGAGCTCATTGTAGGCTGCTGGTGGAGGGGCGAGGAAGGTGGAGGGGATGAAACAGGGTTGCTGTAGATCTGGATCCAGTCTGAGTACATCTGAGGGACTTCTTCGCAGGTGTGGGTCTGTTCAGGTCTGAATATGTCTGCAAGTGTAGTGGATGTAAAGAACGCTGAGCTGACAGGACTTGGAGATGGATCCATGACAGATCTACCTGCCAGAACTGGTTTGGTGGATTTGGGGAGTCTCCCAGTCTTGATGCTTCTGGCTCTTCTGTTTTGGAACCAAACCTGCACAGGCAAATATATATTAAAGGTATACATGTTTGTTTAAATGAAATACTAGCAACAAGCCTCTGAATTGTGCACGATAGGCCAGGTGGTCCCTGTCCAAGAGAGCTTTTTATTCATCAAACCAATCCTTTATGAGGGCCATTTATGAAATCACAGAGTTAAAAAATCACCCTTTTTGTCCTTTTTGATCGTTTTCTTTACTAGCAGCAGGATTGTACATTTCTGCAATGCAATAATTATTGACTAAATATGACGTCCACAAATGTCAGCTAACCAAATATCCTCTGATTCTACTAGCCTACTGGAATGTTCCCTTGGTAACAGCCTCACCTGTATCTTGCTCTCGGGCAGGTGTGTGTGAGCAGCCAGCCTCTCCCTCAGGGTGATGTCCGGGTACGGAGTCACAGCGAAGGCCTGTTCCAGCTCGGACAGCTGAGCTCGGCTGAAGATGGTCCTCTTCCTCTTCCTCTGGCCTTCTGTCAGCCCGCCGGCTCCTCGGTCATGTTCCGGGGAGGAAACGGAGCCCTCAGCCCGGGAGTCTGAGGCGGGAAACACGGCGGAAAGTGAAACCATCGAAACAAAATGCCATCCAAACACAATTACAAACAATAAAGGCAAAATTTAAAAGATAAAGGAAAAAATGTAGAAAAGGATTTGGATTTAAATGTATGTATTTTAATGTATGTATGTAACCCCCCATCCAAAAAGAAAAGTACATTAACTGATACACGATTAATTAAAAAATAATAATATTATTATTATTAACAATAATAAAAATAATTAAAGCCTCTTTACATTTTAAAGCAGTTTGCAGTAAAGGACTTTGAATAAAAAAATGAATAGAAATGCAAAGGACCAAGGTAAAATAAACTACCCACACAATGACAAAATGTAATGATAATAGGCCCCAAACAATAACCATAACAAATCTCTATTTTGGATGATGTAAAAAGATGTTTGAGCAAGACAAATATCACTTAATTCCTGCAAAGTTATTTAGGTGGAATTAAACGATGTATTTTTTGTGTTGTCGTAATCAGCCTTTATTTTTAATGAATCAGGTATGATTGCATACTTTAAAAATTTTTAGAGACCATTAAAAAAAAAGAAAAACATCTCTTTATTATGATTCTTTTACAATTTTTTTTTTTTTTGGGTGTTTGAAAAAGAAAATCAACATCCCTTTATACTGTGAAGTAAAAGCCAGTTATATGAATTTCTAAACAACAAAATACTAATGATGTAACTTTAGAGGGGTCAGAAATTCAAGTCTGGTGAAATAATAATGAATGTTAATGACAGTTCTGATACGGTGCGCAATCATGGTCGTTTTGCAGCTTTGGGCTTCATAGTCAAGCAGCTTTTTTCTATTCTGGCTTGTCAGGTGGGAACCACTTTAGTACCTCATAAAGTAGCGTGAAGTGTACTGGTGTTAAAATTTAACACACAGTGGAATAAACATGCATCCATACAGGAAGATAGGTTGATTTAAGTCAAATTTGGAGTGGGTCTTATCATAGTTTCCAGAGCTGTATGTTCAAATGCTGTAATACAAAAGTTTGATTATTAAAAATTGATAAATAAATAGATATGGGCCAGGATGTTATATGTTTGGGTATGAATGATCGATGACCTGAGAAAAAAGTTTCACTCATGAGAGTAATAAACTCATTATGAACTCATACTGATGCAAAGTCTTAATATATGTTTTTATATTTTCTCTTTATTTGTTTAACCATAAATTACAAATCACAAAATAATTTATGCTAATTTCATATATTTTGCAAACTGTATTAAAATTAATGCCCACATTTTAATGGCTTATAACATGGGTAAACAGTCATTGACTGATTTCTTCTGCTTTAGGCATGAATGAAGTCAACTTAGAAACCTATATATTTATATTTAAATAACTCAGGGTACAATCGTTTTATTATAGGTTAATGGTAGACTCTATTTAATGAGATATAAATATATATGTATATATAAACTTAATCAAACTCACCTTTGCACTGAACATGTTCTCCAAACAGGTTCTTATAGTCCATCATGTCTCTCTGCTGGTTCCGTTTAAGTAAAGCAAAGTCTGAATCCATGAACAGAGTCATTACTACACCAACACACTCTGACACACACTCTGTCGAGAGGGAGTGGCTACTTTTATACTCAGATTAGACGGGACATCCCACACCCACCACCCTGCAAATCTAGGTGTTTTTAACCTCTTAATCTAATCCCAATCTCATGCTGATTCTTAGGAAGGTTTCTTCAGTGTGTCACATGTTTTTAGAGAAATATGAGAAAATAATATTGTGCTCAGTAAAACCACCAGTGTAACAATCTTAATATCCATCTCATATGCAAACCTTTAGCATTTAAAAGTTTTTCAGAACTGTTGGAAAGCCTCCCATTATCCTTTTAACTACTGTGTAATTAAAGTTGCTATAAAGTGTGAAATTTAAGATGGGGAAAGCATAAATTCTATCTATGCATAAGTTTTGATGTGCCACATGATCACAACTAATGACTGTTTTCATAATTTTAGTCCAGACAAACCTGTTGTAAATCAGTTGTGTTTCCAACTATGTACCATTTTTTTAGACCTCTTAGACTAGTCTTGTTTTTGGATAATACTTTGAAAGTGTTCCCTTTATTATTATAAAAACAACTAAATGATGAAGTTAGAAGTGTGTCCCACATGTAATAATATAATGCAGTCTTAAAGGCACTGTAAAGATTTTTTTCACTGTCCAATTCCCTATTTATGACCTTTTAAATCAAATAATACCATCAGTAATAAGGTTAGTACTTTCATAGTTGTCATTTTTAATGCCTGATGCTGCTGTGAGGAGGTGGGTGTCACACCAGATGATGTACAGGACTCAAGAAGAGAAGCTTTTTGTTTTTCTTATTTTCACAGCAAACACTCACAGTGAGTGGTTGTTTTGCTGCTGAAAGATAACAAGATGAGGTTCTTACATGTAAACACTGTTTTCACAGTAGCTATAGGATAAGGGCAAGGGGTATCAATTTGCCTGTAGGGGGCACCAAACCAGGGGCTTTCTGTAATTTAATTTTTCTCTGTTTTCAATTTGATTTAGACATCATCTACATTAATCTACAAAATACCTACAAACAAATAACATAATATACTCACACTGGTGTCAAACAGTACAATTTATTAGATTTTACACATCACAGCACTTGTGGACGTAAATATTAGTTGACAATCAGCCAACGCATCCTCTTTTTTTTTTGCTGTTTCATCACAAACCTACAGCTCAGTGATTCAGTGACATTTGTGAAACATACATCATCTACTGGTGCAACATTAAAAGGTAAAATGAACACTCGTACAACACCGCAATAGTCAGACTCTGTCCAAAATGTCTGGACTACACTCACAAACAAACAAACAAAAATATAAACACACATACATAAAACAAACTAACCCTGATATTTGTGAGTTATCTTCTTCATTACTCCACAGGACACACAGTTTTCTTCCACAGACAGTCACCATCCTGTGTGTACCTGTGAGGTGATGTGTAAAGTCTCCTCCTGCAGCATGTGGAGGAATGTTTATTGATCCACCACCAGGAGGCAGTGCAGTCTTTTCACAGAGCTCCCCCTGCAGCTCTGGATCACCTCCTCTGCCCAGAGTCTGGTGCAGTGGAGGCTGAAGGTCAAAAAGGTTTTATTCTTCACTCAAACTTGCGCAGGTGATTGTAAAGGGACTGGACATAGGTGAAGACACACATGGGGTCTGGTTTTCGGCCCATGATCATCATGTCGTCCACCTCGATCAGCCGATCACAGCCTGCCTTCTTCCTGCACAAACAAAAATGGAGAAATTGATCAGAGTGAGTCAGCTGAACTAGATATTAAGATTCAAAAATTATACATATGATTATAAGAAACTTAATTTATTGTCTATTGGTTATTGTATATATTAAAATATCAACATTTTCTTTCATGTTGGTGAATAAAATAAACCAGTTTGTTCAGTGAAATCCTCTCTGAAAAGGTGTATTTACTTTCCAGATTTCAATGATACATGATGATGATGATGTGCTGATGTCAATCAACATGGCTGAAGACTTGAGATTAGTCGTTGTGGCTGATCAGTTAGCGGCAAAGAAAAGAGGGCATGAGGAGAAACACAGCACAGAAAATAGCAGGAGGTGTCAAAACACAAAGAGCTGAGTGAAGGAGACAGACACTAAATAAACATAAACACAACAGGGCACAGGCTTGGGCAGCAGGAAATAGTTTTTCAATAATTAACAGCATCTTTAAATCCAATCCCTCTTATCACCCACATTAGCATAACCACAACCACCATATGTAATCCCTGACAATAAATGTTGCTATTTCCATCAGAAAGAAAATATATATATATATATATATATATATATATATATATATATATATATATATATATTATTTGATTATTAGACATTACTGAACTTGTATTTCTGATAAAAGAAGTGAAACAACTACAAACAGACACTATCAGCCTCCTATATACATCTGACCTTTCTTAAGCCATAATCTATATCAGATGTTTTTTCTGAACTTTTCCATACATTGTAACAAACATGTTTTTTGTAGTATAGTAAGTAGTTAAAGTAATCATTCATATACGTTAAATGCCCCGTAAGTCTCTACTGTGTGATCTCTTTAAGAGGTCAAACATAAAGCTGAATAGTGGCGCTCTGTTAAATCAGCTTAATTCAGCAGCAGTGTTGAAGAATAACACGTTCTCTGGTGGTCTTTAAGCCCTCACATACATTACATGTTACACTGCGGGTCTGTTTAATGTCTATTCTATAGTGTGCAGCCTATATGTGCATGTGTATCTGTGTCTGAAAACAATAAGCTGTGTGCTGTGAAGCCATGGAGGACAAACATGAAAGGAAAAACAGGCAGGAATAAGGCCTAACACAATCTGCATGCTATTTTATGTGCTTAAACTTAAAAAACACTACACCACAGAGGGCTATAAAACAACAGAACAAAGAAAAGACATTAAGATGAATACAGCCACAGTGCAGTCCAAACTCCAATTGTAGATTCAATTTTAGCCAATAGATATTAAAACAAAGAAACCACAGATGTTTTATAATGAGACCAACTTAAAATAAATCAAAGATCAACTCTAGTCTGGGTTTAGATAATAAATTGGGCAATAATTTATTTGCCCTCTCCCATGAGGTTAAATCATAAGATGAAAAATGGTGTTATATTTCTTAAAATAGGCCTGCCAGTCAATCTGTACACACACACACACACACACAAATTAAAAACTTTGTTTTCTGATTTTGTTAAAACACACAGATATAAGTATTTCTCTTCTACTAACATTCAGGAGGATTTAATTAGCGGCTTTGTTACATGCTTAAATGTGATAGGTCAATATTCAATGACGGCAGTCTGTTATTCCTTGATAGCATACTGTTGCTATGGACACAACTCTAGTCAAAGACCCTGGAAGACTGCAATCATATCAAGCATAAAAAATTTTAGCTTTGGTTTCATGTTTTTTTCCATCACTCTGTGACTGTTTTTTCAAAGTCTTTCTAACTAAAAAACATTCCCCAAGGAATTCCTGACAGCTGATTCGACAAGGGCTTGATTACTGACCAATCAGAATCAAAAGGGGTGGTACTTCTGATTGCATCTTTGTTCATAACGATGGTGTCGGTCTATACACGACAGAAGTAACTGCACTGGCACAGGCAATACACTGGTCTAGAGCTGCTGTTAATAATATGAAACGATTTTTAATATTTTATGATTTTTTAAATTGATTTTTTTAGATTAATCCCATTGAATGAAGCAAACAGTGCATTTGAAAACACACTCAACAGTCACTACTAATGGAAGTGGAAGAGCTGCAGAACAACCATCATAACCTAGCAACAGTAAACTCACTCAGCGGTCCCAAAGGCCAGCTCAAAGTTGAGTTTCCGGTTGGCAGGGGACAGAGCGGTATAGTCAAACTCAGTGGGGAAGAAGGAGTGCACCAGAGCGCAGAAGGCCATCCCATCACTCCAACTGGACGAGAAGTTCTGGATTTCTATGTTCTGCAGGGAAAAAAAGACACAGAAGAAAAGGAGATTTGGTGATGACATGGAAAGGGTGCATGAATGCTTTAGTGGAAGGAAGCAGGAAGAGTCAAGAGATTTAAGGAGGTAAGGCAACACGAGTTGTAAAAGTGACTGGCAGCTTCATAAAGCCATCTCCTCAGTCACTGTCTGGCCCATAATTATGATGGAAAAAACAGACTTCCCTCCTCGCCTGTTTTGGTCTGTTACATGCTTTTGACATCATGTCATTTTGAGGCTCTGCCTCATTAGTCTGGAGTTCGCTTTGAATAAAATGCAGCATGTAAAGTAATCGACAGAACATCCCTCTCTCTCCTGTGCGTGTGAGTGTGTTTGCTTCCAGTTAATAAGACTCTTGGCTTTGCCCGGCTCGACTGTAACCAAAGCCACATGGAGCAGCTGGCACAGGCTGCTGTGTGGAAAAGGGTACAAGAATGAAAAAATGTGTAGATGTTTTCAACCATGACGAAAAGCAGCTCAACCCTGAACCCTCAGCCCCTAAAGAACACACTTGAGGACACAGACTCCTGTGTACATCCACAGTTCAGGGGCAGACAATAAACACATTAGCACTGCATGTGTGCTTGCAGGTGAAGGCAACATAAACGACAGACGGACTCGTTTAAAACTGATTATTCATCTCATTTCAAGCTCAACAACCATTTTTTATGTTTAACCTAAATACTTATTGACGAAGTTACAACATCCCTTATTTTATTAAAGTCAGGAGCTGTGTAAAATGTAGCTAGAAACAGAATTTGATGGTTTGCAAATCATTTAGAGCCTCTAATTAACTGAAAATGGTGCATTTTTATGAAAAACTACATAAACATTTTAGATCATCCAAAAAGTAAGTGAATAAGGAAATGACTAAAATTATAAAATGAAAACCTAAATAAACACTAAATCTGTCAAATTAAGCAGTTGTAGTGAATGTTGATGATGCTGTATCTGCAGGTTTGTTTTGGGGGTTTTACCTGGTATCCGATGGTTTTTGAGCGACACCATTCAAGAAGGATCTGTTTGATGCTGCTGGCACTGGAAACCCCAAAACTCTGGGACCTCTTCAGCTTGGGTTTGGAGTCAACAGGTTTAGGGCGACTGCACGGGTGCACAAAGGTTTCAAGTTAGGTTACAGTTCATGCATTAAAAGCTTGTATGTGATACAGATGTACCACTGCATTACAATAACCTGTTGTTGGCTTCAGACTCCAGTCTCTCAAAGATGGACCGACGAGCTTGAGCGCCGATGTTACGAGGTAGAGTCTGAGACCTCACCAGCTCTCGCCTCCTCTCTCCAACCTGCCCAAAGGACCTATCAGCGCTCATATCACCATCCCTGCAGGATGGATGGATGGAAGCAGAGGAGGTTCATATGATACAAAACATTTCCAACAAACTCTTAAAGATGTCTGTCATGAGTCCCTCACCTCTCATGCTGCAGCAGTCCAGAGTAGGTCACTGACTTAGCAGGGACTGAACTTGCTTTCTCTGCAAAGGAGAAACAGTAACAGTAAGAAATTTGTATTTTGCATGATGTAAAACAGGACAGCACACATGTCAGATACATTGCATTTAAAAGGGAAAGGAGTAGCCAAAGTGAAGTGATCTATTGGTTAGTGAACTACTCTTTTGAAGACTCAAGAGGGACATTTTGGCCACGCCATGTGTTTTTTAAAGTCAGTGGTGATCATATTAAGACCAAAAATGTAACAGGTCATTCAAGTTTAAATGGCTTAATTAGACATTTAAAGCCAGACCCAAAAATAAAACCCTGATTTAGAGTCTATTTGACTCTAAATATGATTATGTCTAATAGAACTGCTCCCAGCTGGTTATGAAGAAAAGAGCAGGATGTTGGCACTATCTATAGTGGCATTTTAAAAGGGACATTCTGGCATAAAATTAAGTTAGAGTCAAACACATGATAACACCGAGTTAGACCCTCCCTAGGAAGATGAATGTTGCTGACTGCTTGCTTCTCGAGTTATACCAACTTTAGTAACGACCGCACGATAGCAATTCACAGAGGTCTGAGGAGCCATAAACAAACCTCAACCAAAACGCCACTCTATAACCACAAATAATGCTCAGAACAGCACCTAACTTCAACAGTACGTATAGGGTCGAAGCTATAGTACTAGCCACCAAACATCTTTTTAGCTTTGCCTAATTTCTTTAGCAAAGAGACTAAACACAACTCACCTACTCTCTTCCAGCAGCTTGTTTGTAGCAAGACCTGATCAGTCCACTACAGACTGAAGCAGGGTGACGCGGCTCAGGGAAGAACATTTATGATTGTTACTTCATAATTTTCTTGAAGTAATAATCACCATATTAATCATTTTGCACTGCAGGCACGGTAGTTCTCCTGCCTTAGCGTCTTGGTCTGATTGCATCTCCATTAAGAAATGAATAATGTTCTTCCTTTAGCTGTGTCACCCTGCTTCAGTCTGTAATGGACTGATCAGGTCTTGCTACAAACAAGCGGCTGCTGGAAGAGAGTAGGTGAGTTGTGTTTAGACTCTTTGTAAAAGAAATTGGGCAAAGTTAAAAAGATGTTTTATGGCTAGTACTATAGCTTCGACCCTATAAGTACTGTTGATGAAGTTAAGTGCTGTTCTGAGCCTTATTTGTGGCTATAGAGTGGCTTTTTGGTTGAGGTTTGTTTATGGTTCCTCAGACCGCTGTCTATTGCTATCGTGTGGTCATTGCTAAAGTTGGTATAACTCAAGAAGCAAGTGGTCGGCAACATTCATCTCGAGGGGGTGTCTATCTCTGTGTTACCGTGTGTTTGACTCTAAATTAATTTTTTGCCGAAATATCCCTTTAAGACAAGAGGCCATGCTCATCTTTATAAACACAGTACAGTCTGAGAGTATGACTCACCCTGAAGGCGGGGAGACCCCAGAGCTCTGACCGGTGATGGTGTCCATGAGGAGACTTGCAGTAACAGAGAAAAAAAGGATTGTTACATGATGAGAAGACCATCATCATTGGGCTTTTAACACCTCTCCACAAACTAATGATAGATGTCACTACAGACTACAATAAGCATATTGAAATAGGTCACCTGGTTGAATTGGAGACTCCTCTATTGGTTGGTTTTGGTTGGTTCTGACAGCTGATTGGCTGCTTGGTGTGACCTCAAGGACTGGGGAGGACCTGGAGCCAATAGGGCTGCCGGGAGAGTCTGGGCCCTTCATTTCAGCTGTCTTGGTTGTGGCGGTGATGGGGAGGTGGGGCATCCGCATGGCGACGGGGGCCGTGTGCTCATGTGGGAAGTCATTAGGTGGTGAGATCTTTCCGTGTACCAATGTTGAATGTTCTGCTTATAAAAGATTGAACATGATCACATTACTACAACATGAAAACAGCTTTTTATGTCCTTGTACTGAACGTTGTGACACAGGCTCTCTGTTAAAGAGTCTCAAAACATTGACCGTAACCTCTGATGATATCACACCAGTCACTTCAGCAGAAATGACCAATAAAACTGCACTTTATGTCCTGCAGACTTACTGTAACCACAAACGATGACATAAATTGTAGAAAGTGTGTGTTACCTGCTGTGGCAATGTGTCCGTTCTCTAGCGTAGCATGTGTTGGGGCGGGGTCCACCTCTATTGGCTCCTCTCGCTCAATACTCTGAAACACACACAGTACAAACAGTTAATGACAAAAAACACAGTGACACCTTTTACTGCTTGTAAAGGAGCATGAGGTCATATTTGACCTTTGGCGGTGACCACTGGGAGGGGCACCTGTGGAGCACTTCACTTTCAAAACATCCCAGAACAAGCCAGAAAAGGTGTTTGGAAAGCCAGGAATATGATCACTGCAGTCCTGTTTTAACCTGATGAAGAGTAAAATGTATCTAAAAATGCTCTTTGTGCCATCTAAGATCAGATAACTCATCAAATTTTCTCTTGGATTTTGGAAAAACCTGGAAAATATCAACCCGATTCATGAAGTTTGACCAATTTAAGTATGCAGCCTGTCCTTGAGAATTTGAAAATGCATACAAAGTCCTAAAAGCAATTCTCAAACTGGGTATCAGTGTAGAGCAGCAAGTATGAATGTGATGTGTACATGTTTCTTGGTAGTTGCAGGCCAAGCAGCAGCGTCTATAACCAAACAAAGCCTAAAAATGTTGGGCAAACTGATGCCAGAGTTAAAAAGGTTTCAGGAATCCAGCCTTGAGAGAATAAATGACAATCATGATGAGGTAATTATGAATAAAATAAGGGAGTGAGTCTAAGAAGTTTAAAAACAGGACTTTACAACTTTCAATACTTGACTTTTATGAAAAAGATTTTATTAAAACACCTCTCCATGGGAGGAGAGTGGCCTAAACTAGATCTAAGGTGGTTGGTGACACTCCAAGAGTTGATGGGGGTTCATTATTTCTGTTTTGGAGTCTCTTAGATTAAAAAAAGTTTTAAAATGTTCAGTATTTGATGTCAGAAAAGGCCAGACAACAAGACTAAGGAAGATGTGTCTGATAGACTCAAGAGGGTGTCATTGGCTTAGTGATGGTACCGATTGTTCTCTTTTCTTTTAATCTCTGCCAGTTGGAGCAGAAAATAGAAAGTACGCTGTAGACCTATAAAGTAGTCGTGTTCTGGACTGGACTGGGAATAACCGGGCTGTCTGCCTTCCTGTTATAGCGTCAAACGTCATCAACATGTTGAGTTCATGTTTCAATTTCCAAGTCTATTCCCCATCTCTGGTCGCTTTTCCCTCACTTCAAACACAATCAGCAGCATGGAAACAGTTCATCCCAGGCCAGAGCAGATACTTTTATCTCACACGGTGCTGCTGACCCACATAGGTTCTGGGTCAAGCTGTCACCTCTCATGTGGCCCTGTTAGAGACGAAGACAGAGCTTTGTGTGTTGATAATCAGCCTCATTTGGCAAAGACCAACACGGCTAAGGTCAAAAGTGCAGCAGTGATAGCTTTGCACACTTTCTCAAGGTTAGAGTTGTTTTGACTGAAAGGCACCCCCAGACAGCCATGTTGGAAATCCTCGTCTCTGCGGAAACAAATGTCTCCGAACAGCTGGTTATGTTTCAAACTTGGCCGTCACAGCAGAATCAAAAGAAACGAGGCCGATTTCTGTGTTTGTTCGAGAGCATCATTTAACCTCTGATACATCTGCTGCTTTGGTTCTGTGTTTAGATCACGTCATCAACTTTGGATCTAGAATTGGGACATCTGGACGGCTCGTCTCTGCTGTCAGTGATCAGAAAAATAAATGGACAGATGACGTGACCAAACAGATATACGGCTCAGAGTCATTCACATTTATTATCTCTATGGGGAGAAAAGAAATGCTTTTGGGATGTTCTTTTCATATGAACATCATCTCCCAGTGTTGTAGTACTCAAGTCCAAGACTCAGTCTCAATGAGGAGACTCATGAGTACAGTCAGATTATGAGGATAGACAGGGCTACAACAGACTACAAAGCACTTATACACTAATGTGGATATACTCTTTTTTCCCTCCTTTTATCCTTTTTAATTTCTGTATTTATTGAGCATTTTATTTTAATTTTATTTAACTTGTCTGTTTCGCTCTTAAAAGTCCCAAAAGTTCTGTGTGTTTTAGTTGGTTCAACACAGATTTCTGTCTCTAATCTGGTACAACGCCACCTTTCCTCTAGCGAGTTTGATTACAGCCTGTGACACCTTTCCCCTCATGTCACCCCATCTCTGTGTGAGTTTCCTGATCCATCCAGTGATCTCTTCAAAATAAAGGCAAAAAAGGGCTTAAAGTTAGCCTAAAACACAAGGGCTTATGTGGATAAAGTAGCAGGTCTGAATTATTATCAGAGTTCGTACCTGATTTGACTCGTGAGCTCGGTGCTTTTGAAGAAAAACTCCTCAAAAAGCAAACACCAATTAAATTGCTATCTGGGATAAATATTATTACTTCTGTGCATGTAAAATAAAACTGCGACTCTCTGTGGTTTTTAGACAGAGAAAGAGAAAAATAAAGGTGTAAATCAAGCAGAGACACTCAGCAATGATTGTAAAGTTTTCCAGCTGCATAAAGTCTAAATTCCTGGCAAGACAGTGACGCTAAACTACTACTGTAACCCCTCCTGTCTTACACACACACACACACACACACACACACACACACACACACACACACACACACACACACACACACACACACACACACACACACACACACACACACACAAAGTAAAAACAAAATACTGCTTCTGCTGTGAGTCACACTCTGTGCTCACTCGAGGAAATGTCTAGAAATGTGTAACAGTGCGTGTTTGACTGAGCTCATCATAAAGGAATGCTTGTGTGTGTGTGTGCGTGCGTGCGTGTGTGTGTGTGTATGGTGTTGAGCGGGGATGACAGACACACCTGGCAGGGAATAGGGGAAAAGTGCAAAGAATATCATCGTGTATGAAAAGGTGAGGGAGACATCGGGGTTTGAGGTGATGGACTGGAAATGCATGATGGGAAATAAGGTAAAATCATTTGTGTGTCCAGCAGCAGCAGCAGCAGGAGAAGGAAGAGGAGGAGGGGGACGGATTGCAGAATGTCTGGCACTGGGGAGGGGATCTTTCCCTGCTTAAGCATCGCGATCATCAGGCGTCCTCGGTGGGTCAGAGGGGGAAACCTGATAGTCAGGCTGTAGAGGTTCTGGTAAACTCTCAGCTCTATCTGAAGGTGTTTTTTTTGGCAGAACATACTGCTGCTTAACACTTCACATGGCAGAGATCTGACACATACAAGCATGCAAAAACACACTCACACTTAGGCGTAAGAACATCATGTGTACGCATACTGACGCTGACTGATCTCTGCTTTGTTTTTGGACAACAGACACCTTCTTAAATAAAGACGTGAGTGTGCAAGCATCTCTTGTTGGTCGAAAACATTTAATTCAGCAATGTGCCGTTTCCATGCAGATGTGTAGCTCTTTCTTGTGCCTAGCCACCCTGCCAGCTACCTGTACAGGAGTTGCACTCATCTTACAATAACGCTGATTGTTGTGGTTTGGAAAATCTCACTCTCTATGACCAGTCTGCCAAGTCTTGTGCTACCCACTACCACCAGTGGCTTGGGGGTTGGTATCCTAGCAACCCATTTAAGATGATCATCATAGTGATCTGGCTTAGCAAAGAAGAGATGACCCATCCTTTTCTTTGACCACTGGTGTTTAGAGTTTACAGAGGAAGAACAAGACTCAATGGGTCAGAGGAGAAAGAGAAGCAACTTTGGAGAGCCAAGGTGATTTAGGTCACTTGGTCATACAGGTGTGTAAACTGTTGGTCCATGAATCTTGAGATGCTGCTGACATAAATGGGATTTGGTTCCAGCAGTGCTTCAAGACCTTTCTAAATCAGAGGTTACCATCATTTTACACTTACAGCTGAAGTCTGCATCCTGCACCACCAGGAGTTCCCTTCCTCTATGAATGCCGCTGTTTGCTACAGACTTTCTTCGACTTTTAGATGTCTTATCCAAAAAAGGAGATGATGAAAGTGCATCTTCAAGAAAAGTGTCTGTCTGACTGTCTATTATTATTGCATCATGACATAACCAATGGTGTGTTTTCAAACAAGTGAGACAAAAGGCAGATGACTTAAGTCAACTTTAAGCTGTGTTTGTGGCTGGTTTTAGAAAACTTAGCTTTATCAGAATAATGTCTTTAATCCTGTTTGCCCAAAGTGAGCTTTGGTACATTTTTGGCATTTTAGTAGGTGTAGAAAAAGAAATCCCTCCCTCTCTCCCTTTCCCTTATTTTCCTCATGAAACCAGCTGATAAAAGCCGGTCTGAAATCTTCAGAGGTTAACCACGACCAGGAAGCTTTAAGAGGCAATGTTCTACTACAGAGGTCAATATTGCTGCAAGCAGCTGCTACACAGCAAACATTTACATTGAGTCAGAGGGTTTATATTTGAGTCTGCACAGGCAATAAAGGCTTATGTAAATATACAGCGGCTCTTAACTGACTCCGTTTACATGGTAACTATCTGCAGCAGTTTGAGAAAGCTGGTCCTGAGTATCTTTATGACCACAGTTCATTAAAGATATCAGAATTCCATCAGGATACAGACAGATTGTGCAGCCTTACACAACTGAAACATGCACTCCAGGTTCATGGCACTTAGGTCAGACAATGTGAGTCCCAGTATTTCCAGGTCCAAGCTTTAGCAGACTTGGCAAACACAACTGACATTAAAGAAACTTTGTGTTATTATCATATTTTCCTTCCAGTTTCTACAAAGAACTGAAGACACTCTGGTTGAGTCTCTGTCACTCTTGACATCCCTGTAAATTCGAAGTCCAATTCAAAGACATCATCACTTCTGACTGCGAGCTGGTGGCAGCCCCACAAACCCACATCAGTCAGCACCACACAGCTACACAAGGCACGTTTCTTTCTATAGCACACACGTGTCCACTTGAGTGTTTGCTGCTTCTGATAAGCAGCTAAAAGTAGAAACCATCATGTCAAGATGTCTCGAAAATAGACCAAGCTGAGCTGTGTCGTTTGAAAAAGCCTTTGTTGTCAATCAGGAGTTGTGTTTGCCTTTTGCTTCCACTGAAATCAGACCAAGTTAAAGCCTAAAGGGGATCAACCAGTTGTTTATTCCAGGAGGGTTTCAGCAGTTGTCACCCTCTATTAGCGCAACAGAGGAGAAAAACCTATAAAAGCGGGTACATACTCTCCCAACAGTCTCATAAAACAGCGACAGATGAGTAAGTGGACAAAAGCTCCCTTTTCTCCTTTCTGGGAATTACTTATCCTCCTTTCCCTGAGAGTGCGTCACCACATCGTGAGAGGGAAACTATAAAATGTTTGGATAAAATAAATGAAACAGAGGAATGTGAAGAGCTTTTTGGGTGCATGAGAGCGGAGGAGGACAAACACGATGGGGAAGATGAAGAGGGATAAAGATTTTGATTGCACTGAATTTCTGCAGTTTTTACCTCAGGTCGGTATTTGAAATGCTAAAATGCCCTGTGCAGAAAGAAACAAATCCTGGTGTTCCAAACAGGCAGGAAATACCTTTCGCAAACAAAAACAAACAGGAAAAAAAGACAGTAAAATGAATTGTAAACAGCTGTTTGTTGTTTTCCCAGCCAAGGTTAGCCAAACTCACGAGGGTTACAATCAGAGCAACCCCAACACCCATGTGAACTCATTAATGATTACTATCTGATGACAGTATAAGCCCCTAGAAACTTGAAATAAATCAGTGTTTTCAATCACTGTCCTTTAAAAGAGGAAAAGAGATAAATTAGTATTTTGAATGAGCACATGCTAAAGATAGGAGGTGGTAGTGGTTCTCCAAGCTGGTCGCCACCTATAAAGTGCTAAGACAAAGGTTTTTCTTGGTTTCTCCTCTTGTTCACGTGCTGGAATGGGTTATCACACTGAGATTGAAATTATGAAGTGGCTCTACTTTGCTCTTCAGCGTCTGTTAAAAAGAGGTAAACTGGAAACAGATGCCATAACTCTGCTGTTACTGGGGTACCTGGTGTCTTTGGAAAGCTGTCTGTTCAAACAAGAGGAGGTTCGAGGCAGCTGGGTGAGAGCCTCCTCCTGTGTTTGGTCAGAGGATATTGTCTAGCTGTCAGAGGTGTCTACATCACTGACACTTTAATAAAGACTCTGTGGGGTGGGAGTGAAGTGAGGTGAGATGAGGTTGGGACAACTCGACTGCAGGGGGGTGAGTATTTGATGAGGGTTCGTTGATATCTGCTGGGAAACACATACAGTGCATGCAGAACAGGGACACATAGATGGGTTAGAGCTCCATGAAGCAGTCACAGTTTTACCCCCAAAACCTGCTCAAAGGTTTTGTTTTAATCAACAGTAGCATGACTGTACTGTGTATGTAGACACACTGGTGTTTGCATGTTGTGTCTTTTGCACATAGGTTTAGTGGGTTCTGCACCAACTGGAGTCAGCTCCATAGACAAACTTATCTCACAGGAGTCTCAGGAGTCACAGGAGTGTAGTGGACATGCTGAGGCAGAGGCCTTGCTTTTCTCTACCTCTCTAAAAGACCCACTATTAAGAAAATCGTGTTTTTCTTGTGGTGCCAAGATTAGCATAAAAAAAATCCCATATGAACATATAAAAAATATGTTCATATGGGATTTTTCTGATGCTACAGGACATATCATGAGAGAACTAAGTGCAAAATTGCACTTCTGGGTATTTCTGCATTCAAATTGCTGTGAATCTCTGGCAGACCTGAATGGCAGATTCAGAAACAGTGAGATTTCCTATGTAGCAAATCCAAGCTCCGCCCCTGGAGCCTCGCTATGCAGGCTACAGTCTGCATATAGAGAAGGAGTAGAGAGGACGATTGCGGAAAAAGAGTGTGCGGTAGCGGGTTGCACTGCTCGTAAGAAAGCTAATAATAATAATATTAACTTTCATCATGTCCCTTAAGACATTAGTGTAAAAGAGCTGAATAGCTTCTATGATACCTGACACTTCTGCTGCACAAGCAATGTTAAGCAGCAAGCTAGCATGAAGAGGAGCGTGCAGAGCAGCGCTGTCTCTGTCCACGACTCAGAGGCGAATGGCTAATGAGCTACTGGAGCTCTGCAGAAGAAAAGCCCTTTTCAATAATGACAATTGAAAGACCACTGAGAACACTTTAAGTAGTAAAAAAATAAGTTAAAAAAAAAACAAAAAATGATGCGAACATGGATGCTAATGCTATGTAAACATGAGTGACTGGCAGACGCACATCTCCCTGAGCCTTTATTGTCGATACTGCCACCTTGTGGAGATGAAGGTTTTAACATTTCACCCTCAATCAGACAAATGCTGCTTTCTCAATGGCTTACCATTGTACCATTTACCCATAAGTGCAACATTTGTAAAGTTTTTTTTTCTCGTCAATAGAGAGTGAACACTGTGCAGTAGTCTCTTTCCTTTTTATAAATACTTTATTTTCTTTATCACTGTTTGCTGATTTGTCTGTGTTCCAGTCTGTGTACTTAGTTGTCTGCACCTTATGTTTTCTCTGACCTGACGGGAGTGGAACTCTGTATAAGCCCATCGGCTTCGTTCCCTCCTTGCACTGTTTTTAATCTGTGCTAAATAAACAAAATACAAAAAAAATACAGTAGATGACCTTCAGCATAGCTCCTGTTCGGAGAAGCTAGCAACAGTTACTACCGGTCAACAAATCTTGGCACCACTGCAGATGAGGGAAATACATATTTAAGCCATCTAAAAAGTCCTTCACTTAAAAAAAAAAACTTCCACTTTTGTTCAAGTTTGAATTTTGATGAAGCTAGTCTTTGCATTGTACTGAAACACCAGTAAAACAGCAGCAAAGACAGCTCAAGTATGAGTGCAACTGTAACATAAGAGTAGGAAAAAGCATGATCATGTGTAAACGCAGCTACTGCACAGATATCAGAGTCTCCTTACAGGAAGCAGTTAGCGACTCCTGCTCTGTAATTTCCTCTCAGGAGTCTCCAGAGGAATCTCCTCAGAGGAAGAGAGACACGGTCAAACCACCTGTTCTTCAAATACATTCATGCAGCCTGCAATTTCTCCATGAGGAAGATCACTGGAGATACCACTTTGAGTTGAGAGGGAAACATATGCAGCCTTTGAAGGAGGAGGATATAAAAACTATAATTGCAGGTGAGAGTACGGTGAAGTATTTTCTTCATAAAAACACTGAATGCACGTGACAGTCTTTGCTACTAATGAGGTGTGATTTCATGCAGAGGCTGTCCAAAAATTGACTGTAAATTTTCCAGAGGGCGTGTGTGAAGAGGGATTTAAAAAGAGTTTCTGAAGTAGTCCTCTTAATACTAGATGTAACTGCAGCTTCCCATGATGCACTGCGCTGATACAGCCAAAGAGGTACGTTAACTCCTGAAGTTGATTTCCAGTAAGTCTCTGGTCTGGAGGGCAGAGGGGGCAAGCTGTCCCACCGACCGGTCACTTATTAACCTGTCTCCACAGAGATGATGACGGGAACACGGCCTATTGTCTGGAAGTCATTAAGAGAGCCAGGGGTAGCCTGGGAGTGGCTGCATACCTCTGTAAAACCCCCAGCATGAGAACACACACGCACACACACACTCACTCACTCACTCACTCAAAAACACACAAAGATACACACTCCTTTTACTCTCTTTTTTCAGCTGTGACCTGTTTTCACTTGTTTCATTTCTCTGATAACAGTGCAGATCAATTGCCTGTCACATCTTTATTAGAAAAATCTCTAGAAATTTACATAATGGTCAAATAAGAGTTACAACACAGAACCATAAGTCAGACAAAAATACAGAGTTTAAAGGGTTAAAAGAAAAGACAGAGTGCAACAAAAGATAAAAATATAACTAAGCTGAGCAGAATTGTGTATTAGCCTATTAAAGAAGACGCCGAAATGATGATTGGTGGTTTTATTATGTGAAATAATGATTAAATTCTAGTTTATATGTTTAGTGTTTTAGTAAAGTTAGTAAAAGCTTTTTAATGTGTGTTTTTGACCACAGAAGCATCTTAAAACTCTGCTCTGTGTCCCAGTCATGACTGTATTAATAGCCACTGAGAAAGAGGAGGGGGGTGCCAGGAATCCAGGCTTTAAGCACAGCTCTGATGGGGGAAAGTGGGGGAGGGGTGAAAGGGTGAGGAAGGGGCCACAGAGCAGAGATAGATGGATGGATGGATCAGTTTGGGTGGAATCAGTCTACGGTGTAAAGATCAGACGTCAGAGTGTGAGAGACAGTTGGAGACGGCTCAGCCTGTGTGGGAAGTCTCCACAGACGGCGTGTTTTATGTCAAGTGTCTCTCAGAGATAAACTCACAGTCCTGACTCAAGAAGATGTACAGCTACTTAAATAAGAACAAAGTTAAAAAAAATAGACCCACTTATGAAACAACCACTGAGTTGAGAAATCGGTATTTTTACTTTTATTTTTTTAGTAAAATTCTGGTGCATTTTTATCTTTTTTAGCTAGGACAGCTGAAGAGAAAAAGGAAATGTGAAGGAAGAGAGGAAGGGAAGAGATGCAGCAAAAGGTCCTGGCTGGGAATCGAACCAGCAACAACTGCAACAAGTACTACAACTTGTCAGTGTGTGGTGCTTAGACTGCCAGGCCATCAGTACCCCTTCACTCCCAATGATACATTGATTTATATAACTGAACATTTCCATTGATGGTGAAGTCAAGCCTGATTTATAATTCTTCATTAAACTCACACCAAAGCATTCGATATAGGTCCGAAAAGCCTTGTATTGTAGCAGAAGCCTATCTTGCAGCCCAACACCCACAGTACCTCCCAAAGAATGTAATTACATGTCGAAACAATGATACAGAGACCATAGACATCGCTCTGCTGACTTGCCTTCAGGTGGAATATTGCAGAGAGACTCTCAAAGACAGCAATGTTCAGTGCTCAGGATCTGATAGAGTTTGGTTTTTCATTCCACCACCAAGGGACAACAGGAGATAAGAGTCTGGCAAATGACTTAGGACCTTGTTTCAATGGGAACATCAGGCGCCTATCACTGGCAAAGCGTAACAGGCAGGAGGGAATTTAGATCTGGGATAGGAGACTGCAGGTAAACAGGAGCTGATTTAGTTGCAGTTTAGTGGACAAGAAGTAGGGCTTTACATTTAATGCAGGTTGCTACTGGAAGCCAGTAAAGAGAAATGAACAGCGGAGTGGCATATGCTGGTTTGGGTTAGTTAAAAATCAGTCGGACTGCTTCGTTTTGGATTATCTGCAGAGGTTTGACTGTGCACACAGAGAGTGCTGCCAGTAAGGAGTTGCAGTATGCAGGATATTACAAGAGCCTGTACCAACAGCTGTGTTGTGTGCTCTGTTAGGTAGGGTGTGATCCTCCTGATGTTATAGAGGGCCAATCGGCAGGACTGTGCTGGCTACTACTGTATATCTAGGGTGTGTTGTTAGTTCATAAAAGCTAGCTAACTTTGATGGCTATCCATGCATCATGGGATTCTACATATTCCCCCTAAATTCCCCTCCAGTGCAGGAGTTTTCTTTGATGTCATGGATGAAAACAGCACTGGTTGAGTTTATCCGTCTTTTAACACCACTGCATCTATACCTCACTCTGCTGAGTGTTTTCATTTGACATCATTTGTTCCATTTATGCAAACATGCACACCGGCTAGTTGCTAATTTAGTTTGGACCAAGATCAGAACATTTCAGAGCCTCCAGTGAACTCAATCTATCCATCAGATTATTCTCAGACTGTGACAAAACTGAAAACTGAAGACCTGCTGCTCATAAGAATGTGTACATGAAGATAAGAAACAGATAGCATCGAGGTTGTGTAATGTTAGGGGGAGATGGAGCTCCTAGAAATTGGAACCACATTTCCATCAAATCCTGTTGCTTTGTGTGGGGATAATTTAAAAGCAATTCTGCGTTTATTCCCGCCAGTGTAAACTTACACTAAACACGACTTCTGCGCAGTTTGTTTCCCATCGTTATAGAGCGAGTTCAGTTTTTTTAAGAGGGGTTGTATGAGGTCCTTGTTAAGTGTCTCACCCACTGGGGTTCTGGGTCAGGTTGGCCTTAACTGGCCAAAGAACCAGCGAGGTAAAGGGGCCAAAGAGGTTCCATGTGTGACCACATCTTTGTGCTCATTTTAAGAAACCATGATCCAAACACTGAAGTTGATGTGGGTGTGCTTACTCTTTGTTTAGAAAACTTTAAGTGCTTTTTGCCAAAGAGCCATTTAGTGTACAGCCTGTTTTATAGACGCCATTAAAATGTAAAGTCACATGACATATTTACAGCCAACAGTTAATGTATGTACGTCTTTTACTCAGCCTTTAAATGTTAAGAAATCTCACCTCTTATGTAACGTGACGGGAGTGCTGTACTCCATAAATCAAATGCACCTCGTGTGTGTGCTTTTAAAGAGACCTGTAGATAACCTGCTGACCTGACTGCACTTATCTGATCTGTTCATCTGCTAATGAACACACACACACACACACACACACACACACACACACACACACACACACACACACACACACACACACACACACACACACACACACACACACACACACACACATAAAGAGTTGTAGGAATGTGTGTTTAAGTCTTTGCAGGAGTAGTCTCTTGGTTTTTAAAGAAACTTTTGGGTTTGAGTATTTCATGTTACACTGTGACCGTTCACCAGATTGATGTGTCGAATTGAAGAGAATTTGGGGCTTTCAGCATTGACTGAACAAAATCAGTAAAAGCTTTAAAAATCTGGAGAAACTTCTGAAGAAAAGGGACCAGTCAGAAAACCCACAATCTTGGGGTTCTCAGGCAACACTGCCTGAAATGCAGATGTGACTCTGTAGTGAAAACCACTGCATCAGATGAATATTACTTCTCGAAACCACTTTCCATGAACATATGTTGCTTGTGCATCCACAAATGCAGGTTAAACTGTCACATGCAAATGGAAAAGTATTGATAACTCTCAGCACGTTTACATTTGTTCAAAAAAATCTAGTTATCGCTTTGGTACGACTGAAATTGAACTTTAAAAAACAGTAAAACAATAATCTGACCTGAATCACACTAAATCAAATTTCTCATAGTTTGGACAAACACACCTGGACAGTGCCTGCATAATTTTTTTTTCATGTACACAACTTCATTGGACTGAAATTGGCAAAAACATTCTGAGCCTCTTGGGTAAAGGGTTTGCACCCATAGCTTTGGCTTGGAATTTAAACGTGCATCTAGGAACCTGAACAGACAAAGACAACACATATCTTTCCTATCATACAAACAAAAGGCACAGAGCTGTAAAGGTGACGGTGTTTCCATAGTTTGATTCCAGACCCGTTAGCATCTTGCCAAGGCATTTTGTTGATTGTTTTGGCCAACCTGAAAGGGGGCATGTTGAGACAGGAGATCAACTTAATTCAAGCTGTGACTGTGGCTCGTCTTTGGTGTGGATGTAAACATACTGAGTGATTTAGAAATGCATGAGACTCCTCTGGGCCCAAGATGAACAGAGGCAAAGCAGAAAACACACTTCTGGTCTGACGAATAAAAATCTTAAAATCTTTTTGGAAATCACAGATTCTACATTCTCGACTTGAAAGATAAGATAGTACCTGATTTGTTATCATCACTTAGAAAAGCCAGACTCTGTGATGCTTTCCTGAAGTCCTGACTTGTTACTGACAGGAAATGTTCGGTGCATCACGGACCAGAAAACAAGAAAAAAGGGAGTTGTATTTTAAAATGTGGTGCAAATCGGTGAGATGAAGGTTCAGGTTGGATTGATGTAGAAGAGGAGTGATTGAAAGAATGAGTCAGAGAGGAAGAGGAGAAAAGGGGTCGATTCAGTAATCCTTCCCCGCTCCATGTACTCGCAATGAAGCACATGAACCAGCACAATGGCTCATTGACACGGCTACTTTAGCACTGTAATTGGCTACAGCGGGGTTGCATGAAAGTGTGATGGTGTACGGGGGTAGAGGAGGAAGTGCAGACATTGTTGAGGAGGTTTAGGTCTTTGCCCTAATCCTAATCTTAACTAATTCCGGTTACCATGAACCATTAAAGGATATCAACAGCTCTGTCCTTACAAACCTCCCTAATGAAAACACAGAGACACATACACTGGTTTTCCTTTCAAGAATTTCCATGTACCGAGTCTGAACAGTTGGAAATGTAATACATTACTCGTCATTACTTTTTATGCTCATGCCATAAAAAGAAACATATTTTATTAAAAACTATGGCTGGATATCAAAGACACATTCAGAGCAGAATAAAGGAAAGTTGGTGTTCATCACTCATACAGATGCCAGCTGCAGGTGTGTTTCAGCAGGTCTCAGAAAGTCATGATGAAGGTGCACAGAAACAGCTGGAGAGCAGGCTGGAAGCCAGACGCATGAATACACACACCTCTATGGCAGAGAGCTTCAACTGGGAGTCGAGCCAGCTCTCTCTCTATCTCTCTCTGTCTGTGTGTGTGTGCGTGTGTGTGTGTGTATTTGTGTACATTTCACGTTAATCAGGCCTGTTAGAACAGCCTACTGAACCTCATGTACTGTATCCTCCTCATGTCTGTTTCCATCTGATGGGTGAGGATGTGGCAGGAACACCAGGCTGCATTTATCGTTATATAACCATAACGATCGAGCAATCTGATTGGACAAGAAGCATTCCATCCCAGTACTGGAGCTTTGAACCATGTACCACCCTTGTTAGGTGTTACAAAAACTATTTTCTTTTATGTTACAGCTAATGGTGTTCTTGTTGACTGACCATGCAGGTACCCAAACCTAACTGAAGCTGACCATAGACTGTATATAGAATGGACACAGTCTTCCCCCTCGTTGGGAGAAGCCACTGCGAGAACAGCAACTTCTGGTAACGGGCTGCAGTATAGGCCATACATCCCGCCTCCTCCAGCAATCTCTATGGAGCTGTGGACAAACTTTAGAAATTTATTACACAGGATAAAAATTTTCCCCCCTGCTTGGGATGTTGATATGTAGTTATTGCAAAACTGGTTTGTGCTTGAGTCCTCTTTTTTCTCTTTTCCATTTTTAAAAGTTATTAGGGGGTTCATCTTTTCTATGATTGACACTTGATACAGCCTATGAGTGTATGAAGATTGCATCACTCACCTGGGGGATATGCTGTTTGAGCAGAGCGTCATCACAGTGACTCTCATACATACATGCATACAACATACTGTGCAAGTGGTGGTTCCAGGAAGTGGAGAAAAACTCGGAAATACCGAGAGCAATTTGGCTTCAAATTCGTGTAATGATGGAAGGCGGAGCCAAGTTGTTCATAGTATATACAGTCTATGCAGCTGACTCATATGCATAAATGTGTGCATAAATAAAAATAGCTTGTTTGTTGTAACATGCAAATGAAGTTGCAAGAGTGCAGGAGAACATTTGTGTGTTGCCTAACAGTTAAGATAAAGCCAGATTCCAAAAGCCAAACAAGAGCCTCTCTCCACTAACTACAAACTTCGCAGCACCCATAACTTCAGTGTCAATACACTGAGGTACACAGAAAATTTTGTGCTGAAGAAGCCGAGCACTAAAATCACAGAACTACCTTTGAACACAAGATAGGTACTGCCAGAACAATGAAACAGTATTGGTGGACACAGGCCCTTACACTTTCTTCACAACATTACATGTAATATAACATTACACATGGCATTAAGTTGTACACTGTATGTCTTGTCGTTCTGATATGAAACGCTGTACTTTATATTGTGTCAACTCCCCCCCGCCTCCAACACACACACACACACACACACACTTATGCTCTCTGCGTCAGCTACAGTCTCATATCACTAAAATCCATCTAATCACACACACACACGCACACACACAAACACACACACACACACACACGCACACACACAGTTTTAGCTCCTCCCCTTGTAATCCTGTGGCGTGGCGGTATATCAAAGTATTTTTCTTCCTCTCATGTTTTGATCTGCAGCAGTGGTTTTGGCTAACAGCAGGGGATCTCCCATAGTACAGACACACAGAAACAAAGGTATCCTTGTGTTTTCAGCTCTGACCGCACAATTTCAAGGAAGATAACATTCATGCGATGTATCCACCACATAGTTTGGTAATTACAGGTACAGGAGGTACCATAATTTGCATAATGTGTGCATGAAGGTGCATGTGTTTTAAACATTTTTTCTCAGTAATTTCTTTTTCTGTAAACTTTGCAGTAACTTTGATAAGAAATGCATGCTGTTGTTAAATCCTATACTTTAAAATACTACACTGATAGTTGGCTGCCTGTGATGGTGCACTAAACACACTCACACAGGATATTCAGAGGTCATGCGTCGTGTCAGTGGTGGACTTTCAGATAAGCCAGAGCTTTGTGATGAAGCAACTCTGTTTCACAGAAAAAAAAAAACTATCTTAATACCCCCCTCATAAATGTCAAACTTTCCACAGCATGACGAAGCTGTTTAAAAGTCAATAACAACCCTCTGACATTCAAGTGACTCACAGCAGCTTTGAAGTGCTTGTAAAGTACAACAGTTTGACACTTGATTTACAGTCTCTGGGTTCACTGTTTACTTTTGGATTTAAATGTAACACTTAATAAAAGTCGCGATTATATTCTGTTGACTGACAGAAAGGTACACGTGATACATGAAAGCTGACATCTGCTCTTGAGGCATCTGTACGCTGCCTGAATATGAGATGTACCTGTGTATTAAAGCGAAATGTTGATGTAACAGTAGGCTGAAGCTGATTATTTACAACAGAATGAAGTGCAGAAATGTTTAGAGATTATTTCAGTGATATTGGAGAGTTTAAAACATTAGCTACTGAAGCCTATAAACTGTCTGGAAACTCATCCTCACTGCACTGTGGTCTGGTCTACTGTACCTGTACTATTATCACAGCTGCTAATCTTCCTGTGATAACTTTTATGTCTGTGTCGTTGCATTAGCCTGCAGATATGAGTACTATCATGATCACTGCACAAACTTTACTGTTAGGAGTGCATTTCTCTTACTGCACCCTCTTTCCCCCTCAGCTTGAGAAACTCTTCTCTTTTTAAAAGTCCTGTATGACTGACTTTTATCTCTGCATATATAAAGCCTTAACTTTTTGGGAAAACTCTTAAAAACCGTCATGAATCTGGGAATTGTTTTGTCACTCTCACTAGACTAGAAATCTGTGTGGATAAGGCGACATGGATCCTATTCAAACAATGCAAGAACAAGGGCTAAAGTATATGGTGCAAGGCCTTATTTTGTCCATGGTAGTATGTATGGTAATGCATACACATGTACAGATATTAATCTGTTAAGTAGCCAACTTAGCTATCTATTTGAACATGCATGAAATCAATAAAAATGTGATCAAAAAATGACAGCCTTGCATGTTTGTTTTTGAGCAGATGAGGAAGCACGCTCTGGAGATTTGAACTCAGTATTCAGCCTTTTGGTTCTTGTTCAGAGCACACGGATTGACAGCAGAAATTGGATAGTGCTGCAAGAAAAAGAAATCTGACAAATAAACAGACAAAAAAGCAAACAGCAAGCGTGCTTAGTTCCTGGAATCAATGGGATGATTGGTAAGTGTTTGCTTCACGAAATTCCTGCAGAGTTGCAACACATAAACACACTCAAACCCATGTAGATGATTTTTCTCAGCTCGTGTCCTTTTTGATTTTCTAGAAATGCATCAAGACACAAAGGAAAGCAATCCTGTAAATAAGGGCTACTAGAGGAAAACTGCACACTCATCATCAACTGCTTGAGGGAAACAGGACCCACAGCACGGGTAGAGGGTGGGATATTCCCTTTTTGGTTTCATCAGAGCAAAAATCAAGTCAAAGACAGGCACATGTCCAACTATGTAGCAGAGATATGATCTGGTGTGATCACTTTCAGGCACTCGAAGATGAATTTCAAGTCCAACTCCACAGGACGTGCGTTTATGAGCAGCATCCCAGGGTGACAGTGAAAATCTATTCCTGATAATCACTCAAAAACCACTGTGCTCTAAAACACGAGACAGGCCATCTGGTCACCGCAAGCAATAAGATATGATGTAAGCCAGACACAGACACAACATAAAACCGGCTTTGATACACCCTTGTGATTGAGAAAATGTCAGCTCTCCAGGAACTCAGTAAACAATCCCACCAGTAATAGATTGCTCAGAAAGAAGGAGGTTTTTAAGACCGGAGGTTTGGATTATTTTGACACCAGATCACAGTCTTTCAGGTGAAGCTAAAACGTGAAATTCCTTGAAAATAGACTTGCAAAATTTGCAGGAGATGACAGTTAAAATGACAAACCAGAGCCTCCATTTCACAATGCTTATTACACATATTTGAGTCAGGTCTGAAAGCCACACAACCACACTAACCTCACCTCCCAGGAGCAGCTCGACTCATGTTACTGTACTTCATAAATCCTTAAACATCCCGGCGGTGAGCCATTGTAAAACCACAGGGGCACAGCCAGTGAGTTGTGCGACTTATCCACCCGGCCACAATATAACATGGCTTCAGTAAAACTCATTCTGCCTCTCTGCCACAGCAGCTCTGTCCCAAACTAGAAATTACATCCCAATTACTGGATTAGCTCCTCTGGAATTGTATATCAAATTTCCATCTGTGTTGAAAAAGATCTGGTAATTGAGTTTGCAGCGGTGGGTCAGTACAAATAAGTTAAATGCTTCTGTGTGCAGCAGCCCAGGAGGTCAGAAACTACACACTGTCATGCACAAACTTCTTTGAGACTTAAATGCACTTCTTCTCTTTTTCTACACGTCAAGCTTTAGTTTACAGCTGGTGTTTATACTTCTACAGCTGGTAAAGGATGCCTGAAAATATACTTAAATAAATGTTACTTTACCAAGCCAATATACTGTATATACAATATGAGTGGAAATTGCAGCAACAATAAGATGAGAAGCAAATGGCTGTTCAATGTGATCAGGGGCTCAGAAATAGCTCAGACATTAAGCTGAAGTTGAGACTAAAGTTTGAAAAAAGGATTTATGGTTAAAACTGTGAACTTATTTAAAGTGGTTGAAGTAGTTAGTTAAGTCATGGTTAAAAGAAGCTGTCCAGTTTCCCTCACTTATATGTCAACCAAATATTCAAAGCAGTTATCTTTGTGTTATTCATAAAGTTAGCAGCAGATAGTAATGCCAAAGAAGGCAAGACGTTATAAATTAACAGTTCTGTTAACTTAAAGAAATGACAATGGTTCAAACTGTTTGTTCAAATCACCAAGTCTCAAGCTGGTTGAAGATAATTAATACTGCTAAAAACTACAAAGGTAGCTGGTTTAAACAATTTGCAATGTGCTCAGCAAGTGTCTGAAACAGTTAGCAAATACTTTTATAAATTAAAGGGATTCGTTCTGGTTTGAGTCATCGTTTAAGGCTTAAATGATGACTAACATGTTCTTCACTGAAGGAAAGTGATAGTTGTCAACAATACATGGAGCTTTAAGGCATGATTAAGAGATGACTTTTTAATCAACGAATGACGAAGTTATTATTCAGTTTGCCAAAGGTCACAGATTATTCTTAAGTTTTTACAAGATACATGGCTACAACGTTTAGCTGTGTAACAGGTTTCATCATTACAAAAACTCAAGTTCATCTTAAAGATGACAGCAGTACTCACATTAGTCTTGCTTGACACAGCAAAGGTGGCTCGGCTGGAGAAGCGAGCAGTGGATGGACTGCTGTTGGACACCGGGCCCGTCATCATCGAGGAAACTCTGGAGCCAACAGGAGGGCTGCTGGAGCTTGGTGAGGATGAGTAGGCTGCAGGTGGTGATGCAGGACTGGACTGACTGCTGAGGCTGTAGTTCTGGGCTGGGCTGCCCAGACTACAGGACGGGATGTGGAGGTGAGCCTGGCTCTGAGTGTGAGCCTCACCCTTCCCATAAATCACCTCTTTTATCTCCTGATGGTTCTCCTGAATGTCACTGAGGTGGTTCTTGTGATTCTGGCTGTGGTTGAGGCTGTTGTTCATCAAGGTGTTCCTGTCACACGTCAGAAGCTCCACCTGTCGGGTAAGAGCCTCCAGCTGACTCCTGAGCTGCCGGTTCTCCTGCTGGAGCTGAGCTACAGCTCGCCCCAGAGGCCCAGTCAGGGTGGATGTCTCCTCCATACGGCGCTCCATACCCAGCTTGAAAGTGCTGACATCCACATGAATCTCCCTGATGGCGTCCCGAAGGGTGTTCTCAAAACGGGCCAGAGCATCACACACCGTCTCTCCCTCTGGAGAAGAAGAGCAGGGGTGACACAAGTCTCCCATCTCAGCCAGGGTTGGAGCTTCCATTGGTGCAGCTTTAGCCACTGGTGACGCTCTGTAAACAGACTGGACAGAAAGTGGATCTTCTCGTCAGTGGGGAATGTGTATCTCCAGTCAGAGTGCAGTGGGTTTGGCTCGAGGGGATGGAGGGGAAGGGGGGATGATGGACAAGGGCTGTGAGGTGAAAGTTTGCAGAGGGGGAGCAAACGTCTGGTCTGTTTTATCCTCACTCCTTCAGCTTAGCCCCTTGGTCGACTGGGGCTGCTCCTCCTTCAACAAGTAAAGATGTCTCTCTCTGTTGTGCGTCTGAAACACAAAAAGGATGAAGCTTGACCTTTAGCCTGTGAACAGCTGTAAAAACCCTAAAAGATCCATAAAAGACCTGACCAACCAAGGAGGACCTGTGGAGAAATGCACTCATTAAGAAAATATTCAAGCTCTGACAGTCTGCCTTCATTCAGAATCTACCATAAAAAAGTGCCACAAACTGCTCTGCTCATCTGTATTGCATTACACCAACCAAGACACCTTTTTTTGAGGGGTCAGAGTAACAGAAAGAAAGCGCACGTCTCTCTGAGCCAAGAGTGTTTCCTAACAGCCATAAAACACAGAAGTGAGGTAACCGTCACTCACCCGATCCCAACCTTAGCTTTCCGATACAGCTCACCGACAGTTTCCTCAGCCCTGAACAGCTGTAAGTGTGTGTGAGAGAGTGTGTGAGCTCTGCCGGCACTCTGGTTTGTTTAAACTCTCAGGTTGATCACTCCTCCGTGCTTGACTGGAGGAGGGAGGAGAAAGGGAGGATAAAGGGGGAGGGTGTTGGTGGTGGTGGAGTGAAGAAACAACATGGAAAGAGTAGTAAATGTGAAGGGAGGGGACGGGAGGGAGGTGGATAGGTTTGCTTTATACCCCTGCACTGTGTAAACTATTGGAAGAGTGACTCCCCCTTCTCCCCACTTACTCGTTGCACCTCCTCCTTCTCCCTCCCCTCCTTCTCCTTATCATAGGTATTATTTTTCAGCTCTTTTCCTCATTCTTTGTGTGGTAAAAGATCCTTTCATTGAAGAGCATCTGTCAAGTGTGATCTTACAGTTGTTATTATATAGTTGATTCTCATTGGTCAGTCATAGCATTTTAAAGTCTAATATTTCTCTATAGCACACTGTTGCTATGGAGAAAAGACTGTTGCTAGGGGACAACTGCAATGTCAGACCTCTGAGGACTTACTGTAATTCTGCAAACCAGCAAAGAGAGGTCTAGTAGATTTGACATTGTTGTATTTTACAGTTTTATAAAAACAAAAAAAAATAACAAAAAAGAAAAGTGGAAAACATTGGATAGAAAGCATCGGGGAAAATAAATTAATGGATTTATTTAACATCAAACTGACATGGTGGTATGAGACACAGTAATGGGACACACTGTTGAAAAACTGGCGGATAACTAAAGTATGAGAGAACCAAGTCATGATAGAAATTTCAGTGTTTTGAGTGTTTTCAGAAATGTTCAGAGGGGTCTGGCTGCAGACCTCCACTGTCAGGACCAACTCTACTGAATTGACTGTTGATTCAAAGCCTTTCAAATTGACAGTGATTACACCAGGAAGTACATATTTCATGTCTCGTGAATATATGTTATTTCTTTGGGCTTTATTTTATGAATATAATGTTAATATGATTTTTTGTGTATTCACGTGTTCAACAAAAAGAAAATACAAAACGGGATGACCACTTCCAGAGTTATTCTATAGATAGAAAACACAAACTTAATTTACAGCTATTGTTATCCCTACAGTAAGGAGCTTGGGTTTGTGTATATTTTGGTGATTTTATTCTCTTTGACTGACACCTACTTCCCCTAGCAGCAGGTACAGACATTAAAAAGGACTGCATATGAGTATTTAATCTTGTCAATAATGACCTTGTCGGTTTTTGTGTATCATAAAGAGACAAACGTAAATGTTTCACTCCTTATTATAGCCTGTTAAAATCTTTCAGACTTTTAAAAGAACCAACAAACAATGGAAACAAAAGAAATGAAACACTTTTTAAAGTTTACCTTATGAACTCTTTTGGACTCAGATTAGTTGACCTACAGGGTTATGTTGGGGTTGAGTGTGTGTCTGTATGAGTGTAAGGGTGTGTGTATGTGTGTGTGTGTGAGGGAGTGTGAAAACAGCAGTAAGGGAGTGTTAGGAGATGAGGAGGGAGTTTGTGGAGCTGATTTGCTGGCAGACTGACCCTCTGTCTTCCCGTCTTTGAACACACACACATGTTAAATGCATAAGTTACAAGAACTTATGATAAAATATATTTTGAATAATTAATCGAAAGAGCAGACAAAATGATATGGGATTTCATTTGGATTAACGTCTAAACACGTATTTTAAAAGTCTGAGTTTAGTTGAAATAACACAGTAAATCAATTCTAACATCTAACAATATTATTAATTTAATTAAAGCTTAATTTCAGTCACAACGTTTTCATTGCTGAAGTCCTCCTCAAAGTCCCTTCTAGCCCCTATTCGGGTCACTGGGCCCCACTTTGAGACCCACAGCTTTCCAGTAACAGTGAGTCAGCAGCTAATGTGGTATGAACTGAATAAATCAGAGCGGTAAAAAATGAAAAACTTCAGCTGTCGTCATAACAATAGCTCAGCCCAAACTGCCTCCCACATCCTTTTTTCTTTGTTTTGATAATGACCGAATGTGTTTTAGTTCTGTGATGCAGACTCCCTCTGAGGTCTCAGACGTCCACTCTGATTATTAGGAAGGAAGGGTCTCATTTGGTCTCTTCACTGTACTGGACAACATGTGCTGTACTTCCAAGTGCACACCAAGGTGTTCTTTGGGTAAGCTGGATATAAACTGATTCCCCAGTTAGGAATGAGGAGTATTATAACTGGTTTTTGACTTTTCTGGTAACTGAGCCTTTGTGCTTCAGGCTCCCTGGGGAACATAGGTGACTGATGCATCATTTGACCTTTTTTTCACTAGAAGAAACTGAGAGCTGGCTGTCTGCTTTAAACCAGTTTCCTGATACATTAGCTGTTGTTTCATAACAATTTAGGCCTCGGGGAATGATGGTCTACCTCTTTGGATATCTGGTGTAGCTATGACAACTTCTAGCCAAGTCTTGGCTGCATTGTTTACGGTCCAGTCAGCAACTTGAGAAGTGACAGTGTATTCAGATCAAGTGAGTCAAAAATAGCCCAGATAGGTTGCATCATTTTTGGTTCATTTCATCGCCTCAGTGTTTCATCTCTTCATTTGTTTCTGGTGGGTCTCAGTTTCACTGCAAATGCTCATTTACGTAAAAGTTTCACTCTGGCTACCTCAGGTATGAGCCCAGAAAAAAAAAAACACATTTTCATTGTGATTAACATAAGATTAACAGGTCATGAGTTTGGATAAATATCACATAAAATTCATAAAGAAAATTTAAAATCCCTACAATTTACTAGTCCAAAGGTAAGATAACAGTCAGAAACAGCTGAAATCAGGTCAAAGTTATTGGTCCCAGCTAAACATGAGATTAGAAGAAAGATTTTTAAGATACTTTTGGGGGGGTTCCCCTCAAGAAAATTTAAGTTCCAGCAGCATGCATGACAGAGGTTAGAAGAAAGAAGACTTTTACACATATCAAACTCTACTAGACTACTATACTACTTTTCTTATTCATAACTTGTACATCATAGTACACCCCTACGGTCCTCAAACAGTTAAACTACTTTTTATTGTAGAGGCATTAGAAAATAAATTTCCTGCTCGGTGCAGGGTGTCTGCCTCTGCTGATTAGGTGTGGATTAGGTCACATAGAAGCCTGGAAAACATTTGAGGTTATATATACAGAGCTCTTATAGACTAATATATATCATAGGACCAAACAGCTCTGGGCAGTAAATCTTTGACTTTATATTTATTCATTTAATATTAAAACCACAAGGATTTGCAGCAATTTTGGTCAAAGTCCAGACATACCTTTATGATACACTGTCTTATTCATTGTGTTTCCTCACTGCTCTGAGTGAGGTTACCGTCAGACATTTTAACAGTCAAGACAAAACTGAAAGGACTCAGATCCAATCAGTCCAAACACAGATCTCAGGTGGAGATAAGTGCCACCAGGTGCTCCAAATGTTGCACAATAACACAAAACAACATCGAGACAAATTGGCACAAACTGATGACACATTATGTTGTCATTCTGGTTCTCACACAGATTTGTCTTTACAGGAAAACACAAGTATGAGCACATATAATAGCTCATAAAATGTTGGCATGTGAAGACAAAACAAATCTGATGCACTCCTGACATCACCGAGAAGATCTTATGTTGTAACTTAAAATTCAGCAGTTACGAAGAACTACTCTCTGAAATGCTTAAAAATGGGTACTCTTGTTACAGCACTGCTTTAGTGAGTACAATGACTCACAGTTGGCTGGTTTGGACTTTATATTAGAGGTTTTACAGGGATAGCCCAAGATTTTTCTCAGTGAGGTTGTATGAGGTCCCTGTAAATAATTGAGTGTATTACCCACAGGAGCTACCACTCAGCTCAGAAGCTTTCCTGGGTCAATTTTAACACGTAATTAAGCTAATTTTTAATTAAGCTCACTGGTGTAAAAGTAAGCTTTATTTAGAAGCTTTCCTACACTTTACTGTTAAAGAGCCCCCTTTTTTTTTTTTTTTTTTTTTTTTTGGGGGGGGGGGGGGGCATTCATTTTGATTTCCCCCAGTATCATGCTGTTTTTATGCAGATGTGTGACTCTTTCAATAGCACCGATACTTGTGTGAGGTGAGCTCAGCCTACAGTGGTGTTGATGATTGTGGGTATGGATGGACTCACTGCCAAATCACTGGGACCATAGACTGTATCCACTGTATCCACCAATATACAGATTTGAAGCCGAAAAGCTTTCGGTATTTCTGCGATTTTTCTCCATTTCCTGAAACCAAGTTTCACACAAGTTTGCACAGTAGCATTGTACGCACTCCACCACTTGTGCCGTAGCATTGTGCACATTCGACAGGAGAGTCGCAGAGAGTTGGTGTGATGATGCTCGGCTCAAACAGCGTATCCCCGGGTGAGCTACAGAATCTTCGTACGCCAATAGGCTGTATCAAGTGTCAATCATAGAAAAGATGAACCCCCTAATAACTTTTAAAAAATGGAGGTGCACAGAAAAAAGAGGACTTGAGCACAAACCAGTCAAAAACTTCATGTCAACATCATAAGCAGGGGGGAGGAAAATTTATATCCTGTGTAACAAATTTGTAAAATTTGTCCACAGCCCTATAAGCTTTGCTGGCGGAGGCAGGATTTATGACCTATACTGCAGCCCGTCACCAGAGGGTGCTGTTCTCAGAGTGGCTTCACCCAGCGAGGAGGGAGGCAGTGTCCATTCTATATACAGTCTATGATCTGGACTCGTGACACCCCCCTCTGCTGGTCACTGGTTATTGTGATTGAGGGGTCTTTTCAATGAATCGAGCATTTCACAAGGTTCATTTACTCAAAGCTGAAATGTGTAGAAATGGAAATGTTGTATCGATAGCTAATAGCCAAGCAATCTAACAGCCATATATAGAAAAGAAAAGAAAAGAAGAATATTAAGTGATATCATGCATGTAGCTTAATTCAAGACTAAAACAAACTGGCAACGCCCAGTCCAGTGAAATGAGGTGCTAAAAATTGCAGTTCCCTAAGTGTCCACTGGAGGCTGGTTGCATAAGCGCTGGGAACCACATACTTAGCCAAAAAAAGAGCCCGTTTTAAGCAAAACAACATGCTAGTTTGGTTGTGTTTTGGTCTCTTTAACAGCATACATGCCCAAATTCACACTCGACTCTTGCGTATTCTTCTACATTATCAAAACTGAGAGCGGCTTGTTTTTAGCCTCTTTTGTCACCAGTTTGCAGCTGGCAACTTGAAAGAAGAATCCAGTTCTGTATTTACGAGAAAAATCTCTCAGAGACAGTCATTAGAGAGAAAGCTGTTTATAATTAAGTTGTTAATTATATGTATGTAAGTTTGAACATATTGAAACTGTAAAGACTCCAAACACCACCACACTCTGCCTTGGCCCCCTTTAATTTCCCCCCTATCATCATCCACATCCCCCCAAACTGAAACTCTTTGAGGGTGTTTTGGAACATACACATACTAACACTTCTGCTCTCTGCGTCAGCTACAGTCTCATATCACAAAAATCCATCTAATCACACACACACACACACACACACACACACACACACACACACACACACACACACACACACACACACACACACACACACACACACACACACAGGCTGATGGTTGTAAACATGAAGAGGAGGGCTCTGACTGAGTTCACCCACAGACAACAGTGTACGTCAGAGCTGCTAAATCTGAAACCTTATACGTCCACACTCACTCCATTTCCCATAAACACTTAACTGCACACACATATGCACAAATCTGCTGTGTGAGAACAAAAGTGACCTCTGCGTAAACACAAACATGAGTCAGTCCATGTGGGTTAGCCTCAAACAACAGCTGATAATAAACAGACAGTGTTGGAGTTCATTCAAATACTGTATGTGGTATATGTTTCACTCATACCTTTAAATATACATCAACAGAGGCAACGTGAGGTGAACAACTAACCACAAAATGACCCACTAAAAACACAAAAAAACACATTCAAACACTTGAAACCCCAGGATTTATCAAAACACACAAATGACCAAACTATTTTATAACATGGGTCAACTTAGGTAATGATAACAAACACAACAGGAGGGGAAAAATATCCCTGTTTGAGGGACAGTAAAGCAACCTTTGAGAGTGACTCTTACAGTGAGCACCTGAGAGCAGGTCAACCTCTTTAATCTGAGGTTTTGCTGCTGTGGACCTGCCTGCTTTCCAGCTGCATCAGTCTCACCTCTGCCCATCTCTCTCTTTCTGCATCTCCCTTTATCTACTCTCCAAACCTAACGCAATAGCGGAAGATGACTGAGTCTGGTTCTACCTGTTGTGCCAGGTGTCTACCTGTTAAAAGAAGTTCTTCCTCTCCACTGTAACTGGATAAATGCTGCAAAATGCTTCACTCATGCGGTTGAAGATGAGAGGGGAGTGGGTCTGATCTCTCAACCGGGGGCTTAACATTTGTGATAAATTGACGCTCTATAAATAAAGACTGATTAATGGAATTTAAAAAGCCCTACTTCTGGATGTGCAATAACCAAAGAACAGCTCAACACAAAATAACAGTTTTGCGTAATTCAATACATTTCACACAGCAGCATCATACTCTGTTCGTCACTGTTCATTTGTCTTTACATCAGCTCTCACACTGCACACTGAGGACAGCTCAGCAGGGGCGTCTCTGCCTGGAAACTAACACCGAGACACAGTTACATTCAGCAGATCCTGCCAAGCGGATCGCTGCAAGGCTGACTGACAGGCTACCTGCTGGCTTTGATCCCAGCCTGCTGCTCTTACCTGTACGTGTGTTGACAGTCATCACATCCACCCCAAAACAGTCCTGGAAGCATCAACCACTCATCACACGCCACCTCAAACCCCCCCTCCATGACATCAGAGTTTCCATGGGAACCTGTCATGACTGAACAAGGCCATACGGCTGACAGCCAACTCATGAGGTCATCGACGCTCCGAAGTTGGGCTCTAATGAAGTGCAGATGGAGTTGAGAGAGAGAGAGGGAGTCAAACAGACAGAAATGCATTGTTTTCAGTTCAGTTTGTACAAATCTGCTGTATGTGTCATGTTTGGAATAAATCTTTTAAAGAGTTTTGGCAGAGCGGAGTCAGAGCTTGCAAGACCACCCACAGAAAACAGAGTCTCAGTTAATAACAAATTAGGAGGGACCATGCAAACTTTTAACAAGTCTGATTTAATAAATCAGTCCTGGTGAACTTAAATCTGCCCCCATGACCATAAAAACCACTCTGTGGGTAAATGTCCCAATCTACTCAAAGACAAAAGGTCATTTTTTGATCAGTCAGCTTTATTTTCAAGTCGTGGTATAAACTTCATACTGAACTTTGTAACCTCCTGTGATCAGACGTGCAGAAAGATCTCCTGAGAGGGAAGAGATATCAGAGAGACACTCAGTGAGTGAGTCAGGACACGGTGTCCTCTGTGGGATTGCAGCAGGGTTAGATATGTGTGGAAGTGGACAGACCCCTAATGTCAACAGAGCGGAGGATACGAGGGACCGCTGTGAGGATGTGAATAAAGATATGGATGAGCTTAGGGAAGTAAACCTAAGATGCATTCATGCTTACATGATACTTCTGAAAACTACCCAGAATTTTCAGAAATGACCTGCACGTGTGAGCACAGATATCCTGGGTTTATTTGGATTTTTTTCTGATCAGTCCACCAATTAAACATCCCCAAGATGTAGGTGAGCCAAGGTTAGAATGCAGCAGGAGAAATCATTGCAGGTGGCTAGGTGGAGTGGGGACAGTTGTGTCTTGACTGAGCTAGACGAGTGACGTGCAAAAGTACAAAAGAATATGAGGTTGGAGAGGGAGACTAATTTTTAAGGCAAGATTAGTAAAAATGTCTGCTTGACTGTTCATTTTCTCAAAGCAATAATAATAATTATAATGCATAAGATTTCATATAGCGCTTTATCAGAGACCCTCAAAGCGCTCTACATTGGATACATCATTCATTCGCTCACACAGTCACACTTTGGTGGTGGTAAACTACCTTAGTAGTCACAGCTGCCCTGGGGCAGACTGACGGAAACGTGGCTGCCATTTTGCACCTACGGCCTCTCCGACCACCACCACACAACACTCACAATCATACACCAGTGGAGGACACACACTGGGAGCAATGATATGCAAAAATATACTGTGGCTTTCATGGCATGATTTTAAAGTCATGCTCTGACTTCCTGGACTCATCTCCTGTTCCCTGTAAACTACCACCCTCATCTGACAGGGAAGGACTTGCTTATTTTACCATATCCTACCCTCTGGTGAAAGTCCTGAAAATTTCAAGACAATTTCAGGAGAGTACATATATGAAATAAGCTTATAAGGCCCTGTTCACAAATTCTCTTCATCACTAATTTCTTTTGAGCAGCTTTTCTGAAAGACATCAAGTAATTTTAAGTGTGAAAATCTGATCTTATTCCAAAAGCCACTTTCCAATAACCATATTTGACTTGTTTGGGGTGGAATAGAAAAACAGCTAGTGTGTAGCTGTATATTTTCCCATGAGTCTATTATCTTTGGACATCATTTAAATTACAACTTATTTCTAACCATTAAATGTATGTGTTGAGGTGCAGGATGATGTCATATTCACAGAGAGCCAAACAAACAGCTCGCTCATATCCATCAATTGTTCTCTCTCTACAATCTAAACACACACTCGCTGCTCCTCAGTATCAAAACCTGCCAGCGTGTCCAGATCAGCTCCTCAGCTGGCAGTCGAGCCCTGATTCAGCATTACATCATTGTTTCCTCGTCCAGGCCCCGCAGCAGAAAACACACAATGAAGCACACACTCACGCATTTATACACGGGGAACATTAGCGGGGGTTTTGAGAGGACATCCATCTCACTGAAGGTTTGGAAAACCAACATCATTAACTCCAGCCGGCAGCAGACTTACATGTAATCTGTGAGCACTTCTGAAAAGACAGGAGATTTGTTAGAGCTGACGTCAGACACTACAGCTACATGAAAACAACAAAAAAGGCACACGCAAAGTCAACTAATGGGGTAAGAGTGCAGGTTTTACATCTGGGAACACAAACATTTGGAAAGTATTTCTGATACTTGAATGAAGTAAGAATTAAGTTGAAAACAGTTTGAAACAAGAACACAAGTGTCACCAAATCTGTGTCATGACAATAACTCTTGTAATTTCTCACTAACTGAACGGAAGTGTTGTAAGAGTAAACTCCCATAGACAAACTCGAACATACAAAAAAAAGATGGTGTCTGTCTGTTTCCTCTTTGCTGAACAAATGAGGTCATCCAGGATGAGTTTTATCAGGGCCCCCAAGAGCCAATAAATCTGTGTGTTGTCTTTTCACTGTGTGTGTGTGTGTGTGTGTTTGTGAGCCCATTTGTGTGTGAAGCAGACACATTGGTTTTCCTGGTGTGTTTTCCAGGGACAGAACTTAACAGGCGTACTTCCTTGAAGTCTCTTCTTTCTGTTTAACAGTCTGGGAATCTTTCCTGCTGATTTTTTATATGTGACGTCGCTGGGACAGGCTTTTACCTGCATGTAAATAAGGACAACAACACGCCTGCGTCTCTTTTTTCTTTTTGCGCAAAAGTGGAAAAAACAAACCTTACGTAATTGACATTGTTTGGGACTGCAGTCTGAGCTGTTAGGACAAGCGGATGGAGATCATAGAGTGTTTTTACATCACAGACTGTTGAATTGTTAGTGCAGCGGAGTTTTGAAAACTGTTTTGTAAAGCCAAAACCATTAGAGCTCCCCCCGGTGACTCTTTGGCTTCACTTTTAGGGAGCTGTTATATTGTCCGTTTTCTCAAGCCTGTAAGACACACTCACACACAAACACACATCTGGCCTCCTCATTTTAAACTAAAGTGAGCCCAATAATCTCAGAGTCGGCAGGACCGACAGTGTGCCACCACAAAATATTCTCCTCTCGACACTTCAGTTTTTCAAACCTCCTCTCTCTATGGTTCCATCCTGAACATACGAGCTGCAAACTCCTCCAGAGAAGTATTTGGACGTCTGCTTTTAAATTATAGTGTTCGACATGTGGTGGGAGGCTGTGTGGAAAAAGGGACATCTCTCAAACTTGTCTTCTTGCTGACGAGGCTTCTTCGATAAGTGAATCAGATTAATGTTGGTGCAAAGTTCGAGAAATTTCCATACAAGTCATGAAAAAGGTGTACTGGATATATCTCCTTGTCATTAAATACCAATACTGTAAAGATCCCTACAGAAGTGGTGAAGACTTGGGTCTTACTGTCCATAATCAGAAAAGCCTGAAAAAGATTTGATGTTTTCAGCAGGACAGCAGTAACTATTGTCAAGGTGTTTCGACCAATCAGACTTGAGTATTATCACAGGGAATTAGCATGTTGAATTAGACATGTGCAATGTCACTTTTTTACACCATAGCCATGTTGTAGCTCAATGTTTAAAATTTTCTGCACTCTTGATTATCTCAAGGATGTTAAAATCAGCAAACACAACTCTTTTGCAAAGCTGAGCACAGCCATTGATCCTCTTCATCATATTTCTTTTTCCCCCACAGGACGCCAGCTTCTTGAACTATCCATGACACCATGAAACCCAGTCCTACCCCGAGACTGTTTATACTATGTGCCCTTCAAATCTCTCTGTGCGTGTGTGTGTTTGTGTGTGTGTGTGTGTGTGTGTGTGTGTGTGTGTGTGTGTGTGTGTGAGGGGCGTTAACAGCCGCTCCAACTTCCAGCTGGAAGCAACCATTAGAAAGTTATGGCACACAATGAAGACATTTAAACCTCATCTGAGAAGCTGACAGGAGAGAGAGAGAGTCAGAGACACTGCAGTCTCTGAGGTCTACTATCAATTACAGTTAATCCCCTTTAGTTTCCATGTAAACACAAACACAGGGAGAAATAAAAGTTAAAAATAGTCGTATTAATTTTCAATCACATCCTTTCTGCTTCCAAATAAGTCTCCAGAGCTTATCAGAACAATGTCTGCACATAAATTTAGTTCCTCCGCCTCCAAACAAGAACACACAATCTTTTTGGCGAGAAATTCCTGATCTGTTTGCTTTGAATGTTTTCATGACTTTTTGCTGCATAGCTATGCGATGACATAACCTTGTTTTACAATCTGATTTAACTGTTGGTTTGCGGTACACCATATAAATCATATTTCACTCTCTCTCTTATGCAACTCTGGCTTTTCATCATGAAAATCAAGAGCGTCCAACCCTGTTGCCAGCCAGGCCAGAAACTGAGTGCATGAGCTCATCGGCCTGAGCTGCTGCATGTATTTCTCTTTTTTTCTACCACTTGTTGAGATTTTGTGCAGTTTGACCTCAGAAGAGAAACTGTCGGGGGCAAAGAGTTGAGTTTGAACACGAGTCAAGGTCCGTCAGCGAGAACAGTGACGGCAAATTAGCTGCTTTGCTTTTCCAAGCACCCTTTCGTGTTGGAAATCCACCTGGTGTTATTTCAGATCTGTCACAACAGCTCAGGAGAGAAGAGCCAGATAGCCAAACATTCATTAGAGGTGTTTATTATCCAAAGATCACAGGCTCGCCGCACTGGAGTCCAAACTGAAGTGAAGAGACAGAACTCAGTGGGTGCTGTCGTGACTTTGTGATGCAATTTGGTAAAAATACAGAGTGAAATCAGGTCTGAACGGCTAAGACTACACCTCAACCAGTTTCAGTTTCCATTTGCAGTTTTTGCGTGCAATTGCTCTTTGCATGTAGAGGTCACGCGCTGTCTAATTAAACCTCTTTTGAAGCCACATGTTTTGCATTTTCACCGTCTTGTTTTATCTTTTATTATTAGGATAGATATTCTGGTATGTTTCCAAGAAGTCTGGTTTGGTTCGGTACAGTCTGATACAGTTTGGTACAGTAAACCTCAATCTTTCTGGCCTTTCTTGTACCTTCGACCTGCCTCGTCTGTACCACAACCTGGTCCTTTGATTTAGGTAACCTTGGAAAAAGGTTGATTTCTGGCATGTATACAGACAGATTCAACTGTCCACTGTAAATAATGAATTACTCAAAACTTTCACTCAGTTTTGGTCTTCAAAGAGAGGACTGTAGTGCTCATTTTCAGGGTTTTTTATCATCTTTCTAATAACATTTTAGTAGCTTTACATGATTAACATGTCAAAAGATTCTGTTTTTCCTTTTCATTGTTGATTGATTAAAAAAAAGCATGTTAAAGAAGTGATATGACTAAAATTAACTGGTTATTTACAGTGGCTATTTTAAGCTTCTGTCGTGTTTGACTAATTGATTCTGGTAAAAACTCAGCCTAATGTTATTGTGGTTCACTGAAATTTTGATGCACTTTTAATTAAAAAAAGACTGTTCTGTCTAATATTATAGCAGCAGCTTTTAATCAAATCAAATCAAATTTTATTTATATAGTGCCAATTCACAACAGTCATCATCTCAAGACACTTTTCGAAGAACAAGAGCAGGTCTAGACCACACTCATTGTTTGATGATCAAGAACACAACCTAAGATGGGTTTTGGCCCATCTCATCTAACATGAGTAGCAGTGGCAAGGAAAATCTTCCTTTAATCAGGCAGAAACCTTTTAATGTAGAAAAGGGGATCTGAAGGAGAGAGTCACATTTCTGAAAAAGATTCAGGTTTATTCCACAGATTTTGCACCGGCTAAAACACTAAATTCAAACAAAGGTCTCTTGTGTTTATTATTCTCTTTTAAGGAGATTCACAACTGGTGATGTTACAAATTATTTAAATAGAGTGGCTGAATTCTCATGTGACTTTTTGAAGAAGCAGTTCAGAGTAGCCCGCAGTCTATCTCACTAATACTGCTAATTGTTTGGAACTACCCAACAATTGATGTAAGCAGCATTTGCATGCAGATATATATATTTCTTAGATGATTAAATCAATGATAGGTTCCACCCACAGCAGACTGAGTTCCTCCTGCTTTCATATAGACTGTTATTGCTATACAGCCTGCTGATACATGCTTAGTCATGACTACTCAGACTGCATGTATCACAAACAGAAACTAGGACACCTGTCACCCTGAAACTCCCGACTTCAGCCGTCATTTTAATGTCAAATCTGTCTTGAGAAATGGTCACGATGTTGACTCATCAATCACAAGCAGTCATGTCGTAAAATTTTCAATACTGCGTCTTTAGTTTCAACTCTCTTGTAGTTGCCCCTCCCCCCTGCTTACCATCAGAGAACCAGATACAGATCCGGATTAGAGTGTGTGTTCTGCGGGGTTTTCTTTTTCAGTTGTGCAAAGATCTTTCTTTAGGATCATAAAAGTCAAACCTGTGGTGTTTTTCTTTCTGCTCTCTGTTTCTCACCCTTTCTCATCCTCTGTTCCTCTAATTACCTGCTGACTGACTGACTGTCTTCTCTTTACGTTTGCAACAGGCCACACACATATCCCTCAGGGCTCAGGGTGCTCTCAGCACACACTAGCACATCTGTTATCAGTCCACATGAAGCTGTCTATCCCTGAGAAAAGACTCAGATCAGACTGACCACTTTAGGGCCGTCTCCATCTCTGGACGTCCTCCTAAAATTTGTCTTTAAAGCTGACAGCTGACATATACAAGCTCTGAGCTTCACCGTATTTTACAAGAACGAGTGTGTTTCTAATAAGAGAGCGGAGGCAGAGCACGTTCCTTGAAAGCAGAGCATGTCTTAAGCTTAGTTTGATGTTTTATGAGAAGCTTTGATTTTGACTTCCATGCATGCAGAGGAAGCAACTAAAAGAAACTTAATAAGACCGTGTTGGTTTCTGACTGGAGGGGTATTGTTTAATCAAAAATGGAAGGAAACTTGCCATTAAACAAAATATGGTCACAGATGATTCCAGTTTAATTGAATTGCTTTTTTTCTATATTTACTCTGAATGCAAAATGAATCCCTGAAATATTCCCCATGGCTTTAAGTCATAAGTCAAATCTGACTTCTTTAGCTTTATAGACATCGTTGCACAAATAAAAGAGGAATACGGAAAGTTTCCTGAAAAAGAGGGCTGAACAGAAGTATTATACATATTTCTGCAGTTGTTATATTAACAATGTAAAAGAAAAAAAAAGATAAATTTAGCACAAAAATTAGAGGAGCTGATAAAAAAGGATGTGGAGGAAGTAGCAGGTTCATCTGATGGCAGCTTCAGCCATGTTTTATACTGTTTAAGACTGTCAATAATCAAAGAGAAACTAGAGAAAGCTGTGGTCGTACCTTGAACTTAATTTTTAAAAAGCAGTCAGGTGTGTCAGTCCTGACGTCACCAAGCATAACCACAGGGCTAACACCTAAAACCGAAGTGAAACCTGCTGTTCATCGAGAGGCCGCTTGAGGCTCACCCCCATGTGCAGCTGATCCTCATAGACCTCCATGTTAAAAAACCAAACTTCACAGCAAAATTAAACATGCTAGAGAGTCATGAGATAAAGTTGTGTAAAACTTAAATTGCAGGGAATAACAAAATAAACTTATTGACTGATTGGTTCCTCAGTAGTGTAATTTTCATTTAATGACAGTATGTCTTGATACACGTATTTAAAGCTCCTGACACTAACTCTGTCCTGCACACCTGTAGGTTATTTCTCTCTCAAAAAACCCTCAAGTGAGCTTTATATATTGACCTAAACCCACATATAAAGCATGCATGTTCAAGAATTATCCCGGCTGTTCTTTTTTATATTTCATCAAGTAACCGAGTGAAGACCACATCTAAAATAATTATAGTTCCAATAACAATTCAAATTTCATATAACCTATCATTGTTATCCTTTTATTTCCTTTGTCATAAAATATTTTCTAGGTCAAACTTTTTACAATTTAATATCATGCACTGTTTAAATCAATTTTCACTTGTGTGAGCTCCTCTTCTTTTCCTGTTTTTGCACAGGTCTGCGATAATCATCGCATCAGAGGCATGTGACACTGTGGTGTGTTATGCACTACAAGCATTATAGTGCAAATACACAAGTGTACAAAATTACTCAATTTTTCCACCACTGGTCATAAAGTTAACTTTAAACTCAGATTGTTCAACTTCAACTCTTTAAGGGCCACAAAAATATAAGCTCCTAGCTTTATAAAAACAAGTCTGAGTGAAGGGGATAAAGAAAGTGCCAGAATATGCATCAGGACGATTCCTGTTTCGAACCTAATTTCACACTGAATCCAGTCCATGTTTTACAGAAGCAGGCTGATCCATGTTTGTAAGAACAAAGATGAGTTTTTACTCCACCGCTGTTGACAAAGTTGATACGAAAGGCCTGCCCTGCTTGTGTATGTTTACGCCAGTTTATAGTGGAAGTGTCTTAATATATGTCAGATGCTCAACATAACCAAAGTGGGGGCAAAAAAACACATTTAAGTTTCACAGAAACTCGATTTTTCTCCTTCCAGTCGGTCAGCTCAGTATCCAGGTGGCTGCTTAGTACGGCTTCTTCTGCTCAGGACACAAAAAGACACATGGACATTAATATTGGTTTATATTAATGATGATGCATTAATTAAAAAATGAAACATCCAATCACTTACCTCCACTGACTTTCGTTTGACTGTGGAGAAAATAAATGAAAATCAGTCACACAAAAAGTCCCTGGGGAGATTTGACAATACTTCACCTGATCTGGTTCTTTTAAACTCAGTTTTCAGAAAAAATAGGACTCAAAGTAACTGATATTTGAAGGTATCAAAATATGAAGTAACTCCTTAGTAACGCCTAGTAATAGTAACTCGTTACTCCTGTACGGGGTTTTTGTTTGGTTATGAAAAAGACTGAAATGAACAGTGATGCGTCCACCTTGACAACATGGGACGCCAAAGACAGCACAGAGTTCCTCACTTGAGCTTTCAATAAACTAATTTTAGCAAAAACAAAAGTAAAGTTCATGAGTTTGAATACCATATCTTGAATCTATATATTGTTTTCAATTACCAGAAAAAAAAGCAAATTTTACTGCTGTGTGATTTGTCAACATTTTTCCCTGTGTCAAAACTCTTTGGGGATCAGTGGAGTTAACCTTTTCAATGCTGCAATTTTAATTCAGCTTCTTACAATGACAGAATAATGGTCTCCAGACTCACCTGAGCTCAGGTAGGACAGCATCACAAACAGGACGATCAACAGTGAAACCAAAATGAAGCCCACAGTGAGATAAAACATCCAGCTGGTCCGCTCTGAGCACAGAAAGCATAAAGACAGGTATGTACCTCTGCTGCCCTCATGTGGTCACTCTGAGTACTGCAGTCTACCCTCACCTTCAACAGTCAGGATGAAGCTCTTCTTGATGGGCACTCTGAGGGACTGATGAGAGACGCTGCATGTAAACTGTCTCCCTGAGTCTCTGAGCGCTGCCTCGAGGTAGAAGAAAGCCGACAGAGAAAAGGTTTGGTCGACATTGTTTTTATGGCTGGACAGTAGGACGTTCTGGAGCACCTTCGGGAGAGGGGCACCCACTCTCTGGCCTGACGCAGACGGATCCTGAACGTACCACACTATCTCAACATCCAGAGGGTAGTATTTCTCTGCCATACATATCACCTTCTTCTCCTCGCCCTCCTGCAGAGAAAGGGAGGGTTCCACATTGAGGGAGACACGAGGAGCCTCTGAGGGAGAGAGACAGTAAAAACACATGCGTATGTTTCGAGGAATCTCAATACATTTGAAGGGTTATCACTCATAATAGCTTGAACGCTTTGTTGAGAAACTGTCCAGAGAGCTTGAAGTGAAGCTAGGCCATCAACTGCTACAGACAGAGCCTTCAGCTGAACATTGATTATCATAAAGCAGAAGTCCAGCCTGACCACAGACTCTTCTTCACCTTCAACATGCAGAGTTACATCCATACTGGCGAAGAGCGGATTCACAGACACAGAGCAGATGTGCCTCCCTTCGTTGCTCATTTTAGTGAAGGGGATGGTGAGGGAAGCATCCCCTCCTGCTAGACTCTTCACCACTACCCCACCCCCCTGGGTCTTTCCTGTGCGGCTGGCATGGCTGAACAATCTGGTCCTCTCTCCTCTGTGCTGAAAGTGCCACTCCACAGTCACGTCCGGTCCTTTGTGGTCGACGGCAAACTGACAGTGGAGCCTCTGTACAGTGCCCAGACCTGCTCTCACTGATGGTGATCGTGTTTTGGTGACCATGGCAACTACAGAGAGAGAGATTAAACAGGGAGATTATATAATTGAAGTTTTTTTGTGAGATAAAGTTATAGGGATATTCCGTCTTAAAATTAATTTGGGCTCAAACACACCATAACACCGAGTTAGACACCCCCTCGAGAGATGAATGTTGCTGACTGCTTACTTCTCTAGTTATACCAACTATAGTAACGTCTGCATGATAGCCATACACAGCGGTCTGAGGAGCCAAACCTCAACCAAAACGCCACTCTATAGCCACAAATAATGCTCAGAACAGCACCTAACTTCATCAACAGTACATATAGGGTCCCAGCCACAGCACTAGCTACCAAACATCTTTTTAGCTTTGCCTGATTTCTTTAGCAAAGAGACTAAACACAGCTCACTGACTCTCTTCCAGCAGCCACTTGTTTGTAGGAAGACTTCAGGCCAGTCCTTTATGGACTACAGCGGGGTGACGCAGCTCAAGGAAGAACATTTATGATCATTACTTTATCACTTCCTTAAAGTAATAATCACCATATTAATCATTTTGCACTGCAGATGCGGTAGTTCTTCTGCTTTAGAGTCCCAGTTTGATTGCATTTCCATGTAGAAATGATCTCGCTACAAATAAGCGAGTATCAGGAGTATCTGTTGTGAAGATGTGTTGCTGTGTGAATCCTTCTCATTGCTTTTCTATGTATCCATTACTGCCTCTCTCTCTATCACAGATTGAAGTCCTGTCTGGATGCAGCAGATCACTGTGAACCTATAAGTTTGGTCCTGATTGTGTTTTCTGGGATTCTTATTACAGAGTGGGGATTTCCAAGCTTGAGGATCTGCCTCAAGTGGGCATTGGAGGAACTGCAGTCTTTTGCACTTCCACATCAGCTTCATTATTGATTTAAAAATGATTTATTATCTTATCTTATCTAGCCTGGTGGTATGTGCACTAGCCCCATTTATGAAGATTTTGCCCCATGGGTCAGTCGGTAGCCATCATGAGGAATCATGATGGCTACTTCTCTGCTTAACCCTGACCTACATTAACCATCACTATAGGCTGTTAATAAAGCTTATTATCACACAGAAGGGTTGTTATAAAGGTTTATAGAGGCATTGAGGCTTAAACCGAGAAGCTATCACCAATGTTACCTGATGTGGTGAGGATCTCTCTGTCCTCAATAACAGACCAACTGAGGTAGTCCTGATCTCCACTTGGCGCCCGGTCAGATGGTTGTCTGAGAAAGCCAGTGACTGTGAACAGGTCCTTAATGTGTCTGAGGGTGCAGGTGAACCAGCTGTTGTACTACTCGTCCCCCTTGACCGGCCAGCGGACATGAATCCCCTTTGTGCTGTATCGACGAATCTCACACTCCAACTGCTCTGCTTCCTCTTCCTCTGTGAACCGCCTCAGGTCCAGCTTAGACCCTAAAACACAAAACAACAATTAAATTAATCCAGTCATTTCTAATGGGCGACTCTTCCAGGCTGTAGGTCTCACCTGTGACCAGGAAAGTGATGAGTTGTGGGTTTAGAGGAGAGTCTCCTTTCTGACCAAACTGCAGCAGAGCCTCTCTGTGGATGAGCTTAGTCTCTGTGTGGCCTTCCTTATTTTGAAACACGTATTCATCGATGAACGGACAGGGCAGCCATGACACCTGATGGACACAGAGCACACCTGAGAGAGACACACAGTCAGTCAGAGTGCAGGAACTTTTAGTTTTTTAAATCATAGCACAGAGTAGTTTAGACTAATTTCATTTATTTGGTAATTTTTTTTACTCACTTTTTTCAAGATTTAAAAATCCTTTACAAAGATGTTTTTTTTTATTGTCATTTTCTCATGACAACAAATCATAGTTTAAACATATTCACATTAATTTAGTTAACAATACCACATGTCTCAGCTTTCTGTACAATCTTTTCAGTCCTGACACTTATAAACGTGTGTTACCTGGGTGCAGAAACAATGATAATTTTATAACATGCTCCACATTCCTCATTTTAATACAGACAGCTGGCTGCTCAACATGAACCAAATCTACAGCTGTATAATGACTTTAATCTCATAACATGATGACTTTATTCTTGTTATGACTTAACTACGACTTCATTTTTGTAACAATATGACTTGAATCTCATAACATTGAGATCTTATTTACTTACCAGGTTACATGGAGAAAATTCTTTGGTGTAGTATGATAAAATGTAGAAAAGTAGGATTTAGTTTCAGATTGTTTAATGTTTATGGCAATATTTATGGCTTTGGAGCTTAAGGTTTGTGGCTTCTTTCTGTGGACAAATAGTCTACTTTCTTAACATACTTTTAGGCGTTGACTGAAGGAGGAAAAAAACATTCCCCTGGCTTTTTTGACAGTCAAAATGCTCATTTTTGGTAGTATTTTGCTTTTGGAATTCATATAAATGCATCACCATGAGTTTCAGTCCATTTCAAAGGTGTTAAAAAAACTGCTCATGGGAGCTTTAACAAATATTTAAGTACACATAATGTAATGTACTACAATACAGTGTGGTTTGGCATTGAGTAAAATAAAAGCACAGTCTAGCATTTTCTCCCCTACACTTATCTTCCAGCTATATTCAGCTATAGTTCTATTGATGGTTTTGTTTGCTTTAGTGTGTCAAATGGAGACAACAGCCTTCATTTCAGTCTGTTTTAAACCCTGATGAAAACTACTCACAGGAGCTTTAAGATGACTGCAGCAGCCAACAACAGGCCATGACTTGTTGAGGTAAAGACACTTCACTGTCTCTTGCTTAAAAACACATTTAAAAACATCACAATGATTACACAGTCGGACAGTAACTTACCTAAAAGCAGATAAAGGTAAATAAATGTCTTGAAGATTAACTCCATGGTAATTTCCAGAAAGAACTCCTTGTGGTTCGTACTGCAGCCCACATCGAGTTTGTCACAGTTGCAAAGACACTTTCACTTTCATTTTACACGAATATAAACTGATCTGCCTGCCCCTCAAACCACGTGATGGGCGAATAAACTATCACCTGTAAGTCATTTCTGAATGCACCAGTATTTCATAATACAACGACCGAGCCCCTGAGTTTGCAGGTCTTCCGCATGCTGTTGAATCACTCATTCTGGGGTTGTACTCTTTGGTCGGTGAGAACAAACAGAGGACACGTTACCCTTTCGATAAAGAGGAGATAAAGCTAAAAGTCCTTGTTGCTGTTCCTTACGAAGCACTTTGCAGAACTCCACCTGAGTGAAATATAAACAGTTGGCTCCGTGTTTACCTACTTTAAAAACTTGCAGTACTTGCTGTGTCCAGTAGAGGCGCCGTGAAGACACCGATAGACAAAAGTGGATCCGGTTCAGCTTGATTTTGGCATTTTGTAAGTAATACGAACTACTTATTTGTAAAAAGAAATCTATTCGTTATTCGAGGCAGATCTACCACTAAGATAGTTTTGAAAAAGTAGCCTTATACTTCCTCTAAGTTCTTGTTATTCTGAATAAGGTAATTACAAGGTCTTTTTTTTTCATTTGAGAGATGATGGCCAGAAAGCTTTTTTAAAATAACTTTATTTGATCAAAAATCAGCTATTTACCAACGTGTCTAAGAACTATTCCAAAACCCATTGAGTCCAACAAAGCATTAAATTGTACACACATATACAAACTCAGATTTACACACCTGTACAATAAATATTAACATAATTCATTACATAACACAAAAACAATCAAACAAAAGAACAATAGCTTCCTATAATTTCAAAGGATGAAATTTAAAGTAATTTAACTGAATAAGACAGTTTTTAATTGTTGAAGTCTAACTGTTAAAAAGAGGCCAAATGTGTTTTATAATCCTTAAAATTCATAGTTTAATTAGGATAATTTTCAAGATGTATCATTTAATGTTTGTTCTATTTATGAAGTTAATTAAGCCTTACTAAAAGTACTCACAAGTTAGGGGAAAAGGCCTTTTTTAAGCTTCTTAATTTTGCTTATTTTTTGGTATTTCTATTGCTTTAACAATAATTTGGCACCAACTCTTGAGCACTGGTGTAGCAACAGGGTGCTTGCAAAGGTAAAGTGACACTGTCCCCGCTCATAATTTGCAAATAAACAGGATCTCTACAAAACATCCCTCCTGCTCATCTCTTCTCACATACCAAACCTATTAGGAAAAAGTAAAGATTCAGGGCCACGTGTAATCTACCATTTCTGTCTCAAATAAGGCAATTATTGAGTTCACCTGAAATCCTTGATTGTTCTCTTGTTTTCTGCAGCCATTCCTCCTGCTTCTCTTATTAACAGTAAAATTAAGCTTTTAGGAGATGAAGGTCTCGTCACCTCTGTAGATCCGTATGTTTATGACACCTCTGCCACCTACACACAGCTGAAGGAGCAACACACAGTCCCAGAGGTACACCACTTCTGTTATCCCTTCATTAGAGGATATATGTGAACAAATGCATCAGGCTTCATGACAATCTCATCTCTAATCCCAGTGTATGCTCTCCTAAATCAAAGCCCTGACTCCAAATTGGTGTCCATATGTATTTATCATTTCACTGCATAAAACCCACCTTCACACACTTCAGTATCACATTTTTTTAACTATTTGAGCACAAACACAAAAAATAATCAGGTTTATGAAAACAAACAAAAATTCTTCTTCCGGTTGGTCAGCAGACTCTGATTAGTATGGTAGCCTCTGTTCAGAATACACAAACACATTAATACAGAAATTAAAGACAGTGTGCAACATATCAAGAAAGGAAGTGAACAAAATTTTTGTTTTTTAATGACCTTACCTGCACTGATTTTCTTCTACCTGTAAAGAAAATAAAATATAATTTGTCACAGCAAACAACAGTGAAATGAAACACTCATTGTGAAAATAGGTAAACATTCATGTCTGTTAACTCTTAAAATCCTAAGTGTTTCTCCTCACTCACCTGAGCACAGAGGAGGCAGCAGCTTGTACAGGATGACCAGCAAAAAGAAGTCAACAGCGAGAAACACTGGCCAGAAGTTTGGTCCTAAGCACAGAAAACATGGTGTCATGTTAGACACAATCCTCTGCTGCCTTCATGTGGTTGCTGTCAGTATTACAGTCCAATCGATTGTCCTACCTTTTACACTCAGGGTGAAGCTCTCTGTTATGGGCTCTTTCAAGGACCGATGGGAGATGCTGCATGTAAACTGTCTCCCCGAGTTAAATAACGAGGCTTCAAGGTAGAAGAAAGATGACAACGTGAATGTGTGGTCTGGGTTGTTCTTGTGGCTGGAGTGCACAAAGTCGTGGGGAATTATGGAACGTCTTCCGTCCACACCCTTCGGAGGAGGAGCACCCACCCTCTGACCTGGCTTGGACAGGTCTTCACTGTACCAATTAACCTCCACATCCAGAGGGTAGTAATGCTCTGCTGTACAGATCACCTTCATTTCCTCGTTCTCCTGCAGAGAGAGGGAGGGTCCCACATTGAGGGAGACACGAGGAGCCTCTAAAAGAGGGGAACAACAGTGTGAGGTTTTAGTTATGAGTTCCTGTCATTACCAAAGTTGTGTGAAACATTAGGCACCTTCATCAGAGGGGGACTTTTCTATACAGCACATTCACACAGGTAGCTCACTTTGCTGTGTCAGCAGAATCAGATTTTTTAATTTCTTAAACATGTAGAGGAAAGATGGGCACAGAGGGCTTTGTCCACAAAAGCTGACCCAGGACAGCTTTTCTATTAAATGTTGTAGCACCACATCCTGGATTATGTGTGTTAACTGCAGCTGGAGTTAAAAACTGTCGTCACCTTACTCCAAATTTGCCCCGGGTAAAAACTGGTTCAAATTCCCCCTTTCCTCTAAAGTCATAATCACATCCATCCTCTTGGCTCGAGCCAAGTTTTTTGCAGCCCAGTTTGAATTTGCCAAAGGTCCAGTACTGAACCAATGACTAGTGGTTGGAAACCCCTGACTAAGACACAGAATATGCAAAAATAGAGCTTATGTTTTAAGATACCAGGGTTATCATCAAATATATGATCCACTCTGCAAAAAAAAAGAAAAATGATAACAGCTGAACTTCATACTCTGACAAAAGCTGTAGGATTCAGATTTAAAAAAAAACACCTTTAGTGTCAATCTAGTCTGAAATTCAACTACAGCACCTCTGAGTCTCCTCACCTTCGATCTGCAGATTTACATCCATATTAATGGTCACTGGATTCACAGACACAGAGCAGATGTACCGTCCTTCACTGTCCATATCGGCAGAGTGCACAGTAAAGGAGGCGTCCCCATTAGCGATGCCTGTCAGCTCAACCCCGCTCCCCTCAGTCTGTCTTGTGTGGCTGTTGTGACTGAAGAGTCTGATCAACCCTCCTCGATCATACCTGTGCCACTCCACAGTTACCTGAGGAGCTTTGTGGTCAACGGCAAACTGACAGTGGAGCCTTGTTTTCGAACCCAGGCCTGCTTTTGCTAATGGAGAGCTTGTTTTGGTGACCATGGCAACTATGGAAAGAGATGAAACAGAGATATTATTTTTAAAGCTTGGTTTAAGTGAAACAAAGTCAGTCGGGGGAGATTTGGCAATTTCAGAACCCTGATAAGTCCACCACACTTGGATCCTTCCTATGGTTTCATTTCTGCTTAACCCTAACCTACTTTAACCATCACTATAGGCTGTTATGAATGCTTATCATACAAAAGGGTTGTTAGGAAGATTTATAGATGCATTGAAGCTTAAACTATTAAGCTGATAAGTCCACCACACTTCACTGATGTTACCTGATGTGGTCAGGATCTCTCTGTTCTCAATAACAGACCAACTGAAGAAGTCCTGAACTCCACTTGGCGCCCGGTCAGATGGTTGTCTGAGAAAGCCAGTGACTGTGAACAGGTCCTTAATGTGTCTGAGGGTGCAGGTGAACCAGCTGTTGTACTCCTCGTCCCCCTTGACTGGCCAGCGGACATGAATCCCCTTTGTGCTGTATCGACGAATCTCACACTCCAACTGCTCTGCTTCCTCTTCCTCTGTGAACCGCCTCAGGTCCAGCTTAGACCCTAAAACACAAAACAACAATTAAATTAATCCAGTCATTTCTAATGGGCAACTCTTCCAGGCTGTAGGTCTCACCTGTGACCAGGAAAGTGATAAGTTGTGGTTTTAGAGGAGAGTCTCCTTTCTGACCAAACTGCAGCAGAGCCTCTCTGTGGATGAGCTCAGTCTCAATGTAGCCTTCCTTATTTCTAAACACGTGTTCATCGATGAACTGACAGGGCAGCCATGACACCTGGACACAGAGCACACCTGAGAGAGACACACAGTTTATGTATCGATGTTCTTGGTTTAATTTCTTAAGGATTTATAAAGTTGTATGTTCTCTGTTACAAAATAAACTTCTTGGAAAACCTGCAAAATGAATCAAACAACCTAGCATACTACAGACATTTGGAGCCACATCTAGACTGGTCAGTCAAGTTTAAAGGGAGGCCCTTGTTACCAATTTAGATACAGCCCTGTATTTAATGTTGCACAGAATACTGCAGTACTGTGTATAACTGTATATATTAGCACATTCAAGCAGTGGTGGACAAAGAGCACAACTTAACTCATATGTTATGTAGGATTCCCTTTGTTTATGTCTGATCTGCTTTTTTTCAATTTAGAGTCAGAAAAGTTCAGTACCATAGGTGTCTGTATGTTGTTTTTTCATTGTTTTATTATTTTAACTGGTTATTGTGAAGCACTGTGTGACAACTGTTCTTCAACGTAGCTCCATAGATAAAGTTTATTCTTATTCATACACAAACAACTTCACACAGAACTGCAAAAAAAGAGTGAAAGCAGCAGGTAAGGAGAGCATTTATAGACACATGGTGAAGTCTATGGTACAATATGTGTTTTTCAGATGTAAGACTTACCCTAACATAAAAGTAGCAGTCAAACTAATATACTGCACAAGATATGTACTCAGTACTCAGCTAAATTCACTTTTGACTGTCCACCACTGCTTAATACAACAGAGTAGTTTAAAAGAAAATGAAACAGTGGACTATAGTCGTCGTAGTAGTAGTAGTTAAGTGTTGTCTTTATGTACATTTGCCTTTTAAAGTATAAGTTTGATAAAGTGTAAGACCGCAGCATGACTGTACTACAGCAATAGTAGCATTAGTATTCCATCCAAACATGTTAAGACAGATGATCATAGGCTTTAACTTTGATAAAAGAAATAGACGAAATACGTTCACAGCCAAGAGCAAAAACTTACCAAAAAGCAGATGAAGGTAAACAAGTATCTTTAAGATGAGATCCATGTAGGCTGAAGCTTTCCTCGTGATTCAAGTAGTCCAAAGGAGTGAGTTTCTCACTGCAGAGAAATACTTTCACTTTCATCTAAACCAGCTCTGCCCGCCCCTCGATCACATATGAGGTGACTAAATCTCTCATCTTTTACATGCATATATCTTAACACCTTGAATGATCTCCGAGTTTTACGTCTTCCGCATGTTGTGGACTGACATGGGACCGTAGTCCACACTTGGAGAGTAGAATAATGTGTAACATGTTACTCTTACAAATAAAGACAGCAGATAGAAAGGTCGGAGTCCTTGTACTTATTAATAAAGCGCTGTAGAGACGTATCCAATGGTTGAGAGTTTGCACTACTTTGTGCAGCGTGTTGTTTACACCAATTGGGAGAACATCCTGACTGGACTTCCCCGAGTTTGTTGACATAGACTTCGCGCATGCTCAGTTGAATTCTGTCGCTCTTAAACAGTAGGGTCTCGCAGCGGGTCAACGCAGCCAAAGTTTTCAAGTAGATCTTCAGTTCACAGTGAAAGAGAAAACTGACACTGTATTTTTAATACGTTTAAATGAAATAGTTTTATAAATGCACTTTACTAAATAACGCGCATGGATGTTCTTCTTCATGACAAACACTGATAAGCAGTTAAATGTTCTATTTTTTGTATTCATTCATTAATCACGTTACAGTCTACTATGAGACACTGTTGAGGCACTTTTTGAACATTTATTTAAAAAAAGATCAACTTCACATTTACATATTTCTCAAAAATAAGCATTCGATTATGCACAGGAAGGCATCAAATATGTACGAATAGACAAAATGACATTTACAAAACTGTAAAACTGATGTCAACATTATTAGATAAATAACATACAAAACAAACAACAGAATAAAAGCTGCCTGCTATTGTGGGAATACAATCAGACATGTACATATCATGTCTTATTCAAGTTTTATTAAGGGCAGCTCTTTCATACTGCTTTATCTTGTGTATGTAATATTTCCCAAGTACACAACAAAATCAATCAACAAACAATTATCAAATCATCTGCCTTTTTTCGATGATTGCTTGTTTTTACTTGTTAAGCACTTGCTACATTAGACCTTACTATCCCCCAAGGTAAATTTGCTTTGCAGCCAGATAAAACCATAAAACAGAGACTTAAAAACACCCACCAAGACACACAAATCCCAGAGACATATCAGCACAGATGACATTAGAAGACCGATGAAATAAAACAATCCCAAAAACCAAAAACGGAGCTTCAAACTTGATCATTTTTAAGATTTACTTGTGGGATGGTAAATGAGTTGTAATTTTTAGTGCAACAAAAATTAAGTTTTTAGAATTAACGAAGTAGACTGATTTGTTATTCATGTGCAAACCTGGGTATCATCTCGAAAAGTGCAAGATTACAACGATCTGAGATGTTTACTCCTTAAAACATGTCTCAGAAAATAATCTACTTCATGGTCATAGAGTTCGACACAAGCATTAACTTATAAAACACATTCAGTTTTATAAATGAATAAAATCCTCCGTTCAGTTGACCCGCTCAGTCTTTGGGAGCTGCTTAGTATGGTAGCCTCTGCTCAAAAAACACAAACACACAGTGATGCAAAAATTAATATCTGATTGCATTTAACCAAAAACTGAAGGAAACAGAATTGTTTCAGTCTGATCTTACCTGCACTGATTTTTTTCTTCCTGAAGAAAAAAATAAAAGATCATGAGATTTTGAGAGATGAACACTCACCAAATTCAAACGATCAAATTTGTCAATACATTTCAGTGTTGTGTTAAACCTGTGAGGACTATACTAATTCTTCCATGGTGAGATTATTTGATTACAATTACTGTGTTACTCTTATCTTAAAGAGTCAATGAAAACCATTTTTAACGCTTTATGATTCAAAACAGTGACTCATACTAGAACAAAAAAACATCAAACTGCTATGGTTCATGAGCATGACCTTTTGATTTTGGTCAATTTTAATATTGACAATAATCCTTTACATTGGGGGAGCATCTCCACACTCACCTGTGCAATATCGAGGCAGCAGCTTATACATGATATACAGCAAAAATAGGTCCACAATAAGAAACACCACCCAAAAGTTTGGTCCTGAGCACAGAAAACACGGAGTCATGTGTCAGATACAATCCTCTGCTGCCCTCATGTGGATGCTTTCAGTATTACAGTGCAATTGATTGTCCTACCTTTCACAGTCAGGGTGAAGCTCTCAGTTATGGGCTCCTTCAAGGACCGATGGGAGATGCTGCATGTAAACTGCCTCCCTGAGTTAAATAACGAGGCTTCAAGGTAGAAGAAAGATGACGATATGAATGTGTGGTCTGGGTTGTTCTTGTGGCTGGAGTGCACAAAGTCGTGGGGAATTATGGAACGTCGTCCATCCACACCCTTCGGAGGAGGAGCACCCGCCCTCTGACCTGGCTTGGACAGGTCTTCACTGTACCAATTAACCTCCACATCCAGAGGGTAGAAATGCTCTGCTGTACAGATCACCTTCATCTCCTCGCCCTCTGTCAGAGAGAGGGAGGGTCCCACATTGAGGGAGATGCTCGGGGCCTCTGAGAAAAATAAGGAGAAACCGGGGAAAAAATTAATAAATAAATAAATAAATAAATAAATAAATATATATATATATATATATATATATATATATATATATATATATATATATATCTGAGGCAATTTCAGCAAGAGGTTTCAGGTCGAGATTTGAATGTTGGGAAGATAAGAAGGTCCTGTTATTATCGGCATCAGCTGCTGAAAGTGGATATCATTTCACCATTGGTAAAAATACAAGTTAAAAGAATTTTATGTCATGAAAAAAGGTCTGGCTGCTACTTGGTCACTTAATTTACTTTCTTATGCTTTTTCATGTAAATCAGTCATTTTAACACAGAAGATGTAACAGCAGAGCTTCAGTTTCAGATACAGGTTTGTGGTCTAATAATAACAATAACAGCTGATCTGTAAGATCAGAATAGAAAGAATAAGACTGTAAGAAATTCATCTGTCTTTAGTGTCTCCTCTGAGGCTCCTCACCTTCTATTTGCAGATTTACATCCATATTGATGGTCACTGGATTCACAGACACAGAGCAGACGTATCTCCCTTCACTGTCTATATTGGTAGAGTGCACAGTAAAGGAGGCGTCCCCATTAGCGATGCTTGTCAGCTCAACCCCGCTCCCCTCAGTCTGTCTTGTGTGGTTGTTGTGACTGAAGAGTCTGATCCTCCTTGCCTGATGATACCTGTGCCACTCTACAGTTACCTGAGGAGCTTTGTGGTCAACAGCAAACTGACAGTGAAGCCTCTGTGTGGTGCCCAAGCCTGTTTTCACCAATGGAGATAGTGTCTTGGTGACCATGGCAACTATGGAAAGAGATGAGACAGGGAACTAGTCTTTATCAGAATGATTTAAATCACTAATCTTTTCAAAACACTGTACTGTTGTTGTTATAAAACACGCACTCAAAATCCAATTCCCAAAATAAGATCCGACTTACCTGTTGTTGTGAGGATCTCTCTATCCTTGATGATGGGCCAGCCGTAGTAATCCTGTTCTCCAGTTGGTGGCTCGTCAGTCGGGTGTCTGAGGAAGCCAATGACTGTGAACAGGTCCTTTGTGTGTTTGAGGATACAGGTGAACCAGCGACTGTACTCCTTATCCTCCTTAACCGGCCAGCGGACATGAACGCCATGTGTGCTGAACCGCCAAATCTCACACTTTATCTGTTCTGCTTCCTCTCCCTGTAGGTACTGCCTTAGCTCCAACTTTGATCCTAAAGCACAAAAAATGGATCAGTAATAAACAAAAGCATCCAACTGCATATAACTCTCAGGCTGTAGACTGTACCTGCTACAAGAAAAGTAACGGCTTGTGGGTGAACAGGAGCTTCTCCTTTCTGGCCAAACTGCAGCACAGCCTCTCTGTGTCGGACCGTAGTGTCATTCTGGCCTTTGTCATTTATAAACAAGTGTCCATCACTAAATGTACAGCGCAGCCATGGTACCTGATTAATGCACATTACACCTGAGAGAGGCACAGAGACAATCACAACAGTCACTTAACATTTGAGCGGAGGAAGACAGTGCAGTAGGCTTGAAAATGATGGGATTTTTTAAAAACTTAAGGTAATTGTGGGAAAAGGGGTCTGTCCTTTTTCCTTATCAATGTTGTTTTCTGACATAAAATGTGGCGTTTGTCTTTTAATATCAAACTTATCATTTACTGAAAGGCTTAATGATGGAAAATGAATATAAAGGGATTTCAACAGCTTGCTATGGAATAGCTTGTCCATCACCTACCTCTACGCATTGGTTACAAGCATTAAAATTAACTACATGGAAACTTTTTAACTTGTTTCTGCTAAAAACTCCTACCAGGAGCTTTAAGTTCTTAACTTCCCTGAACCTTCTTGCACAGCCACATGTTAGTGTTAAGGGACCATCTGTGAAGTGAAATATTGGTAAAAGATGCAGAAAAATGCTTTATTCTTCACCCTAGATAAGTGCTGAGTCAAAGTTACTACACACATTCACGCTGTTGGTTATATTAAAATAATTAATCAGGGAAATCTTGGGAGACATCTTCCTCTCTTCACCCCACCGCCATGTCTTATTTAGCAATTTAAGTCAGTACTCTGTACTTTTTATTTGTAGGCTACTTGAGTAAATTAACAGGCATGTCGATTTACTTCTTCCAACTAAATGTGAATACTTCAGTTAATACTCGTGCGGAAGTATTAACTTAACAGTACATACTGTCACATTGTACACATTAGGCTACAGTTTCTAACTGCAAAGTCAATAGTGTACACGGCAGAGTAGCTGCCATAGTACACCACAGTTTATAGTTGTTGAATTACAGGGAAATACACTTAAATACATAAAAACTGAATAAAACAACAACGATACCTTACCTTGCCACAGAACCAGGTAAAAAGGTAACTTTAAGGTCAAATCCATGATATCTTCTGGACAGTAAAACTCTTTCGACTCAGCACAGGGGTGAAGGGACACTTTCACTTTCATTTAATATGAAATCCCAAACCTGTTTTGCAGCCTAACTGCTTGGTATAAAAAATAATGAGTGTTTCTCACGAAGAGAAAGCACAAATAAAGCTCATAATTCTACTCCAGTTTTATTACAAACCATTTAGCAACACAAAGCCACGGAGTGAATGTTATTACATTCAATGTTTTTTTGTTTTTTTGTTTTGCGAACCTGCAGTACCGCTAATGTCCGGAGGTGTCGCTGTGAAAACTTCACATAATCGGAGAGTATCCTGTCCCTCTTGGTTATGCGCTCCTCGAGCAGGGACGTGCTCTGTACGAATCTGTTGACATGCTTTTGCTCCATTTCTGAATACTGTGCTGTATTTTTGCTTTAGTAGGTTATCGCGCAGGATCTGGAGAAGTTTACAGATGTAGACTGTAAACTCGACTGCAGTCACTGACTATGGCCTTTATATTGAACGAAGGTAAGTTTTTCTGTGTTTTTTAATGAATATGCAAACCCCTGTCTTACAGGAGCCTCTTAATACAAACTATGAGCCACAGGTGTGCACATCCAGAACAGTGACTGAAAGGAATAGGACAGGCAACCGAAATAGTGTTCAAGAAAGTAACTGAAAGAAGCAGGAAAATGTGCACTTGAACAGCATTAAAACGTGTCTTTCATTTGCATTTATTTATAGATTTTAAAGGATATTCCGGCGTAGAATTAATTGAGGGTCAAACACACAGTAACACACCTCGAGAGATGAATGTTGATGACCGCTTGCTTCTCTAGTTATACCAACTTTAGCAACAACCGCAGGATAGCAATACACAGCGGTCTGAGGAGCCACGCGCAAACCTCAACCAAAACGCCACACTTTAACCACAAATAATGCTCAGAACAGCACCTAACTTCATCAACAGTACATATAGTGCCACAGTCACAGTACTGGCCATCAAACTTCTTTTTAACTAAACACAACTCACCCACTCTCCTCCAGCAGCCGCTTGTTTGTAGCAAGGCCTCAGGCCAGTCCATTGCTGACTGCTGCGGGGTGACGCAGCTCAAGGAAGAACATTTACGATCATTTCTTTATGGAAATGCAATTAGACCAAGACGCTAAGGCAGAAGAACTACCGCGCCTGCTGTGCAAAATGATTAAAATGGTGATTATTACTTCAAGAAAATGATGAAGTGATGATCATAAATGTTCTTCCTTGAGCTGCATCACCCCGCTTTAGTCTGTAATGGACTGGTCAAGGTCTCGCTACAAAAAAAGCGGCTGCTTAAGGAGTGTGGGTAAGTTGTGTTTAGTCTCTTTGTTAAAGAAATCAGGCAAAGTTAAAAAGATGTTTGGTGGCTAGTACTATGGCTGGGACCCTATATGTACTGTTGATGAAGTTAGGTGCTGTTCTGAGCATTATTTGTGGCGGTAGAGTGGTGTTTCGGTTGAGGTTTGTTTATGGCTCCTCAGACCGCTGTGTATTGATATTGTGCGGTCGTTACTAAAGTTTGTATAACTAGAGAAGCAAGCAGCAGACAACATTCATCTCTCGAGGGGGTGTCTGTCTCGATGTTATGGTGTGTTTGACCCCAAATTAATTTTACGGCGGAATATTCCTGTAAGCGTCCGAATTCTTTTGAAATTGGGATTTACTCTCAAAATGTATCACTGCTTTTTATAAACTCTAAAGCCATTACATAACTGTCAGTCTATACCTGGAATCATTTGTGCATTTCCATTTCTATTGATTCCTGTTTTCTTCTTTCTCCAGATTGGGCTGTTCTCCAGGGTGCTTTCCTCCTTGCTGATAAGCTGTGTCTCCCCTCGTCCCTGTCCTTACTTCAGAAGGCTGAATGGAGCAGGGTGGGACATCTGGTCCCTGAGGCAATCAGGGAAATCTGTAGACATTATGAACATCCTACTACAGTAGCTGTTAGCTGGATAAAAAAGGTGGTCTGTGTTTTGTGGCTGAAGGTGTTGAGCAGAGAGGCTGACGAGGATGTAGAGACATCATGGAGGGAGAATCCTTTCTTCCCTCTCCAGAACAGCCTCCCTGAAGTCAACCCCGCTGTCCTCCTGGAGGTGGTGAAGTCCACAAAAGCAGCTCCAACATTTGCCCATCTGTTGTTGTATCTTCCCAAGTCTCAGGTCTGCACTGAGCTGGACAGGCTGGTGCAACATGTGAAGAGCAGCCCAACCAGAGAGGATGATGTGCAACTGTTTTTGGAGGTGTGGTGGGAACTGTGGAAAGGCGGAGATGAGAGGAAATCCAGCGGAGAGGATCATATGGAAACGATGTTTGCTCAACAGTGTGCCCGTCTTTCCACTGAGTCTTCTGGTGTGACTCATCAGGCTGCCAAGAGGTTGAAGCTGGACCCAGAAGATGAAGCAGCATCATTATCTAATGATGACGCCCTGCACATTCTCCTTCATGCACTGAAAGATATTAAACATCACATTTCTACCACAGGTCTTTGCCTCCAAGCCCTCTCCATTTCCCTTGATGCACTGTATACGGCTTTTCTTATTGGCGGAGCTGTAACACCTTCAACTGAGGAGAAGTTGCAGATTTTGTCCAAAGCTGTGAGCATCAGAGAAAGGAATGATGAGAAACCGAGTCCTGAGCTCATTTGGGACGCTCAGAGGGACCTGCGTGCCTCTCATGCTCTATCTCAGTTCCAGCCCAGCAGGATGAAGTTTAGTGAGGCCTTAAAGATTATTACTGAAGCTGCTCAGTTTTGGCAAAACACAGGACTCCTGAAAGTCTGTGACTCTTGCTACTCAACACTCAAGCTGGAGCAAAGTGTCCAAAGAGTCCTGGCAGCTCTACCTGAAGCAGAGGGTCCTGAAGCTATCACTGAGATCAACTCACTTCGAGGTCTGCTGGAGTCGCTGGCTTTCCCTGCTGTAGAGAGCACCCCAGAAGTGATGTCAAGGGTCTCAGCCATGATTGTGAGTCACCGCCTGGATGACTACCAGGACTTTGCGATGCTGTTTGCCGGCAAGAAGAGTTGGGCTGCATGTGGTCAGCACTGGATGGACTGTTTGGAGAAAAATCAAGCAGTCTTTCAGAATTCAGATACACTCACCAAACTCAGCTCCACCCTCAAGAGTGAACTCCAGAGTCAGAGCACAGATGTGAGCCAGTGCAGGAAGCTGATGAAAATTATCTCTGATATATTCTCTGCACTTTCTTTACAAGATAAGAACAAAGCGCTGGCTGAAATGTTGAGGGTGTCCAGCAGGGGGTTTTTTGTGTGCTTGGTTCCTCCTGCTGTGAGTGACGGGTTCGAACAGGAGCTCAACATGGCCTTCAACTGCATCATCCAAGGAGGAGCAGCAGTGGCATCTCAGAGCAATCTGAACACAGCGGTCTCTTTGGTTGCAAGAGTTGCGTATCAGAATCCAGAGGCTGCTCTGAGGTCATGTTGTCATTCAGCTGTTTTCAATAAAGGAGCTTTTTCTCTGATGGCTGCAATCCTGCAGCAGCTGCCTGGACTCAGAGGACAGAGGGGAGGAGAAGACGGAGCTCAAAATGATGAGGAGGACAGAGAAGAGTCTGAGGAAAGTGAAGATGGGGAGAAGGATGCTTCGAGTGGGAGCAGTCTTCTCTGCAGGTGTCTACAGGAGGTCATCAACACCAAATCATTGTCTGGGAATGAAAACGAGCAGCTCCTGAAGTTCCTGGGCCTGCTGATGATGCCTGTTGTAGCCAATGAAGGAGGAGAGAGGAAGGAAAGCTTCCTGCTACCTCAGGAGGTCGTGAACATCTTTGTCCTGCCGAATCTTTCTGCGATAGGTGAGTTTCCAGGAGGAATTTTTATTTGATGTGTTAAACTTAGACACTTTTAGTCTCACTTTCAAGAAAGTTTGAATTTGCATGATATGTTCATCATGTCTGCTCTTTCTAATGTGTTTTTATCCTCCTCAGGTAAAAGCTGCTTGGACATAGAACTGAGTCTGCAGCTTCTCCACACTGCTCTGTCTGTGGACGCTCAAGAGACGACTTGTTCCCCTCACTGGGTGATGAACTGCTCTCCTTTCCCTCTTCTTTACATCCTGGCACAGCTGCTTAACCACACTCTCAGGTTTGAAAGACGACTGCTGTCTTTTATCGACTTAAGTAATTTTCCCCCATTCTTAATAACGTCATGCCACTTTACTTCAGGTTGTGGTGATTATTTTTCACAAAAGAAAAAGACTTTTTGAAGTATTTTTTGCCAAAATTTTGATTCATAATCTTATTAAATCTCCCACTGCTGTAGGTGTTGGGAGCAGCCAGCAGAAGGCGCTGTCAGCCTGCGGTACATTGACACCAGGGAGCTCCTGGTGTCAGTGCTGACCTCTCTGGGGCAGGTGGTGGGTGCAGAGGTGGCAGCAGCTCCCAGCAGCTGGTCCAGAGCTCTGTTCTGGCTCTACAACAAGCTGGAGGAACTGGACTGGACTGTTCGGTTCCACTTAAAACCCGTGTGGGGGGAACACTTCAAAAACGAAGTTCCTTCTGCTCTACTGACGGTCTGTGACCTACCTGAGCAGGTGAGAACTTTTTCTATCTTTTCCTTCAGGTGCAATAAAATATACAAAAACATGATACTGTCAACATCCTGGCCAGTAAAGTAAAGTACATAAAGTAACCTAAAGTATATCAGACATTTCCCTTCAGATAAGGTCTCTGTTCCTCCCGTTATTTACACACATCCAACCTCAGAAGGAGGAATCGTTTGCATGTTGCAGCTTCTTTCTTGACTGACACTGCGCAACATGGCTCATTACGGCATTGCGTCACTCCCTGACGGGTCACATCCCTCCTCTCTTGGATATAGCAACATCAAACTGAACAGAGCGCACATTTAACAGTTCTATAACATAACCCTGCAACCTTAGCATGTGACTTTGGGCCTTTTGCAGGCGCATGATTTTGTTTGCAAGAAACTTCTTTTTATCACCACTTAAAATCTATTTTTACTGACATCTTATGGAGGTTCAAAATGTTTGTGGAGACGCAGCCCAGACTTGAACATTATTCTCATTGTTGAAACATATCAGTCAGTTTTTTTTGCGCCTGTTTAAACACCCAGTCATCCAACTTAACTTGAACAAAACCCTGAAACTGCAGCAATAAAAAGCACTTATTTGCCGTGAAATAATCTGAATAGTTACTGATTAGCTGTGTGAACTTTGAGCTTTGGCTCTGACCACACTGTGATCCAGGAAGCAGGATTAATCGAAGTAGCTGTTTTGTAACAACTGAAGCAGAAAGTGAGTTACTGTTATTTGTTGGCAGAGACATTTATCTCTCTTAATCAAGGCCTGGTTTTTTAAGTAGAGGCTGCACCACTGCATGTTTAAAACCTAGTGGAACAACACCAGAGGACAGACTGCCATTTATGATAGCCAGAATAGACTGACCTATGCAGGGGAAAACCTCTTTAAACAGCCTGGGAGGGACAACATCACAGGGAGAACCTGCAGGCTTAATATGGCCAACCAGCTCCTCTAAAAATGATAAAGACACAGGCTCAAACATATCAAGAACTGCCGAACAAGGAACAGGCACAGAGGGGTCGGATGCTTCAGGATCCCCGTATTCACACTGAAACAAGTACATTTCCATCACATAGTCTCTCTGTCCTTGTGCTCTCTCCTCCGCCCCTGCAGGAGTGGTCCAGTTTGGACCTGCCTCAGTACAGCCAGGGAACAGGTCTCCTGGCCTGGATGGAGTGCTGCTCTGTATCAGACTCCCTGCAGTCCACCATGTTGGCTCATCTCTCCCTGGACCATCGTCGACCTGACCACGTCAACATGTTCAGCAAAGGCCTGCTGGTGGCTCTGACCCAGACTCTGCCCTGGTGCTCGATGTCGCAGTGGACCAGACTGCTGAGAGTCCTGAAGGAGCTGATCTCGTCAGGCCGCCTCCACGTTCCCTTCTCGCTTGAGTATGTGGACTACCTGCCACTCCTGGATCTGAGGAGGTTCTCCTGTGAGCTCCGCCTGTCAGTCCTCTTGCTAAGGGTATTTCAGCTGCTCTGTGGGTCGAGCTGCTCAGACTGGCTGTCAAAGGACGGCTGGGCCCATGTCGGCAGGTTATACGCCCAGTCTGTGAGGGAGATGATGAACTCAGTGAGAGCCAAGCTGCCTCTCTCTTCCTCTGGTGCTCTGAAAGTCTCCGAATCAACGTCTCCTAAAACCCCTTCTTGCACTTCAATCAGAGCTCCCAAAATGCCCAAAGACACAGTTAAAGATCCCAGACCAGCAGAGGACTTACATTTGGAGATGGAGGAGGAGGAGACAGCTCCCAGCCAGGAAGTGCTTTTTGTCCTAAGCCAGCTCTTCTGTCATGTTCAGCACGTACAGGTAGGATTTATCAAGACTGTCATCACCAAGATACTTAATCTGTGATCAGCTCTGTGGTGTAAATTAACCTTGTGTTAAAAGAACAACTGCAAATCTGTGTCTGTTTGCAAGACGAGTGTATAAAATTAGTGCAGATTCACTGGATTTTTTTCACCAGGACCTATTTTATCATGTTGTGAAGCTGAATAAACACAGTGTGAATACAGTTAGTCTCTCATGTTACACTCCGCTTAGCTACAGCTGACTTCTGCTAATTTACTTTTAAGTGCACTGAGGTAAAACTGGCGGTGGTCAAAGCTGCACTTTAACTTTAGTCTGGACCACTTCAGCCCAAGATGATTATTATTTGGATGCATCAAGTTATATTTTTCCTCTTATTCACCGGCTTTGATCAAGGGACAGGGAGCTCCCAGGGAGAAAGAGGACACTTCCCTTTGCTTTCATGTGAAAGGCCAAGGCAGGGAGGGCAGCAGCAAAGACTCTCAGGGTCCAGAACAGAGTAGGCATCAAGTGACAATACATATGATACTGGTATAATAAAGGAAGAGATGGGGGAATGTTGCTGTTGCTAATTGGATGGGCAGAAGTTTTATGAGCCTGTGTTTTTGCCAACAGTGCTTACAGGTTGATGGTGGCTTGGTTTAGAGGAGAGCTCTTCAATTAAATAAAACAGTTGCCTGTTAAAAGACCTTTCCATCAGCTGACCATCTGAGTGTGTCTGATCATAGATGACTCTCTCACCGTGTCCTTAATCAACACGTAAACCCTGCAGTCATGTTTGTCTTTCAAGAGTTGTAACCTTTATTTTCTCAGTTGGTAATGCTCGTCTGACTAGTTTACAGGGGGGCCTCTTTAACATACTGTTGTGACTGATTAGTACTGGGTGGTTTTGGAGCTCTTCCCTTCGATCACTTTGACCAGGTTAGCATGAATATATCAAACTGTCACTTGATTTTAATAAGCTCTTTTGTACATATTGCTTTTGTTACAGTCAGGATTCTATTATTCTTAGAGTCTGAAAGCATAATGTAAAGAATTTCATCAGTGAGGCAGTTTTTGTTTATGAAAATGATGCTTGTTTTTAAACCAGAAACTGGAGCTTCAGTGTTGTTCAGGATATGGGACTACATGGACTGTGAGTTTTTGTCAGTGATGTTTGGTAGCTCTGAAAACAATCTTACTAGTTGAAAAACTGAGAAAAGTCCCTTCACACAAGAGTCGAATCCCTCTAAATTCAGTGTGCATAATACAGAGAGAACAAAAACCTTTCCAAAAACAACTCAGACTGAAGTCAGCTGTCTGTGTATTCATTATGTAAACACTTGTACATCCAGGTCATCATTTATGATATCATCTCTCCCCTCCAGGTGATGATGCCCGGAGGTCAGAGTGAACCATTGTTCCTCTCGTGTCTGGAGATCCTCAGCCACTACGAGGCCATCATGGCTGCTTTCCCACAGAGCAGCAGCGCACTGGAGAGTGAAAACACTCGTCACTTCTTCTCCACCATCACCGACAACCTGGACAACGCAGAGATGAAGGCCGTGCTGAAGCAGAAGATCGCTCAGCTGGTGTCTTCGGCTGCCTGAGAAATTTATTTTCCGTGTTGACAAAAAATAAGAAATGCCCAAAACTCTGTAGATATTTACTATTTCTCTAGAGTTTGCTTTTTCATTCCATACCATGCACTTAAGACAGCAAAACTAAAATGATTTGATAACTTGAATGAATAAAAAGGAGATATTTCACAGGATGTTTGTGTTGGTTTATCATTTCTTTAAAAAAATAAAAAGCCTAGTTTGATAGAACTTATAGTTTTATTTCTGTAAAAATATGCACAGCAAAAACAAAGCAGGACATTGAACATTTACAATAATTCTGCCACAGATTAACGAACTGAATAAAACAATCAAAATCCCTCAAAGTAGAAAAACAATGTAGTGCAACAAACACAACTTAGGCGACACAGTGTGGTTTGGAGAAATCAACAGGAAATCTGAGATTTTGAGGAGAAATTTAAAAAGTCGAACAAACAAAAATTATGCAAACTTTTGAGGGGAAATTCGGTGTTGGCAGCAAAATTCAGCAGAAGTTGACCAGAATAGAAGACGTGCTTTATAACTCAGACAAAAGGTAAAAATATTTGTTTTGGCTTATTCCAAAATAGTGCAAATTTTCTTTCATAAATTACACCGACTGAGGTATTTTGGTCAATAGTGTAACAGACAATGCCACAGTCTTTCTGAACCCCTTACCTGAAATTCAGAATTTACTGATATTATTGTCCTTCCATAATCCACCTACTCTTCACTTTTGATTTGTAAACCTCTTTCACATGTGTAATCCTTAACATTGCCTTTGATTTTCTGCCTTCATTTGGAGAGGACAGGGAAGTAGGAAACAGGGGAACAAGGCGTGACATGAAGTGAAGGAGCCAAAGGCTGAAGGTTAACCTGAGCCTGGGCCAAGGCATAAAAAGCACAAGGAAAAGACTTCTATAACTGCTTGTTCTCAGCCTTTCACAGCATAAACTTTCTCTCTCTGATGAGGGGGATGATGGGCTCGGGATGAGTCAAGTCTCAGGAGGCAAGACATGACAGTGTAATGTTAGAGATCGAAGAAACAGAGGCCGTCATTATGATGACAGTTCTACATACATATCAAAGCTAAATGTGCAATCATCTTCACTGTTCTTGTCTCAGAGTATTTGTCCTTCAACCTGTTTCTCCTGTGCTCTTCCATCCATCCAAATCTAAGTCAAGTCAGACTGAAGATTTTTGGCTCACCTTGATCATTTTCAGGAAGTTTGTGCGAGTTTTGTGCATATGTAAAAGCAGCTTTGTTAACCTTTCCCCTAGCTAAGGAGTGGCCTTTATCTTCTGTATATCTTCAGTTTTAGTGCAAGGAAAGTCATCACAGAAACAGGCTACAGTTTAGTCCATCTTTGGCCTGTCTTTGCCTCCCTCTCCTTTCCCTCTTTTCTGTCGTAGATACAGTCTGTTAGCTTTCTTCAATAACAGAATGAACCAGTAGATCTGAGGAGCCAGGATCAGCAGGTTACCCATGTTACAATGCAGCGGCAGATGAAAAGCCACTTTGTGAAGGGGGATCCCAAACTGCCGCCCGTACATCAAGTACATGAAGGGAAAGAGGAGGATCCGACAGGTGAAAAAACTCAGGAGGACAATGATGCCGTTGATTCTATGCAGCCGGGTGTCATCGAGGCCCAGCTGGTGATCAGAAGATAGAAAAAAAAGGAGTTCATGAGCTTTGCTCTCCTCCATAGTTGATGCAAACGGTGCAAAAGGTCAACTGAGAATAAAATAATCATGACGAATCAGGATGCTCAATCACTACCCCGATGTTTTCCAGCTGCCTTACCTGAATGAGAATTTTTCCTATGGAGACAAAAGGAGTGCTGAACTCTGTGATGAAGAAGCAGCCGATGAAGAAATCACCCAGTCCTCTTCTGAAGAACTGAAGATCAGTAAAAGGAAAGTTGTCAATGAACAGCTGAAAAAGTAAATCTTAATCAAATCCATCCTAACAGGTCAAACATAATTATGATGGTAAAATAAAGTGGATATAATTAAAAGTTGAAATTTTTAAAAATGAAATAAAGCTTCAAAGATTTTATATAATATAAGTTAAAAAACAGAGATAATTAGAGAAAAAAACAGTTGAGAATACAACTGAATTACAAGATGACATTAAATGAAATATAAGGGCAGATATGTTGATCAAAATAAGAGTTTAAAAACATGCAACTAAATGTGTTCAATTAGACAAATCAAAATACCAGACTTCGAGGCAAATTCATTGTATCAATGCAGCAAATATCAAACACTAAAAGTAGGTCTTGATCCTGCTTTTTAGACTATGATCATTATCTGCTGCTTTCAGGGTCTCCAGGCCTTAAAGAGGAGCTGATTTAAAGCCTTAGAGAACCAAAGGCTTTAAATGACAACACTGGAATCAGAAGCATTTACAGTGATTCTTACCAGAGTGACGGGCATGAAAATGAGAAGCAGTGCAAGGTGATGGAGCACCAGCATCCAGTCCCTCTTGAGGAAGGCCTTCACTGTGTGAAAAGAGTGGCTGCTGGATTGACCTTTGACCCTCTGAGTGTGATAGTGGCTCAGATACATGGCGTAGATGTCTTGGGCCATGTAAGGAGCTCCGAACAAAGCGAAGCCATTGGTGAGCCAGTGACTGCACGCAGTGAGAGAGAAATGGTCAATTCAGTGACAGCTTATGTTCGTTTAGGTTAAAGATACTAAACTTACTTGTCGGTCATGACGTCCCTACAGGCCGCCACCACCCTCACTCCAGCTGCAGTGGCCAAAGATGCATGAATGGCAGAAACAAGCCTGGAAAAGCACAGATAGGAAAAAGAGACAGTCCTCTTTAATTATCATGAAACGATATTGCTTTTTTTTTCTTAAGAAAAGAAATACAGAGTTCGTTCATTGTAAAGTGGCAAATGTATCAATCATGCTATTATACAAAAGTAGAAAGACACTGTCAGAAATTTTTCATAAATTTCACCAATTGTCTTCGAGTTGTATTGTGCATAAATGATACAAAATTGTAATATTTCACTAACTCAAGTCAAATGTCGGGCCCTCATCCTACTTTTCACATGGGCCACCCCAGTAAAAGAAATGTCTGAGTGAGCCCCTGGTAACAGAATGATCATAACAATCAATAACTTCATTCAAGATTGCCCTTGCTAGATTAAATCAATGCCGATCTTACAAAAATTGTATATCAAATGATATATTTCATCAGACTGTCTCCAAATCGCATCTTCATCGACTTATAAAGTAGTTGAGATTAAACTGATCTGTTTCTAAAGGGAGTTCAGTGAATGGTCGGACCCGTCGAAGGCGAGGTGACGCGGGGGGAAGTCCGCCCTCATAGATCGCAAACCGGGGGTTCCTAACGTGAATCGTGCTGTTTGTGTGGGTGCTGCTAACCTTTCACTGACGGACACAACGTCGGCATCAGTCCAGTTTGTGAAAGTCTGTCTCAGGACTTTCCTGAAGCTGTAGAAAAGTCCCGGAAACACCACAGCGCCACAAGCTAGGGCAGCTGGCAGTAACATGTTCTCAAATGAACTCTTCCTCTTTCTGCAGCGGAGTCAAGACTTCTAATAAAGATAAAGACGACGATGTAGCTGACAGAAAACACACCCTTAGCCACAGGTTGACAGCTCAGTTTTTGCAAGGTTACCGAACTTCCCTGTCATGCGGATTAGTTTCATTTAAAATCATATCATTGGTTGATGGAGAGCGCTTTGGACCAATAGTAAGCTCTGACCTCAAATATCCTCTGTGGTTTTACCCATAGGCGGTACTAACTACTCGCAGTAAGATATATTGTTTTACCCGTGTAGTCTATGGTGTTACTCCACATATCTTACCTGCATTAACACTTTAACAGACAGTTTTAAGATACAACAAGAATATTATCAGGGGTGAAAAGAGTATCAGAATATGTAATGACCTGTATGTGAGTAGAGATAAAACCACCACTCTGTTTATGTACTCAAGTAGAAGCACAGAGTACTTTATAAGTACAGCTGAGTAGGCTACTTATAAACGTCATTTTTTGTTTGTTTTTCAGCAAATATTCACTCATTTTGAATTTGATTCTTGCAACATGGTCCAAAAAAGTTGGGGATGGTCAAAGAAAGACTGGAAAAAGTGTAGAACACTAAAACACACCTGTTTGGATCATCCCACAGGTGAACAGTTAATTGGAAACAGGTGAGTGTTGTGATTGGGTATAAAAGGAGAATCTCCCAAAGGCTCAGATATTAACAAGCAAGGACTGGGCCAGGCTCAGAACTTTGTAAACACCTGCGATGCAGTCTACCCTTTACACTACGTAAAAACAAAAATGTAGCTATAATTTTGTGACTGTGTACTAAATGCATTTGCAGCTTCCCATCAGTGTTTAAAAAGCAGTGTGCATTTTATGAGAACTTTCTCCACACAGTCACACTTAGGAGCACCATATTATAGTCCAAGTATATGTATTGGATATAATGGTGTTATTTTCTGTCCTTTAGAGGAGCAGAGTAGATTATTATCACTCTTAGATGTTATCACTCAGCATATATACCGTGCATTGTTTGGATGCAGTTGACATAACATCACATTCTGAGGCAGGGAACTCAACCAGGCCGAGTCTGACAGCCCCAAAAGGTAAAAGCTTTGCCTCATTTCTTTTTTTCTTGTATTTCAAAATGATTAAAAAGATTAAAAAACTGCAGTTCACAGAGGTTTTGATCCTCTCTAAGACTGAACATGAAGTTTAATGTTTCTCTACAGTTCAGAGTACTCTTTTAACAACTTTGAAACCATGTCTGAAAGAGAGGGTTAAGGAGTTACAGGAACTAGAAGGATGAGCATCTGAAATTAAGGCAGACTGCAGGCTTTTGTCATGCCCTCTCACAATATTGTGCTCAGGAAGTTTAATATGATCAGGTCCTTTAAGAATGCACTTAGAAACAGAATTGTGTCCATTATGAATGCAGTATAACAGCTGTGCATCCACTAATGCAGTATCATGTTGGTGTGTCTGTAGACTTTAATATTAAATAAAGATGAGTATTGTAATGTGACATTTGTAAATGCAGCATCTGTCTTAAATTTGGAAAGACACTGATGGTTTCTAATGTGGGAATAATTCAGCAGATATAATCTAAATCAGAACATGAACAGATTTCTTCCTGTGTGTATTCTGCACGTTGAGAGACACAGTGAAAAGACAGGGTCCATGTCAGAGCAACTCACTGAGTCGAACCTTTTTGCTTTCTTGCACATCACTTAACAACCAGACTGTGTGCAGTTTTTCATTATGTTAAATAGTCGAATTGATCAACTGAAAACAGATAAGATTGGCAGGAGTGTAAGTGTAAGATATAAGAGTGTCATCACACTTCTTGGCAAAGCCCAGCAGCTGACTGAGGAGGAGGAGAGGAAAAAGCTGCTGTTAAATTAACGATTGTTTGACTGTAGCTATGAAAATCATGAGTCCAAAGTGATTGTGTTGCATATTTTGATTGACACGAAAAGACTTAATTAAGTATTGGTAAAATTGATGAACATGGAGGAAAAAACTGAAGCTGTTTAGATTATTTACTTCCAACTTTATGACGACAAAGACATTTTAATAATCCCCCAAAGGCATTAACAGCGATGTGTACACCTTTCAGGTAATGACTACATCTGAGCCATGACAGAGTCCTTTTGTTGTGACAGTATAAAAATAAATTCACAGGGCCTGACCCACAAAGGGAACAAGAGTCTTTTGTGCCCGCTGTGCAAATGAGATAAAGAGGTGCGGGTTACATCACAAAGCATGCACAAGAGTTCAGTTCTCTTCAAACTGAGCTGTAGAGCAAAAAGTGTGACTGTGGGCTGGTGATGTTTGCATTTATTCAAATACACCCAGATAAATAGAAAGATGTGTAGATGAATACGTTATGAATAAACAAAAACAAAAGGAGAAAGTCCAACAAAAATTTAGTTATAAAATGTCCAAGAAATAAAAAAAAAAAAAAAAAACACCAGGAGAAAACCATCCTAAGAAACAGAAAGGCACTGTGAAAACACAAGAACAAGAGGTTGGGTTTAAAAGGCATTGCAAATTTAACAACATCGACAATGAACCAACCAAGAGTAGAGGAAGACAAGGCCTATACAAAAACACACAGGGTAACAAGCAATGAGACACAGGTGAGACAAAAAGACATAGGTGCAGACAATCACGAACGAGGGAAAACACAGCAAGTCAAATTAAATTAGGGGAACTGCACACCAAAAATGTAACAGAAAATAAAAAAGAGGGGAAAAACAACAAAAACAAAACCACAAGAGTAAATAAATCATGAGAGAATAATTAGATAGATCAATGGAATATTCATCCAGTGAGTGGATTTATGATAAATTCCACAGCTCCAGGACTTGAAATATAAAGGTCTGTTCTGACTGGTCCAAAACTGAGACAAGCTTGATGACAAGATTAAAAACAAAGTGAATAAATAGTTGAAGTCTCTGCGCTCAGTATTTTGTACTAAAAAGTGATGCGCTGCTGTGTTTCACCATAGTGTTGTCAAGCCTCCTGGCAATGGAAACAAATGACTTTCCTAACCATCACACATTCATCATTCCTACATTTAAAAAACAGTCTCAAAAAAAAAAAAAAAAAAAAGCTTTCTTTTACCCGTTAAAGTAAGATGAAATGTTCGTTGACTGTACAGCTTCAAGATATGATGAATGATTTGTAATGAGGAGGATTTCTTTTCCCATTTTTACCAGTGATCCCTCAAACAACAGACTGAAGAATGGAGGATTTCTATGGAAACTATACCAACCAAAATGTCAGTCAGAATGACAACATGACTGATACCCTTACTGAAGACAGTGGCTCTGTGTTGACAGTGGTGACATACATCATCTTCTCCATCGGCATGCTGTTGACCCTCATGGCCATCTACTCTGCGTATTTCACAGTCAGTACAATATTACTCAAATGTATTCATGTACTCCTCATGTTGGCCTGTGTCTATTAAATATTCTGGTTACAGCTGACCACAGTGACTGGCGAGTAATCTGGTATTTCCTTGTCACAGTTAAATGGAGCAGTTGGACAAATGAACACCACATATTTGGTAGAAGGTGGAGTACAGAATATCTCTAAAACCACTGATTGAATCTGAAAACTGTTTTCCTGCAGGTGCGAAGTGATCCTGTTGCTGCGATCTACGTCATCAACCTTATCATTGCTGACCTTATTCAACTCTGCTGCACGTTCATAGCTGAGGTACCATCAACGCGCTGGGCCTATAGCTTCGAAGTTTATTTCGTTGCTATGCTGGCCAGTATTGGCTTCACGGTGTCTCTCTCTGTAGAAAGGTAAGAAGTTGTGGATAATGACCCACACACATCACAGGAGCTGGCTTAGAATGAACCATACAGTTTTTTACTGCATATCCTCACCTCCCAGATAATCTTATTTATGAGCAGGGATCTGAGCTGTTTGTTAACTGGTGGAAGTGTGGCCACTTTACACATTCATGATCTATGATCAAATTTGAGTTTTTTGATGCTGGTTTTTAGTAGGTGTAGGTAAAACTTTTTTGTGCAAATCTACACATCGATTTACTTACACTTTATGAATGAGACCCAGTGTGTGTATCTTTACAGTCCCAGACCTTTACAGGTTTAGAGGGTAAAGTTTACTGAGCTGGTGCCCTGTTTAAATATGTCATTAACACAGACTTTTCTCAGCTTTCCTGCTGTTGTCGTTGCTTTATGGGGCTCTATTTTCTGATGATTAATTATCAAGTTGTTCCACATCCACATTCAAATTCTTTCTACTGTCTGTGTGACCCATGTCTGTCTTTGCTTTGCTCTGGATACAGTACTTTGCATTTCTTTTTTAAGTGCTTCAGAATAAAACATGTTTTAGTTTGATTTTTTCTTTTGTAATCATTGTTATTTTACTTGTCTTCAATTATTTACAGGTACATGGCCATAGTCCATCCTCTGTGGTATCGCATCAGAAGAAGCATCAAGTCCTCTGTTGTGGTCTGCGCTGTGGTCTGGATTGTTTCTATTGTGTATTTCCTATCTAACACTGATATTGTTCCCTTCTTCCTGGTCATCCCGGTGCTCATATTCTGTCTGGTCCAGACTTCCAGGGCCCTCTTTCATTCTGTCTCAATCCCTCTTGATGAAAAAATAAGAGTTATGGTCATTTTAGTCTTGGTGCTTCTCCCGTATATCCTACTGTTCTTTCCTTTTTTGATTTTGTCACTTAACATTGATGTAAACTTCATTGTGATTCACATCTTTTTAAGGTTAAGTCCACTTTCAGACTTGGTTCTGTGTGTTTTCATTTGGAAAGGGGCTGTATCCAAGCTTTTGAACGCTATGAAGTGTTGCAAGATGAAGAGGAATGACACAGAAACAACAACCACAGGTGGTAACAGCAGATCTTCAGTTTAAATCACCTCTGAAAAACATTCATGACTACAACTCCAAAAAGGTTGGGGCGCTGTGTGAAATGCTGGTGAAACAGATGATGATGGTTTCATATTGTATAAAACCTTTACTGATTTTTAAATAATGAAACTACATTTTATTTCCTAAAAGATAAATGCTCATTTTAAATTTGATGCTATCAACGTCATCCTTAAAAATTCTTACAGAAACAACAAAAAGTGAAAAAGTTGTGTGAAGCTAAATAATAAAAAAAAATCCTCTGATGATGTGGGAGTATCTAGCACCCCCTGGTGGTCTTGTGGGGTTCACACCGATAAGCGTGAGCGAGACAAAGAAATAAATTTAGGAGCATTGCAGGATTCTCCAAAGATTCTTCAGGTCAGATTTAGAATCTTTTTAAGACCTTATGCTAAAATAAATGAAAAAAATAAATCATTTTTCCCATGACAATGAAGGGATTAGGTTAAAAGATTATAATCATTATCTTATGAAAATCAAGCTGTAATTAGTCACTTATTAGCCATATAGTGCTGTTCTGAGCTGTTCTAGCAGTTCTGTAGCTGCCAGGACTCGAGTGTGAGGCCATCATCAGGCATGAATGTGATCTGATGTGGACTGGATCAGCCTCAGATGAAAAGGCACGCAAACTAAGTTATAATCAGGCTTTTAAGTCACTTCTTAAACTCCTGTCTTCTTCACTGTACAATTCTCACTTCATTCTATTTTATCCCATCATGTTAATTTCAAACACCTTGTTTTATGTTTTATTTTATGTTTTATCTTTATTATTTTATGTATTTTATTGATTGATATATTTACCTATATATTTAGTTTGCCTATCTATTAATCTATGTTTTTGTTTCAGTTATTGTATTTATTTCATTTAGGTCCTGATATTGCCTTTCAGTATCTTTTTATTCTGTTCAAACTTGTTTCACTGCTCTCATATTCAAACGTTTCATCACTATTGATGTTTTTATTATCACTGCATTCACATTGGCTATGGAGGTACTTCACGAATCCTCACTAGTCGGTGTCGGGGTGGACAGGTGCTCATTTTCGCCCTGTCATCTTATCTCTCAGGTCAGTTTGCTCTTTGTTCAACTCTGGGGCTTGGTACCAAATCTCAGGGGTGGGGGGGCTCAATGTTGACTCCCCCATCTGACCAAGCGTCCTGGCTCCCCCTTGCCGTATCCAGCAAAGCTAGTTAACAGTCACACATACAAATCAACAGACAAAACACACCATTGATTTACCAACAATCCACAAATATCCTCTGAGTCCCGTGGGTCAGTTGGAGCATTTTACTGCAGAAAAACTCATTTTATCAGTTTGATAACAGACAACAATTAAGAAAAAAACCCTCCTCTTCTGTTTCCACTCCTTGCACTGTTCCTATTGTGGAAGAACGGCAGCTGTCAGTCATATCAAAATGTGGTGAAACTTTTTCAGAAAAAAGACTTGAACACAAATCAGCTTAACAATGACAACGTATTACGACAGCATCCAAGTCTGAGAAAAATTTGTACCAGATAAATTTGTACCAGGAGGCATATGATGTCCATTTTACATACAATCTGTGCTAGCTGCACACTGAATATCACTCACTAGCTGCGTTTACATGGGTCATAAAATCCTACTTACAATTGTTTAAAGTAGGATTTCAATCAGATTGAAAATGCGTCATGTAAACACTTTGATGCCACATATAAACAGCTGACTGGATGGTATTCGGTTGATAGACGGTATTATTTGTTCTGCACAAGAGCCCAAGTATGTATGGTCACGAAACAACATTAAAAAAACACAATAAAACATGACATTGATCCATTTTCTAGATGCAAACAGGAAGCCGTAAAACAGAAGCGCACCTCTTCTTCAAGCACTCCTTTGAAGATGGAGACACTTTTTGCACAAGTTGTAGGAGCTAATCAATCAGATTCAGCTGGGCTCATGTAAACATGGACGAAACTTGGATCACTTCATTTTAAGTTCATGTATACAGGTTGCATCCGATTCACTCAATATAATTATTTTCAATCATATCGAGGACATTGTTGCTTGTAAATACAGCAACTGATGCTGCAGTGAGTCAAACTGAACTAAAACTAACAAGAGTACCAGAGTCAAATGACAGAGAAAAATCTACCTTTAAAGAAGAAAACTAGAGAGTGACTTGAAACTGATTATCAGACAGCCTTTGTCTCTTTTGGTAATGTGATATAATGTTTGGAAACAGATATTAAAAATAGAAAAATGACTGATTCTTTGATTTTTCTTTAATGATAAAAACACAGAAATTGAAATACAGTTTGGTTTTTGTTGTTGTCTGGAACAAGTGAGAGAAAGTCAAATAACAAATTTTCAATTTTCATTTATAAAAAAAGAAAATAGAAAATAGCATGAGACACAAAGTTTAAAAAATGGCCTGTACATTTGTTTTGGTTAACCAGAAGTTGTCACCGACAAGAATATTGCTCAACAGGCTGGAGTACGATGACTTTAATCTTGTAAAATTATGACTTTATTCATGAAGTCTTTAAAGTAAAAATTTCTCAATTTTGAACAGTCTGAAACAAAATCTGTGACACAGCTCTCTGAGGCATTTGCAGCTTTATATCACATTTGATGTTAAAAAAGCAGGGTTCACTTTTTTGAGATACTTCCCCACACAGTCTCACTTCGGAGCACCATATTATAGTTAAAATAAAACAGATTTTTTTCATCCCACTGCCACTGTTCTGGTGGCAGACACTACTGTACTCACACACTACTGTTCATATATTATATTGCATATACTGGTGTTATTTTCCCTCCTTTAGAGGAGCAGAACAGATTATTATCACTTTTAGATGTTATCACTCTTAGATGTTATCACTCAGCATATATACAATTTGGAAGCAGAGGACAAACATCAGACGCTGAAGCAGGGAACTCAACCAGGCCGAGTCTGACAGTCCCAAAAGGTAAAAGCTTTGCCTCATTTCTTTTTTTCTTGTATTTCAAAATGATTAAAAAGATTAAAAAACTGCAGTTCAAAGAGGTTTTGATCCTCTCTAAGACTGAAGTTTAATGTTTCTCTACAGTTCAGAGTACTCTTTTAACAACTTTGAAATCATGTCTGAAAGAGAGGGAAAAGGAGTTACAGGAACTAGAAGGATGAGCATCTGAAATTAAGGCAGACTGCAGGCTTTTGTCATGCCCTCTCACAATATTGTGCTCAGGAAGTTTAATATGATCAGGTCCTTTAAGAATGCACTTAGAAACAGAATTGTGTCCATTATGGATGCAGTATAACAGCTGTGCATCCACTAATGCAGTATCGTGTTGGTGTGTCTGTAGACTTTAATACTAAATAAAGATGAGTATTATAATGTGACATTTGTAAATGCAGCATCTGTCTCAACGCATTTCATAGAGTCTCCTGTGTGTCTCCTGCATGTTGAGAGACAGAGCAAAAACAGAGACGCTACAGGAGTCCAATCTGTTAAAAAAGCTGAATTTTTCTGTGTAAATACTGACACCTGCATTTTCACCTTCCTCTTAGGGTAAATGAGAGATGACTTTCTGATTATTTTGATTCATGTTACACCAAAAACATAAGCCAAGTAACGTCGAGCAAGTCAATCAATCAAACCTTTTTCTGCCTTCTTGCACCTCTCTTAACAACCAGACTGTGTGCAGTTTTTCATGGTGTTTAATTGTCAAATTGATCAGCCAAAAACAACAGATAAGATTGGCAGCAAAAGGGTGGTCACACTTCTCAGCAAAGCACAACTAATGACTGAGGAGGAGGAGGAGGAGAAAAAGCCACCAATACTTTAATGGTTGTTTGACCGTAACTATTAAAATCATGAGTTCAAAGTGATTGTGTTTCATATTGTGATTGAAACAAAAAAAAAGAATTAAGTATTAGGAAAATTGATGAACATGGATGAAAAACTGAAGCTGTTTAAAGGCTGATTATTTACCCCACTACAAAGACATTTTAATAATCCCCCAAAGGCATGACAGGAGTGTGTACACCTTTTAGGTAATGACTACACCTGAGCCATGACAGAGTCCTTTTGTTGTGACAGTATAAAAATAAATTCACAGGGCCTGACCAACAAAGGGAGTAAGAGTCTTTTGTGCCAGCTGTGCAAATGAGATAAAGAGGTGCGTGTTACATCACAAGGCATGCACAAGAGTTCAATTCTCTTCAAACTGAACTGTAGAGCAAATAGTGTGACTGTGGGCTGGTGATGTTTGCATTTATTCAAATACACCTAGATAAATAGAAAGATGTGTACATGAATACGTTACGATTAAACAAAAACAAAAGAAGAAAGTCCAACAAAAACTTAGATATAAAATGTCCAAGAAATCCAAAAAAGCAAAAACATCAGGAGCAAACCATCCAAAGAAATCAAAAGGCACTGTGAAAACACAAGAACAAGAGGTTGGGTTTTAAAGGCACTGCAAATTCAACAACATCGACAATGAACCAACTAAGAGGAGAGGAAGACAAGGGCTGTGTCCGAAATGAATCACTCAATTCCTAACCCTTAATCCCCATATGGGGTTTCACTATATAGCTGACTATGTAGTGAACTCAGTCACCAGAGGTTTCGAAACTACATGGCGCATTGTTGTCGGCGCATATAATCCCCATATAGTCGCCTATATAGGGGTGTCCATTTCGGAAACAGCCAAGGATAACAAGCAATGAGACACAGGTGAGACAAAAAGACACAGGTGCAGACAATCACTAACGAGGTAAAACACAGCAAGTCAAATTAAATTAGGGGAACTGAACACTAAAAATGTAACAGATACATAAAAAACAAATACAAAAAAAAAAAGGAAAAAAAAAAAACAATACCACATGAATAAATCATGCCAGAATAATTAGATAGATAAATGGATTATTCATCCAGTGAGTGGATTTATGACAAATGCCACAGCTCCAGGACTTGTAATATAAAAGTCTGTTTTGACTGAGACAAGCTTGATGACAAGATTGAAAACAAAGTGAATAAGTAGTTGAATTCTATTTCATTCTTACTGACCACCAGAGGCGGTGCTTTAAGCACTGAATGAATCCTTCTCGCGCATGTGCAGGTTGAGTGTTTATACCAACAAAGTCATGTGTGACCCCTGATGACCCGATCAGTCTATATCTTCCAGTGACATCAGAGGATCTGTTCCTTTTCATCTTCTCGTTTCGGGGGTAAACTGCATGTCACCTTGCTAGCTAAAGTTAAGTGACCATTATTTTCTACCGTTGCTGGTAGCCTTGTGGTGTCTTGTCGGAGCTGCAAGCTGGTCGCCCTCCAAAGGCTGCAACGAACTCCGCCAAGAGTTTTGTGGTTTGCTGCGGACACTTCTGCTTAGGCTCATTATACTCGGTGGGATAAGTTTACTTTTTCTTATTACAAATAAGCACATTCTTCAGTGCACCCAGTTGCACTCACTTTTGGTACTCACTCTCTACCAGCATTTGTAAGAAAACGCGGATATTGTGTTATATTTTCAATTATTGGTGAAGACAGTGACCTTGCTTATTGTCCCAGCATTTGTACGTTACGTGGTTATTGTGCTGTTTTTTTCAATTGTTGTTGAATGCAGTGACCTCGCTCCCTCTCCCAGCATATTTACCACCAATGTTTTTTGGATTAGCTGGCATCACTGGTGCTTGCAGCTGTTAACTATCGGTACAACCTGTTCTACTTGCTTTAGGTTGTACTTTAATTTGGTGGTGACGGTAGTGTTTCCTTCCGCTCCCTCTCCTGGCTCAACTCATTCATTCACATTAGCGGTTAGCCTTTGAGTTGTACTTTGTTGGTGACGGCAGTGTGCGCGCTCCCGTTCCCAGCTTAGGTTTGGTTTCTTTCTTTTTTTTCTGTCTGATTATTACCAGTGTTTGTGCTCGGTCTACTTAGTTTGTATATTGTGGTGCCAACTCGGTTGTGCCCACTTTGTGATGTGTGGCAAATACCCTTGACTGGTAAAGGCAGTGCTCTCGCTCCCGCTCCCAGCAAAGAGATGGTTTATTTGGTAAAGGCTGTGTTTTCCCTCCCTCTAATGTCTGTTCTCCTGTTTTATTTACTGGTTGTCAATATGTTTTGCAACCATTCTTGCTCAGCCTGTATGGCTTCTCTACAGCCTGAAGATGGCCATAATTTGTGACATTCATGCCTTGGCCTTGAACATCTGAAGGGGGCTCTTTCAGATGGTACCTGCATGAACTGTAGCTTCATGTCCTGGGCAGTAAGGGCTGCCAGACTAGCTGAGGTAGAACTGTTGGGCCTCGACCCTTCGCCCCAACAATTGACCCCAGCCCAGCCCTTGCCTCAAACTCAGTCTGGCAAATCTAAGCGTTGGGCTGCTGGGGCCGCAGGCCCCACCTCCGGGAAGAAGGTTAAAGGGTCCTGCCTTGCTTGCAAGGTAGAAAAAATTAACGGCAGCGCTTGGTATTATGAAATCCCTCTTCTTGGCCTTCCAGTCTGAGACTGGTGCAGAGGTGCCAGGTGCTCCTGCTCCTCCGGTAGCCATCTTGGAGCCAGAGGATGATGTGCTTTCCACAGCAGCGTCGGGTACTGAGTTTGCTGAATATGAGCCAGAGGTGGTCCCACAGGATGTTACCTCCCGTGCTTCCACAGCAGGCTCCTGTTCATCGACCCACAGCTCTACTGGTGGCTCTGAGGATGGTTCAGTGGGAGCTATCTTTCATATGGCCCTGGCCCATCTACTGTTGGATTTACCACAAGCCCAGTTGACTCCGGCTAGTGCCTTCTTCAGGCATGATTGGCCCCCACTTAATTGACTGTGCCCCCATCAGAGGACTATCTGAAGGAGCTGCATGCTTGCTGGAGGGATTCTAGAGCCCTCTCTCATGCAACATCTGATGGCCAGGCTCTGGCAGCCATGCAGGATGCATCCAAGTTTGGCCTGGACTGCATGCCAGCAATTGAGCCAACTATAGCTGCTCTAATCGTCTCCCCTGATGAAGCTCTGAGACCGGGTGCTAGGTATCCTCATCCTCAGAGTCGGGTTATGGATGACTTGCTTTCCAGAGTTTATCATGCAGCGGCGCATGGGACGCATAAGTAATTCTATGTCCCACCTGCTGCTTGCACTATCAGCATCCCTGTAGGAGGCTACGGTGGATCCTTCCATCCACCACTTCAGTGACACTTCGTTACAAGCATTCATGCTGATGTCTAGAGAACTGGGGCGGCTGATGTCCACACTCGTTCAAGCTTGCCGCCAGGTTTGGCTGGCGCAATGTCCTCTCACACGGGCATGCAGGAGAACACTCCACAGCATTCCAGTGGAACCTGGAGAGCTATTTGGCTCTGCGGCTCTAGAGGCACTTGAGCGCACAGTCCAAGCCAGACAGACAAGAACACAACTGTCAGGTCGTTAGAGGAGTGCGCCTCCTACTAGCAGGCCTAGGGGTTCTTCCAGCGCCCCCCAGCATCACTTACATCCACAGGCCTATCCCAGTGGCAACCTCAGACCTCAGGGCCCACATCTACAGCCTGCTCAGCGCAGGTGCAGGACCCTCGGGGCCCAGGGCGACTGGCCTCTGGGTGACCTCAGGTGTCACATGCTGCCTGTCGTATCCTCAGAGCCTCTAGAGGCTGGGGGACCTGGTGCTGAGGCCCAGGGGCCGGTTGTCTGCTGTTTTTCCCAGCAGCAGCTCAACTATTGGGCTGCTTCCATCTGGGACCCTTGGGTGCTCTTCACATTGACCCAAGGGGTACAAACTTTATTTCTGACGCCAGCTCCCAACCTTGGGCCAGGTCAAGATGACCATCATACCCGACCAAGCCCTCAGCCAGGAGTTGTCCGTCCTCCTGGACAAGGGTACCATCGAGCCTGTTGCAATCCAGGGGGTTCTACTTTTTGGAAGCAGACAAAGATGGTGGACTATGTCCCATCCTCGACTTGATGTGTCTCAACAGATTCCTGAAGGGCCTGAGGTTCAACATGCTCAGCACTGCAGAGGTACTGCGCACCGTAGTCAAGGAGGAGTGGTCCCGACTCTGAGTTTCTCTTGGAACCTGTTCGCTATCTGTCAATTTGTGTAGACACACACACTGAGGACAGAATAAAGTCATTTCTCCTTCAGGGCATACCCATGGCTTCCATTGCATCCCGAGACCATCACGGCAGATGTCTCCCTCTGGAAGAGATTTTGCAGGAACAGATCTTCTGATGTCACCAGAAAATATAGACTGACAGGGGTTACACATGACTTTGTTGGTATAAACACTCAACCTGCCTCTGGCGGTCATCTAGGATTCATAGAACCATAGTTAAATATCTAACTTTCGTTGTCAAGCCTCCTCGCAAACAAATGATTTCTCAAACCATCACACATTCATCATTCCTACATATGCAAAACAGCCTCAATTAAAAAAAAAAAAATAATAATAATAATAAATAAAATAAAAAACTTGGTAACCCGTTAAAGTAAGGTTGAAATGTTAGTTGACTGTACAGCTTCAAGATAAGATGAATGATTTGTAATGAGGAGGATTTCTTTTCCCACTATTACCAGTGATCCCTCAAACAACAGACTGAAGAATGAAGGATTTCTTTGGAAAAGATATCGACCGAAATGTCAGCCATTATTTTAAAATGACTGATACCCCTACAGAAGACAGTGGCTCTGTGTTGACAGTGGCGACATACATCATCTTCTCCATCGGCATGCCGTTGACCCTCATGGCCATCTACTCTGCGTATTTCACAGTAAGTACAATTTTACTCAAATGTATTCATGTACTCCTCATTTTGGTCTGTGTCTATTAAATATTCTGGTCACAGCTGACCACAGTGACTGGCGAGTAATCTTGTTTTCCATTGTCACAGTTAAATGGAGCAGTTGGACAAATGAACACCACATATTTGGTAGAAGGTGGAGTACAGAATATTTCTAAAACCACTGATTGAATCTGAAAACTGTTTTCCTGCAGGTGCGAAGTGATCCTGTTGCTGCGATCTACGTCTTTAACCTTATCATTGCTGATCTTATTCAACTCTGCTGCATGTTCATATCTGAGGTACCATCAGCGCGCACGGACTATATCGCAGAAGTTTATCTCATTGCTGTACAGGCCAGTATTGGCTTCATGGTGTCTCTCGCCATAGAAAGGTAATAACTAATCACTGTGTGTGTTGTTACATACCTCTGTGTTTCTTGTTATACAATTGAAGAATGCCAATTCATAAAACACTAAAAGGATGTAGCATACCTGTGTGTAAACTGTTGGCAGATGGAAATTTACAAGCAACTGGTCTTCTGTCAGTAATGAAGTAGTTCCTTTCTCCACCTCCATACAGTTTTTTACTGCATATCCTCACCTCCCAGATAATCTTATTTATGAGCAGGGATCTGAGCTGTTTGTTAACTGGTGGAAGTGTGGCCACTTTACACATTCATGATCTATGATCAAATTTGAGTTTTTTGATGCTGGTTTTTAGTAGGTGTAGGTAAAACTTTTTTGTGCAAATCTACACATCGATTTACTTACACTTTATGAATGAGACCCAGTGTGTATATCTTTACAGTCCCAGACCTTTACAGGTTTAGAGGGTAAAGTTTACGGAGCTGGTGCCCTGTTTAAATATGTCATTAACACAGACTTTTCTCAGCTTTCCTGCTGTTGTCGTTGCTTTATGGGCCTCTATTTTCACGTCCGCCGGGGACATGGGGAAGGGTGGCAAACCCCATGCAGTGGTATTTTCGTCTGGCGGAGCCCAGCGTACAGCCAGTTTGGTATTTTCGGGGACTGAGGCACACCGAGGTCTGCCAAGCTGGGCTTGGTGGCGTGGCAAGGGGAGGTGTCGACAGAATCTGCTGGAGCTGTGACATTTTCGTGCTCACCACCGGCGCGTAAAGTGCGCTGAATGATCGCCGATTTAAACCTGGTCAGCTTTCAGCACAGGCAGAGCGCAGCTGGTCTAGCGGTATTTTGGTAGACTGGCGGTGTATCGGCATACGTCACCGATGCCTCACCGGCAGGTTTCCACAGTGTCAGGCACATTTCAGTGCAATAAATAATCATCAACAACTAATAATCTGAGTCAGCACATACATTTAGATCTATATAGATATATTCTGATCTATATCTGATCTGATGAGCGAGTTTGGCACGCATTTGGACACTAGACCTGACCGAATCAACACAGCTGAAACCGCATTAAATTAAATTAAATATCTAGTAAATAAACACACATGATGAAGTGAACAAGATATTTAATTTGTCTCCCTCCTTTTCTTTCTTCCTCTTCCTCTTATTTCTCGTGCAGCTTGACCTGGACATGTCTCTGTGTCCTCTCCCCGTCCTGCTGCAGCAGCTGAACAGATGATTCGTTTCAGTGATCAGATGAGTTATTTACTTTAAGCCTACATACAAATATTATAATATTCAGTTTTGTGAGTCAAATTTATTTTATATGCCAACATCTATGAAAGAAAGAGCCAGGCCACGGAGCGCAATGCATCCTTTACGCACAGATTGTTCCGATTTTAATGTCATTTTTGGAGTTAATGTTGTGATCTGTGCGCACAACCCACCTTTTTACGTGAGGTTTAAATATGTGCAACTTTATGTGAGTGTCTTCACCAGTGGGTAAGGGTGTTTGTCTTACCAGTGGGTCCAACTTTACAGACACCAAATCCATCTGTGCTTATATGAGACAGTGTGGAGGACGCCCTCTGCAGCGCTTACAGTGACACTTGTTGAGGGGCTGCCTTCTGTCACCATCGTGTGGCATTAATGTCTTCAGACATCTCTTGATCTCTTTGACTACTTCACGAAAATAGTAATACGCCTCGCCGGTGGTGGATTTAAAGGCGAGGAGAGGAGCTGATGTTGTTGGTCAATACAGGTCTTGGCTGTGTTAAACCAAAATACCAAATTGTGCTTGGGAACGCCTTGTCGGTGCGGCGGACCTGAATTAAGCTGCACCTGCCCCATGTCTCTGGTGAGGCACGAAAATAGAGCCCATAGTCTCAATTTTCTTATGATTACTTATCAAGTTGTTCCACATCCACATTCAAATTCTTTCTACTGTCTGTGTGACCCATGTCTGTCTTTGCTTTGCTCTGGATACAGTACTTTGTATTTCTTTTTTGCATTCTAGTTCTCTAGAATAAAACATGTTTTAGTTTGATTTTTTCTTTTGTAATCATTGTTATTTTACTTGTCTTCAATTATTTACAGGTACATGGCCATCGTCCATCCTCTGTGGTATCGCATCAGACGAAGCATCAAGTCCTCTGTTGTGAGCTGCGCTGTGGTCTGGATTGTTTCTATTGTGTATTTCCTATCTAACATTGTTATTATTCCCTACATCCTGGTCATCCCGGTGCTTATCTTCTGTCTGGTCCAGACTTCCAGGGCCCTCTTTCGTTCTGTCTCAATACCTTTTGATGAAAAACTACGGGTCATGGTAATTTTAGTCCTGGTGCTGCTTCCGTATATTCTACTTTTTCTTCCTTTTTTAATTTTCCTATTTACCCGTGATTTAAACAGCTTTGAATATCAAATCTTTTTAGGGATAAGTCCTCTTACGGACTTGGTTCTGTGTGTTTTCATTTGGAAAGGGGCTGTATCCAAGCTTTTGAACGCTATGAAGTGTTGCAAGATGAAGAGGAATGACACAGAAACAGCAACCACAGGTGGTAACAGCAGATCTTCAGTTTAAATCAAAAAATGAAAAACATTCATGACTACAACTCCAAAAAGGTTGGGGCGCTGTGTGAAATGCTGGTAAAACAGATGATGATGGTTTCATATTGTATAAAACCTTTACTGATTTTTAAATAATGAAACTACATTTTATTTCCTAAAAGATAAATGCTCATTTTAAATTTGATGCTATCAACAGCAGCCTTCGAAGTTCTTACAGAAACAACAAAACAGTGAAAAAGTTGTGTGAAGCTAAATAATAATAAAAAAATCTTCTAGTGATGTGGGAGTATCTAGCACCCCCTGGTGGTCTTGTGGGGTTCACACTGATAAGAGTGAGCGAGATAAAGAGACAAATTTAGGAGCATTGCAGGATTCTCCAAAGATTCTTCAGGTCAGATTTAAAACTTTTTAAGACCTTATGCAAAAATAAGCAACACTAACAACATCACAGTGACACTAGCAAAGGGCAAGAGAAGAAATCTGAAAGGAACGTACACCTTCTTGAGTTATTTATTTGTTTGATTTAATTTGTTTGTAACCACAGTAGATTTTTATGTTCAAACATTAGCAATGGCAGTGTATCAGTGAGGATTTTTTTTTCAAAATGAAAAAAACAAATCAGTTTCTCATGACAATAAATTCATTAGGTAAGAAGATTATAATCATTATCTTATGAAAATCAAGCTGTAATTAGTCACTGATTAGCCATATAGTGCTGTTCTGAGCAGTTCTTGCAGTTCTGTAGCTGCCAGGACTCGAGTGTGAGGCCATCATCAGGCATGAATGTGATCTGATCTGGACTGGATCAGCCTCAGATGAAAAGGCACGCAAACTAAGTTATAATCAGGCTTTTAAGTCACTTCTTAAACTCCTGTCCTCTTCTTTGTACACTTCTCACTTCATTCTATTTTATCCCATCATATTAATTTCAAACACCTTGTTTAATGTTTATTTTATGTTTTATCTTCATTATTTTATTGATTGATATATTTCACTATATATATTTTTTTGACCATCTACTAATCTGTTTATGTTTCAGTTATTGGATTCATTTCATTTAGGTCCAGATATTGCCTTTCAGCATCTTTTTGTTCTGTTCAAACTTGTTTCTCTGCTCTTGTCCTCAAATGTTTCATCACTACTATTGATGTTTTTATCTTTCTTTTCTGCTGTTATCTCAACCTTTTGCTTTTCACTGTTTTCATTCCTTCTGTATTTTTAACATCTTTTTGTTGTTTCTCTACCTTCACACACACACACACACACACACACACACACACACACACACACACACACACACACACACACACACACACACACACACACACACACACACACATATGTTATAATGTATTAATATGACATTTATAATACGTGTTTTGTTTCTACTCTTGGTCGAAGCACTTTGTAAACTCTTGTTCTAACAGGCAAATGTTGGGCTGTGCAGCAGCTGCAGAGCTTGTTTATACTCGAGTTTATAAGAGGGAAAAATTCAATTTTTGTTGTGTATGAATGGTGAGCACACTTTCCCCACAGCCTGTGCTTTGTTTAACACATAATATAGAGAAATTAAGTTGCTGTGTGTTATTTCACAATGAATACAGTGCACTATAATGCCAGCACAAGTAGCTGTTAAAGTTGACTGATAGATTCACAATGGAAGATGTTTGATTGTGATTTCTGTGTCCCATTAACATAGTCTACTTTTATAATCTTTTAGAATGTTATGAAATAATTATTTAGCTTGGAGTTTTAGAGAGAATAACAATATTTTAGTCTTTCCAAGTCTCATAAAAAAAATAATTGACATGACAGTAAATGAATCATGAGTTTTGTCATGAGTCAGAATCCTAATCTTACAAATTTTAGTTTCATTATGAAAATTAAACAGAAAGAAACCAGCATCATAATGTTTGTGTTGGCTTTTTTATTTTAAAGAAATAAGCTGTATAAAAAAGTCCTTAGTTAAAAAAAATATCAAAAAAGGATCTGAATAAGTTACAATCAGCCTGCACATTAAGGTATACATGTCAGGGTATGGCAAATATGGTGATGTGGAGCAGCTGCAGAGCTGTAAACTTGCTCTGCACCAAAGAGTTCCTAACCAATGTTTCAGCCACAACTTATGGTAATAACTCACCGGAGAGGAGTTTATGTGCAACATGGGAGGATTTTATTTTTAAATTCACATATGGAAAGCAAGGAAACAGTCCGGTAACACACGAAAAAATCAGGCAGTATCCTGACGTGTAGGTAAATAGAGAAATCACTTCAAATTACCAATTAGACAAAGTAGAGGACTAGGAACTGACATCTGGGAACCTGTCTGATATTTGGCCATATCTGGGTTCAGTATCTACACACTGCCCATTTTTTCTCTCCTCCTGGGTGCCACTTAAACAAACATCAGATCAAACAGACTTTGTGGGACCACTCCTTACTTGTCAGTGCAGGAAAGA